AGGAGAAGGTTACGATTGTGGGTGGTGGTGAATTGTTGGAATTGGCAGCGAAAAACGGCAAGTCGTGAAATCGGACAGAGAAGGGTTTCCTTTGTTTTGGTTGTGTAACTTTTGTCCTATTTCTATCTATTTTGTAAAGATGAACGATGTAGAAACAAGGACCTGTTTTCGGCTGACGGGGGACGGATCAAAGCTCTTGGAAAAAGATATCGTTACATAAAAGCGGTCAATCCGGAAATAAAGAAAGGTACGCCTTGCTTGTAAATAGACAATCATACCGTTGTATGTAGGTTATATTATATAGATGGTTTACCAACTTTCTTCTCACTGACGTATCTTCAAATTTATCAGATAGAGGCACAAAAATGAGTTGCAAAATGATTTAAAATTTAATGTTTATTTTAAAGAGACGCTTTTTATATTTATCCTTACAACTCTTTTGATAACTTTTCGTACAAGACGTGGTCTACCGGTAGTAGACGGTTTATACTGATTAAATCCACCTCTTCATTAAACCGGAGATGTTTTTGGGCCGAATCTAGTACCATCGGGGGAATGCCAACCAGTCCTTGACGAGAAGGGGTGGAAGATTGGCTTACTTCGTCACAGTTGTCTTCTTCCCACTCATCTTCATAGTGCAAAGCATCATAAGCAAAATATGACCTGAAACGGGCATAATTTATCAAAAACCCATTCTGTAATAAAATGTGCTCGGCAGTGACGGGTGCTTTTCCGCCATTGTTGAAGTATGCAAAAAAGTATTCCTCGTGGTATGATAAGTAGTCTTCAGCTTTGAATTTCCATATTTTGTAATACTGCTCGTAAAAATGTGGGTTGTGCAAAGAATTAACGTTGCCTGCCAAATTTAGGAAATTATTGAAGTAATCAATCAAGTTTTCCAATTTTATCTCCTCAAACTTTTCAATAAATATCGTACGAATAATGTCTGCAAGGTCGTTTCTATGTCTGTGATTGACGATCCTACATAGGAACTCTTTAATGTCTGTTTCTTGTTGAAGCATGCAGTTGCACACAAAATTCTTGATGGTAATGTAGGTATTATCATTGACTACTGGAAAAAATTCGTTAATGATGTTTTCGATCTTGTTGTGGCAGATTTGTAGTGAAGAGGGATCTCCTTCTTCATTTTTAACAAAGCTTGACCTTCTAATCGAAGATTTGGGGGCTTCAAAAGGAACCAAGATCGGACTAGGCGGTTCGTGTTCGTAATCCATTATACTGTCGCTATCAGATTCGTAGTCACTATCGTCTACCAGTGGCCGTCTTTTCCTCTCGGTCTGTTTTGATGAATCAAAGTCACTTAATCTAATGGAAGCAAATTGGATACTCAAATTTAGCCCATATTTAATGAGGCTGGTAGTATCAAAGAGCCATTTGTTGTCACTTTCACTGAACGGGAATTTACTAGCTGTTCTACTTTTCATTTTCTTTTCCTGGTGGTGGTCAAAACAAGAGAAATGGAGTAATAAGAGGAATAAAGAGTGTTTAGCTGATGGGGAGGTTTACTTTCATTTCTTATTGTTAGAGCTTAATAAACAAGAAACGTGGGACTGAACTGGAAAGTCGCACATGACTTCACCTTAACTTGAGCACGTGTGTGTATGTGTCAACAACGCATTTTTATTTCCATTTTAGTAGAATACTCTGGGTACAAACTTTGATATAGAGCAGAGCTGCTGTATTATAATGCCAGATGTGCTTTCCAACTTGCGTCAGGAAGGCGCCTCCTTATCCGGGTTGCTAAGCTTCATGATGGTCTCATGTTACAAACACCTCTACACACAAGGTCAAAAGTTGGCAAATCTTTTCTTTAGACATTTTCAGTAAACACTTAAATAGCCCAAGCTTCTACTCCTTCAAAACCGGGTAACTTTTCCTCCTCTTCCCGCTTCAATAAAGATGGATCTCGGTTGCAGTCGATGTGTACTTCGAGGAACGATAAGCGCTACCTAAAACAACACGTCTAAGAAAATATTTTCGCATCGAGATTTGTTGTTCACCACAAACAAAACCACTACACAACACACATATCCATGCTCAGTACACGTAATCTCAGGCTAATAGTTGCTGTTTTGGCAATTTTCGGTATTGTTGCATTCTTTGCAACTTCGCAAAACTCACTTCGGGATACAATACAACGAGGCACTAAACAGCCAGTTAACGGTGATTCAACGATCCCAGAATCACCGAAAACAAAGGTCCCGCTCGAGGATGAAGAAGAGAAAAACACCCTTCAAGGGAAACCCCATTCTGGAACTAAACCACCTTACGAAAAGACCGATAAGCCAGAGTCCAACATTGCTGAGAAGCTAGGTGATAAACCAGCTGCCACTCAAGAAAATGAGAAAATAACCACACCACAAGAGGTTGACATGGGCAAGGAGTGCAATGAGGTAAACTATGTTGTCATGATTGATGCAGGAAGTACCGGTTCTCGGGTTCATGTGTATGAATTCAACACGTGTACCCAACCACCTAAATTATTGTCCGAGGAGTTCAAAATGCTCGACCCTGGATTGAGTTCTTTCGATACTGATACTGTGGGTGCGGCCAAGTCATTGGACCCATTATTGCAAGTTGCGTTAGAGAAAGTGCCAAAGGAGAAGCAAAGTTGTACACCAGTTGCCGTGAAAGCAACAGCTGGGTTGAGATTGCTCGGAGAAGCCAAGTCAGACGCTATTTTGAAAGAGGTTAGGAAACATTTGGAAGAAGATTATCCGTTTGCCGTTGTACCTGGAAATGGAATTTCCATTTTAGATGGAAAGGACGAAGGTGTTTATGCTTGGGTCACGGCAAACTTTTTGTTAGGCAACATTGGAAACAAAGACAAGTTACCCACTGCAGCAGTTTTTGACTTGGGCGGTGGCTCGACTCAAATTGTTTTTGAACCGGATTATAAAGACCAGGTTCCAGTTGAAGGAGAAACACACCACAAGTTCACTTTCGGCGACCACGACTTTACCTTATACCAATTCAGTCACTTGGGATACGGTTTGATGCAAGGAAGAAACAAGATCAACAAGTTGGTTTTGCAAAATTACTTAAAGAATGCCCAATTGACTAAATATGCAAACAAGAAGGATGCCAAAGAGGCTACTGCAGAGGTAGATGTTACAAACCCTTGTATTCCTCCTAATTCCGTGGCAAAGAATGTCCAGGTTGAGGTATCCGATAACGAATTTTATGTTGTCAATATGAAGGGTCCATCCAAGGCCACAGGATCACAATGTCGTTTTCTCGCAGAGCAAGTGCTCAATAAAGATTCCACCTGTGAGGTGAAGCCATGTTCATTCAATGGTATCCATCAACCATCATTGACGCATGCATTCAACAAAAACTCAGACATGTTTGTCTTTTCATTCTTTTACGACAGAACCAATCCAATTGGTATGCCATCCAGCTTCACCGTTGAAGAGTTGAGAGATTTGACAAAGTCTGTTTGCGAAGGTGAAACATTATGGCGTGATGTCTTCTTTGATGACCATGTAACCAACTTAAACAAGGAGCCTCAATGGTGTTTGGATCTCAGTTTTATCACTGCCATGTTGCACACTGGTTATGACATTCCATTAAACAGGGAACTCAAGACAGCTAAAAAGATAGACAATAACGAATTGGGTTGGTGTTTGGGTGCTTCTTTGCCCTTGTTAGACAAATCAAGTGGGTTATGGCAATGCAGATCGTAATAGGGTTTATACAGCCAATGTTGGAAATGCTTTTTTTAACCTTTTTCCGTGATATTTCTTCTCCCCTTTTTTAAATTCTTTGTTCTTTTTTTCTTTTTTTTCCTTCTCCATTTAAACTAAAAATTGCTTTACCGATCACCGCATCTGCAACTCTAAAGTGCATACCAAACAATGTCAGATTATACACAGAGTCAGTTGACGGAACAATTAAAGAACTTACTGACAAAGTCTGACCGCGATGCATTACGCCCGTTGACCAAAGTAGTTTCCCCTTCAGAACCAATGGATTTACAGCACATACGAGACGCTCGTCGGCAGCGTACGTCGGAGAGCTCGTCTTCATCCATTTCGTCGTTGCCAACAGAGGTAATAGATCCGCCACCAGGTCATATTGAGCTGAATAGTACGCCGGCACTCGCCAGTCCACAACCCCAGCATTCTTCTTTTCGTCGTAAGCATTCTATTCACAAGTTCAATCGAAGTCAATACAGTCTTAGTTCGATATCAACCACGCCATATGGATCTACTGTTCCAAGCATAAGTAGCTCACCAAAGGATACTTTTGCTAGAGAGCCTCCAAGAATACATTCAAAGTTGTATTGTGATGAGGTGGTCAAAAACAACAAGACTGCAAAAGAGGTGTTATCTCGCTTATCTTCTGACGAGTTGCGTTCGGTGAAGACTCATACTGAGTTGGCAGAGACGGCAAACGGGGTACGAATGTTGGCCAAGAACCTTTCTAGGGCCACCATACAATTGGATGTAAAGGCCTTGATGATTGTAACTAAAGCCCGGGACAATGCGTTGGTTTATTTGACGCGAGAGGTTGTTGAATGGCTATTAACAAATCACAAGGAACTTACTGTTTATGTTGACTCAAAATTGGAGCATTCAAAAAGATTTGATAGCAAGCGTATGATCCAAGAGTACTCTAATGCAGCTAAGCATTTGCGGTACTGGAACAAAGATTTGACGTTAAAGTCTCCTGAATTGTTTGACTTGGTAGTCACGCTAGGCGGGGATGGTACTGTTCTTTACGTGTCCAACTTGTTTCAAAAGGTGGTGCCACCAGTGTTGTCATTCTCATTGGGAAGTTTGGGGTTCTTGACCAATTTCAAGTTTGATGACTACAAATCAAAGTTGAATCACTGTCTAGATTCAGGAGTCAAGGCAAACTTGAGAATGAGATTTACTTGCCGGGTACATACGGCAGAGGGGAAACTTATTTGTGAACAACAGGTGTTGAACGAATTAGTTGTTGACAGGGGCCCATCTCCTTTTGTTACAAACTTGGAACTCTATGGTGATGGATCACTATTGACTATTGCTCAAGCAGATGGACTCATAATTGCAACACCTACCGGATCAACTGCTTACTCCTTGTCTGCTGGCGGCTCTTTGGTTCATCCTGGAGTGAGTGCAATCAGTGTAACGCCAATTTGCCCTCATACATTGTCATTCCGCCCTATCTTATTGCCAGATGGCATGTTTTTGAAAATCAAGGTACCTGTAACCAGTCGGTCAACCGCATGGTGTTCATTTGACGGAAAAGTTAGAAAAGAGCTTAGTAAAGGGTACTACGTCACAATACAGGCTTCTCCTTTCCCCTTCCCCACAGTGATTGCTTCCAAGACAGAGTATATGGATTCCGTTAGTAGGAACTTGAACTGGAATGTTAGAGAGCAGCAGAAACCATTCAGCTCGTATTTGAAACCAGAAACAAGGCAAATGATGGCAGAGAATGATATTGGGGAGGATAAAGCAGAAAAAATTGACGATAATGATGATTTTGATATAAATTACAGCGATCAAGAAGAGACAGAGGAGAAAACGTCGTCAAGCAACACAACAAGCGAGACAAATAGTGAAGACATGATGTATCTCCCTCAAGGTAGCGGAACACAAACACCAACAACCAATAATTTAGATGATAGATGCTGTTATGCACATCCACATGCTAGAGTACATTTAAATGGATCTTGAGAAGAAGGAAAATGTGTGACAGCAGGATCATTTAACGGTCTGATTGATATATATGTGTGTGTGTGTGTGTGTGTGTGTGCAGTTTTCTGTGTAATAATAGTAATTTTCTTTTCTCTTTTATGCAGTACATATATACTATACTATACAACGATTTCCTTTTAGTTTCGTTGCTTTTTTTTATTTTTTATTTTTTATTTTTTATTTTTTATTTTTTTTATAATTTCGTTTCTTTTTTTTATTTCACACACACGCACATATTCTCTCTTTTACTCTCTTTTAGTGTTTGCCCTTCTTTTGTCTCAGACAAACCATAAGAGAAAAAAGAAAAAAGAAGAAAAAAAAAAAAAAAAAAGAAAATTTTTTTCTCAAACTCATTGAAAGAGAGAGAGAGAAAGACCAGACACAAATAAAAGAAGAGTAAAAAAATTTACAACCAAAGACTTTTCCCATTACTCTCTTTATTCACGAAGATCGATCTTCGATTAAAAAACACATACTTTATACTACTACTACAATAAGTACTACTAATATGTCTGACATTAGTCAACAAATGAACAATTTAAGTGTTCAAGAGAACGGCAGCAACGGTCAATATCAGCAACCCAGACAAAATGGCCGCAGACAATACGTGCCACCTCACTTGAGAAACAGAGCTGGCCCACAATCAAATGGCTCTGACGATATTCCGTTCGGTGGATCTCGTCGTAATGGATATGACAACAGAGGAGGCTACTCTTCCAGAGGCAACGGCTTTGGATTTGGTGGAGGCTCAAGAGGCGGACCAAGAGGTGGAGGAGGATTTGGCGGAGGTAGATACCAAAGACAAGTTCCAGGTGTCGGTAGATGGGTTGATGACAAGCATGTCCCAGCTCCACGTAACGAGAGATTGGAAATCGAATTATTTGGTGTCGCTGAAGAAGAAGGTTCTCAATCATCTGGTATCAACTTTGACAACTATGACGACATTCCAGTTGAAGCTAGTGGTGACAATGTTCCTGAGCCTATTACCGCCTTCACTGCTCCACCATTGGATGAATTATTGGTTGAAAACATCAAATTGTCAAAGTTTACCAAGCCAACCCCAGTTCAGAAATACTCTGTTCCCATTGTCGCTGGTGGTAGAGATTTGATGGCTTGTGCCCAAACTGGTTCTGGTAAGACTGGTGGATTCCTTTTCCCAGTTTTGTCTGAATCTTACACCAATGGCCCAGCTCCTGTTCCTGAATCGACTGGAACCTTTTCATCACACAAAGTCTACCCAACTGTCCTTGTTATGGCTCCAACTAGAGAATTAGTTTCTCAGATTTACGATGAGAGTAAGAAATTTGCATACAGATCGTGGGTCCGTCCATGTGTTGTTTATGGTGGTGCCGATATCGGAAACCAAATCAGGCAATTGGACAGAGGCTGTGACTTGTTAGTCGCCACTCCAGGTCGTCTCAAGGATTTGCTCGAAAGAGGAAGAGTTTCTTTGGCCAACATCAAGTATTTGGTTTTAGATGAAGCCGATAGAATGTTGGATATGGGTTTTGAACCTCAAATCAGACACATTGTGCAAGAGTGTGATATGCCAAGTGTCGAAAATAGACAAACATTGATGTTTTCTGCTACTTTCCCAAGAGACATTCAAATGTTGGCTCGTGATTTCTTAAAGAACTACATTTTCCTTTCAGTGGGTAGAGTTGGTTCTACTTCAGAAAACATTACCCAAAAGGTGTTGTATGTTGAAGACGACGAAAAGAAGTCAGTTATTTTGGATATGTTGAACGCCAACAATTCAGGTTTGACAATTGTGTTCACCGAGACCAAGAGAATGGCTGATAATTTGGCTGATTTCTTGTATGACCAAGGATTCCCTGCTACTGCTATCCATGGTGACAGATCCCAATACGAAAGAGAAAAGGCTCTTGCTGCTTTCAAGAGTGGTAAGGCACCAATTTTGGTAGCCACCGCTGTTGCAGCCAGAGGTTTGGATATCCCAAATGTGTCTCACGTTATTAACTATGATTTGCCAGGTGACATTGATGATTACGTTCATAGAATCGGTCGTACTGGTCGTGCTGGTAACGTTGGTATTGCTACTGCTTTCTTTAACAGAAACAACAAGAATATCGCCAAGGAAATGATTGAATTGTTGTCTGAAGCTAATCAAGAAGTCCCTGATTTCTTGACCAAGATCTCAAGAGAATCTGCATTTGGTAGATCTGGCCGTGGATCCTCTCGTGGCGGTGGATACGGTGGTTCCCGTGGTGGAGCTACAAGAGATTTCAGAAGAACTGGTGGTGGCAGTGGTCACTCCAGCTCTGGATGGGGTAGTAGCACCGGCAGTGGTTGGGGAAGCTCAGGAAACAGTGGTTGGGGAAGCTCGAACGGCGGTGGAAACTACGGTTCTCGTTCCAACTTTGGAAGTTCAGGTGGCTACGGTAACCCATCAGCCTCTTCCAACTCGTGGTGGTAAAGCGGTACACATTACCTGCTCCACCATTACTTATTTTTTGGCATCATTTAGAACTCAATTCTAGATCAATTTTTATTATTTTTCAAATATTCACACAATAAACCATCATCAACAACATCATCATCATCATTAACAACTTCACCATCACAAAAATGATTCAGTTTTTATTTTATTTTTTTTTCATTACATTGTTTTGCTTTTTCATTACGGTTCGTGTATTATTAGGTTTTACAAAGTTATTTTAATATTTTCATTTTCATACATTTGTTTAAGGATACATATAGAAAAGGCATTTACATATAGATACGGAAGAGGAGGGAAAAAAGAATAGTTTGTGATGAATGAATGGTTTCCCTTTTTTCTTTCTTTCTTTCCTTCAATATTGTGGGAATATATTTGATATACATTCATGGGGAAAGGTTTGGACAGAGAGTTCATAATACGTCTAGGATGCATAGCTGTATATTATTATATTATTAGTTTTTATTTAAAGTTATTAAAGAGGGAATGTAGGCTAAGCTCTTCACCTCAGAAAGTCTCTTTTGCGGTAGCGCGGCATTTAAAAAGTGTGTACATATTTGGTATCGTCTTTTATGTATGTTTTTTTTTTTCAACAAAAGTAGGCACTGTTTATTTTTTAGACATGGGACGAAGGAATTACAAGACAGCACTTGTCACCAGTGTCCTACTAATAGTGATATACTTCTTCTATTCGTCATTCAATGGACACGCATCCTATAAGACTGAACCCAATTCCAACAAGTTACAACTTCTTCGTGAACTTGAAGCCAACACGGAGTGGAAAACTCGAGGCTTCAATTTTCAACCAAGATTGAAGCCTACTCCCGATCAACCAAGTGAAGTACTTCGCCAGCTTTACCAGGGGTTCCCATACGATAGTAATAGTGAATTCCCGAAACACATATGGCAGACGTGGAAAGTTTCTTTACAAGACGAGTCTTTCCCCAAAAGGTACCGCAATTTCCAAAAATCATGGGATGAGAAAAATCCCGGTTACAAACACTTTGTTATACCCGATGAGCAATGCGATGTCCTTATTGCCGAGCTCTATTCTGTGGTTCCCGATGTTGCAAAAGCCTACAGAATCATGCCGAAATCAATCTTGAAAGCGGACTTTTTCCGATACTTGATTTTGTTCGCCAGGGGAGGAGTGTATACTGATATCGACACTGTTGGGTTAAAACCCATAGATAGCTGGTCAAGCAACAGCGAAGAGATTGCTGGAAAAACAAACAATGCCGGTTTGGTTGTTGGAATAGAAGCCGATCCAGATCGGCCAGATTGGGCAGAGTGGTATGCACGTAGGATACAATTCTGCCAATGGACAATTCAGTCAAAACGTGGACATCCCATGTTGGCTCAACTTATAGCCAAAATCACCGATATAGCGCTTACACGATCTGAAAAGGGACAGTTGAAAAAAGTATTGGGTAAGAACGAAGGAGGCGATATAATGAACTGGACAGGACCAGGGATTTTCACCGACTATGTATTCAAGTACCTCAACCAAATAGTCGAGGTTGATTGGCGACTTTTCACGGGAATGGAGCAACCTATCGTTATTGATGATGTTTTGGTGTTGCCAATCACTTCGTTCAGTCCCGATGTGAATCAGATGGGAGCCAAGTCGTCAGGCGATCCAATGGCATTTGCCAAGCACATGTTTTCGGGAAGTTGGAAGGACGATGGAATGCCTGAAATGGGAATGTAGAGTATCATTACAGAGTGTTTTAATAGAGTTTATACGGGAATTGTGAAGACTTTTGTTTTGGAAAGCTTGTAGGTAATGACTCCGCACAACCCTTTTAGTTGAGACTTCAGTTGGGGTAATAAGTTCCATTGGTGAAGATAGTTTCTATACCATTGGTACTAGTATAAAGGGACCACCAGAGGAGACTGCAATCAACTTTTGAGCAACCTCTTATCTGAAACTTCATATATTCGATACCTCTCGTCGACATCTGGACTTACCGTGCTTGGATACTCCCATAGATGATAGTAAAAACTCACTGCCCGACCCCACAGACGAAGCAACCTGCAATTATTTTATTTCGGAGTCGGGTTCACGTTATTATTAATGGGATCTAACCCCCTTTTTTCTCTTCTCAACCCCCGATGTTGATGCACATAGAGGATGACCTTTGAAAGACCGACATAGGTGCATGCTGTGAAGCCTGACGAGGGGTTTATGAACATCCACAGAGAAGATACACCCATTCGTTGAATTACATCCACGGGTATCAACTGCACCCCACCTCGTGTGGGCTTCTACGGGTGAGTGACTCCGCTGACGAGTTTGGGTATTTAAACTTTTTATGAAGTTTAAAACCCTCCACAGCCGGCTCTAGCCCAAAAAGATATAAAATTACACAAACCAATTTCGCGTTATCAGCACCACAAATACACCGGCCCACATCAATTCTTTTGCATATATAAACTTCCAATTCCAGTTCTTCAACTTGCAATTTGACCACAACTTTACACATTTTCATAACCAAGCTACAATGCCCACTGAACCAATTCGTTACGTTACAAAAGTCGATCTCAACAAGCCAGGTGGTGCTCAACCGCAAGTACACAACAGATGGCATCCTGATGTCCCATTTTCTGAAACAATCTATCCTGGAGAAACAGTCAAAATTGAATGCTTAGACTGGACAGGAAACCAAATCAAGAATGATGATTCGGCTGATGATATTTTGAATGTTGATCTTTCGAGAATTCACTACATTTCAGGTCCATTCAACATTGAAACAGCTGAACCAGGTGATATTTTGGTTGTTGAGATTAAAGATGTCCAGCCATTGGACAGACAACCTTGGGGATATTGTGGTATTTTCCATAAAACTAATGGCGGTGGGTTCTTGGACAAGTTTTATCCAGAAGCTGCCAAAGCTATCTTTGATCTTGAAGGTATTCACGCGACATCGAGACATATTCCTCACACCAAGTTTACCGGTTTGATTCACCCAGGAATAATGGGTACCGCACCTTCTCACGAAGTATTGCAAGAATGGAATCAAAGAGAAACGGGTTTGATCAGAGACATTCAACACCAACATGACACTCCAGTTGCCCAGCCACCGTTGGAGTTAAATTCGCATGCTGGTAGTGCCACTGGGGAAGTTGCCGCACGTATTGCTGCTGAAGGTGCGAGAACTATTCCTGGAAGACCAGAAAATGGAGGCAACTGTGATATCAAAAATTTGTCAAGAGGTTCTAAGTGCTACTTCCCTGTTTATGTTAAGGGAGCAAAGTTTTCTGTCGGAGACTTGCACTTCTCCCAGGGAGATGGTGAAATTTCATTTTGTGGAGCAATTGAAATGCCAGGGGTGTTGACCATCAAGACATCTGTGATTAAGGGTGGAATGGAAAAACTTTCCATCAAGAGTCCAATTTTCACTCCTGGTGATGTGCCAAATCAATATGGACCTTCGAGATATTTAACCTTTGAAGGGTTTTCCGTCGATGAGGAAGGTAATCAACAATACCTATGTGCAACAACAGCTTACAGACAATCCTGCATAAGAGCAATTGAGTACTTAAGAAAGTTTGGATACAACGACTATCAGATTTATTTGTTGTTGTCTACGGCCCCAATTGAAGGACATATCGCAGGAGTTGTTGATATACCAAATGCATGTACAACACTTGGAGTTCCAATGGACATTTTTGACATTGACGTCAGTCCAGAGGGTAGTTTAAAGTCATACGATATGGGCAACTGTGCGTTAGTGAGCAATGCTAACCACAAACTTAGATATGATTTCAAGTAAGTGAAAGAGCTTTTCCTATGCACTAAAACATAACAAGACTAGCTTATGAATTTAAGAAATGGATAATATATATCTATCTACTGCCAACTTACTCTTTAGTACTTTGTAGAAAAAGGCCCATATGCGACTGGTTCAAGTTGAAGACAGTGATCTACTGCCAATATACTCTGGACCTTCATAGACCTTGTTTTCATCTGGCTTGTTCAAATCCTTCAAGTCGTGGACTGGTCTCTCAGCTCTAGCAGCAGCACGAATAATCAACCTTGAGTCAGTAGTATCAAAGTCCAAGATAGCAGAGTGGCTAACAATACGGTTGTCAAAGATGACAACAGTTCCCGGTTGCCAATTAACTCTAACCTGGAAATCATGACCGTTGTTGACATGATCAAGCAAAAACTTCAACAAAAACTCAGACTCTTCTGTTTTCAAATCAGCAATTCTTCTGGTAAACCCATTATTGACGTACAAGACCTTTTGACCCGATGGAGTGGTGCGGACAATTGGGTGCAAGTTCTCAACAGGATGTCTCTTGACAACACCACCTTTAACGATAGCAAGATTTGCCTGGTCGACAGCACTATGAATAGCGTACAAGTCTTGCAACTTTTCCTGAAACTTAGGTGACAAACGCTTATAAGCCTCAATATTATCAGCAAAAACAGTGTCACCTCCACCCGTTTTGGGGATGTTGGTAACAGCAAGGAAGGACACACCAGTAGGGTTCAATTCATAACTCACATCGGAGTGGAAACCAACAAGTCTGTTTCTAGTCTGGAAAGGATCCTCCTTGGTGTCTCCAGTCAAAACTGAGTGGATGTCAGGGTGTCCTTGTGGGGCTCCTGAAGTTGGGTGAATGTGCAATGGACCATAATGATTGACATACTTGGTCAAAAATTCTGGTCCTCTGTCAATCAAGTCTTGGTCTCTGAAAACCAAGACACCTCTTTGGGAAGCAAGCAAAGCAACCTCATCCTTACCAGCATCATTCAACTGAGACAATTGGACACCCTTGATTTCAGTTCCCAATTTTGGGGAGAGGGTAGTGATTTCAACATCTTTGCCCTTGGGGAACAAGTTTGGCAAATCTTTATCAGCTTTCAAAGCATTGTCATGATGCTCTTGGAACTCATATGGTTCATACTTTTCATTTTTGTTCCATGAAGGCAAGTATGAAATTGATTCAGGAGCTAATTTCTTAGCAGTATCTTCGGAAACAGTGACTTTACCCTTTGGGTCAGTTACTAAGCGGCTATTGTCAACGAAAGCTTTTGGTATATTTGCATAACGTGCTGGCATGGTTAAAATTGAGTTGATTGGACTGATTATAGGGGAACAAAGTAAACTTTTCACTTCAGCTGTAGAGCGGTTTCACTGCTTTTTTTATAATGTTTGACAAAATTGTGGCTGCAAAGGGAATTATTGCAAATTCAATCCACAATTCAGTTTTTGTACCACAAAATCTAAAACAAAACAAAATCAAATAAAGACCTGGAGATAAGACCGAGTCTATTTTTGAAACGGAATTAAACACGTTTTAAGCTTTAATTGCTGGTATGTTCTCGTAATTAACTTGTTAATTCCACGTGCAGCCACATTTATGCAATCATATGATGAATTATCTCCACTTTTCAATCAATTTTAATGTTGTCCTTTGATTGTAAAATTAACAATCATTACGTTTTAATTACTGTAGCCACAGTCTCGATCTTAATCTTGAGGTACGCCACAACACTTGACGATACAAAAGTACACTCAATTGTCCAATCACTGTTAGTTTAAGGACTAACCTGATTGATATCAATTGAGAACCACAATTGGCTTTCGACCTTTTCTTCATTAAACACCTGGTTTCGGAATTAAGTGTGAGTACTTTAGCATCTCACAAAACAGCAGTTACCATTTTCACAGGACAACCCAACACAGCTTTCCTTGAACAAACTCTTTCTTGAATAATTTCTAATTAATAACCTGAGCATTGAAGCTATGTCTAACCTTCTTTAAAGATCATATTGTAAATTTTCTGGATAAATGGATGCAAACTTTTTTACCAGCAGTTAATTACATTTTTTCTACAAGTAGCAAAGCTCACACGTGGCGTGGTAACAACACAAACACAGGGCCATCTTCAAAAGTAGAAAATACGTACAAGTGAGGGTGTCCCTCAAGTGGATCTCTTTGCAAGGAGTGTATCTCGCATTGCATTTCATCTGTGTCGCATTTTTAGCATTTTTACGACACCAACCCTAAACTTGTCCCATAATTTCCGAAGAAATAACTCTGACAACACTTTCAAAACATTGTTAATTAGAAATAACGTTTCGCATTGGTTGTATCAAAAGCTGTTAAATCTAATCATTTATTCAACCTTGTTGCATTGGTATGTTTATAGAAGATCAATCGAGAAAACTTTGTCCTTGTGCTATCTTTTTCGTTATTCTTTTTTCTTTTTTTCATCGTTTCCAGAATTGCATTTACATTGTTACTTGAAACGCGCAAAAGATCGCTTCATCGATTTCGTAAATAAGCTGCTCCGTTGAACTTGCTTCATGGGGATACACCACACTAGACAAAGAATACCACTTTTCTGAACCCCCTACCCCTTTCCACCCCTTTTCCAGCTAATTCAAATGAATACACCCAGCTTCAATGATTCGTTTTTAAAATGGGATGCAGCTCAAGTGTCTACCTATATTAATATGGCTACCACCAAGGACCTGGAGCGACAGTACGGTTCTCTCTTTTTGGACAACAATATAGATGGGTCTCTATTGCCGTTTTTATCCACAGAACACTTGAAAGAATTAGGTATCATTACATTGAAGATACGCCTTTTGATTAAGAAGAGTATCAGCGACCTTATCGTGGACCACTACAGAAAGTACACACCCCAATCGATTTACGATCCCGAATATGCTTTGAATAATATCAATATAGATGGCAGTCAAATATCACTAGAAAGCTTAAAGGTATCTGCGGTTTTGATTCAGGACCTGATACGGAAATTCAATAGGGAAACACGAGGGCAACAAGTTGATCTGCCTCTTTCCCCAACACAGCATGAGATAAAGAGATTGAACGATAACTTTAAAAAGCTAAAGACGGATTTAATACCGGTCATCAGATTGCTAAAAGATTCAAAGCCATTACCTACACCAACGTTAGACCCAGGCCCTGCAGCTACATTGGACTCACCAACCTTTTCCCCACTGCATCTGATTGATGATAAGGGAAAAGCTGAAACAACAAGGACTGATAGCGGACACAATAACGATCCAGACCGGCCTTCAACTGGAGATGCATTTAGTCCAGTGTCAAAGCGGTTCTCATCAGGAAGCTTGTTATCAATGGGCACAGGACAAATAATCTCTCAACTAGTATCCAAAGTCGTTGATGACAAATCCCACGAATTCAAATTGCAAAAAGTAGGGTCACAAAGACACAAACCTGGCTTTCCTGGCAGCAGTGCTCTGAGTAATTTGAGACCAAGACTAGTGGAAAACACTTCGTCTGGATCGACTGTTACTGTTAATACGGACCAACAAAGGGCTCAGTCACAACAAGGGGCGGCGTTGTCTGGACAGTTGAGGTCACCTTTGTCTCAAATGCAAATGTTTCTGGGTCAGCAAATACAACAACAACAGCCACATCAGCCGCCATCGTCTATTCCACAACAACATCAACCAAGGCTCCATGCCGGTAACGAGCCTCTCAAGCAGTTACGGGCGTCTACAGATGACTCCTGCTTGAAAATTTTACAGCACGCAATGAAACGACACCATATTCCACGCGAGGACTGGTCAAAGTATGTGCTTGTGATTTGCTATGGTGATAAAGAAAGGATTCTAAAACTTGCGGAAAAGCCGGTTGTTGTGTATAAGGAGCTACAAGAGTTGGGAAAACATCCCGCAATAATGTTGCGACAACTAGCTGATGTTTCCTCTTCTGAGCCAGAAGATTACGAGGATTCAAGGATAAGCTCAGATATCCCTGGGGGCGTATTATGATATAACGTGTATAGTTGTTAATGAAATCAAAAAAAGAACAATATTTTTATATCTTGGTCACATTTAGTCATGTGACCAACTAGGGCTTCAAAAATAAAGAGAACGACTACAGGAAAAAGAAAAATTGTATGCAGCGCGCGAGGTTGTGGTGAAGGAAACAAAAAAAAAAAATAACTTGGGCAGTGAAAAAAGTTGAAAAGTCTTTTATACCATCTCACCCTAGCATATAACATAGTCAACCATGCCACCAAAATTCGACCCATCTGAAGTTAAATTCCTTTACTTAAGAGCTGTAGGAGGTGAAGTCGGTGCTTCATCAGCCTTGGCCCCAAAGATCGGTCCATTGGGTTTATCACCAAAGAAGGTCGGTGAAGATATCGCCAAGGCCACCAAGGATTTCAAAGGTATTAAAGTTACTGTCCAATTGAGAATCCAAAACAGACAAGCCACCGCATCAGTCGTTCCATCCGCTTCATCATTGGTCATCACAGCTTTGAAAGAGCCAGTCAGAGATAGAAAGAAGGAGAAGAACGTCAAGCACTCTGGTAACATCCCATTGGATGAAATTTACGAAATTGCTAGAAAGATGCAAGACAAGTCATTTGGTAAGAACTTGGCTTCAGTCACCAAGGAAATCTTGGGTACTGCTCAATCCGTCGGATGCCGTGTTGACGGTAAGAACCCACATGATATCATTGACGCTATAAATGCCGGTGAAATCGATGTACCAGCAAACTAAATGGGATTTTGATTGTTAGACGAAAGAGTGTTTTAATAGGGTTTTAATTGATATTTAACGATATTGAGAAACGAAGGGTTGAACGATTTTCCATCGTGAGATCATTTTGTAAAACTATTTTGGGAGATTTTAGAATGATATTTGAAAGATGACAGAGTTTGATTTAGAGACACGATGATGATTATTGCATGTTTGCCAACACTCTGGTGCCAAATCATAGTTATGTTTTAAACATTTCTATGCCATATTTGGTTCCTATTTTGGTGCAAACTAAATTGAAAAAGCTGACTACTCACCATTGTATTCCATTTTCCACTATGGATACAATAGGTCCATTTCACTAGCTGACATCCGCCATCGTTGTCGTCACTGTCGAACTTTGTATCTAATTAATATCCATTCAAAGACAGATCTCGCATACCTCTGAAAAGTAGAATTATCTCTCGTCCTCTTTGCGGTGCTTAATCCAGTGGCAATATATACGCGCAGTTCTTAAAGTGCACCAGGTGTTGAAGAGGTTTTTCCGTTGCGTCTCAGTTTGTTTTTGCATATGACAATACGACCTTTTCGTTGCGGAAGCTTCTTTTGTGCGACCCCACTTAACAAAAAGAATTCAGCACTTTTTCCGTTTCAACAAAAACAAAACTTTGAAGGAGAGATTCACATAAAACTAACCGAAAACGAAGAGGTATTCAAACTCACGACTCTGACCACTGACTGACTGAGCTCACACCCAATAGGAAATTGAAAATGTCCGATAGTGTTGGTATGTACCACATTGTTGAAGAGAAACTCTTAGGCTATTTACAATTTTACTAACACTTTGAATAGATCGCGTGTTCGTCAAAGCAATCTCCACCATTAGAGCTTTATCATCGCGCTCTAATTATGGCTCGTTACCACGTCCACCCGCGGAGAGTCGAATTAAGCTATATGGATTATACAAGCAAGCTACAGAAGGGGATGTTAGAGGGGTAATGCCTCGTCCTGTGGGATTCACTCCGGAAGACGAAGGGGCTAAGAAGAAATGGGATGCGTGGAAACGTGAGGAAGGGTTACCCAAAACAGAGGCAAAGAAACGATATATAGCCTTTTTGATAGAAACTATGAAGGTTTACGCCAGTGGTACCCACGAAGCACGCGAATTGTTGAATGAGTTGGAATACCTTTGGGACCAAATCAAGGATTTGCCAGTATCGGACGATGAAAATGATAATAATCTCCAGTTTCCATCTAATGCACCTCTGTTTAGCCATACAGATCGTCTTTCCAACAGGACACCAAGCATTGGAGGCTATGGGTCAAGAGGTGGCCCTGGTTCAACAGTGGGGCTGAATTTGAATGCCATATACTCGCATTCGAGACAGAACACCATGTCATTAAACGATTACGTGCACCAACAGAGGTTACAAAGTCAACATCCCCAACCATTAACTGGCCACTCGACCCAGCCGCACACCCAATATGAGACAGGTTCACATAAGGCAGGATTTGGCGGCCCAGGATCAATTTACTCAGTGCCTGCGCGAGGAGCTGGCACCAACAATGTTTCTGATGAGTTTAAGAACTGGCAGAGTGAAGTTAATGCCATTATCAACCGACTTACGAGGGAGTTTGTCAATAGTAGAAGGAGAAGCCAGGAAGAGATCCCCGATGAAGCTGAAGAACAAGAACTGTCATTGGACGAGTACGAGATTAAAAAGAGAAAGGTCATTGCTCTTTTGAAGGTTGTTGGACTCAATGCATTAAAATTTCTAAAGAACTTTGCCGTAAGTTTGTTCACCATTTTGTTCATCGTTTGGTGTGTCAAGAAGAACGTTGTGGTGAAGCGAACATTTACCAAGCAAGAAACTGTTAATGGCAAGGCTAAGAAGGAAATGATCATCAATATGGTTTTGAATACCGATGAAAATAGATGGTTCATTAGGTTATTGAATTTTGTCAATAGTTTTGTAGGCTTTGTATAAGGATAAATATTGTGAGACGACCGTAGAGTTTTGCTGGTGCTAAATAAACCTCAATTGTGTGACTCCTGTAGCACAGGTGTAAGGCTTCTCTTGGAGGGAGGTAATTTATATACCTCGCAATCTCCATCCTAATCGTCTTAGCCCTTCTCTTGAAAAGGCTGTGCTGAAGAGTATTTTACCTTAAGAAGTTGGGACGATTTAAATTTACAAGATTAATAGTGGTAAACGGATTCAAAAACTTACTTTCTCAAAGGTTCTCTAGAACCTGCTCGATGCACAAACATTACACATTAGTGTATATATATTGACTTTCAAAATTGAACGAAATTCACACCAGTATCACCTCTAACCAGTAGCCACTCCCCTTTTTGCTTTCAATCATACTAACAACACTGCATTGACACATCCATCTCTGTCCGGCTCATTGGTGATTTGAGCATATTTACCCCAAACAACTTTACCACCAGCAGTGACCAATCCCAATTCAGAGACATTTACTTCTATAATGGTACCTCTAGTTAAAACTCCAAGTTGGGTGTACATGGGTGATTGTGGGTTTTTCTTAACTCCCAAAATCGGTAAAAACACCGTGACCCCCAACTCGGGGTGGGTGACATTAGCTTTCTTTTGTCTTAATGCCGAAGGACGGATAATTCTTTCCATCTTGACTGGTCTTCTCGTGAATCCTTCCCCAACAAAGGTATGTTTTGTAATCATTCTCTTCCAACTCTTACTCTTCTTCTTACCTGTTTTGATCACTTTGAACATTTCTTCTTCAGAGATACCTCTGACTTTTGGTAACGGAACTGAAAACTTGTCAGCCTTCTCTAATCTCTTTTGCTTTATACTCGATGATAACGCTTTAGCTGTGTTGTTGGTTTGACGATCCAAAAGATATGTAGGCAAAGCTTCACCTTCATCCTCTTTAGGTGTTGATGGTCCCTTAACCTTACTTTCTTGATGGGCCTTGATCTTCTTTTTCATTGAGACCTTTTCACTGTATCTCTTCTTGGCGAATTGCTTAGCTCTCCAACCCTTCAAGTTTTGAGCATCTTTAGCTACTCTGTGGCCCTCTCTTGCTTTCTTCTTTCTCTGCCTTTCTTCATGGTCGAATCTTCTACCATGTTGTTTAATGTGTTGCTCAATATATTCGTTTTGAGGCATCTTTGTTGATAGGTTAAAGTAATGATAGAGCTAATGAGAGATGCCTTCTCTTTTTTTTTTTTCTTCTTGTTGCATCTCTTTTTTGATAAGCAGAAGAGGAGAAAAAAAAGAAAAAGAAGTATCTCTTCACTACTACACTCACAACACATCATGCCAGATATCGATAACATACTTCAGTCGATTATCACTGCTACAAAGGCAGCTAATACTGCAGTTGAGGAATTTGCTTCAAGCAATGCCAAATCTGACCCACCCACGTTCATAGAGAACCTACTAGATAAGTCAGGACTGGCTGAAGCTGAGGGCATCTCTTTACTCTCGTTGAAAAATCAGTCATTGGCATCTTATATAAACAACTTGGCCTTGATTGTTCTAGGACAGATAGAGAGACTAGACAGTGACAAAAATGAAACCATTAAACAGGGAGCTGTTGAGCGATCGATTGTGCAAAGGGTCACTTTAGAAAAAGGTGTGAAGCCATTGGAGAAGAAAATCAACTACCAGATTGAAAATCTTTTGAAAGCATTTAGCAAGGCTGAGAGTCAAGATTTGCAGAACAGGAAAGAGGAGGAAGATCAAATTAATGACGACAGTGAGGCAGAAGAAGAGGAGGATGTTGATTCAGAAGATGATGAAATGGCATTTAGACCAGATGCTGCAGCTTTGGCTAAATTAGCTCCCCAAGCGAACAAGACGTCTTCGTCCGAAAAGTATAGACCACCAAAAATATCTGCCGTGGCACCTCCAACTAGCAAGGAAACAACTGCCAAGACTCCAACACAGAAACTCCAGAGTATGGAAGAGTATTTGCAAGAACAAAGTGATCTCCCTACAGCTGAAGCAAGTATCGGTTCTACTATCGTTAGTCACGGTCGTGGTGGTGTCAAGACGCAACATGATAGAAAGAAAGAAAAGGAGATTCAAACTTACGAAGAAGCTAATTTCACTAGATTGCCCACAGCCCAAACTAAAAAGAGTTTCAAACAGAAGCAGAGGGATATGGTCAACCAGTTTGCAGGTGAAGATTGGAGTATCTTTAATAAGGACAAGAACTTGGAATCGGGCACATCGAGAAAAAGAAAACCAACAACCTCTTGGGATAGAGCTAAGAAGAAACGTACATAGTAATGAACATAAAGTTATAATTGTTTTAGATGATGAAAGTGGTGTTCGTGTATAATTGGTAGACGATTAGCATGCTTTTGGCTCCACGTGGAAATACGAAAGCAGCGAGTAACCACTATACATAGTATAGTTATTTAACTCGTTATTGTGTCTAATTGTATAAATACAGATGTAGTTTTCTTCAAATGGATTAATATGTCCAATGCCTTCAGTTATATCCGGTAACCGGACATCATTTAAGCGCAAAAATCAAAGAAAGTACAAATTCATGGTCATTTTGGGGGACGTGAAACGCCTTTATACAAAACCCATCTTGCTTGGATGTAATAAAGCAAGATATTAGAAGGAGGCAAAAATGTCAAACTCGTTGCTAATTACTGCTTTGACAGATGAAAATAGTTTAAGCTGAGGCGCATTAATTACATTATAGAACGGCGATTTTTGTGGAAACTCATCGGGCGATGCCAATATTGTTGTTCTAGAAGAGTGGGAGATGCTTTCAGTTAACCTATCCTTGAATGATTATAATGATGATACAGTTGGATGTCTTGTTAGGGTCTATCTTGCAACAAGGTGGTATTAGTTGACGTTCAATTGCATTCACTGTCTTATTACACAAAAGAGGCAGTCGTATTCTCTCCGTAAAATTTGCCCAAAAGAAAAAAAAAAAGAAAAGCTAAAGAGTTCATTCAATAAATAATACGGACACAGAATTGGGTTGAACAAAAGGAGAAATCATCCAATATTCTCCCATCAAATTACAGAGCTGTCTTCGACTACTGCTTTGTGTCTTATTTGAAAGGAGTTGCCTACATTGTTGGAAGAGTTTTCGTGGAGTTATATGGCGTGATGTCACCAAATACCATATGTGCAAGTGCTTGAAAATTTACAGTGGTTAAAGGTTCAAATAGAGATATGTTTAAGTCATGAGAAAGCTAAACCGAGCTATTGAGGGAGGTACTATACCAGATGGGTCCACAAGGTGAAGGTAACAAGCTATGCGAGCTTTTGCCTTCTAGTTGGTGACGAATGAATAGCGAGTCAACTCGAAAGACCGCCTACAATATTGTTGATTTAATAGCTTCTAGCATCCTAAAATAAGGCTCTCATTTTGTGCTTACTCCATAATGAACTGCTAGCAATGGTTATGAACCAATATTTGTTGAATTTTGCAACTAGTTGTTGGGGAACCTTCACACAACACTTGTCAACCAATTAAGCACAATTGCCGTAACAGAATATGCGCTAGACCGGAAAAAGAACGCCTCCTTCGAAAGATTCATATCATTTAGAACATCGTTTTCCCCAGAAATGACTATAAAAGAGGGTTGATATTTCCCTCGTTTCGATAATTCAGCATGTTCTTCAATTAATCAACACCATTATCAAAACTATGAGATACTCAACCGTGATTTTAACTTTAGTTGCCTCATCTGTAATTAATGCTGCTCCATTAGCGGTTAGAGACGATGCAACACCGAGCCATGACCAAACCAGTTTTGCTGGTACACCAACCACTGCTGAACCTGAACTTCCAACCACTGTTGCTTCTGATTCCACTGTTGCTTCAGGCTCTGCTGTTGATGCTGTTACAAGCTTTGAAAGTACAACCAGTGCAACTTCATTGATCACTGATGCACCAACTGAAGACGATGATCCACGTACCAACGACCCCAACTTCTGGAGCTCAATGTGGGGCGGTTATGCCATAGACGACGATGGTAATACCTTGTCTGCAAAGACTACATTTGATCCTTATGATGGTACCTGGTCTTATCACCGTAGATTTTATATCACTCGTAGTCCATTGGGTGTGGTGGGTAAGATGATGTTTCTTGCTGCTACCAAAAAGGACGATGGAAGTGAGGAAGATGAATATGTTGAAGCTGTTCCTACTTATTCGGCTTGATTATGTAATGCTAGGTTTAATATTGTATAGTTAATACCATAGCGACTTATAGCATTCTTAGTTACACGTCTGCCAACAGTTACGCTTTGCACCCAATGACTCCTCTTTTGGAAGTAGCTATAAGCGACTTCTTGGCAAAAGCGATACAAAAATAAGAGACGAAGCTGCGCATACGTGCACACATACACTCGCATCGTAGTGCTCTCTCAAAGGTGAAGAGAATCACAGTTTCTACATGACTACTTGTTTCAATACATAAGATGATTCCTTCATTTTCGATTAATACATACAACGTCACCACCATATCTATAAAACTTCTACCATGTTATTTAGTAAAAGTAGGGGGCTTTGTGACGCAAAATTATTGTCCTTTTTCAATTGTAGTTATTTATTGGTTGGCTTTGGAAAAGTACTCCTTTGAGTCATTTGGGGTAGCCTTGATGGTGTCGGCACCTGGTTGCCAGTTAGCTGGGCAGACTTCACCGTATTTTTCGGTAAATTGGAAGGCATCCAATAATCTCAATGATTCGTCAACTGATCTACCAACTGGCAAATCATTGATGGTGATTTGTCTCAAGTTACCTCTTGGATCAATCAAAAAGATACCTCTCAATGCAACACCATCATCTTCAAGCAAAACACCGTAATCTCTAGACAAGGAGTGGTTGGTGTCAGCAATCAATGGAATGTTCAATTTACCCAAACCACCGTCCTTTCTGTCAGCGTTGGTCCATGACAACAAGGTGTATTCGGAATCGGTTGAAGCAAACAAAACTTCAGCATCCTTTTCAGCAAACTTCTTGAAAGCGTCAGAGTAAGCAATGATTTCAGTTGGGCAGACAAAGGTCCAAGCCAATGGGAAGAAAGCCAAAATGACCCATTTACCCTTGTATTGTTCCAATGAAACTTCTTCGAAGACACCATCAACGACAGCGGTTTTGGTGAAACCTGGAGCTGGTTTTTGAATTTGTGGAGCCATTGTTGTTGTTGTTGTGGGAGATGTGGTGGAAAATTGAAATAAAATTTGGTTGAGAAGATTACAAAAAGAAAAGAAGAGTATGAATTCTAGAGAGAGAAATTGGGAATGAGATGTGCCATATATATATATACACACGTACCCTTTCAGTTATCTTTCGAAAATTCAAGGAAATGTCGTGTACACGTTACTTTTCCTTCCAATTCCGAGAAATAATTTTGTAGAAACACAAAATAGACGTGCATAAAAAATGTCGTTCGTTACGGTCTTACATAATTTTGCATATGAATTTTAACGCATTACAGTTGATGAGAGCTTAGTATCCCCAAATAGGAGGTTAGAAAGTATCAGACCACCTGGTAGTAGTGGCAGCAGTAGCAATAGCAGTAGCAATAGCAACAACAACAGCAAACATTTATTCAATTGAGTTGTAGTTATGCTTTTTTGCTGTAACCAGTGGTGTAGATACCCGAATTCGGTAGCCAATAATAGTATCACAAGCTTATACAATGAGATTGTGTGGTGTTTTATACGAGCTGTGGCGCCCAGCACACGCACCCTCTTCCCCCTCCCCTGCAGAAATAGATATAATGATAGTTGTTATTTTTGGGTGGTGACGTTCTTTCGATTTTTTTTGCAGTTGACTATTTATGTATTTCTAAATTGATTAGTGAGCATCAGAACGATTCCAGACTAAAGAAAAAAAAAGACTGTTCTGTAGTAGAGTCTTAACTATTAATGTCTGTTATTAATATTGTCTTACCGAGGACCAAAAAAAAAATGAATGAGTACAAAATTAAACAAGGAGATGATGAGGTTATTACGCGTCTCAATTAGCTAAGAAAATGTCGTAACACAAACAAAAACGGTTTTAATAGAATGTGTGAAAAATGTCTTCCCGTTTTCTGTGGCTGATTTGGTTTTTCTATTTTTTTAAAACCTCTGCTCGTTAATTAAATGTCGTTTATTTTCCTATTGTTAGAAAGTGGTAACTATTTTATCTCCTTTTGCGACGACGGGAATATCAGAAAAAAAAAGAAAAACTTTACAAACTTCAAACGTTTGATATGACTTCATGTTTAATTAATGGCAAAGGTAAAGTAAAGTAAAGTAAAGTAAAGTAAAGTAAAGTAAAGTGAAGATAGTATGTATTCGGAGCATTACGGTTGTAATTAAACTTAAACTATCATTTGTTCAATAGTTTAAAGTATATACTTTCATACTTTTCTTCAATGCTTTTAAAGTTTATTGACATTCAAATATTTTTAGGGTGCAGAAAATCTGATCATTACTCAAAATGCGCTTTTTCCTTTTCTAGAATATTCCAAGACCCAGAAATAACGCGACACGACACAAATGGAAAGACATAGATACCCAATTTGCCACGTATGTAGATACATTGTGAAGTGGATCTACATGCTCCTTATGGACTTGCAACGTTTTACTGTGGCTCAAGAGAAAAAGAAAAAAATGGTAGCAGTCACTCATATGTTTTATACTCTCTCACCTGTAGGCCAATAGCTTTGCCTGCTGAAATAAGTCCAGACACCAAGGATTTTTCCATTCGAATCATTGACGACAGTCATAGAACCAAGATATGAAAGAACTTAGCTCTACTAAATCTTAGTCAAAGCTCTGCTTCGTCGTTGGTTTTCTCTCTCAAATCGTTTGGTGTTGAATGAAAGAAAAATAGAAAAAACAAAAAAGAAGCCCGACTTGACAAGGCAATACCCCAGTAATGACCGCAAACGATATTTACTTTTTCAAGTATTTAGTCAACAATCAAGTATTCTTCAGGACCAAGTTCACCTACGCTTTAGTAAACTTAAAGCCATTGGTACCAGGCCATGTTTTGGTCGTCCCACTTCGCAATACAGTGCTACGTTTTGGCGATCTCACACCTGATGAGTCGACCGACTACATGAATACATTGCAATTGATACAAAAGTTCATTATCAAAACTTACAAAGCAGATGCTCTTAACATAGCCATCCAAGATGGTCCAGAGGCTGGCCAGCTGGTGCCACATCTTCACACGCACATCATTCCACGTTACAAGACCGATGGTTTTGGCGATTCCATATACAGTAAATTAGATCAAAAGGATTTGGAGGCAGAGTATAAACAGTTTGAAGCCCGCAAGAACCAGTATCGCAATCATTTAAAAGTTGAGAAAAGTGAATTGAGTCAGAATGATGTTGATAGAAAGGAGCGTACTCCAGCAGTTATGGAGGAAGAAGCTACCTGGTTGAACAACGAGATACAAAAATTTGTACTGCGCACTTAAAAATATAGATATTCTTAATAGACGAACTCAATAGTAGAATCAATAAATGGAGGCACTAGACGAGATACAATGGAAATCACCTGAATTCATTCAGGAGAGAGGATTAAACACAGCAAATGTCTTGGAGTACTTTGCTCTCTCTCCCTTTTATGACCGTACGTCAAACAATCAAGTGTTGATGATGCAGTTTCAATATCAACAAATTCAAATCCCAGTACACGTATCATTCCACCAGTATTTTCAATCACGGTTGTCGGAAATGACAGGAATCGAGTTTGTCATAGCTTTTGTCAAGGAGCCCGACTTTTGGATTATACGCAAACAGAAACGATTAAATCAACTGAGTGCAATTACGCTACAGGACTATTACATCATTGGTGCAAACATATACCAAGCACCAAAGGTGTACGACGTGTTGTCATCAAGATTACTTGCAACTGTCTTGTCGTTGAAGCTGTCAATAGATACATTAAACAACATGACAAGTTATCATATTTCCGATGGCGCTCATTCATTCAATAACTCGATCCATGGCAACGCCAAGAATACAAGTGTCAACACACCAGGTCAAGCGAATGCAGATCCTACCCCAATCAGTAACTTAGAGACTCCGATAGCGATGACGGATAGTCCCGCAATTGATGCCCCCACTAGCAGCATAATATCAACCCCAACTCAATCAACCTCTACAATACCAACTTCAGCATTTGATACGCTATTAACAGAAGTAATCAACAATTCTACAAATAAAAATTATTTAGAAGACATTCCATTATACGGAAAGGGAAGTACTTTAGAATCACTAGGTATGAAATCTAATCTTACATAGAAACTATCATCTAAAGTTCATCTTTTTGTACACCTTCCTTTTGAGTCTCTGCATCATCATCTCCTTCAATTTCTCCCGCTTTAACAATCTTGATTTCCTTGGCAGGACGATCACCACGGGCAGTCTTGACATTCTCAATGTAATCAACAACATCCTTTCCGTCAATAACCTCACCAAAAACGACATGTTTACCATTCAACCAACTTGTCACTGCAGTAGTAATGAAAAATTGTGATCCATTGGTGTTCTTACCAGCATTGGCCATACTCAACCTATACTTACGATCATGCTTCAATTCAAAGTTTTCATCCTCAAATTTATTACCATAGATTGACTTACCACCGTATCCTTGGCCAGTCTCGTAATCACCACCTTGGATCATAAAGTTCTTGATCACACGATGGAAAATAGATCCAGTATATTGTTGTTTAGGGTCGGTTGAAATGGCAATAGTTTTGAAGTTTTCTACTGTTTTAGGTACAACAGTTCCAAATAACCCAATGGTGATACGTCCAATTGATTTGCCATCTTCTTCAACGTCGAAAAAGACTTTGTTGGTGATGGGTGGATTTTCTGGTAAATCTTTAGCGGCAGTGGCTTGACCGAAAAAGTAAAATAAAACGGATGCAAATAAAGCAAGTGCTGTTAAGAATTTCATCATAAGGGTGTTGCAATGTACTGGATGTCGTCAATTGAGAATGTTTGCCAGCAGTAAACTTGAAATTTTTCGGGAGAAGTTGAAATCCTCTTTTTTTGATTATTATTTTTTTCAGTGTGCGCGAGACCAACGCCACACTGCTTCTCCACATAACTACGGATTACACACCCTATTGTAATACATATAATGTTTCTATTAAAATACACAGAAGAAGTCTATGTTAACTAAACGCAACGAAATAACCGAAAGAAAACGCTTTTTAACTATTGTACATAGCAAAAGTGGAATTTTTCAACTTTACTGGAAAATGAAAATCAATGTCAAAATAGACAAGATCCACTTGGGGCTGATCTTTGATCCCGACCCTTCGTAGATGTTTATAGGTGTCATTGATGTTTCTGAAGAAGAAGTCGACGTAGAAGAAGATTGTTGTTGTTGCTGTGATAATGTCCACCATGTATTTGTAGGAGTAGTTGTGGTGGTAGCTGATGATGGGGAGAAACTGTCAACAGATGATGGGTTACTTAATGGCTGAACTGTATTTTGTGAACTTGAAGGTTCAACTGGCAATGGTTCACTGGATCCTATTGAACTAGGCAAAGATGTCGTTGGTGATGCAACAGGTTGGTTGGATTCATTGCCTTGATTTGTGTTTCCAGGTACTAACGACTGAGTATTGGCAGCTACACCACTGGAAGAAGGAACTTCGATGGTTGCAGGGGTTGCAGATCCCAAGGATGGTTGTGCTGGGGATGGTTGTACACTCTTTGTCTCTCCAACGACCTGCGACTGGGAAGGACTAATTGCATCAACGGAAGGAGTAGAACCAGTAGGTTCTAATGTCGCTGATGCTTCAGGACGTTCCAAAGACGTCTTTTGTGATGGCAAAGATGGTTCAATTGTTTGGGACTGTTCAGGTGAACTTTTAGATTGGACAGAAGTGGGTTGTGCAGCATCCAGATTTGATGTTGCCTTTGATTCATTTTGTTGAGATTGGCTACTTGATTCGTTCTCACTCTGAGTACTGCTGAAATCAGGATCAATGGCATTAGTATCGGATGCAGATTGTGTTATTGTTTGGGAGTCAATGACAGGGGTTGTGTTGGAACTAGACAACTCAGTAACTTGATTCGAATCAGATGACGATACAGATCTTGTAAGCGAGCTAGTGTCAACGTTTGAATCAATACCAGAGTCGCTACTGGCAGGATCAGTTGGGGCAGTATGAGAGCTCTGATCGGTTGATATAGGGCCTATGTCAGATGAGCTTGTGATTGTATTTATCGGTTCGCCTGATGTAATTGAAGCATATGATGATTCATCAACTGTAGTACTGTCTGCCGGTAAAGGTGAGCTTTGTGGTGCAGGGTTGGAAGATGAAGCAGTATTCGTGTCTATACTTGTATTTCCATACGATGCATAAGTTGATCTCTGACTTGAAGCTAAATTGGATTCGACGGATGACAATTGCAAGGTTGGGAATGATGAACTGGAACTTTCAATATTCACATCTGAGCTTGAATCGGGAGCCAATAATCCTGTTTTACTTGATGATGACTCCGATGAACCTGTTTCACTTGACGACGAATACAATGCACTTGTTTCACTTGATGAAGAATATACTGAACTTGTCTCACTTGAAGATGGTTGCCATGAACTGGTTTCACTTGACGATTGGTCCCATGAGCTTGGGCTTGTTTCACCTGTCGATGGCTCTAATGTGTTTGTTTCACTAGACCATGGATCAAATGAATTTGCACTTGTTTTGTTTGTTGATGAATACACTGAGCTTGAACTTGTTTCACTTGAAGATGACTCTGATGAACTTGTTTCACTTGAAGATGACTCTGATGAACTTGTTTCACTTGAAGATGGAACCAGTGATGAAATGCCATTTGCTTCACTGCTGGAAATGTCAGACAGAACGTCTGCTGTACCTGATTCTGAATCCACCGAAGTCATATAGCTCATTGAATCAGTAGGCGATGTCATATCTGAGAACGAATTGCTTGGTCCAGCTGAAGATATATCAGGACCTGATGGCTCAATATCGGCAGAAGTCTGGCTCGAAGAATAATCGGTAGGTACAGAAGCAGTTTCCAGCGAGCTCATACTTGTTGAGGAAATTGAAGGGTACAGCACAAAGAATGAGCTTGAGCTTGAAAACGGAGCTTCGACTATTACTGTATCAGTTTCTCCTGGTTTATTATAGCTTGTTAGCGTTGTAGTATAACTTTCTGACCAAGTTTCAGTAATAGTTGTCGTAGGATTATTCGGGTCGAGTATAACAACATAGTCTGTTTGCCCAGGGCTGTTAGTAACCGTTGAGGTAGTCACATATGACACAGACCAGAACTTAGTGGTAGTTATTGTAGGATTAGCTGGGTCCAAGACGTGCACAATATCGGTACTGCCAGGTCCAAATGTTTCAGTTGACGACGTAGCCTCAAGGCCAGTCCAGAAATCGGTGGTGGTGACAGTAGGATTAGCTGGGTCCAAGACGTGCACGATGTCAGTACTGCCAGGTCCAAATGTCTGTGTTGATGTAGTGGCATTCTCCCCGGTCCAGAACTCGGTGGTGGTGACAGTTGGATTGAAAGGATCCAAGACGTGAACAATATCGGTACTGCCAGGTTCATTTGTTTCTGTTGTTGTCGTCACGGCATCTCCGGTCCAAAATGTAGTAATAACAACTGTTGGATTGGCTGTATCAAATATTTCGATAGTATCAGTTCCACCTGGCGCCTTGGTTTGAGTTGTTGTTGATGCAAAACTTCCCGTCCAAAACTTGGTAGTGGTGACTGTAGGATTTGCTGTATCAAACACGTGAACAATATCAGTTCCACCCGGTGAATGAGTTTCAGTTGAAGTTGTAATTTCGTTACCAGTCCAAAATTCGGTGGTAGTTTCAGTCGGATTTGAAGGGTAAAGGACTTCAATCAGATCAGTGCCTCCTGGCAGGTTGAATACTCTTGTGATTGTTGTTTGGCTTCCTGTCCAAAACAATGTAGTTGTAACCGTAGGATTTGGTGGGTCCAAAACATGAACTACGTCGGTTCCACCTGGTCCCTGAGTATCAGTCGATGTGGAAATAAATTGGCCAGTCCAAAATTCTGTCACTGTTGTGGTTGGATTGGACGGGTACTCAACAACGACTGAGTCGGTGCCACCAGGTTGGTTCTTGGCAGTGCTGGTGGTCAACGATGCACCTGTCCAGAAAGTGGTAGTGGTGATAGTTGGATTCTTGGGAACATTGACAATAACTGTATCTACAGCACTTGTAGGGTTGGTAATGGTAGATGTGGTAGTTTTAGTGCCGGTCCAAAATGAGGTCAAGGTTGTAGTTGAGTGGTATGGATTATCAACAATGACAGTGGCAGTGCCTCCAATAGAATTGGTGATTGTAACCAATGATGTGGAAAGTCCATAATGGGATGTTGTTACTGTAGTGGTTGGAATTGGTTGAATAACCTCAATGGTTTTGGTCTTGTCGACACCGGAAGAAAATGGCAACGTTGTAACTCCTGTAGTAGATCCACTTATGGTTGATGTCGTAAGTACAACAACAACACCATCGGCTCCAGCTGCACTGTTCTGATAAGTTCCCCAAGAAACAGAGTTCTGTCCAAAATCGAGACTAGATGAACTTCCCACACATTGTATCTCGTTAATGTATGTAACTGCCACTGCTTGACCGTTTGGAACTCTAAATAATGTGTCTATAAATGGTCTATAGCCGGCTGGAACATTTTTAAAAGTGACAAGCACTTGCGAGCTCAGACACAGACTTGTTACTGAATAATCCGAAGAAAAACTTTTTGGAAACCCCCACTCATTGAGGTTGTTTGAGTAGCCTACGTGCCAGTTGGAACAATCAAACAGGGCACCATTTGCTGTTGCAAGTCCAATTGTTCCTGAAGTATATCCATTAGGACAATTTGCCCCAAGAAGATAATGTTGACCTTCATTCAATGAAGGAACCGTTCTAAAAGCAGGAGCTATGTCAGCAGTTACTCGGTAATCAGGTTTTCCAAAATTGACTGTTTTGGAAATTGAGTTTGGCCCATCGGTAAAAGTGACTGTGTTTTGACCCACTTTGAAACACTGAGCGTCTGCTACGTCAACACTTCCTCCAGAACCACCAATGTTGAACGTTAATGGAAGCGACAATGTTCCTGTAGCTTGTATGTTAGACTGCAAAGCCGCATTCACAGTACAAGTTAATGTTGAAAAGGTAACAATAATTTCCCCGGGATTCAATTGACATGTAGCGTATGAAACTCCGTTGGCAATCAAATCAACAGAAGTTTGCGTAGTGATGAATTTGAAAACACACGGCATTTTTAACGTAAAAGTATCACCAGGGTTTACTTTAGTACCATCTAGCGACCAGCCCAAAACGGCCGTCCATGTAGGGTTGTTTGGCGAGGGGTTGACGTAACCCGCACCTCCTGGGGCCCATGTAAGTGAATTAAAACTGTTGAAGATCCCAGATACTTGCGCAGCTGTCGCGAACCCAATTGTATATAGCAATATCAATAATTGAGCCCAAATATGCTTTCGTAACATGCTGATCTTTAGTAGTAATATTAGTGTTTTGGGTTTTCCAGGTGCTCTTTGGTACCAAAAGTTTAAAGTGGAAGGAAGGTCCATTATATACCAAAGGACATTTAGTGACTATTGCTGAATTGAGCTGTATGCATGACTTCCAATATGTCAGCTACTGAAATTCCCTAATTGTGGTCAATCAGATGCTTGGCCTACCATCTGAATTGCCTCAGTTACAGTTTTGTGTGGTTTAAGACGGGGATAGATGGGGGTTGTAGTATGGGTGTATGGAAATGCATATCGGGTTAACTTTAATATCATTGTGTATTTAGCATTTTAAATTAATAGGTGTGTCAAGGCATTCTGTAATTTCGTAAAGATGACTGCTGATCATTTGGATGACATTTTTCGATGGCTTTTGTCCCTTTTGTTTCTTCCATTTTGATTTCTTTTTTTTGTCTTTTCTACTTTTGTATTTTTATTTTTTTATTTTTTATGTTGTTTCCACAAATCCTTTACGCCTTGTAGTTTTTGTGTTGTACTTTGGCCGATGTAAGAAAATCACCTTTTGCAGGAAAGAGAAGCAAACAATACATAACCTATGCATATGTGAGCCATGGCTAGAGTTTTACGAATGCCGCTCCTTGGAGTATGTAAAAGTGTAGTAGAAGCAGAAGAGAAGAGAAGAACAGCAACTTTACTTGCAGCTTTGATGTTCCATTTTGGTAGCTGCTCTCGATTTAGAAACATTGTCGGATGCTATTCCTTGAGAAAGCGATTATAGCATATTTACGTATGGAAAGCTCCTCTGTTGACTGTGATTTATCGCAATTGAGTTAAAAGCCATTCCAGATGTTAGAAAACAGAACATTGTTGCGCCACGAACTGTTAATGGTTGACTTCATTACCGTAGAACTTTTAAACCTCAACGATAAAATATTCAGTCTCTTTCAAAGAAAATGTATCCATGACTGAATTCCGAGAGGTAAGAGTTATGCAATGAGAGAGACAGTTGGCTAATAAGGGAAGCTTCCTATGGTAGGTGCAAGCGATGAAATATTTAAAGAATAGAGGTCATTTGTATAATCGGGGATAAACTTGAAATATAACCATTCGCTGTAAGATAACCGTGCCGAGATAGTACTCCTTTTTAATGAAATTCTTGATTGTTCAAAAGGGTATTAAAACCATGTTGCAGCTTCATTGTAGAGGTACTAAAACAAACCCACCAGGGTACTCCTATTTATACAAAAATTGAAGATTTGAGAACACAACTACTGCTGTTTTTCAAGCTAGGTACTTGGCCACCATTTGGCTTTGAATAAGATGGAGGGATCAATTGATATAACTAAATCAATACCAGATGAGCTTATAGTGTTAATACCAAAGCGTAGGAGCAACAATGGTGCTCATCGAATTTAAAGCAACAAAATGGTTAGTGCATACCTGTAAAGGAGCTCTTGACAACCACAATTAATTTCATCTCTGATTCGTCAACATCATTTTAAAATTTCAACTTATTTTAAGATACATTGGTATCATAACCAAATGTACACAAATTTTACCTTCCATGATAAATTTTTTTTGTGTCTCTTAAAGGCTCCTCACTGATTTTGTTAATTATCGATCGACCCATAAAGCAAACCAACCAAGCAGACAAAGAATAAGCAGAGAATGCATTGAACCATATGGATTTCCTTACACGGTAATTGCGGGATATATTCAATTATCCCAAAATCATTTTAGCAAAGTTGGTGTATGAGGAGCTAAAAATGAACCCACTTTCAAAGGAAAACAATTGAGTCAGGACTATTGCTTTGCCTTTTGAATGCGTTGTTCAAAAAAGGACAAAACTACCTGATATAAATATAGGTAATGTATGACTAAGGGTAGATGCCGTAGCTGTTTGTTGTTCTACTATTTCCGTCTTCTCTCCAGATTATGAGGCAGGGTTATGCATATTGCCTATGAAAAATTATTCCGAAGATAAATACTAGTCTATAACATTAAGCAACCTTTACAATTCAACAAACGGCATCAAGGACCAGTTTTAAAGTAACCCGCAAGGAGTAAAAGATTTGAAATTAAGGTTTATCTTAGTTTAGCCTTTTTTTCTTGTACAACCCTTCATATTTGATATATCCATATTTCCGGTTCAGGCGTCAAGTTGAAATTTGAAAAATGGAAAAAATAAACCTTCAATTCGCTCTCTCTTTCTATTTTTTGCTCTTTCAACCACTAAAGAGTTGTGTGCTTTTGGACTCTTTGTACATATGTTTTACTTTTGTGTGTGGCCGTGAGTAGAGACTGAGTTGTATGTATGAATAGAGTAACGGCATCAAGAACAAAGTTAAACTGGAAAAAAATAGTAAATTGAAAAAAAAAAACCTTCTTGTCTTTTCTCTTTTCTTTTATTTTTTTCTTGGCAGCAATTCCCTTTCGAATCTCCCTTCTATTTCACACAAAATCAATCTTTTATTAAAAGCAAATTTCTTCTGTTGTTATATTTTTGCTCTTCGGTTGAAATAGCTCATCCATTTTTTTTTTTGGTTTTGTTCTAGGTTTTTTTTTTCCTTCGAAAATTTCATTTGCCTTGACGGAGAGAGAGTATCATCAATTTTATTTTCAAAATGACAATGGTAAAGACACGCCTTGGTTTTTGATTTACGAGCATCACGTACATTAAACAACCTTTTTTCATAATTTCCAACTGCTTTGACTACTACTCTTTTTTGCAGTTTTAGCCATTGCTTACACGTTTATCTTCGTAAAAAAGAAATAAAGCCACTCTTGCCTTTTCACTATTTTCTAGACTGTCTTTAGTTTAGTTTATGCGCCTCGTTCGGTTAGAGGCGACGTTCGCCGTGATTGGTTTTGTAACTTAAAATAGAAAAGTAGAAAACAATTGGTTTTGTGTTTGCAAAGAAAGATTTTTATATTTTCTAATATGCCAAGTATCAACAACAAATGTTCAATAAAGGTTCTACATACGATTTATGCTTAGCTTTTACTCACCAGAATACACTTTAAAAATTGGAGCACTTAAATGCTCCATGAGTGCTCCATGCTGAATTATTAATAGATTTTGAACTACAATCCAAAAGCTACAAAAAACCAAGAATAAAATAGACTTGCTATGGTGGAGTTAGAACCTTCTATCGCTTCAAAAAAGTGCAGGACACCTAAAAGCCTGCATCTTATTGTACTCAGTTCAGAGTATTAGTCAAACAAATTTCGGTTGTGTGCAAAATTAACAAACATTATTCATTTCTTCCAGGTTTAGAACAGACTAAAAATACAAATCAGGCCATTTTATCGTAATTTTCTAATGCAAATTAACTCATTTAAAATGTATAGAAACCTCATAATTCTCACCAGGAATTGTATTGGGGAAGTGGAAAAAAGCAAACTTAAAATTTAGCAGTGGTGCAGATTTTTTGGTCTAAATTTCTCTTTTTTTTTGGGGTAGTAACGAAAGCGGTTAAGACATGCAATGTGTACTAATGATCATCTCGTGAAGGGATATGAAGTCTCTACCAAACGTAATTCAGCCCACAATTTGAAAGAAAAGTGCCTACAACTCAATGTTAGATGTTTTATTCTTGAGAATTTTCTTGTGGGGCAAAATAGTTTCTTTCCAAGAGTTGTGATGAGAATTTCACTTGAAAATTTACAAATCCTTACTGTTACTTGGATAAAGAGTCTTGTTACAATAGTGAGGTTTTGTTTATGCTTGGCCAGTAATACGAAACTGAGGAAAAGATTGAAGATTTCAAGCAGAAAGTGCTAAGTCACGCAATTAATTTTGTCTATAGCTCTTGACCTGTAGAGGGACTCTACCAAACTAACTTCATCTCTCGTTATCTAAAGACGTCTGTATCTAATCCCTCTTACCACTGAAAATATACTTTGAAACGAACTATTGGAAACATATATTACTAATAGTAAACTAAACCGAAAATGATACAACTAGATAAGTGAATACACAAATATATAGAAATAAAACTATCAACCGAAATTGTAATAATTTAAAAATACCGAATAATTGAGAATCTCCCAGTGTCACCTTAGAGCGACAGAAGAATATTTTAACAGACTTGTAAGTGACTCTATCTTTGAGGATGAATCTAAATTAAAATTGAAGCGATGATGAAAAAACCAGCCAAAAATGTGGAGACTTTTTGTGTTGATCCAATTCCTTCGTAGCTTGATATTGCAGGTGTGATGGAAGTTGAAGATTGACTTAATGTCTCTATTGTTTGGACAGCGCTTGATCCTGCACCTTCTCCTGAACCTGATCCGTTACCTGAACCTGATCCACTGCCTGAACCTGATCCACTGCCTGAACCTGATCCGTTACCTGAACCTGATCCACTGCCTGAACCTGATCCACTGCCTGAACCTAATCCGTTACCTGAACCTGATCCACTGCCTGAACCTGATCCACTGCCTGAACCTGATCCGTTACCTGATCCATTACCGCCGTTTCCACCATTACCACCATTACCATTTCCACCATTACCACCATTTCCAGGAGGTGAAGTTGAACTACTTGTCGGTTGAGTCTCTGTTGTATCTGAAACATAGATATTTGTAGTTGTAGCTGAAGTCGTGTCTGTATTTGTTGGTGTTGTGTTTGAAGTTCCTGGTCCCCCATTACCATTACCTCCAGTGGTTGTCGTAGATTGTGGGGGAGTTCCGGGTGTTGTTGTTGTACTCTCAGTTGGTGGCACTGTATTTCCAGTGTCAGAGTTTGTTGTTTGCAAATCAGAAGGAATAGTTGTCGATTCTGAACCTGTTGGATTAGAAGATGAATGGGAAGGACCAGTACTATTCTGATATGGTGGTACTGACAATGAAGATGAAAGGTCAGTGGATGATTCTTGAGTCGGAGAGAATGAACTCGTATCTGATGTACTTGATGGCGGTTCCGAACTTGTATCTGATGTACTGGAAGGTGGCTCTGAGCTAGTGTCTGATGTACTGGAAGGTGGTTCTGAGCTAGTGTCTGATGTACTGGAAGGTGGTTCCGAACTTGTATCTGATGTACTGGAAGGTGGCTCTGAGCTAGTATCTGATGTACTTGATGGCGGTTCCGAACTTGTATCTGATGTACTGGAAGGTGGCTCTGAGCTAGTGTCTGATGTACTGGAAGGTGGTTCTGAACTAGTGTCTGATGTACTGGAAGGTGGTTCTGAGCTAGTGTCTGATGTACTGGAAGGTGGCTCTGAGCTAGTATCTGATGTACTTGATGGCGGTTCCGAACTTGTATCTGATGTACTGGAAGGTGGCTCTGAGCTAGTGTCTGATGTACTTGATGGCGGTTCCGAACTTGTATCTGATGTACTGGAAGGTGGCTCTGAGCTAGTGTCTGATGTACTGGAAGGTGGTTCCGAACTCGTATCTGATGTACTTGATGGCGGTTCCGAACTTGTATCTGATGTACTGGAAGGTGGCGCTGAACTTGTCGGAGTGATTGGGTCCCATTCAAGAACTGTAGCTGTTTCACCAGGTGTAGCAGTAATAGTTGTAGTCCACGTTGAATAGCCAGTATAACTTGAAGTAACTGTAGTAGTTGGAATAGGTACTTCAACAAGAATTGTTTTGGTATTGCCTGGCTCTGTATTGAATGGTAAGGTAGTCACCAAAGTAGTTGATCCGTAATATGTAGAGGTAGTAACAATAACTTCGTTACCATTGGCACCTGCTTCGTTGTTGTTGTATCTTCCCCAAGTTACCAGTCTTGAATTGTCAACGGGAAACAATTGGCCTGCACATGTATACCTATTGGTGTAACTCACACTTAAACTCAGACCGGTTGCAACGTTGGCCAAGATGTCAATAAAAGGTCTGTAGCCGGCAGGGATGTTATTGTAGTTGATTGAATATGATTGGCTGTTGCAGCTTGAAGATGCTGAAATAGCATCTGCCTCTTCTGGTAAATACCACGCATTTAGTTGATTTGTTATAGCAGAATGAATCGAATCACAGTCAAGGGTTCCTCCACTAACTCTAATTCCCAACGTTCCGCTTCTGTATCCATTTGAGCATGTTCCTCCTAGTAAGTATAATTGTTGCTTGTTTAAGGATGGAACAACACGATTGTAGTAAACGATAGAATTGGTTGAAACGCCTTGGTTAGTATTGGATCCTCCTTGAAAATTTGCCGATGTGGTCAACTTTTTGTCACCATCAGTAAACGTCACTTCATTAGTACCTGTAGTAAAGCATTTGGAATTTTGCAAATCAACAGCACCACCTGAACCACCAACATTGAATGTGATAGGAAATTTCACAGTACCGGTAGCATCAGTACTATCTTTAACGTTGTTACTAGCAGTACATTTTAATTGAGAATAAGCAACCACTAAATCGCCTGGAACAAATTGACAATTAGCATAAACAGTGTTTCCAACATCCAAGTCAATGGTTTGTTGTGTTGTGGTAAATTTGAATACACATGGCATATTCAATGTAAACGTATCCCCAGCCTTGACATTTGAACCCAAGATTTTCCAAGACAAACTTGCAATCCAACTAGGTGCAGATGGTGTTCTGTATTGATAGTTTCCACCATTTTCCCATGTTAAGCTATCAAAACTTTGGAACACATTGTTAATTTCAGCTGCTTGAGTAAGAGATGTGAGGACAAAGGCAACAAATAATGTCAGAAATGACAAGTGTCTAGCCATTGGAATTGATGTTGTGATTGGTTGAAACTGCCAATTGACTCCATTTGAGAAAGGGAAAACCCAGCTCATTTTATACTGCAACTATTATTTTTGGAGAGACAGAAGCAGTTGGTTCGGGTTATCCAACTCTGGGCCCTTGTGTCTTTTCCATTAATTCCTAGTCGGTAGGGTTCTCATACAGGAAGAAATGCAGCATTTCTTAATTTACCTTACTGGCTGCGAAACTCTTAAACCCGTGAAACATGAAATTTTCGATTTCATGTTTGTGGTTCAAGGCAAACAATGTTTACGAAGTATTTTTAGGACAACTATTTTACTAAAAACAGTTCTAAATGGGGGAGGGGGGTATAGTAGAGAAATTTCAACCAAGAGAAGGTATGACACCTTTATTGGCAGACTAGTTGCTAAGCTCAAAAGAGTTGAAATAGTTGTGAATAGTGATGTAGTTTTATTTAAGCCACTCCAAAGGTGCATCATGGATGAGCATCGGCACACGCAATCCTTTTTTTTTGACGAAAGGATTAGGTGTGTCAAATAGCCCAAGCAGAGAAAAACCAACAATTCTGACAATAAATATGTAGAAACAAACTCTTGTTATTGAGATTTTGTAACTAGAATGTATTCTATCGCCAATCATTGCCTTATAAAAGCAACGTTGGCAATTATTCCAAAACAATGAGAAATTCTAATGATCAGCGGTGCAGTTACGAACCAACAGTAGTCTCTTGTTTTCCAAAGTGCAAAGAAAAGGAGTTTCTTCAACAAAGGCCGATTTTACATAATTGCGAGTGAAATTTTGAAATTTTGAGAATATTCATCTAGATCGATTTAGGTGAAGGTATGGTTAGGCGCAGTCTCAATTCCTAGTCAACAATAGGCTTTTCAGTTTTAGCCAAGTAGAAGGAAATGATACAAAACTGTTTGTCTAGGAAAACTATTGTGTTTTCTCTATGGCAAAATAGAAGCTTTGTTCTATTTTTAGACCCAGAGTTAACATAGACCCTGTCTATTGCCAGGTTGAGGATTTAGAGCAACCCTATTTAAAAGAAATGAAGAGAGGGTTAAGGAGCACAAGTGTTTGCTACTACCAGGCCAAACGGTAACGGTGGACAAAAAAAACAATTGCATCAATGAGACATGATAGACAAGTTGGGACTTACAAAAAGATGTTGGGCAAATTGTCTTCCTTGTGACATGAAACGTATGTTTGAAACTCCTATCAATAGTAGTTGGCCTTCTTAATACAACAATAAGGCGTAACGACGCGCAAGTTATTATATCCGGAACACACAAGTAAATATGATATGTATTTAAAATAATGAAAACGTTGTTTTTGTAACCACCTTAGACATCCTTGCCGGATTCTGAAATTTCAAGTTTTGCCAACTTTGCGTTTACACTTTCGGCTAAGGTTGTACTTGTGTAATAGAGGAATAAGAAGAAGAAGGCTTTGTAGTAAATAACGCTCAACCCAATTTATTTGTAGATTCTTGAGTTGCTCTTTGATTCCCGTAATAGGGGTAAGCAGCAATGCATTTCTGTTCAAGGTGAGATAGAGTACAAATAAGTCTTTACTTGAAGTTGTGTCCACCAGTTTGGCCCTTCAATGTTTATGAAACTAGTCTTTCATCAACAGTTGCAAATATTGGGGAAAACTTTAACAAGAATATTTTTTCACTTGTTATTTGCTAATTTATTTCGGAGATGAGTTGAATATAGTTTTCGTTTTTACACAAAACAAGGCTATAATAGAGACTGCATATAATCTAATCCGTTTAGACTAAACATTCGCCTAAAATATGACAAATATGACAAACCCTTACTTATCGTATTCTCGTTCCATTGGTTCAGGGTGTACAACGCAAGAACTATGCAAATTTCAAAGCAAGCCATTCCCGGTTCCAAAGTAAAACAAAATTGAACCTCCAATGAAATTGGCAGAACATTATTATATCAAGCTTTCTATGTTGCTAAAAGAAACCATTCCTTACTGTACTGTTGCTCTCTTGCGTCTGTCGGTGTTAATGCAGGATTAGTAATTTAAAAGGGCTATTTGCTTCCTTCACGGCAATATTTCCAATGCATTTTTTTTACCTGCATAAACTCTATCTCTTTTTTTCTTTGGGCCCTTTAATTTGACACAAAAGTAAACTCAAAATCGTTAATTTCGGAAGCAAATTGTTACATAAATGGATTGTCCAAGCAATACACACACACTTGTTGGGCACGAAGAGAGAAAAAAACAAAAGAACTTCTCCACTCTTACATCTTTCTTCATGCTCAAAATGGAAGCTAAGAAATTTACCAGCCTATTTCGTAAATACCTCATGATGCCGTATCAGACGATCGAAGGGCTCAAAAAAGAAGAGAAAAAAAAAACTGTGGATACAATTTAAGTCCCGCTTCAAATTTTTTTCACCTCATAACCATTTTAAAGTTTAGCCTATTATATCGTTATAACGTTTGATTAAACCCCCCTGTGAAAAACACTGTGAAAAATTTGTCTAGTCTAGCCACTTACCACCATAAGGCTCTATTTTCATCGTACGTGTATATCACGGCAACGTTGCTTTGTGTGGCAAAGTCAGCCATTGAAATTGTTCAAATAAAGACGAATATCTTCTGTAAATTTAAACAAGTGATAGCAATTGATCGTCAAAACGCCAACACGACCAAACCCTGTTCCCAAAGCTCGCTTTATTGGAAAGCCCGCCTTGGCGCTCGAATGTAAATCGTTCATTTTCGTATATTGTAGGATGCTATTCTTATGTTTATCATAGACTTGATATAAGCTAGAGAGAAACTTTAGACAAAAGACGTACTTTATGAAATGTTGCATTTTACGGTAAACATATTTCTTAAAAAGATTTGCGGGCGAAAATCATTTTACTTAGCCCTTCTTGCAAACTGTGATTAAAATGTCTTCCATTAATTGCCTCTCGTCTAATCTTGTTTGCACAGCTATAGCATGTGATTCCTTGATTTCAAAATGATGGATTGTCACCTAATGATAATACCCCATGCCAGATATAGAACATTCCTTTAACGTAAAGATCACGTGTACTTGCAAAATACCTCCATGTAAACCATCATTTCTCTCAAAATACAATGAGCACTTACAGTGACAAAATGCAATTCATGAGCTTACCATCCACATTTCTGTATTTAAATCCAATTACAAACTAAAATTTATACTACAAAGGGAACTATAGTGACAAAACCTCTAGCCCGTTTAAAATGGCCCAAAATCAATAATACGCACCTACGATAAACTATGTAACTATTTGTCCACTATATAAGACGCATAGGCTATTAGTGAACTATATCTAAATCGTCATTTGTTTTATTATGTCTGCTTGCACTCCTAACTCGTATTTTCATCAACATATCTTCTTTCAAACTACTCACTAGTAGATGGTTATCACAACCTGAGATAGGACACTTGATTCCACCCTGATGATGCTGTTGGATCTCTTGCCGGATACTCAGGGACTCAAAAGTATGGCCACAGGTAGCAATCACTGGGTCAACAAATACGTTCAACGTTATTGGATCTTTTAATGAAATCGTACCACCGCTAATTCCCAAATCCTCGTCATCGGCTGCCTCATCTGGTACTGGCTCTTCCGGGTGCTTAATCACAAACGTGATACTCTTCAATAATTGATAAAATTCATCCGTTTTAAAGTGGTTTTCAACCTCGGCCGTCGATGTTATAGATTGTGATTGAGAGATTATTTCTTCGTAGCTGGGCTTATCCCTCGAGTGGTATGAATCAAGTGTCTCCAAGGTCAAGGGTTGTGTAGTGTTCAAATATTCAGTAATTCTAGGATCGGAACCAATTGATTCGAATTTCTTTAAATTGCATCGTGATTCCAAAATTCGCTTGTAACCAAGAGCAAAGTTTTTGAGAGTAGTCTCATCAAAATCTAGAGAGTCATTCTCAAGTATGTAATTGATATAGTTCTTGGTAGTTAATCGATGCTGGTTGATCGCTGGTGTTGTCACGTCATTGACATTGGCGCGAAATATTTTCTCAAAATCACGCTGAAATGACCTGTTTAAAGGAACATAAGAAGGTAGTGATAGATTTTTGGGTAGATAGTGATCTGCATTTGAGGCTTCAACGGGTTCTGATGAAGTTTGTGACATGCTGGTGGCGGTGGAATGTGTTAAGGTGAAAGGTGGTGGGAACACACGTCACAACCAAGATGCGTATTTTGGTTGTTTTGATAAAATATTTTGTTTGTGTGCGTGTGCCACTGGAGAAATAGCTCGTTTCAAGTGATAATCACGTGATTATTGAATACGTTAAAGTTTTGCGTTTAGCGTTAGTGTAAAGGCTCCTGTAAATTGGCATTGACATTGTAGTATAGCTATAAGGACAATGTGATGATGAACATTCATCATTTAAGACAATATCTTCCTAATATTTTGACATACCTGCTGCAAACTTACATTTTGTGGATAAAATGGTGCAAAATCTCAAAAAGAAAATATTATAAATTATACTTTTGCGAGGGATCTTGAAAAAAGCTAAGGATAATGGAATTTTGGATGGCGCTAGAGTTAAACCTTGTGTAGAGGTGAATGCAGTTTTGTCTAGCACCATTCAAAGATAGTGAGACACTGTTCATCACAAAAGTTGTGAAGTATTTCGTGGAGAAATGTTTACAAAAAGGAGGCAATGCCTATTTTTTTCAGCACAGCCTACGTAAGAGATTGTATTGTATTGCATTGTGTGTGTACAACAATAAATCCTTTGATAATAATTTCAGGGGGAGAGGGAGACAAAATAATGCATTTATGTGTCAGACACAGAACACTACTCGACAACAAGGAAGACAGGCATACATTGAAGAGGGGCTTATTGAATGGCAACGACCTATCTGTGTAGAATGTTTACGAGATAAGAGCGCATCAATATTCAACCATGTTTTTTTGTGGAGAAGAAGTGGAAAAAGGAACAATTTTCAATTGGTCAACTACAATTAACGATGATTTTTCATACAACTTATAGTAGTGCATAGCCATATTATCGCATGTTTAGCTTTAAATGTGTTGGGTTAGTAGATGTGTTGTGGGTGTGAGTGTGTCTCAGTACTTCCAACTTGTGCCTTATTGTTGTATGTATATTGTTGTATGTATATTGTTGTTGTCTATTGTTAATGTATTGTTGTGTGATTTTCTTTTGTTTTGCCTTTTGTTTTGCTTTTAGTTTTGTGTACCTTTTATTGTTCGAATTTATATTCAACCCGAGTACTTCCCCATTTCCTTCATCTTCCACTCTTGCTTTCTCTCAACCTCTAATTTAAGCAAAACCAAATGTGGAACAAAAAGAGAGATATACAGGTGGGATATTGTGAAGGCCTCAACGTGTAATCACGAAATTATCTAGTTCAATATCGATCATACAATAAGATTCATAATCTGCATACTTAATTTAACTATATTACTCTATTTGTCCAAATTTAGCACTTTTACGGAACAATCCAAAATACAAAAAACAAAACAATAAATAGATTTGCAAAAATCATTGCTGTTTTCTGAATCATTACCGGCCAAAATAAAAAAGAAACCCCAGCACCTTCATCTACATCATTGCTTCTTTCTCATAAACAAAGATATATTTATCATAAAAGGTTTCTTGCAAGACATTACTTTATCAAGTTGGATTAGCTTTAGTTCACTCGTCATCAGAAAACTCGAAAGCCTGACATACGCTATAACATAACAACAACATAATAATTTGTTCAGTTTTGCAACATGTCTTATCAAAGGGCAAGAAACCTAACGTCAGGAGACTTCAACACCAGACCAATAGTACACGAAGAAGAAAATGTCTCACAAGATATTCCTGTGGACCCATTTAATGTATCCCCAGTTAGTGAGCTTGATCTGAACTATTCTAATACACCACTGACACAGGATCAATATGGACGTCCCTTTATCGTTGACAATTCATCCTCTTCTTCGTCTTCCCTGGCTAACGTATTCAACAACCAACCCAGACTGGGATACACAAGAACAGCAACCAATGCAAAATACCTGCACAATCCAATTAGAAATGAGAACCTATTCATCAACCAACCGCCTGCGTATGACAGATACCCTGTTATTAAGGATTCGGAAACCAATTCAATATCGCTGTCGCGCTCACAACTGCTGCAGCAACCACAAACGACCTTCGCTGACAAACTAAATCACAAGTTGGAGTCTTCATCCTCTGAGAGATCAACTGGAGACACAAAGGATGCAGCATCATATAAATTTACCGAGTTTAGTCCATTCGGCGGTTATCCAGCGACGTCGTTTCCCTTGAGTATAGAGGAAAAGGAGCCCGATGATGATTTGCATAATCCTAACCCAGTCAAAGATGCTGAATACGAAAAGAACCGCTTTTGGTATGATCTAAAACAAGGTGACAGACGGTCATACTTTGGAATATTGGGGTTTCTATTCCTTATTGCCGCTGCAGTTGCTGTTTTTGTCATATTGCCAGTATTGACCTACTCTGGTGTCACCGACCACAGAGCAGCCCCGGAAACGTACGAAATCTTGACCCATTATCAATACCCCATGTTGAGTGCGGTGCGTACAAGCTTGGTTGACCCAGACACTCCTGAAGACGCATTATCTTTGGAGTCAAAGAGTGGTGATAAATGGAATTTGGTATTCAGCGATGAGTTCAATGCTGAGGGGAGAACGTTTTACGAGGGTGATGACCAATTCTTTACTGCTCCTGATATCCATTACGACGCTACAAAGGACTTGGAGTGGTATGACCCTGATGCAGTCACCACTGCCAACGGTACGTTGACTTTACGCATGGATGCCTTTAAGAACCACGATTTGTTTTATCGATCAGGGATGTTGCAGTCCTGGAACAAAATGTGCTTCACTCAAGGGAGAATTGAGATCTCGGCAAGATTGCCTGATTATGGATACGTTTCTGGACTATGGCCAGGGCTTTGGACCATGGGAAATTTAGGACGCCCAGGATACTTGGCTACAACCGAAGGCGTTTGGCCCTATTCCTACGATTCATGTGATGCAGGCATCACTCCAAATCAATCGTCTCCCGATGGAATTTCGTATTTGCCAGGACAACGTTTGAATAAATGCACCTGCTCCGGTGAATCGCATCCAAACCCCGGTGTGGGAAGAGGTGCCCCCGAGATTGATCTCATTGAAGCGGAAATAATGATTGACAGTAAAAATATCAAACCAAATAACGGAGTGGCCTCGCAATCGCTACAGCTTGCCCCAATGGATATCTGGTATTACCCCGATTATGAGTTTATTGAGATTTACAACTACTCAATCACCACCATGAATACCTACACCGGCGGTCCTTTCCAGCAAGCCTTCTCCGCCACCACTACCTTGAATCGTACGTGGTATGAAAAAGGAGCAGGATACGAACACAATTATCAAGTTTATGGGTACGAGTACCTAAACGACGATAGTAGTGGGTATTTGCGCTGGTATGTTGGACGGGATCCAACATTGACGGTGTATTCCTCTTCATTACACCCTAATGGAAATATTGGATGGAGGCTCTTATCAAAAGAGCCCATGAGTATCATTATGAATTTTGGGGTGTCAAACAACTGGGCCTACATCGATTGGGGCGAGTTGTCATTCCCAGCTACATTCATGATTGATTACGTGAGAGTTTATCAACCACAAGATGCTGTTAATGTTGGGTGCGATCCAGTGGATTTTCCAACTTATGATTACATTCAGGAGCATTTAAACATTTATGAGAATGTTAACTTAACTTCCTTTGAAGATGGCGATTACACATTTCCCAAGAATAAGCTTATTGGGTGTTAGAACGTGTTTTTTTCTTTCTTTCTTTTAGTATAGAGTTTGTAATTACGGATTGAATTTATAAAGCTGATTTAGCAAAATGTGGGTGCAAAAGAATGCGCCTTGTGCTTTAGTTTTCACATGGCGAGAGAAAGCTCTATTGTCTTATTTTTTCTGTTGGGGTAAAAGGTATATATTTGTTTTGCCAGCCATAGGAATATCAAAAGCACACACACACACACACAAGGCACATTCCTCTCCAAAGTATCTCTCAACTTAGATACTTAGGTCAAAATTACTGAAAGTTTTTTTCCATCAAATTGTGCATAGCTCATCTTTACTTAGTATCAATGCACATAAATGTCTTCGTTTTCCTGGTTTAATTTCTGGTCAGGCAAGAATGCTGACACCGAGGAGAGCAATCAACAGCAGGAGGCTCAGCCAGGTACCAGCGAATCGGCGAATATGTCGGAGGAAAGTATCGGCGCAAAGAGGAAGCTGATATTACAGCCAAGACAGGCGATGTTGCGACAAAAGACTTCAACCACTTCGTTAGCCTCTAAAACATCTGGAGGTTGGTTAAGTTGGAAAAGAGACCCCGCAAACCAACAGGCTGCATCATTAGAGGATCAAGAAGATATAAACGAGGACGAGGAACATGACGTTGGGAATGGCGAGGAGATAGAACCGAGAAACGACGACAACAACATCAACAACAACAGCAACGATTTCGATGATGACGCCGACGACAACGGCGATGAAATAGATGACCACGTGTCGGCACCAAGAAGAGGTATCAACTGGTTTTGGAACAATACGTCAAAGAACAGTGCAAATAATATTGATCAACAGGCTCAACCATCAAAGAAGGACGAGACAGAGGATGACAAAAAAGACGAAAAGAAAGACAGCAAGCACGAGGATGTCAAAGAGGACAAGAAAGATGAAAAAAAAGATGATAAAAGTAGCAAGCCTGTTGAGACAAATACAATCTTGACGCCATCAATACCTACTAGACAGGAGTTGGCCAATGCAGCAAAAAAGGCTCCCGTTGAAGTGCAGCAGGATGATGCCGTGTTGTACAAGCCCCATGACAAAGCGGCTCAGTTCAACCAAATCAATACACACAAGAATGAAAATTTAAAAGAGAATGCCATTGTCCCCAATTGGAAAACCTGTCTTCCGGCTGTCAACGAAGGATTCATTCTTCACAATTCATCAACTTCGAGCCCCAACAACACAAACCAGACTATCAGAACGGATTTGAAGAATTGGAGACAATTTTTGACTCAAATATCGGCCAAGTTTGGTCTCACCGCCAATGCTGACATTGAACTGCAGCAGGAAAACAAGACCGAGGAAGATGTGGGGTTGCTCTACGAAAAGTCATACAAGCTCTACGGGAAATCGTTGGCAGTGTTGCCACAACACAAACGTGCTTGTTTGCCAAATTACAACAAGTACTACCATAGTACTGATGATCCAGTTTCCCAATACCAAGAGGATCAAGACGACCCAAATGCCATCACAATCACCAATGACGCCATGGGCAACCTTTTAATCAACAATAGAAATAGAAGGAAGGGAGCTTTGAATGCAGAAGTAGTTAATCATAAAGCCGGCCCATTGAAAAAAGTCAAGAATGTCTTAATCATTGGAGTTCATGGATTCTTCCCCACACGAATGATCCGACCAATCATTGGTGCCCCCAAGGGAACCTCGTTGAAGTTTGCCAATGAAGCGGAAAAGGCAGTCATTCGTTATTGTGTTGATAATAACCTTATAGACGATGACCAGTCCAATGTCAGTATCCAAAAGATTGCTTTGGAAAAGGAAGGCAAGATTTTTGATCGAGTCCATTTTTTCACCGAGATTTTACAGAAATGGGAAAAGGAATTAAACAATGCTGACTTTATATTCATTGCCTCACATTCTCAAGGATGTGTTGTTTCGATAATTTTGCTTGCACGGTTAATCCGCATGGGGATTTTAAAAGACCCCATACACAAGCGAATTGGGCTATTGGGCATGGCGGGGATAAACAATGGTCCCTTTTACGGAGTTGACAAGTCTTTTTTCATGAAGGCTTATTCCGCCATTGAGCACGAGTCGTTGAATGAGTTGTTTGAATTGACCAAGTTTGATAGCTCGCAATCGATGGTCTACAAAGAGTCCATACGAACCATTATCAATGTCAATGCCAAAATATGCTTCATTGGATCAATTAATGATCAATTAGTACCATTGTACTCGGCATTGGCGTCACATGTTTTCCACCCCAACATTTATCGTGCTTGTTATATTGATTATGCATCTTCAACACCAACATTCATTGAAAAGCTAGTTTCTATTTGCTCAAACCTTTTGAATTTGGGATATTTTGACAATAATGTTGTCAAAGAGTTGAGCACGTCCTTGGCTGGTCCATTAACAGGGGGTGGTCATTCAAAAATTTACAATGACGGAAAAGTTTATGACTTGGGAATCAAGTTTTTCCTAGATACTGATGACTTGGTTATTCCTCATGATGGAAAGATTGATTATGATGATTTCGACAATAGTGATTTACCCGTGTCGAATCAAGTGTACATTAAGGAATTCAATGTAGGTAAAATTGGCACCAATCCGTTCGTCTTACCCTGGTGCTTGCGAGGTTTGTTGTTTAATATAGAAAAGAATTGGCCAACAAGGGATTATGTTATCAATGAGCACGATGGTTCCAAAGAGCAAACCAGTGTGACCAATGGGTTTACTGAAGTGCACGAATTATATGAAGATTTTGAGCAGTGGAAGCCCACCGCAAAAACCCACAAAGATTTAAAGTTTAGATTGAATGGTCTTAGAGCGAGTAAGTTATAAATAGAGAACATCTTTTGAATGTAAAATGTTGAAGCAACTTGTCATGTAGATCCATTTTTGTTGGTCGTGTGAGGGATCAATTATTTCAGATCTAAGGTATTTTTTTTTTTAGTTTTTTTTTTTTTTGCACTATCAAACCCGATGCTATCAACTTCTTAGTTCACATTCAACAGAGATGTCCGATTATGAAGATAATGCATTTCGTGAGGTAGCAGACGCATACGAGGACTTTGATCCGCCAGATCATTTCTCAGACAACGAGTTTGATGATCCAAATGGTGGAGATGCTCAATTAACTGCTGATGATGGAAGACAGATTATAAATGGAGGTGTTGGGCCCGATGACGCTGCTACTGCTGCTGCTGCTCAACAGCAGAGGAAAAAGACAACAAAAGAATTGGCCATACCTAAGGATGAAAGGACTACTACTCCATATATGACCAAATATGAGCGTGCGAGAATTTTGGGTACCAGAGCCTTGCAAATTTCTTTGAATGCTCCAGTCTTGGTTGACATTGAGGGTGAAACTGACCCTTTACAAATAGCCATGAAAGAGTTGTCCCAGAGGAAAATTCCGTTGGTGATTAGAAGATACTTGCCAGATGGTTCGTATGAAGATTGGGGGTGCGATGAGTTGATTGTTGATCAGTAGGAGAATAGAAGAAATAGGAGGCAATATGTATAATAGTGATTTCATAAATAAATGATATTCGAGATAGCTTTTGTTTTTTTGGCATTATTGATGTAGTGTTTAATTGTTGATATGCTCAGAGTCTGGCATTTCTAAAATTCCCCAATAGCTTAGTGGCTAGCGTGTGTGCAACTTTTAGAGAAGAGCGGGGACATTAAAATAGTGGCAAAGAATGTACGAAACTTCTAGAAATAGCAAATGAAGGAAATAATCGGGGGTAGGTGCCTATTTAATTGGCTAATGTGTTTCTCGAGGGCGATTCCTATTGTTCTTTTACGTTTCTGATGTCATTATGCGCATTGCGAGCAATTCCTATTTTGTGCCGCATTAAATTAGCCGATGGGGGTATTTAACTGTCCATTCGAGTTAATAAAAATAATGGTCACCTATTTCTTGTGGAAGTCGCTACCGTCTTCATAGTGTTAAAACTTGAGATATGCTTATGTCAACCATAGCCTTGTTGCACCTACTTTTGTTTATTACTTCCTGTGTGGGTGCTATGCGTCCAACAATATTAACTGGCAATAATGGTGCCATTTGCCAATGGGTTCAAAAACGTGCCGACAACGACGCTGACTCTTTCGTGAAGCTCATTGCTGATGAATCTATAGTTGGCTACAAGATACCTGCCTTGATCTTCAATTACCAAGATATTGCCAATTTTTCATCTGTTCCCACAATTGAAACCTTCACTGACTTGTATCGCGCAAACAAAACAGACTTATACCCGAGGATGTTGAGCGAGGGTGTCTTCAATTTAGATGCTGCTGAAGGGCATTCAGTTAACAAGCTGCGGTTCTGGAGTGGTATCATTGACAAAGAGATTACATTTCGTGTCCCAGTTTCCGGAATTTATTGTGTCTACATTGCGCCAGACCCAATGAAAGTGCCTGATTTTGAATTACCGATCTACTTTAAAAACTACTATGGAAATTTAGACTACGCTTATTACGTGCATTATACAGGCTTAAAATGGTTGATTATTGTTTTTGCTGTGCTTATTGTTGCAATGCAAAAATTGGTAAAAGTTGAGGATGCCAAAGGAGCACAAAGTTTGAGCTCAGTGAAGGCTATAACAAACACCCTTGTCTACTTGACACTTATTTCTTTTATTGTGGTGCAGTTGTTTCAATTCTTCAAATTGTTCATGCAAAATAGCGTACTTCTACCATATCAAAAGTCTTCCATAGGTCCCATTTGGCAATTCGTTTCTCTAATTGCAAATCATTTTCATGACGTTTTTGAATTGTATCTTGGACTATTATTTTCAATGGGCCTTGGTGTCACTTATTACTATACTGATGTGCAGAACTATAGAGAGTTTCCACTGGACTGGCTCCGAAAAACTATTATACTTTTTATGGCTCATTGTTTAATTATGTTTCTTAGGGATTTGTGTTTGAAGTGGTCATATAATATTCCGTTTATCGGAACAGCGAGGAACATTCTGTCAGATAGCATTGCCACAGTCTTAGATTATACACAAATCCCTATTTATTGTATTTGGTATGCCTTGTCGGCAGTATTTTATTTGAAAACAAAAAAGAAGTTGACGCTTGTTCCTCCCAACTTAGATATGGGATCTACAGAAAATGTTGTTTCAGCATTCAAGAAAACAACTTTGGTCATTTGGATTGTACCTTCCGTTATATATGGTTTAGGGACCATATTTATGGGCCTTTCAGTATTCTTCTACACCGATAAGAACCTAATTATTGAAATAGCTGAGGGTTCAGATCGCGCCGAAATATACATGTCTTTGGTATTGAAGCAGGAGAAGGAAATACAGAAAATGGTAGTAATTCTTGGTTCGGAACTTTTGTCTTGGATTAGCACCTTTCTTTCGATGAGTGCCATTTATTTGATTTGGGTTAGTAGTAGCAATAGAGCAACAATCGACAGAAAGGTGCAATAGGCCAACCAATAAAAGAGCCGTCATTGAAAGTCTTAAATGTATATGAGAGTTTACTTTTTAGTCTTGTATATAGTAAATATTAGCGCATAGCGAAATTTATAAATAGTAAACGCAGTTCTATTTGACTGCATTTATTTATTACCCGGAATCTGCCTTTAGAATGCGTGGAACTTCTTCTCACGGCTCTACCTCACTACACAGTTGATTCACCACAGGAATATGCTTATATTACCACTTAGCTTAACTTGGATCTTTTTGTTGACTGCTTTCTACGTGTCAGCTGCCGACGTCCAATTATCGATATTGACAGATGTGAGAGGTGCCATATGCCGTTCGGTTCAAAAGCGTGCCGACAACGACGCTGACTCTTTCGTGAAGCTCATTGCTGATGAATCTATAGTTGGCTACAAGATACCTGCCTTGATCTTCAATTACCAAGATATTGCCAATTTTTCATCTGTTCCCACAATTGAAACCTTCACTGACTTGTATCGCGCAAACAAAACAGACTTATACCCGAGGATGTTGAGCGAGGGTGTCTTCAATTTAGATGCTGCTGAAGGGCATTCAGTTAACAAGCTGCGGTTCTGGAGTGGTATCATTGACAAAGAGATTACATTTCGTGTCCCNTCTGTTCCCACAATTGAAACCTTCACTGACTTGTATCGCGCAAACAAAACAGACTTATACCCGAGAATGTTGAGTGAGGGTGTCTTCAATTTAGATGCTGCTGAAGGACATTCAGTTAACAAGCTGCGGTTCTGGAGTGGTATCATTGACAAAGAGATTACATTTCGTGTCCCAGTTTCCGGAATTTATTGTGTCTACATTGCGCCAGACCCAATGAAAGTGCCTGATTTTGAATTGCCGATCGAGTTTAGAAATTATTATGGAAGCTTAAACCATATTCGTCATCTACGGCACACATCTTTAAAGTGGGAAGTAGTTTTTTCAATCTCGATGTTTGCTGTAATTCTTTACTATCTGCTGCGATTCGCATGTGAGGAAGGACCTCAAAACTTGAACCCTGCCCAGGCTGTTACAAGAACAATTATTTGCCTAAGTATAATCCCATTCATTAGCATATCTGTACTTGAGTTGATTTATTGGACAATTAGAAATAATTCTTACACAACATATCAAAGCTCGACCTTACTCAGTAATTTGAGATTAATTTTGCAGTTTGCAGAATACTCCTACAGTGCATTCACGTCATATGTGACCTTACTTTTCTCCATGGGATTTGGCGTTATTTACTACTACCACGACGGTCTACAGAATTATAGACAGCTTCCGAAAGATTTATTTCAAAAAGCGACTGCATTGTTAATTACTCAGGTTTTGATTACATTCCTCCATGCTTACCTGAAATCTACCTATACGTCGGTTAGCATAACAAAATTTTTACTTATCGTCGCTACAACGATCTTGAAAGTTGTATGGAAAGCGCTCTGGCTCGTTTCCTCAGCCAGGTTTGTTTTCAGAACAAAGAAAAGCATTGGGGCACTTTTACCACATCCCGACGTGCAATCTACATATGAAACCTTTTCAGCGTTCAAGAAATCAGTCGTGGTCATGTGGAGTTTGCCAATCATTGTAAAGGTTACTAGCCACTTGGTCGTACTTGTCTTGAAGCTGATCTACCTTTACACAGATGTTTCAAAATCAGACTCTCATGACTCACAGCTTTATTCAAAATGGCAATCTGTAATGGATTTGCAGAATTTGAAGACGTCACAGAAAATCGGCATGTTGAGGCAGGTTTGGCTGTCCTGGCTTAGCATTTTTCTTGTAATTGGCGTGGTATTTTTTATTTGTGTGAGGAGTAGCAATAGATTAGCACTGGCCAATAAGAACCGTTAAATCATAGACTATATAGAACTGGCTGGGGTCATATGTGTAGCTTTAGATAATTGATACTCTTTTGTCACAGCTTTTATTTTTGTGCCGTACGTCAAATAAAATTAATTCCGTCATCTTTTTTGTCTGTGCCTCTCTCTCTTTCTCGCAGTCTCCCTATTTCCTTAATAACAGCCACCCACCTGATTCCTATTTAATTTTAATTATTACGCAATCATTTTTATCTCTTTCTTACCTAACTTTAACACCGCACCTGTTATAACCCCCCCACCAATTCACATTCAAATATGGTTAATTTACTCACTCACAAGCTTAGTGTTGTACTATTGTTGTTCTTTTCCGGTATTGTCGCCGCAGTCGATCAACCAACTGTTTTAACTTACAAACAGGGCGTCTTTTGCAGTGCTGTTCAGAGAACAGAAAACATCGAAAAGGCGTATGTCGAACTACGTGCTAGTCAGGATGTAGTTGACAAAAAGATCCCCGGTTTGATCTTTCATTACCCAGAGATTGTCAATTTTTCGTCAGTGCCAGTATTGGAGGTCTTTACTCAATTGTATCCAAACAACAAGGACCACTTGTATAAGCAGATGTTGAACGACGAAGGCAAATTCAAGTTGGACGCCGCTGAAGGGTATTCTGTAGATGATCTGAGGTTTTGGAGTGGTGTCATTGATAAAGATGTTAAATTTGACATCCCAACTTCGGGAATTTATTGTGTTTATATTGCGCCTGACGACGCTAAAGAGTTTGACTTTGAACTACCTGTGGTGTTCAAAAATTACTATGGAAACTTGGCCTACCCAGAATACTTGATATACTCACAATTGAAGTATGTCATTGGTCTTGCCATTGTCTTGTTTGCCGCGTTGTTCAACTACATTTTGAGATTCAAGATTGGCAAGGATTTCCAAAACATGGACTCCATTTCGGTAATATCCAAAACAATCATTTTCTTGATATTGGCGCCATTCATTGCTATTTACATATTTGATTGGTTTGTTTTGCTCCTTAGAAACAATTTTGAAGGATCGCATCAAAAGTCATTTATTTTGTCAGTGTTGAGGTTTTTTGCCCAATTTGGCGATGCTTTGTACAATGCATTCACTTCTTTTGCCGTTTTGTTGTTGTCAATGGGATTTGGTGTTATTTACTACTATAATGGAAACTCGCAACACTACAGGCTCTTTCCACAAGAGTCCATGAAGAAAATTACTGCATTTTTCTTTGTCAACATCATAGTGTTGTTTTTGTATTGTTTGAGCCTACAAAGGACTTCCGAGACGCCTTTGGTTGGAGTGACACAGAATTCGTTTGATGGTAAATTTTCCGCCCTTGTTGGTGCCTTGACTTCCTTGTTTGGACTAAGTTGGTTTGTTTTGTCGGTGATTTTCTACTTTAAGACCAAAAAGACTATTGCAACTTTCCCTCCTGCATCAGATGCAGATTCAACCGCCAAAATTGTTTCTGCATTCAATAAGTCATTTTTTGTCATTTTGGTCTTACCATTTATTACGGCAATTTTGGCCGGCATAGTCGCCGGTATCTTTATGGTCAAACCTCTTGGAAATGTGCCGGATTTCCCAAAACATACTGATCGTGAGATTGTATACCAGTCAGCAACAGCAATCATTGTTCTTGAAAACACATTCAGTGGTATTTTATTGCCAATTGTTTGGTCAGGCTGGTTATACTTTTTCGCTTTGGTCATATCAATCTTTTTCATTTGGATTAAAGACAATAATGGGTTGATTGTTGATCACAATGCCAATGACCCAATTGAGTATGCCGATGTTCCAAATTTTGACATTTCGGACGGAGAAGATGAAGAGGATATTCGTGTTTGAGGTTGGGTTGAGAGTGAGTTTGTAGTGATTCTGGTTTTGCTTTTGTTTATTTTTTGACTACACACTAGAGTAAGAAAAATATACACAAACTATAAGGCTTCTATTCTGATTTAATTCCTACGATTGTTCTTTTTGAATCCACGATGATGGTGCTTGCCACCAAATTTCTTACCTCTAAAACGTCCATGATTCTTTTTCTCGCCCAACTTATTATCAACCAATCCAATCTCTCTAGCCAATGAAGTGCCCAATTCAACACCAAATTTCGAAACACGATTCAAATCCTTGCGTGCTTGTTCAGCAGCAGCTTCATCCCCAAATTTTTCAGCTCTAGCTATCTTTTTATTCAACAATTCAACCGCCAATGTTTTCCTTTCTTCTGGGGTTAATACTTTTGGTGCCTCTTTTTCTTCCTTGGCTTCAGTTGCGGTAGTAGTGTCAGTGGTGTCAGTGGTGTCAGTGGTTGTGGCTCTTGTGGTATCTGCTTGGTCATTGTTCTCCGTAGTTTCATTGGCTCCTCCGCTTTGTCCAGTTTCAGTAGCTACCGTGGCCTGCGTAACCGGAGCTGCTGCTTCGACAGTTGCTGTGGTGGTAGTCCCCTCCCCAGTGTTTCCACTATCCGACTCTGTTAACCTTGCGACTAAATCCGCTTTTTTACCCTCAGTGCTGAGGCCTCTTTCTTTCAAAATCTCCTTCAATTGGGCAACGGTCTGTGATGCATAATCTGCCATGTTGGTCAATTTGTTCGTGGTGAAAAGTTATACAGCTCTAGCTTCGATTCGTTAGATGACAGAAGTAAATGCTGTCTGTTTGTTGTAGTTTTTTTTTGGGCAATAAAAATGGATTGAGGTTTCGCGACATGGAATTTGGTAGCAATGGGGCATGCAAAGATCGCAAAAGTAGGAGAAACAAATAGATATCCCTGGTTGATCAAAGTGATAACGGGATAAGAATACTCAGAAATCACAAGGTGTGGATTACAAAAGGTTCGGCCCTAGGATGGCTCCAAAACGAAAGAAAGTAGGTTTTCAACCATCTTCTGCATTTGAAGAAATCACGCCTGAGATTGAGGACGAGATTGTTGAAGAATATGCACAGCAACTAGGTGACGATACGGACCTTCATTTGGATAAATTGAGCGACGTTTTGGACAGCTTAAACATTCCTCACTGTTTCACAAGCGATATAAAGAGTGCAATCGACTACTATTATCAATTTATGCACGATCGAGACTACGCTATCAACAGCGGCAGTACGAAACAAAGACTAACGTTAGAAATGATCTTGTCTTTTACAATCACCACATCCACACAAACAACCGATGATGTTTCCGATATAATTGACATTGATAAACTCATACAACGATTAAATACCCTAATAAAGTTGCGAAATAATTATTCCCATATAATATCGAGTTGGAAACTGTTTATTCAAGAATCAGGTGGAGCAAACAAACCAGCCAATATTGAAGATTTTCAATTAACACTTCCAGAATTGAAAAATGTGAAAACATCGTTAAACTTGGATAATGATCCGCAAACTAAAGCGCCATTAAATGATGGATTTTTAATCGATATGTTGGGGTGTTGTCAACATGACCAAAAGGGGCATTTGATCAATTTTGCATTTGATAAACAAGGTGCATCTGTTATGATTAAAGATTTTGCTGTTATTTTGGGCAAACTTGGTGAACTAGATGATGTCGAGTAAAAGAGATTGCATAGACTTCTTTTGAAGAAAACGGAGAGTCCCGTTGACGGTTGGAAACAGCGTTAAATTTGGTTATGTTTATGGATACTTCATTATAGAAATATCTTGTGGAGCAGTTTTATTTGATGCAAAAGCTTTGCACTTCTTTGTCATAACAGATCATTTATCAATATACACATTGTACATAAGCTACAACTGCATTAAATGAGACATAGCTCCACTCCTCTCACTTACAAGCTCACCTTGAAATTTAGAATCAATAGTAAAATCAATATACTCAAATTGATCAAAAGTAAAACAACAACAGCCAACCTCGTCACGGGGAACTCTTGTTTCATTAATGCACGTTGTACACTAAAATACCGGTAAATACCAAACACAAAAGTCAATGTGCCCAATATGATACACATGCCACCAATAGGTCGACACAAGGCAATTACAGTGTTGGATATATTGTGGTTGAACAATGTTGTTGATGAACTTGCCGTTAGTGATGGAGTTGAATTGGGGTGAGGTAAGGGTTGGGAAATTTGTGGACACTGAGATTTTTCTTCGAGTCGATAAAACTGCATGAATCCGATACCAAATGTGACAAATACTAGGGAGGTTCTTGTCCATGAAAGGAACGTTCGTTCGTTGGCTAGCTGGGTAGACGTTAGTTAGATATACGATCAAAGTTTAGGGCCATAGCAATTGATTCGTGAAATATAAGGTCAACAAGATGACCTAGGATTGTATATAGTAATGAAGCTGATGTATACATACATGATCTCTAGCAACGGATCCTTTATTGGGCAAGTTCATTTGAAAATTGAAAATGCCCTTCAAAGTTGATGTGGTAAATGGTTCTTTCTCATCTTGAGCAAGGTTACTCTGTACACTTGTCATTGGTGTTTTATGGCAACAGGAGTCAGTGGTGATGATAGTAGGAGATCTGTTGGTGAGCTAGAATGGGGGTTTGGTTATGCTACATCAATAAATGTCTATCAATTATTTTACGATTTGGTGCGGGTTTTACCCAATTTGGAAAAAGTTTTGCGAAAACGTGGCTGCCTTAAGCAATACCATGTGCATGCTGGACACTGTAGGATCCTATACATGTGTCACCTGCCGTTAGAGGTTTAGAGTGCGACAGCTTCGCTCCATAGACCAAAAAAAGTATCTTTATATTACAAAATCATATAGAACAATTGCAGAATTCTAATCTCTCATATCCTCTTCATTATCCTCATCATCACCGGCAGCATTGGTAAACATCAAAGTCTCTCCATTATCAATAACCTGCCATAATCCAACCCCGTCGTATTCAAACATACAGTCTTCCAACTGCTGAATCGTAAAACCCTTACCAATAACTCGGTCTTTAATATCTTGCATAGCCAAGTTACGCCTCAACAGTCCATCACGATCGTCAATTGCCATTGATCGAATAATTTGGAAGATTTTTGAAGTTGTCGATTCATCTTCTCTTGATAATGCGTTGGCTGCTTCGTCGTCGGCATACAATGAACTTTTACTAACTTCAATTAACCTCAAAGCTTCATCAACATCTTCCATGGTGACAATTTCTTCAAATCTCAATCTTGCCAATGCTTGTGATAAACGTAATATACCCAACAATGTTCTTGGTGTAATATGACTGAACTTCTTGATGGATCCCTCATTACGATGAGATTCTTTTCTCATGGTGATGTATGACTGAACAACATAATCACCAACTTCCTTAGGAACAACAGGACGATAGGACTTGGCTTTCGAAATATATTCTCGAATAGTTTTAGAATCAATTGGCGTCAGCTCTTCCTCCACCGTGGCATTGTCCATTGTAACATCTTCAACTATATCTGGTTGCTTATTGTGCATATGAACGTAAGTGACATGACGAGCCAACATTTCGTCATTTTCTCTATTTGGTTGATCCAAAATTAAAAACATAATATCAAATCTTGATAAAAGGGCTGCTGGCAAATTGATATTCTCGTGGGGCGACAATTTCGTATTATACCTTCCATACAAAGGATTGGCTGCTGCCAAAATTGATGTCCTGGCATTCAACGTTGTCGTTATTCCAGCTTTAGAAATGGAAATAGTTTGTTGTTCCATGACTTCATGAATTGCCGTACGATCAGTTTCATCCATTTTGTCAAACTCATCAATACAACAAATACCATTATCAGCCAAAACAAGGGCACCACCTTCCAAAATCATTTCATCCGTTACTGGATCTCTTAAAACTGCTGCAGTTAAACCAACACCTGATGAACCTCTACCAGTGGTGTAAACTGATCTAGGAGCGATCTTATTGATTGCCTTCAACAACTGCGACTTGGCAACACCAGGATCACCCATAAGGCACACATTAATATCACCTCTAATTTTCAATCCATCGCCAATTTCTTTGGTAACACCACCACAAAGAAGGAGAAGTAAAATCTTTTTAATATCCAAGTGGCCGTAAATTTCTGGTGCAATTGACTTGGCCAATCTATCGTACACATTGGTAGATCCGTATCTCAATTGCATCAATCGAGCATCAGTTGAATCATTCAAATGCATCAATTCATACTGTTTCTTGTGTTGTCTGACGTACTGTGCTTCAAGATAAGTTTCAGTCAATAACCCTGCTTTTAATGCTCTGAATCCAGTATATGGCAAGGGCATAAAGATACCCGATACATCAACCGTGTCACCAGGATTCATTGCCCTTACTAAATCCCCATTGACATGAATTGACATTGTTCTTGGGATATGACCCACTGGTACTTGATTTGACATTTCTTGAATCTTGACTTCCTGAAAACTAGAAAATTTAGAAGCACGGGTTGACATGAACAAATGACCCTTGACATTATCGGCTGAGCAAATGGGCGAGTTACATGTCGTCAATGGACTGAAGACTCTTGAATTAACTTCTTGGAAAATTTCATAACCACACTTATCACAAGTATAAGCAACCACCAACACATTTGGCTTCACATCACTAACTCTAGTTACAATTCCTCTCAAAGTAATATAATGCCCAACATGTTTACCTTTAACTTGTCTAACTGACAACGACTTATCTTGATCTAAGGTCAATGGCTTGAAATACAAGCAATACCTCCTGGTCAATCTTGCTGGGAACAAATTTGGTTCAGTTGGGTTAGCTATATTCTCTTGATCAGTAGGCTGTGAAATGCCATCTCTTAATTGGTTCAATTCATCCAATGCCTCTTGTTCGACACGCTGGTTTCTAATTCGTCTTTGACTTAAAATAACATCCAAAACATCATCTTGATAAGACACATCTCTTGTTGGCTCCGGCATCAATTGATCAATAACATCACTGAAAATTTCCAAAAATCGGTGAGTATTTACCATTATTGTGTTGAACAAGTGTCTCAGTTCTTGATAGATTGAGGTGGATTCAGCGTCAAAGTTTTGTAAAAACTTTTTCAAGTCGTCAAATTCAACATATACGGTGGTGCTTTCTCGATTGGCCACTCGTTGTAAAATGTTCATGTATTTACCTTGATGGAGAGGTACTTCATCTTCATCGTTGTTTTCCAATTCATCAATGTCTATAGTTGTGTCTTTGAAATTTTGAATGAAATCACGAATAATCTCTTTGCAATCATTGTAGTTGACTTTTACCTGGATTGAGGGAAGGATCGCAGCTGCTGTGGTGGTTACTGCAGTTGCCATGATTGATTAATAAAGTTAGTAGCTAAGTGGCTATGTAAAGAAGAACAGTGTTAATGTTGTGGTATTCTGTAAAATCTGTTGCAAAAATGGAAAAAAAAAAAGATGAATTAAAGGATGTGTATGAGAAATTGAACGCGTATGAAAAAAAAAATTGTTTCAATTTCATTTCCCAATTGGGAATAATTATTCACCCAAGAGTTATATCCCACAAAAGCAAATTTAGAAATTCCATCATTTGAGGCAACATCCCACCCCCTGTGGGTTGAATAGTCTACAACCTGTTAATTAAATAGCATCTATATATTATACCTTTATATTTTATAAAATTAAAATGTTTCAACAATATAGCTAATACGTCAACGACTAACTTAAGATATCAAATCTAAATTTAAGAAAACAAAGAACTAAATTGTAGAATGGTCCATTGCTGCAAAATTGGAACAAAGGTTGCCATTAGGAGTGTAGTACCAACAATAAATGACCAAATATTACTTCTTTATGACCAGTTTATACTGACATCAAGTTGACTAATGCAAATGCCGCTGATTTCTCTTCATCATTATTGGCATTTGCGTCTGCAGTAACGGCTCCTCCACTTGCAGAATTGACTCCATTCTCAACTTTTGCACCATCAACATTGCCACCCTCTTTAAATACACTCTTACTCCCCACTTCACCACTGAGTTTCTTTTGTCGTAAAAATTCTGGACCTATAGATTGCCAATCCTCTTCATCAGTGTCACTTGAAATACTGCTACTCCTTTGATGTTGATGTTTGTGATCATTTGATCGAGGCAGGGTTTTTGACTGCAGTTGCAGCAGTTGCAAATGTTGTCGTATACTGTTCAACGTCGAACGTTCATGTGATTCATTGAATGAGGATTTGCGTCGACTCTTGTTTGCCTTTGCTGCTTCTTCATTATGAATAACGTAATGGCGGCTAACACTGTTGTTATTACCAACTGAGCCCCATGACTCAACTGGTGACGCATTACTCGCCGAAACAGGTGATGCTCCAAACACTACACCTCTAGCATCAGCAATTTCACCACTACTATTTCCTGTATTTCCACCTAGTCCGGCAGAGCTGTAACTGAACGCAATTGCTGGTGGTGGCAGACTGATCAGAACAGTTGAGTTACGACCTGATGATGTTGAAGCGATATAATTGTCCAAATTCTCAATCGAGTTCAATCTTGATCGATTGATAAAAGTAGGATTATTTAGGAGGTGGGTATGATGTGGGTGATGCGTGGCGTGGTAATGTCTCAATGTGGAAGGTTTAGTTACTGAACTAGGAGCTGATGAACTTGACTTTCTTCTTCTAGCAGCAGCTTTAGAATCATAAGATGATGCAGTAGATGAAATTGGTGGTGGGCTTATTTTGGATGGTACTCTATTGGCAAACTTTAGAGGTGGCGACTGTTTCTTCGGTTTGTGCTTGTGATGTGAGGTATTGTTGATTGGTGTGTCATCAAATGCAAACATCTCTTCATCTTCATCATCAAGTATAGCGTCTTGGTCGGAATAGCTCGATGGTTCATCTTCGTCTATATTTTCATGTAGTTTAGACCTTCCGTTTCTTATTAGTCTCTCATCAAGTCCAGATATGTCATCTTCCTCGTCATCGTCATCGTCTTCAAAGTCTACCTCATCCTCCTCAAGTTCATTAAATCGATTATCTTCTTCATCTTCACTGTCTGAGGCAATGGCATTATCAATACTTTCATTGGGCAACTTAATATTGTGCAAATTCTTGACTGGGTTTGTTATCGACTCTCTTCTAATCCTATCTTTCTCGAATGCACCTCCTACATCTTTCTTTTTCTTTGACCAGCCAAGTTTCAAATTAGTTTGGTTTCTTAAATCATTGATATTGATCATCTTCTTTTCCTGCTCAACCGACTGTGACTTTAGTTGCTTGCCCATTCTTTTACCGTTTGGTTCAACTTGTCCTTCGGGCAGCACTGACTGTGGTGTACTTCCTGAACGTTGTTGTTGCTCTTGTTGTTCTGTTCCTTCAGTAACGATATAATCACTATCAACTTTCCGTACTGCCCATTGACCCCAACCAATCTTTTCAAATACAACATTATTTGTTGGGTCGACTTGTTCCATAGCGGCCATTATCAACCGTCTTTGTTTACTTAAACTTAACAACTCGAATGATGGTACTTCTAAAGTTAACTGAGCAGTTATATGACGTATAGGCAATGGACCCTTTCTGATTAATAAGTCGGCCAATCTAGTAGGAGTTATTTTAGACGCCACCTGTATCCCTTCTGGTGATGATGTTGATAAAAGAAACTTCTTTTGTGCGTTTGATAAAGTATCCACATGACCATGTGGCGGGGAAGTGGCGTCAAATGGTGGGGACATTGTCTGTGACAGGTGTTGCTGTTGCTGTTGCTGCTGCTGTTGTTGTTGTTGAGGACGTAAAGGAAGTGGTAGCTTCTGTGGCATATTCGGTTCAACTTTTACTTGTTGGTTGAAACCATTCTTCTGGTTGTGGTTGCCAATTGTGTGGCTGTTGATATTTTCAGAGGCGTGGTGACTTCTTGGCTCACTGTTGCCGTTGTCGACTGTGTGGTTATTGTTCTGTTGTGGCTGCTGTTGTGGCTGCTGTTGTTGTTGCAGTGACGATTGCATATAGTTGTATATTGGTGACAATTGGACGTGATTGGAGGTGGAGTTATCTAAGTGACTCATATTATAATACTGTTGTGGCTATTGAGTTATATAACCAAGTAGTAGTAATAGTAGTAGTAATAGTAGTAGTGGTAGTAGTAGTATATTATACAATTGTAAATCTCAGTTTGTTTAGTTGTAGTTATATATGTAAGAAATAAAAGAAGTATATAGGTAGTTTTGATGATGAAAATTAGGTGAAATAAATTTTGTTGTGTGTGTATATATTTTGAAAAATTTCAATTGGGGCAGACAATACAGACAAACAATTATTAGATAGATATTACAGTTATAGATACATAGATAAAATAAAATAAAATAAAATAAAATAAAATAAAATAAAATAAACAATATGTGTAGTACTGTATATAAGGGGTTATGTTGTTTCTCAGTATGCGTGATTATATTTTTTATTTTAAATCTTTAGGTTTGTGTAATTCAAAAAAGTGTGTCATGTAAAAGTTATTTGTTGAACGTGTTTTGTTTTTATTTTGATACGTATGTATGGGTGTGTTCTAGGCTCGGTGTGTCGCGAAATAGAGACTACATTTAATTTCTATTCGACAAAGGTAACAATAATATTATTTATGACACGTTCTGTTTAATTAAAATAAATTAAATTAAATTTAATTTGTCCCAATTGGTGTATTATATACACTATATGATGTAGTTAACCTATATAGTTAAATGTAAAAGCTAAATACAACTTCGCGCATTCTGTCATGTAGTGGCAAGAAATGGCAATACTGACCTAAGCTTTAGGCTTTTCTTCTTTTTCTACAAAAATTGACCCAAGTGGAAAGACACTTCAAAGGCTAAAGAGCTATTTTGATAAACAATGAGTTTTAAAAATAGAAAATAACCGCCAGCTTTGGGGAGCGAGAAGAAAGTTGAAGAAGAGTAAGAAAGTCTTGGAAGGTTTAAGAAAACCGCAATATTTATGAACACACACAGTCAAACCGACTTTCTCTTTTGAGTAATTGGGGGAACGCATCTTTAGAAAAGTCTGTGGCTCAATTTTACTTCTCGACCAAAGTCATGCCAAAAATTTAATTAAAAGCCCACACAATCAACACTTCTAGCCAACAGCAGTCTGTTATGCTGGCTGCTTAGTAAATCTAATCCCTGTTAAAAGGCTTCGAGGAACTTCGACACTGCAATTGCGCTTAAACCTGATAAAGCTTTTCTGTGCAGGTACACTACCACTTATGACCAGCCAACTACATCAACAACTACATCAACAACTACATCAACAACTACTACTATATCTACTACCACTACTACTACTACTACTACTACTAGTGCTGCTACTACTAATGTCGATGACGTATATAAACCCACTCCACTTTATCATACTTTCGTTCCCTATATTGCCCTGCATACAGCTGCATATTTAATTTGGTATATGACGTACATGTATAATATCAATCTGTTATTTTTCATTTTTTTTAACATTCTATGCATTTACCTCAATACCACGGTGGTTTCACATGCACAGTGTGAAAGTAAAATGAGTCGGATTTAAATGACCACCCAGCTCTCATTCTTATTACTAGCAACTATATTCCCAAAGCAGTACAGAAGCACTACCCTAAAGCATCAGCAACTTATTAACAAACAAAAGGTCAAAAGTGTAACAAAGTTTCTTCCAACGGAAGACTTCCCCTCCTCACCCCCACAAAATTTTAAACTTTTATCATAAACAACTTGTCAACTCTTTCTGTTTTTGTGTGTTTAAAATACCATCGTACAAGTTGTTGTTGCACCTTTGTTTGCATTGTTTGTAAAAAGTGCCCACATTGAGGCTAGTGTGTGCATAAGAGAGACCCTTAGAAATGTAACGTAAGAGCGCCACACTCACTCTACCTATAGAAACTAAAAAAAAAAAATTAAGATACAATTGTCATAAACCTACTCATAGAGCCTATACATCGATGAAAAGCCACAGATGTGTATTCTCCCACCTTACTTACATCTCATCAACAGTAAATGACCAATCACCACTAACAGGATCATACTTTTCATACTTCATTCCAGGCAACTTCTGCAAATTCTCAATATGCAATTTAACAGCATCAGAATGTGGGTCCACTATAGGCAACCGATCTTGCTTATTCAATGGCCAACAATTGTGTAATGTAATTTTGGCTGGTAAATTCAATCCTTCACCTTTGCGAGGCTTCAAATCATCATCGGGGTAAACTATACATGATTTATTATCAAATTCAACAAATTGGAAAATATCATCCAAATTCAACATGGTTGATAAATCAATTGGTTCAAGGTATTGCAAGAATCCATAACCTTTACGGCCAATTTTGAAATTGGGGATTGATTTAAGTTCTGATAAGGTCTTTGTTTTCAACTCAGATATTGATGGCGATGTCCAGTATCCTTCTTCATTAACGTCTTCCTCGTATTGCTTCTGATTTTCATCTGCTTTCAATTCCGCCTTGTTGTTACCATTAATAACAACCTTATCATTCTTGGTTTCAACTGAGGTCTCACCATTCTCCTTCTTCTTTGCTTCAGCAGTGATTTCACTTTTCTTTACCTCATCACCATCACCATTAACTTTCTTCTTGTCACTCTCCAAAGCAAAGGAAACTTGTTTTGTATTGGTAGCATCATCATCTCCTCGATCATTGATTGTCAAATTATACTTGCCATTACTCTTTTCAACAACTAATTTCTTAAAATTGTTATTGGGGCGGAATATATCTGACGTAATAATAGCCAGATCAGTAACTGGAGAAAACAAGTGATCAGTTTTCTGTTTGAAAAGTTCATCTTGCGCCTTTTCAACTGGCTTCACTGTCGATGGCAATACACTAACTTTGAAAAGTGGAGTGATCCTTTGTGCTGTATTGCCCAATGTCACCACCTTTTTATTTTGCAGAGGCACAGCAAATGATCGTCTAAGTATAGTAGCTCGTGGCTTTTGATTAGTACCATAATCTTGATTCTGTTGTTGTAGTTGCTGTTGATTAGTGCCTGAAATTGATTGAAATAATGGGTTATGTCCATACGGGTCTTGGGAATTGATATTGGCCAATGGTTGCGTTTGTTGTTGTTGAGTTTTTTGTAAAAACAGCGGCTGACCTGGTTGTTGTTGTTGCTGCTGCTGCTGTTGCTGCGGTTGTTGTTGGTTGGAAGCACCAAAGAGTCCACCACCAGATCCAAATCCACCAGCACCACCACCAGTAGTACCTTGGTTAGATCCGAATAAGCCACCACCAGTTGCACTACCAGCGCCGCCACCTCCAAACAAGCCACCCGATGTGTTACCACCTTGCTGATTGTTGCCAAAAAGACTCCCACCAGATGGGGCTGTACCAGCAGGTTTAGAGCCAAATAATCCGCCTCCAGTGTTTGACCCACCAAACAATCCTCCACCTTGTTGTGGCTGTTGTTGTTGCTGGTTCTGTTGTGCGCCACCGCCGAATAATCCACCTGACGTGGTACCACCTTGTTGGTTGTTTCCAAAGAGTCCACCACCCCCAGTTGCTCCTGCAGGTTTCGATCCAAACAACCCTCCACTTTGTTGTTGCTGTGGTTGTTGTTGACTATTTTGTTGGCCAAATAATCCACCTCCAGTGGTTCCAGTGGCTCCAGTGGTTCCAGTGTTACCACCAAACAACCCACCTCCCGTCGCTGGTTTGGCTCCGAATAAACCTCCACCTGTTGCTCCAGTGTTGTTCGGTTGACTTCCGAATAATCCACCTCCAGTTGCTGCGCCTCCGGCACCGGCACCTTGGCCAAACATCGATGTAGATCCTGCAGGCTTTGCACCAAACAATCCGCCACCCTGTTGTTGCTGATTTTGCTGTGCTCCACCACCAAACAACCCTCCTCCTTGTTGCTGTGGTTGCTGTTGTTGATTACCCTGTTGACCAAACAATCCTCCACCAGTATTGGTAGAGCCGAATCCGGTACTTGGCTTAGCACCAAAGCCCAGAGATTGCTGTCCTCCAAACAATCCACCACCAGACGCACCTGTATTTGACCCAAATGCATTACCTGTATTGGACTGCCCAAAACCACCTGATGCACTACCAAATGCATTACCTGTGTTTGACCCACCAAATAATCCACCACCTTGTTGTTGTTGCTGTTGGTTGTTGTTAGCTTGTCCAAATGGCGAGCTTCCAGTGTTACCAAACCCACCACCAGAAGACCCAAATGCGGAAGTATTACCACTACCAAACCCAGTAGCTGGCTTTTGACCAAATGCATTACTTGCACCACCACCTCCACCAAATAATCCGCCACCTGTGGTAGTTCCAGCTCCACTTCCAAATCCAGTTGCTGGTTTATTTGCTCCAAAAGCATTGCTAGTGTTGCTAGTTCCAAATGGAGATGCTTGTTGTTGCGTAGATCCAAATGCACCCGATGAACCAAAGGGTGATGCTGTGGGCTTGTTAAAACTAGAGCCAAATGCAGAGGAGGCGTTACCTGTGTTGCCAAATGGTGATGGATTGGATTGTCCGCCGAAGAGTCCTCCTCCTGTAGAAGGCTGTTGTTGTTGCTGCTGTTGTTGTTGTGCAGCACCACCAAACCCAAATCCAGTGCCGGTGTTGGCTGTACTTCCAAAGGCTCCTCCACCAGCAGCACCTTGGTTCTGTGGGAACCTTCTGCCTTGTTCATAATCCTTCAATCGCAACTCTTCAAATGAAAAGTTTTTGTATTCTGGCATACAACATACATTTTGAAACACGTTGTTTATATTTGCTGAATCCTTTTCACTATGGGGTGCAAACGGCTTCACGGCAGTACCGTTATTGACATTGGGATCACCTTGGGCTCCTCCAAACGCATTTGATGTGGTTGTCGATGCACCAAACGGAGATGTTGTCGCGTTATTAGCTGCCGGTGAACCAAATCCAAAAGTCGATGTAGTCGCTGGTTTGCTTCCAAATAATCCTCCACCAGTGCCTGTATTGGCAGAGCCAAATGCAGATGTTCCTTGAGTACCACTACCAAAGACTGATGATGTCGATTGTTGTGGCTGTCCAAATGGCGATGCAGAAGCAGTAGTATTATTGGCTGGATTCGAGCCAAATAATCCACCACCACCACCTGGTACTGCTCCACCCGCGGTATTGCTTCCAAATGCCAGCGTACCTGTAGTATTACCAGATCCAAAGACATTGCTGGATCCAAAGCTTGAAGTTGGGTTAGATGATGTACTGCCAAATAATCCACCACCACCTGCTCCAGTGTTGGCATTGTTTGTTCCAAATGGTGATGCGTTTGTATTTGTGGCTGGTGCTGTTGTGTTGGCACCACCACCAAATGGGGAGTTGGTATTGGCCGTATTGCTTCCAAACCCTCCAAATCCTGAAGATGCACTTCCAAACATTAAAATTGATGATGTGTATAGAAGCCAATTGTTAGATCAAAGTGGAGAGTGCTTTTTATCCTTTGATGTATCCAATTTTGTTTTTTTTTTTCTCTTTTTCTAAATGAATAAGTTCTGATTTTTTTTTTCATACTTCTCTCTATATTTTACGCAAGCCGTTTTACTCTCTATAAACTATACAAAAGAGAAGTCGAGTAATCTACCCCTATTTTGCAGCCAGTTTCCTCTTCTTGATAATCTTTGTAATATCAGCACTCTTTTCCTCCTCTTTCGTCCTCTTTTTGGACTTGACTTCAAACTTTTTCATTTGCTCGTCTCTTTCCTTTTTACCTAATTCCCATAACTCATCTCTCTTTGTAATGAATTCAGCATCATCTTTTGACTTACCTTCAAGCCATTCGAGCAATTTAATCTCTTCTCCATAGATTTCGTCATTATCACCAACGGGTGTCTCCAACACTATAGGTATACCTTGCAATCTGTCGCAGTTGGCAATGGCTCGAAACACCTCTAATCCAAGAAAACCTTGACCCAACTTTTGGTGTAAATCACGATTGGCTCCCAATGGAGCTTTTGAATCATTTAAATGTATAGCAGAAAGATACTCAGCTCCAATGATTTCATCAAATTGTTTGAGGAAGCCATTCCATTTCTCCTCATCAGTAATGTCGTACCCGGCAGCAAATGAGTGGCACGTGTCTAAGCAAACACCAACACGTGATTTATCATCAACCATATCAATCACTTCACGTATATCCTTCAAATCAGATCCAATGAGGTTCCCATGGCCAGCCATATTCTCAATGACAATTTTAACAAATTCAGTATCTTTAATAGCTTTATTTATATTATTAGCCAATTGTTTCAACGCTTGCTTTCGATCACCATCTAAACTTGAACCAGGATGAAAGTTGTAGAGTCCAATATTTAATTGTTCACATCTTTTCAAGTCATCAAGAAATGAGTCGTAAGCCTTGGCTTCCTTTTCAGGATCAGGGTTAGCCAAATTGATAAAATAAGAACCATGAGGCAATATATCAGTTCTAGGGTTATACTTGTGTAGTTTGCATAATTCAGCAAATTTTGCAATATCTTCTGGCTTCAAAGCTGGTGATACCCATTTACGAGGTGATTTCAAAAACAAAGCAAATGAATTACCACCTATATTCATGGAATTCGTGATTGCTTTGTAAATACCTCCTGACATACCAACATGGGCACCAAATTTGAATTTATTATTGAGATTTCGCTCATATTGGAACGGTTTCTCAACCTTGACTTTGGGTGTTTTGCTTTAGGGGAACACAATGTTAGTGACAACTCGGTATATATAATTATGAGAAGAGACTGGAGGGGGGGAGGCTATTCAATAGATACATACACTTTTGGCGGCATTTGTAATATATTGTTGGTGTTCTAGAAATACATTGATAAATTTTTTTTCACTTTACGCGTTAAGAGATAACGAAGTCAAAAAATAGAAAAAAAGAGTAAAACGAGTGAAAAGAGTGAAAAGAGTGAAAAAAAAAAGTATGAAATTGCGTAATGAAAAAGAAAAAGAACAAGAACAAGAACAAGAAGACTTTGTTCCAAGAAGTGAGAAAAATTTTGGATCCACAGTTGTTATCTACAAAAACCAAAATAATACAAAGGTACACAAATTTTTCCTACACCACTTACAAACCGGATGTCCACTATTAACAATACGAGGTTATCAGTACTCCGATATCTCACTGCTTTCTTTATCCCAGACGCAAGTCTACATTCTCGTCAAAAATGGATTCTAGGTCTTATCAATTTATCAGCAGTTGTTGTTCTATGGGTATCATCGAGTTTCCTTGTCAATGCCATTGTTGAAGATGACTCATACCGCAAACCTTTTTTCATTACTTGGATCAACACCAGCTGCTTTAGCTTCTACATTATACCCTATCTCAAGTTCAAAAAGTTGTCATTACGTCAATTCATCAACAAGTTTACCAATGAGTACAAGTATCACCAAATACCGAGTAAAGATGGGGATGGGTTAATTAGAAGTTATGGATCCGATGAGGATTTGAACACTGTTGTTGCCACACAAGTCGAGGGACAACCGGGTAGTCTAACCTGTGTTGAATCAATTGGTGAAGAAGTGCACGATAATAATCCATTGGATATCAACATTTATGATACGTTTAAATTATCAATTCAATTTATTATTCTTTGGTACTCGGCCAACTTAGTGACAAACGCCTCGTTGTCGTATACATCCGTTGCTTCGCAAACCATATTATCATCAACATCGTCGTTTTTCACATTGATCATTGGTTACCTTGTATCAGTCGAAAGCATCAACCAAAACAAAATTATGGGCATATTGCTAAGCTTCTCGGGGGTCTTAATTGTCACTAAAGCAGACACATCGGACAATAGTCCCAATAGAGACCCTGAGAATGGACCTTCAACAATGTTGATCTTATGGGGCAACCTATTGGCATTATCAGGAGCTTTAATCTATGGAATTTATACCATCTTGTTGAAATTCAAAACATCGATACCAAATTCACGAAAGGAACGTAACTTGAATACTCATTTATTCTTTGGATTTGTTGGATTGATTTGTTTTCTCGGTTTATGGCCAATACTTGTCATTCTACATTTCACCAAAGTGGAAGTTTGGTCATTGCCTTCGTCAAAGGATGTATGGACTTGTCTTGTATTGAATGCTGTAATCACGTTTATAAGTGATTTTTGTTGGTGTAATGCTGTATTATTAACTAGTCCATTGACAGTCACTGTTGGACTATCTATGGCTATCCCATTAGCCATGGTTGGTGATTGGGTCTTGAAAGAATTCCAATTGAATTTGTTGTATGTGTTTGGCGCAACAATTGTGACTGCTGGGTTCTTGATTATAAATAAAGATGAAGAAGAGGAATTTGTCATTGATGAGTAAATGTGACTTGAACAACTGGGATATAAATTGAAGTGAGAGCCTCAGTCAAAGAGAAGCGTTGTTGTAATAAAGTCAATTTTCATTGGTTGCAACATCATACGGGGTACTGTTTCACCTTGTTTCATGATATGGCTAATAATCTAAATCAGAGCAGTGAGTGGGCGAGGATTGTTTATATTACATCACCTCAATCACATTACTAGTTTAGTCTCTTCACTCAAACATGTACCAAGAGATTATGCAACAAAGAAGGTAGCATAACAAATATTTATTCAAGTTGATTGAGCCAAGTATGTGCTTTGTTAACATTTGAAAATTTTATAGAAGTATATAGAGACTAAGTCATTCGTTTCAAGTTCCTTGGACTAGAGTCAGTATAAGTGAATCAAATTATCATTTGGCAACAACCATTTTATCTTTTTTTTTTTGCGTGATAAACAGTAGGAAGAGGATAACCCATTCGTCATTTACAAACAATTTCCTTAGATATATATGAGACGATCACTACTACCGCCACTATGGATTGTTTTATCCTTCACTTTACTCCTCCTCGTCCTCCCTCAATTAACCTTGGCTGAAGATCACGACGACATAAATCAAGACGCACCGTCTCCTCAAGATTCACTCATTATTGATATCCATAATGGAGATTTATCTCAACTACAAGGCCATCGCGATTATTATTCGATCCTACTATTCACATCATCGAATCCTGCTCATGAATGTGGACCGTGTCAGCAAGTCATGCCTATGGTTGAACAAATTGGTAATTTGTACTTGGCACGCTATGCAACTTCAAATTTACAAATAAAGTTTTTCAATATTGATCTTGGTGATATCACCAATGCTGTCATTTTCAGAAAATTGAAGATGGATACTATACCTCATGTATGGTTGATTCCTCCTAGAAGTAGTAGTGGTAATGACGAGGTACGATTGAGTAATGAAGATGGTTCAGTTGAGGGTATTTTTGAGAGTCCCCATTTAGAATATCCCCTAAAAAAGGCTTCACTTGAGATACAAATTGTCGAGTTTGCCAAATTCCTAAGTGAGGTCTTGATGGTTGATTTACGTGTTGATACGACAACAGGTCAAAATGGTGCTTCACAAAGTTCAACAATTACATTTTTAAAGACATTTATCATCACCTTTACAATTGTCGTATTGATCAAAAAGAAAGGTTCCGGTTTCATATCAAATACATCAAGAACAACCATCATGTCCTATTTTGCAATTGGTATAGTATTGTTGTGTGTTGGAGGTTCACAATTTGCAATACAGAACCAATCACCGTTTGTCACCAAAGATGATGCAACGGGGACACTAGTTTTCATAAGCGGCGGCATGCATTACCAATATGCGGTAGAGATTTTCATTGTTGGTGCTAATTATGCGTTATTAGCTGCCTCGGTTGTAAGTTTGATTAAATTGGGCAGTTATCAAGTTACTGAGTCTAGTTTGATTAAAGATGAAAATTTGAGAGTATGGTTAATTATTTTGATTTCTGTGGTAATTTATTACCTATATAGTTGTCTTACGAGTATTGTGTTGAGAAAGGATCCCGGGTACCCTTACCCATTGACCAAATTGTTTTGAGATAGATATAGAAGGTGTATACATATTTTATGACCGTTTAGAGAGAAACGCGTAATTCAGCTTCTTTTTCCTTTTGACGCGCATTCTTCAAAGTTGTTGACCCTTTTCATTAAAGCAATCAGCAGTAATGACCAAGAGATCATTGATAACTGACTATTTCTCACAGGCTAAAGTAGTTGCTAAGAAACCTAAGTCGACAGACACGTCCAAGGTTTATGAAAAGACCCCAATAGCAGCTCCAAGCAAAGGAAATGACAAGACATTGACGACAAAGAATAATCCACTTGTTACCAATCAATTCACAACTTTTAATAAGCAAGAATGGATAAACAGTCTAAAGCCCGAGCAAAAAGAGTTGTTACAATTGGAAATTGATACATTACATATCTCGTGGTTGTCGGTGTTATACAAGGAACTAACCAAACCCTATTTCCTAAACTTGAAAAAGTTTCTTCACTCGCAACAACAACAGTCGAAAACAATCTTCCCCAAAGCTCAAGATATTTATTCATGGTCCAATTTAACTCCGTTACCCAATGTCAAATGCCTCATACTCGGCCAGGACCCATACCATAACCATAATCAGGCTCATGGTTTAGCATTTTCCGTTTTGGAACCAACAAGACCACCACCTTCATTAGTCAATATATACAAGACATTGGCAATAGATTTTCCCAATACTTTTAAAATACCCGATTGCAATGAGTTGGCAAAGCAAGGTAAACCAGGTGGTGGTAATTTGACGAAATGGGCGAAACAAGGTGGTGTGTTGATGCTAAATGCCGTCTTGACAGTTGAAGCTCACAAGGCAAACAGTCATGCCAATAAAGGATGGGAACAATTTACTGAACAAGTGATTAGAGTAGCTTTAGAATACCATAAAGAGAGAAACAGTGGGTTTGTGATTATGGCATGGGGATCTCCGGCGCAAAAGAGGTTAAAGTCTTTCGAGAAGTTGTTAACTAGTAAGAATAATGATTGTCAGTTTTTGGTGTTGAAGACGGTACATCCATCTCCCTTGTCTGCACATCGGGGGTTTTTCGACCTGCAGGTGTTTAAAAAGTGCAATGAATGGTTAGAAAAGAATAATAAAGATGTAATTGACTGGAGTGTGTACTGAGTCAACTAAAAACCCATAGGGAGGATGATGTTGTTTCCACATATGACTATATAAGAGACATCTTATATTAAGTCAAAATGACTTCTAATTAGGTTACATTTATTACAAGAATAATCATTAAGAACAGCCATTGTGACCTCTCTCTCTCTCTCTCTCTCTCTCTCTCTCTCCCTTTTGTTTTGAAGATAAGTACTTTTTGAGGGTAGAGGAAGGATAATCGTGTTTCTGTGGCCAGAGACGTACAGGTGGGTTCTATTAAGCAGAATACAATATGAATAGTGAAGTTGGTTAAGTGCAGTGAGTCGTATTCAATGTCGTTTGAATTATGCGACACACCAAATACGACAAATGCAAAAGAAAAAAATAAAATGAAAATATTTATACATATATATACAACATCAACATCACCCATTGAAAAATTTAAATACAAAAGAATGAGAAAAACAATTACAGTCTTTTTATTTTTATTTCATACTAGTACGGCATAATTTTTCATACTAAAGCGACATTTATTATTCGAACCAACGCGACATAAATTTTCATACCAACGCGACATAAATTGTTCAAACTAGTGCGACATAATTTTGTTTTATGTGATTTTGTTTGCGGTAGGAAAGAAAAATCATAATATAAGATTAAAACGGAATAATGAATTTCAAGCTGGAGTTACACACAAACAGATATGTGGATGGGATTGGTAACTTCTTCACTTTGGAGTTTGGCCGGATGACTCTAGAAGTTGAGATAACCCCGTTGGAATCGTGTTTTAGTTACAGTGACTACAATGAAGCAGTCCCTCCAACTAAAATTGAAACTGACAATTTACATTCCAACATGGAGTGTGATGATGTAGATGAAAACATCAGTTCTGGACAAGAAGAGAATTGTAAACGTAAAATGGGTCCATATAGATACTACTCTGAGGTACAGAAGTAAATATTCTGGCAACTAGTTATCGAGCAAAGGCGGAGTTGGAATCATTGTTTAGAATTAAAGAATTGAGCCAGGTACCCGTTGTTATCTTGGAAAATAAGATTGATGTTTGCACTGCATGTAGTGAGATGGAATTAAAGAATGCTTTGGGGTTGTACAACACAACCGGCAAGGATACCGGAAAATTGCCCGAAGGTACTAGACCAATCGAGGTGTTTATGGTTTCTGTTTTTATGAGGTCTGGCTATGGCGAAGCATTCAAGTGGTTGTCTCAATACATCTGAGCTTTTGTTTGATATTAATGTTGCCGCTTATATATATATATCTCGATAATGACCAATAGAGAATCATACATACTTCGAATAGTGAAAGGTTGTATTTTTTGTAGTAGCGGTGGTGGTAGTAGTAGTAGTAGCTCCCCAAACTGAAGCCAATACCCTCCACCAATTACTCAATGGCCATCCCAAATGGTGTCTTGACGATCTCCGCCCACATCATGTAATCTAACTATTTAAGTCAAGACATTCTATTCTGGACTCAAGATGATTCAAGTGGTTAAACTTATTTCTTTGTACTAAAGATACAAGTTACTGTTAACAGAGAAGAATCTCACAGAGGTTGTAAAATAACAAAGCAGGCAGTTTCAAGAGGTGTAATGCATCTGCAAGGACGCCTTATGTCTAGTTGAAACATCAAAGTTATTAATTATTACTTCTTTCCTTGTAGTGAGACCTAAACGCACTTTTTGACACAAAGTTGGTCCCAGTTATGGTACGGCTCAGCTTAGCATTTATCAAAGCAAGTCCAAAGAGACAGAGTATGCTGGAGTAACGGTACAACAAAGTAGGGGAAACAATGACTCCATTAGAGGATATAAAGCTTTAAAATATTCTAAAACCTTACGCACCTCTTTGACTGCACCTCTTTGACTAAACCTCTGTGAAATGCCTTGTTTATCAGATTTACCCTTCCAAGTAGTGCAACAGGTTTTCCTCAACATCAACCAACATCAAGCGTTGGCGCTTGCACCATTACATTCTAAATTTTACAACGCTACAAGGGACAAATTGTATCAAAACATCTATATTTATGGAGAATTTTTATATATACCACTAAAAGGCGACGCTATTCGATTCAAGTTTCACAAAGACATCAACAACTTCAGAACAAACAAATATACAGTAGTATCCAAATATGTTTTATACAAATGTATGTCTCAGATCAGACAGGACGTAAAAATTAATCATTTGATACTATCCGATTACGATGAGACTCTTATAAAGCAGGTTTTAGGACATTTCCAATCGATTCGGACTTTTGAAGTAATTCGATCTTTTGGGCTCAACAGGCAAGGCCATCTCACTTTTCATAAAGAAATGTCCAGAGAGCTCATGTTCAGTGATATGAGAGCAAATAATTTATTCAGCAATACCGTGTTTATTCCTCCGCCATTTAATCCGAATCAATTCGAGATACCATCAAATATTAAAACATCGCTTAGTTTATTTGTCACTTCAGATATTGTAAACTGGGATTTCCTCCACCCATTCCCATTTATAACAAATTTGACAGTTCTAGCTTTTCGCAGAGACATGCTTACCAAACGCGTAGAGAATTTGAGGTTGCATAAGTTACATCTCCATCATTTGATGGAAGTAGTCGATTATACAATAAGTGATGTGTTTAATACCATTGCACTCCGTGAATTGACCATTGTTGGGTATATTCAAATTGAAAAAGTATTTCCCAATCACAAGTTAGACGAAGAGTATCCTCAACTCGCTCAGTTCTGTCTAAGGCACAACGGAGAAGAAACTCAAGAGTTTACCATTCGGGATCTCCTAAACTTTTCACACATTAATTTATCGATGCTCATCCTTGCAACTAAATTTTCCAATCCGAAAACAGCAAGAGCAATTAGCTGGTTGTGTTTATACTTTCCCAAAGCCTCTATTAATTGGTGGTTTGAGCCAAGAGGATTTCCAATCCGGGCGTTAGGAATTAATAATTGCATTACTGATTCTGCATTTACTAATGATATATATATGCTAAGTCCACAGCTTCCTTTTGGTGTCATCGGCTATCATTTCCCTAAACTTCGTATAATCAACAGAACCGGGGGGCATGTGGATAAGAGAGTCAATTTTGCACGGAGACAGTCATTTGTGTTTTTGAAGAAATGGTACACGGATCTAGAGTTGGAAACGGTATATCGACGCTTTAAGAATGACTTAGATAGACACTTTTAGGTTAAATAACAACAATTCATGTGATAATCTATGGCACTAGATCTTAAATACGGCATATATACATATATCGCTAACAAAAAAAAGAAAAAAAAAAGAACATGCAAAGTGGTATTGAAGTTGCCTAATACTGCCTTAATGGTACATTCTCAATGCGCACAAAGTTTGTTTTCAGTTACACAAAAATAAAACGCTTTTGCAACTAGTCTATGCCCCATAATACAGTCATACTATGATAGCATACCAAAGAAGTTGCCACTGATAAAGTTCTGTCGATACAATTAATTTATATCATACTCTGTGTCTTTCATAGTTGACTTTTCTTCTTTACACTTCAGCATATATCAACAGCAAAACCATGGCCGCAAATTCCACGAACGTCGCTGTTCCATATTCCTATGCACCCACTGCCAAGTTGTTTACAGCAATGATTGGTAAGCAGTTGGAGGTATTTCAAACTAAAATTGAACTAGTGTTTGCCGAAGGCTCAGAAGACGTTGACTTCAGGGTGAGTGAGTTACACAACGAGGATTGGTCAGAAATAGGCCTTGAGGAGGCGACCCCATTAATTGAAGAAGCATAGAACTACTGCTTGGTTGGAATGGACCTTAACGAAACCACTACCTTCAAAAACACTTGCCACCAGATTTGCTCATTGAAGTTTGACTACCATCCAATTAGAGCAGCATTTACAGCTCAAACTAAAAGGGCATTGAATGAAGTAATACAAGATTACTGCTCCTTTGTTAAAGCAGCTTGGAAGGGTATCATACCATACTCTTTCTTAATGAATAACTTTTTGTCAGCGAAATTCTCATTTCAGTTGTGCCAAATTGATTTCCCTGTGGAAAGCGGTATAGAAGTTACTGAAACTGTCAATGATGTGTATTCATTGAAAAAATACCAAATCAACACAGACGTCTTAAGTGAGATTACCCTCAATTCATTCTACAACGAAGAATCTGCACCGATTTTTCAACTACCAACAGATGATGTTGGCAGTAAAGAATGCCACTTTAGCGTCATGTTTTCCCATTGGTTAAGACCATTCTTCAACATGATTAAAGGACAAGGGATACAACAGCCCACCATAAAAACGACAAACTTAGATCAGACAGACACATGGGCGGAACCAGATTGGGATTTAGTAGATGAAGACAAGGAAAATTTTTTTGCAGAATTGAAAAGAACTGGATTAAGCTCTTTTTGTGACGGAAGTGTAGGGCATCTAAAAATATTGGCACAAGCGGGTGTTTATTTCAGAGCCTGCAAATCCAACACGGGATTTGTTGTAACCCCGTTGATCATTTCCCGAATCGGGTTTAACGTTCCTGAAGATCTTAAAGAATTGGAGGGGAGCTCAAATGGAGACACTAGACACTCAGTTACCCCATTAGCAATTGATGTATTCAATCATGCATCACACAATGAGGGAGGGCTTCTTGCTGCATGGTTTAGCATGTTGATGGAAAAACCCCTAAGGACATTGTCTGAGCCAGAGTTAGAACAGCTTGAAGTGACTCTTCAGGAATTGAAAACAATGATAACTGAAAAAAAGAAACAAAAGCAGAAGAAAGCAAAGAAACCGGTCGCAAAGATAACAAAGAAGGCACGAAAGCAATGATGTGGTCGTGTATTTCATGTTTATAGCTCAGATATTCACAAGTGTGTATAGTTTTCAGCCGTTTTCTTTTGACGTTCTGTCACCCACAAAAGCAACAGCTACCTTTAGTTGTTTTCTCTTTCCTTAAATACTAATCCCAAAAATGAGTTCGATACTAGCAACCGATAGCAGAATAGCTTAAGTGTCCTTTCTCCAATTGCTAAAAATCAATATAGACTGGAGTTATTGAATCCGAGGCAAACAGAAATACGCGCCGATCCTTTGATGGAACTGTCCAATCAATGGTCATTTTTGTATGATGAGAAAACAACTCTTTATTGATAAAACATTTCAATACTCTTTGTTGGGGTGTCAAATGTGAAGGATCACTTGGAAGGTCAATCGATTTTTTTTTTTCAAAGCAAGGATTGGTGCTTCACTTTTAGTACCCAGGTATACAAAAAGATTGCAACAAAAGACATCCTACCCCTTCTTATTTTACACATTGCTGCTGAGTCGCGAACTACCAACGAATGTACAAATTTTAACTATTGGACTTGTTCTTGTGTATGGGCCCCTTGTTGCGAACAGGAAAAGCTTCAATAATGTGGGCAGTAGCTTGTGGATATATCTCAGAAGTATCAAACGAGGTTTGTCATTATCTTCATCATAAATGGTGGAACAAGTTGGATGCAAGTCTGTGTAGATAAACTAGCATTACTTCAACTGGGACCACTTTTTTATAGCTTTGATATCAGCAAGGAGGTAGGTTTCGTGGGTCAACTTATTCTGAAATGTAAATCAAGGAGGCATCTTTGGCCCTCTCTAGCGCTTTGTTTCTTATCTTGACGTCAACGTTGAATTGTATTATGCAGATGATTAGACTGAATAATTAGTTGTAGCAGGTTCCACTCTAACACTCATACTCGCATAAGACTCGACAGTGTGCCGACTATCCTTGTGAAATATAGGCCTACATCTTTCCAAAATCTGTTCTCGATTTTCCAGAAGATTCATTTGGAGCTTCACTCCATTGATTACTTCAAATTCTGATTTTCTTCCACTTCTCTCATCTTCTTTTCCTTTGTTTTTGTTTTTGTTTTTATTCATCTTGTCTCATTGCTTTGTCAACCCAGAATATTCATTTGCTAAGCAAAAGAAATGGAAGGCACCAAAGGGTCCCAAACTAGTTCACCACAAGAACAAGAACCTAATAGGTTTAGATCGTACCATTGCAAATCAAATAACTAAATAAAATGAAATTCAATACCTACCAGATGGGGGAGATGAGATTCACCACTGGCAAGAAGGATCCAAATTGGGTGAAATTAAGATCTGTTACTCAGGAAAACTCGTTGGATGAATTTTTGAGTACGGTACAATTGACTGATACTGATTTCAACACAGAGAGACGACAGCAAGTAAAAATAATCAAAGGGTGCAACACAAACATAATCAACTCAAGTGGGACATTGAGTGCAGATGAGATGTTAGCTATGTGGCAAAAAAGCATATGATGTTTGAGAACAAATTAACAATTCCCACACGTTCAAAATGGTTTAAGCAACAAAGCAAGTTGTAAAATGAAAGGCATGAGAATTTAGCATTTTTAGCATGGAGAAGGGATTTGGCAAGTTTGACCGAAAACAATGATCTGCTGTTGACACTATTTGAAAGAAATTTGGAGGTCTGGAAACAGTTGTGGAGAGTGGTTGAAATTCATTATCCCTTTTTAATCTTATATCATGATTTTCCTTTCCTATGCGAAACAAAATCACATAGGAGCAAAAAAAACTGTGACCTAATGTTGTGCTTTTTGGCGACACGATACTAACAGGGTTGAATCTGGAATCTCCACTCGCTTTCTAAGTAGATCCTAAGTCTATATCTATATCTTAATCTAAAAACACTAGCTTGTGGTCTTTACTGCGGCCACACTACAAGTAAGGCTTTGATTTTTATGTCGCAATGGTTTAAAATTTTGTGTCGCATTGGTTTGAAAAATTATGTCGTGTTGGTATGAATAATAAATGTCGCGTTGGTATGAAAAATTAATGCACATTAGTATGAATAAAATATAAAAAGACTGTATAATCATAATTTTATAATAACCATAAAATATCCTACTCTAATTTTTTTTTTTTCATTCTAAATTATATTAATAACACTCTCTTAGAGTATATACATCACTAAGTTATAACTCAAGTCAACTATAAGTGAATATAGGTGCACGCGTATCTCCTCCTCCCATCTTAAGAAAAGGATAAGAATTTGCTCAGTCAAATTGGTTTTTGCAGCCTTCAGAATTCCAAATCTAACAGTTCTTTTTTTTACACAAAAAATACCTAAACCAATCTAACAGAATAACAGAACACCCAGGGGAATATGTTATACCAAAAAAAAAAAAAAAAAAAACCAAAAAACAACAAACCATTCCAATTGCCAAAATCAACGAACAATAAAAAAAAATTATAAAAACAATCTCCTATATTCCATTTAGCAGCACTTTTCTACTCTGGTATTAGAATACATCAATACTACATCATCTACATTACACTACACTACACTACACTACATACGCAGACAAGCAGGCAAGCAGACACACAGACACACAGACACACAGGATGACCACTAGACATCTGATATCACATACAACTCCGAATGGTAAACCAGAGACACCTCAAGAGAGACAAGACAGGTTTCTACTAGAAGTCGATGCAAAACACGCGTACGCCAATGACAAGGACGATGCAACTAAACGGTTTCAGTACTTGCTAGGATTAAGTGCTATTTTCCGAAAATTCATTGATTTGAATGCATCAAAGGATCCAGAGTTTAAAAAAAGAGTGAGAGAAATTGATAATAAACGATCATTTAAAGAGTCGGGAAAAAAGAAGAAAAGCAACAGCAGACGTCGGAAAACTGAAAAAGAGGAAGATGCAGAGTTATTGCAAGATGAAGAGCATCAGGACGATGAAGAAAATCAGCATACTGTGTTTACTGAATCACCATCATATGTCAATGAAGGTACGTTGCGAGAATATCAAGTTCAGGGTTTGAATTGGTTGATTTCCTTGTACGAAAATCGTTTGAGTGGAATTTTGGCTGATGAAATGGGATTGGGTAAAACCTTGCAAACAATATCATTCTTGGGATATCTTCGATATGTCAAACATATTGATGGACCATTTATAATCATAGTGCCTAAATCAACGCTAGACAATTGGAGAAGAGAATTTGCCAAATGGACACCTGATGTTAATGTTGTCGTATTGCAAGGAGATAAAGAGCAAAGAGCCAGCATTATTAAAGATAGATTATACACGGCAGACTTTGATGTTTTGATTACTTCATTTGAAATGGTGTTGCGAGAAAAAAGTGCATTGAAAAAATTTAGATGGGAATATATTGTCGTTGATGAAGCCCACAGGATTAAAAATGAACAAAGTTCACTTTCACAAATCATTCGATTATTTTATTCCAGAAATAGGTTATTAATCACCGGTACACCTTTGCAAAATAACCTTCATGAACTTTGGGCATTGCTTAACTTTCTTTTACCTGATGTGTTTGGAGACTCTGAACAGTTTGATGAAACTTTTGATCAACAAAATAGTGATTTGGATGAGAAGGCAAAAGCTGAAGAACAGGACAAGGTTATTCAAGAATTGCATCAACTTTTGAGCCCATTTTTGCTTCGTCGTGTAAAGTCAGATGTTGAAAAATCGTTGTTACCTAAAATTGAAACAAATATATACACAGGTATGACCGATATGCAAGTATCGTGGTATAGAAACTTGTTGGAAAAGGACATAGATGCAGTCAATGGAGTTGTCGGGAAAAGGGAGGGGAAAACAAGACTCTTGAATATTGTCATGCAATTGAGGAAATGCTGTAATCATCCGTACTTGTTTGATGGAGCCGAGCCTGGACCACCCTACACAACTGATGAACACTTGATTTACAATTCTGGGAAAATGATTATTTTAGACAAGATGTTGAAAAAGTTTAAACAGGAGGGGAGTCGTGTATTGATTTTTTCACAAATGTCTCGAGTTTTGGATATTCTCGAAGATTATTGCTATTTCCGAGAGTACGAATATTGCCGTATTGATGGTTCGACGGCCCATGAAGACCGTATTGAAGCGATTGATGAGTACAATGCCCCTGATTCCGATAAATTTATATTTTTGTTAACGACTAGGGCTGGTGGATTGGGTATCAATTTAACTTCGGCCGATGTGGTTATTCTTTACGATTCAGATTGGAACCCTCAAGCTGATCTTCAAGCCATGGATAGAGCACATAGAATTGGACAAAAGAAGCAGGTCAAGGTTTACCGATTTGTTACTGAAAATGCCATTGAGGAAAAAGTCTTGGAACGAGCAGCGCAAAAATTACGTTTAGATCAACTAGTTATTCAACAAGGAAGACAAACCAACGCAGGAGCCAATGTGGGTGGCTCCAAGGATGATCTTATTGAAATGATTCAACATGGTGCACAAAAGGTATTTGAAGATCAAAAGAGTACCGTCCTCGATGATGACATTGAATCCATTTTGGCACGAGGCGCAGAAAAGACTAAAACCATGAATGAGAAATTCAACAAGTTGGGGTTGGAGGATTTACAAAATTTTACATCTGACGGATCAGCTTACCAATGGAATGGAAAAGATTTTACCAAGAAGGAAAATTCGGGCGGTCTTGGTTTCAATTGGATTAATCCATCAAAGAGAGTCAGAAAGGAACAGACTTATTCTGTGGACAATTACTATAAAGATGTATTGAAACAACCATTGACTGTCAAGGAGAAGCCTCAAAAGCAAACGATTATAAAACCAAAAGCTCCTAAAGCTTACACTTTTCAGGACCATCAATTTGCTCCACCTGGTTTGGAAGGGTTGTTGGAAAGAGAGCAGCTAAGTTTCAAAAAGGAGACAAGTTTCCAATACTCGGTTGATGATTTTGGTGATAGTGATGAAGAATTCCTTGTTGATGAGGATAAAGATGAATTAAATCGTGAAGAGAAGCGTAAATTGGAACAAGAAAAAATTGACAATGTGGTGCCCTTGACCGAAGACGAAATTCAATTAAAAGACAAACTATTAGCTGAGAGTTTCCATACTTGGTCGCGACGTGATTTCACCAACTTCATTCACGCAACTGCCAAGTATGGCCGTGATGCATATACCCGCATTGCCAAAGCATTAGGCAACAAGACCAAAAATGATGTGAAGCGGTATGCATTAAACTTCTGGCTCAAGCATCAACAAATTGACGGGCACGAAAAATACATATCTCAAATTGAAGCTCAGGAAAAGAAGCGTGACAAGTTAATGAACCAACAACGTTTATTAGCGGCCAAGATTGAAAACCTCACTGATCCATTTGAAGATTTGCCCATTGTGTACCCGCCCAACAACTCGAAACGAATTTATTCGAAAACAGAGGATAAATTCTTGCTCAATTGTGTCTACAAATTCGGCATCACTGACGAACGATTAAATGACAAGATTAAACAAGAAATTCAAAACTCGGATACTTTTAAATTCGACTGGTTTATTCAATCACGAACCAGTCAGGAAATTGGCCGTAGGGTCAATACTTTACTTTTGGCAATCACGAGGGAAGTTGAAGGGCCCATGAATAAAAAGAGGAAGTTGTTGAGTTCGTCGAATAATAGTAATAGCAGTTCAAGAGTGGGGTCGGTTGAACCTATCAATGGGTCGGATAAAGCACTACTGGAAACTCCAGCCAAGTGAAAAGAGTAACTTAGCTAAAAAAAAAAAAAATAGACAATTTTGTTTTATTTTATATAATACATACAAAAACTTTTTTATTCTAAAAATAACACAGGATGAGCAGTAACTTCGTTTCAACATCAATTAGGTTTGCCATTTTCTGGCTCAGAATTATGATCAGTGGGTGGAGTCAGCTCGCCTCCGTTCACGTCACCAAGAATTACTCCGCCACTAATACCTACAACATTATCTCTACCGCCACTTTCACCACCTTCACCACCTCTTCCGCTCTGCATACTCTTTTCACTTCCTTCATCTTCATCATCACGATCAATCCTGCCATCGGTTAAAGAAGGAGTCGTCGATTTCGACAATGCACCTGAATGAAACAACAACTCCCCCAACAACTCTTCTCTGCCCAAATACTCGGGCCTAATAGTCTCCTCCACCGTTGAGATATAATACGGCACCTTATTGGCTGTCCAACTAACCGACATAATATCACTCATTTCGTGCTTCTCTACCGAAAAGAAATCAAATGCAGTATTGAAACTGGCTCTATACCTGGGGCTAATGAAGTTTCTTAAACTGATAATCTTGGTCCCTGGTTTGATTCCATAGAGTAATTTGCCCACTGCATCATTCAATTCGCCATCGAATAAATAATTGTTGATGATTAATACATCTGAAGCAAGACAATCTTGACGCACTTGGTCATTATTGACAAATGATTGTTTCAAGGCAAACTTCAAATTCAATGGCGATAATCCAAATAATGCCATGTATTTCTGAATCAAATTTTCCTGCAACATCGTTAAATGCGAAGCATGGTCCATGATTTCACATCCGCCTGAACTACTAGCACCAAATTCCAATGCCGCTTGTAATGTAGTGTTGCCAACCCCGGACCCCAAATCATAAAATTTCTGCGTGGGTTTCAATTGCACTTTTTCCAAAACTTCACTTGTGAATGAAGGAAGCAATTCGCCGTATACTTCAGCAGTGAAGGCCTTGTAGGATCGCAATTTCCTCGAATCGGTCGAAACGACTCGTGAATAAACGCGAACGAGGATTTGTTGGATGGCATAACGCGATAACGATGTCTTTTCGCGTAATCGTTGATAAAAATCGGCATTGTAATTGCTAGGCTTTGTCCATGCCTGTTGTGATGGTGGTGGTGGTAGTGGCTCCTTGTCACCGGAATTGTTTGTGGTTTGCACTTGCATTTGCGGTGGCGGTTCAATTTTACCAATGGAGATATCGGCATCCTTGTCATCTTCAATGACCTCAGTTTCACCTTGAACTGGTTCATAAACGGGACTCACTGATTCAAACGCAATTTCATTATAAAACATGTCCAAATTCAAATCCTCAATTTTGACATGTCTGATTTCAGACTCATTGAGTAGTGATTTAGCACCAGCATTCAAATCATTGTTGTCAGCACAAATTTGCGCCACGGCGGCATCATTGGGTGATAAATGCAACATCAACGAGTTCCAACTATCGATAATATACATAAACTCACCAAAATCATTTTCTTCAACTGCCAATTCCAACTTGTGACACAATTCATTAATGTAGGTTTTAATCGCTGCAGAATAATCAAAATACAATGCATAATGAATCATAAACACCTTGATGATCTCATGCACGGGGTCCAATTCGTTATCTTTTGGCTCAGCAAGCACATACAGTTCACAATGTTGAGGATATAACAAAAACCGGATCTTGACACTGTTTGCATAATTTATATTTGTATCACCATTGGATAACGCAGTGTTCGTGGAGGTGGTGTATTGCGGAAAGGAAATGGGCAAGTCACGATAACATCTTCGATGCGAACCAACAACATCAGCAGCAAGTTCATCGTCATACAACACCGCATCGTCCTCAGATGTCATTGCTTGCTTTGCCGTTTCATCTTGACGCAAGTGTCTAAAGTTCAATTCTGGTAATCTGGGCCCTTGATCTGATTCATAAACTGACTTGACAAACAACTTGCGATCATTCAATGGCACTAATACATCGGCATTGATATCGGGTGGATCAAATGGACTTACATGATCCTCTTCTTCTTCCGGCTGCGACTCTGGCTCCGCGCTGCGCAAATCAAAATCACTAAACTCCTCATACTCGTCATCAAAACTGTGTCTCCCCTTCTTGTTTAGCTTTCTCTTTTTCCTTGATGCCAGCTTCTTTGATTTCCTTTGCAATTCCCTTTTCAACCTAGCTTCCTCCTTGAGCATCTTTTTCAACTCCGACTTTTGTGCTTGTCTAGCTCTAGCTTTAAATTTGACCTCAACCACAGGGGGCGAGTAAAGTATGGTTTGGGTACGTTTCCTCTTGGTCCCATCTTGAACTTTCTGTTTATCACCTGTTATAGTTTGGAAATATTCAGCACTTTCAGCCAATAGCTTGATCCCTAGGAGCCGATTTCTAGCTTTCCTGGAAGAGTCGACTGGATTTGCTAACCTGTAAGCTTTCGCCAATTCAAGTCGAAGTTTCCTTTCCGCATTCTTTCTCTCTTGCGCTTCGAGTCTTGCCTTGGCTCTAGCTGCAGCAATTTCAGGATCAATGGAAGATTTTGGTGGTGGTTCAATCTTTCGTGCTTCTTGTTCCAATTCTTCAAGCTTGTCGAGATCGAAATCATTGCCAGCACTTCTCTTTGTCCTCCGTCTAGATGAGTTGCCACCAATGAATGCCATACCAGCTTCATACAACAATCTCTCGGCATCATTCTTAAATTTCTGCTTCCTCAGACTAGCATATGCAATCTCCTTATATTTGACATCAATAAATGACGTTGACCTCATCGGATATTCAGAGTAAATCTCCTCTACGGAGATACCTTGGCGGGCTTGCTCGGTTAATAAACTCTTTTCGCCTATAGTTAAGAAATTTTCAACGAAATCAGGGTGGCTTTTAATGCGGTCACAAATACTGTCAATGTTCCGAGGCCCGAAACAGTTTGCTAATCTCGTCCGCGTAAGATCAATCTCGATGCACTCGCGCAAAGCTTCTGATTCTGTAGGTACGGTTGCGGGCCGTTTAGGGGTTTTCAAAACTGGAGGTGTTGCGTGACTAGATGGAGCAGTGGCCGGCCGCTTAGTGGTTTTCAGAACTGGGGTTTTATTATTAGATGAAGTTGCAATGGCCCGCATCTTAGGGGCTTTAGGACTAGTTGACAAACCTGCGACTTTTCTTGAAAAATGAGAAAGAGAAGCATATCGTTTGCAGCTCACACCAGGGTGCTTGGCTTTAAGTTCATAGTACTTTGTTTGAACCCCCAATCTTGTCCGGGTGGGAAAGAGCGGCAAAATGACATCCCAATCAAGATTGTCGACTAACCTGCGATCCCACAACAACTTTTCTTCCTCTGGTGACCAAGGCCACCCGACTCGCGATTCTAGACATTGCGGTTGAGGTTGAGATGATTTTCTATTGGAAAGGTCTTGGCTTTTGGAGCTTTTGGAGCTTTTGGAGCTTTTGGAGCTTTTGGTGTTTGGGGTCTGTATTTTTGACGCGTCTTTCGCGGTTGGTGCATGTTTCTGTTGCTCCTCCTTCTCCTCTGTAAACTGTGAATAAAGTCGACCAAGTCTACTCAGACATGCAGATACTGTGCGGTTATCAAAATGTCGTACAATGACTTCCCAATCTAGTTTTCGTTCAATTCTTAGATTCCATAATAGTCTGTCCTCCTTGTCGGTCCAATTGACGCGTTTTCGAGATCCGCTTTCAGTAAAATCTTCTTCTTCTTTTTCTCCTTTTTCTTCTTCTCGTATCATCCACTGGAACTTATGTTTACATGACAGTGCAGAACGATTAAGCAAAGGGGCAATATCATCCCAGTCTAAACCCTGCTCTTGTTTCAGTTTCCATAGTAATTTAATATCCTGAGGTGTCCATTTTCGGGATTGCTTTCCGCCACCATATTTTGATATATCGTTAGAGTCTGCTGCTGCTGCTATCAATTTCGAATCATCACTTCTTGATGGTGGAGCCGTCGAACTGGTGTGTGATTTGGCACAAATGATGCTTTCAATCTGAGCGTCGTCGTACAGGCCGGTACTTCTTAGTTTTTGAATAGATTCTTGAATTTCTCTTTTGAGCGACGATTGATGATAATCTACTAAGTCATTCATGTCTGGTGTAGGTTGCTCATTAGAATGTAGTAATTGATGCGTAATGATTTTTCTGTAGACCAATTGGTTTGTCTGTCCTTCATCTTCATCATCCAGTAGGATTTCTCGACACACTTGCATGACCTGCTTCCAGAACGTTTTCGGGGAATTATGTATTATTTTGCTTAGTGGTTCTTGCAGGCAAATTCTTTCTCTTAGTGATGATGCTGTCATGATCATACAATGTGGTTGTGTATTCTTTTGTGTTGTTTTTAATTATCTTTTCTCGAACTCGTGCTGAAATATCTTTGTCAAATGAGTAATAAAAAACCACTCCTTCTGCATCGATTCCAACTCTCACACGGATCTGTTCTTGTTCCTTTCTTGCTGATCTCTTTCACTTCTAAATCGCAATCGCTAAATGCCACAAACAACTTTCAGATATTGGTGTGCCGTTGTTATGTGATTAACTCTTCAGACTTTTCTTGATGTGGAATGGATGGTTGGCCTCTTGATGTTGTTCTAAAGGTTAAAGAGATTCCTCCCCTGCTGTGTAATGATAATTGTAAAATTGAAAAATGCTTGACTTTCTATTAGGAAGAGAGATCTGCAAAAAATAATTTGTTATGATTTTAGAAGTCAAAAAGAAAATGAGAATAAAAAGAAGAAGAGAAAACAAAAAAATCCTTATTACGTAATGTCTTACATATAACACTATGGGGGATGATTAGGTAAATATATGATCAAAATTTTAACACGCGTCTTTCATTCTTGTGACAGAGAGTTTGTACTGGAATAGGAAGTGTGGCATCTCAGAACTATTGTCTTTCAGTCCTCTGTCAACTACTTTAAAGACTAGGGAAAGAAAAAGTATTGTTGACAGCCTCAATCTTTCGTACCACCCTCATCACCTGTTTAGTCGTTTTAGTGTTGTTTAAATGGCTGAAAGTCAGACTTGGAAAGAACGAATGTAACGGGCCACTACGCAATGTGAATAAATAGAGAAAACGTCGCTAATCTATTTATATATTATTATTATTACTATTAGCAGTATCAGTTGCAGTTGAAATTGCAGCATTGGGTAGTATGTACAAAATTTTCTTTGTTTTAATTATACTTCGGTAGGTTTGGCATTAATCCTGGTCATATCTATGCTATCAAGGATATCCTGAGCACCTTGTTCCTTTAATTTATCTCCCAATTCAATTCCTAACCGTTCACAATCCTCATCTCTATTATTAATCTTGCCACAAACTTCAGCTTCAATAGCTTGAGTACCATCAGGACTAACAACTATACCTTTTACTGTCAATACTTGTGTATGTTGATTGTATTCTGAATGGACACCCAATGGCACTGAACATCCACCTTCAAGATACCTCATCAATGATCTTTCAGCAAGACAACATACAGTTGCTACTGGGTCTTCAATTTGCTTTAAAATTTCCTTAATGGCAAAGTTATCCTTCTTAATCTCAATGCCCAATGCACCTTGACCAACAGCATAATAGACATCGTCTAAACATGAAGTGATTCTATCGCCCAATCCCAAACGTATTAACCCAGCACTTGCTAATATAAGACAACAATATTCGTTTTCAGGATCATCCAATTTTCTTAATCTGGTTTGAATATTGCCTCGTACACTTTCAAATTTCAAATGAGGATAGTTTTTAATCAACTGACTCAGTCTTCTAATGGAAGAAGTACCAACTATTGAGCCAGCTGGCAAATCTCGTAAATGGGTATAAGGACTACCCTGTTTCATAACTATAGCATCACGTGGATCTTCTCTTTGGAATATGCAACCCAATTCAAACTCATCAGGTAAATGAGTTGGCATATCTTTAAGCGAATGAACAATTAAATCCAATTGAGGAAACTCGTCAACTCTATCCATCAAAAGTATTTCCAATTCCTTGGTCCATAAACTCTTACCACCAAATGAATAAAGTGGCTGTGTTTGTACCTTGTCTCCCAAAGTACTTAAAGCTAGTATTGAGCAGTCAATTTGGGGGTATATGTCTTGTATGGCCCGTTTAACAAGTTCCAGCTGTACAACGGCAAGTTTTGACTTTCTACCACCAATCTGTATATGAGATATGTCTAGTTGTGAGGTAATAGAATTGGTGGAGTCATTTATGGGCATAGTAGTGTGTGGCATTAGTGAAATAAAAGTGCTGTTGTTGATGAAAATTGGTTAAGTTAACGTAAAAAGAAAAAAAGAAAAGGAAAAGTAAAATGCAGTGAAGTGTGGAATGCAGCTAGTGAGTGTGTGTGTGTGTGTGTGTGTGTGTAAGAAGCAATGAACAGGTGTAATACTGTATAATCCTAACTTCTTTATAAGAAAGAAATGGTTTTCGTTTAATGAAGATATAACTTGATATAAAGATGTAAAAAAATTTTTGACAATTGTCTTGATATTTAAAATCTTCTCAAAAAATAAAAAATAAAAAATAAAAAATAAAAAATAAAAAATAAATTAAAAATTATAAAAAGTTACTTGTGAAAATTTTAGTACAATAAGGGATCAAATATTAAGATAGCACAACAAACAACAAAAATGTAATAATATACATATATCTACCACTGGGTAGTAATAAGCTATAGGATAACATATAGAAGTACTATGAGAGCAGACTATGGTAACAGTTGATGATACTTACTCGATTAAGATATCAAGTATAGGTAGCGTACCTGTGGTTAAATATATTTATGTAAAGGGTAATTGTAAATTCAAAGAATCTGATTGATTACAAAATTTCTTTTTTTCTTATTTTTATTTTTTCTTTTTCTGTTTCATCCGCTTCTGGTTTATTCTTTGCTTACATTAATCTTAACTCTCGTTTTGTTTGACATAAACGGTTCTAGTCCTCTCCTCTCTCTCTCTCTCCACAGCGGCTTTACAGCATGCACGCATTTTTATACCCAATTAGGTAATTACTACACTACTACCACTGCCAACACTCATACTTTACTTTTAGTCATACGCTACAATTCCACTAACACAACTACTAGTTAGTTCTATATATCTCATACGAGCTGATTATGTTGTTTATAAGCTACAATAATTGTGGTAGCAACCTAAGTATTTTGTAAACATAGAGCAACACAACAATACAATACAAAATGATTAGATCCAGCAATCTTTAATAATCAACAACAACACATTCGTAGCTATTGGTTTATCGTTTTGCAGCCTTTAGTATTTACCACCATCCAATCTTCAAACGTATATATATATATATATGTTTAACTTACAAGAAAAGGAGTTTTGCTTAGTAAATTAACATAACCCTTACTATAATATTTTGCTTTTGTAAAACATAAATGTACTACATGTTCTACATGTTCTACCAGCTTATTCGCTTCTTTTACTCTAGTTCAAAAGAGTATACCGATACGAGTGCAACTACATAATCCGTGGGTATACAAAAGTATACTGACAAACTGCATTGATTTGATTGGTTGAAATTATGTTTTTTTTTTCTCTTTTAATATGTCAATTCCCGAGTCGTACTAAAAGAAATCTAATATACAGGAAATAAATAAAAATCAAATCAAATCAACAGCAAACATAACAAACATAACAAACATGACAAACAAACAAACAACAACATCGGAAATAATAAAGCAACAGAAAAAAAAAAAAAAAGAAATCCAAATCACTTCATCTTAGTTTTGATTATGATTTTGTGTACTTCTATTGAGTGAGGGGCAGCATATCACTAAAACTTTAATAGTAATGAGAGGGGTCTATCTCCGCTGTGAGGAGACCCCAATTTGATGTCAACCGTTATAAACAGTAGAAAAATAATAAATCTTCGAGGCTACACTTTGTTCTGGTTTAAATTAACATTTCCAAAGTAAACTAACAATTAACACTTTCTCTCTCTATTATATATGTATATAATCTATTATCAAAAGTTTATCCCCATCCATTCCTCTCTTTGTTTCTCTCTTTTCGCCCATTTAAAATGTCTCATCACTATCATATTGGTCTATTTCAGTATCACTCAACGTATTGAACTTTAACGGAATCGTTCGATTCAACTCTTCACTGTCTAGATCATCATCATCTTCTTCTTCTTCTTCTTCTTGTTCTTCTTCGTTTTCGTCATCCTCATCATCGTTGCAATTGACAGTAGATCCAGAACCTCGATTACTACGTCGGTTACTATCGTCACCACTTTCAGAGTTAATCAGCAAGTCATCATCGTCATTCTCATTATTACGCCCATATCTGCCCCTAATTCGATGATTATCATCTTCATTAATTCGATACATCATCACCAGTTTCGAATCATCAATACTGGTTGATATCATACGCTTTGCAAGTAAAGATTCAAGGTTTGATATTCGTGAAAGAATCTCTTGACTATGCGTTGGCTGCAGTGTAGTTGTCGCCACAGGTAGTAATGAAGGTGCAGGTGGCGAGCCAAAGTATGACTGTGGTGGTGCATAAGAATGGGGCGGTTGTGATTTCCCTTGATTTGTTGTTGTCTGCAGAAACACTGATCCACGTCGTGGTACATTGAATGACTTTTGAAGCTTGATGGGTATCTGGTGCAGTTGCTGTAGTTGCTGTTGCAGCACCATTGGTGGTGATTGGCGTCGCTGTTGTTGTTGCTGTTGGTTATGTGCTTTACGGGAAAATACCCGATTAACCGCCGGTATTGGTGTTTGATTTTGAGTTTGGGTCTGTATGCGATCAAGTTTGTTGTTATCTACTGCATTCGTAGTTGCCGCCATACCACCAACACCATACTTTCGATTCAACAACTGATCAATAAAAAATGAGTCAGTAGAAGCAGTTCGTAGATGGCCACCTCCCAATGTGCTAATGGACTGATGATTTTTCATGGCTTGTCGTTTATTCACTTTGATCGCCGCTGCCTCTTGCGGTGTGTCGGCATATCCAATACTGTTTTGATCACCAAAAAGCTGATCTTGGTCATTACTAGGTTGAATAAACACAAAGTGTTTCAAATCAACAACATCATCATCATTCTTGTTTATCCTTCGTTTGTTTAAAAGTACATGTACCATCACCTTGTAAATCAAAATCATAATCACAAGGGGCAATTTAAACAACTGACAATACCAATTAACCACACCATGACGTTGGTTCATTTGGCCCATTTTAAAATACAAGATTAAATTATTCAGTTTAAAGAAATTAAACTCATGATCAATATTCTCTCTCGTCTTGGTGAAAACACCACTAAGACAAATGGCCAAAATCGTACCCACAATAAACTGAATCAAAAACAAATAACTCATTTGCATAATTTTCCCCAACGTGTTAAAATCATCCCAATAATTCCACACCGACGGCGTAAACCCAAAGAAAATCTTCAACATGTTAAACAATACATCTTGTCTCGTTTGCGTTGAACTAAGGGTGATAAAACTGAAATAAAACCCACTAATCAATGTGAAAAAGAACAATACAAGTCCAATCAAATTGAAAATCATCTTGTGGAACGATAATAAAATCAAATTGAAAAACCGATAATTGTTGAATATGGCCAAAATTCGTGGGAATAGGATAATGCCGATCAAACTGAAAACATCATGAAAATATTGCGGGGCATTAATGACGAATTTGAAAATAAAACATAAATCAATAATGCAAACAAAGAGTAAATCAATTTGATTCCAAATGACAAGATTCATAAACCGATGATCGATTTGCACTAGTTTTGTCACCACTTCGCCATTGAAACTTAAAGCAAGGAGCCAGAAATATAGTTCCATCACCACCGAGCGCAGTTGTTTAGCAGGTTGTAAAATCATAATGAGATAAACTATGGCAAAGTTGATGAGTTTTAAATTTATCAAAACGTGTTGATATTTTGGTACGAGTTGGGCTCGATTGAAAATTCGACGAATGGAAAACCTATCATCTGAGTCGTCGAATATCATTTCATCGTTATCCGCATCTGAATCATCATCTGAATCATCAACTTCTCCTTCATTGACATTATCGCCATTGTAACTGCTCCTCCTGCTATTGTAATTGTTCTCTCCATTAAAGGTACTACGCTTTAATTGACGTTGTTTCTTCGAGCTTGACTCTGTCCCCAACAATGCGCTTTTTTCATCATCTCGAAAGTCGCCATTTTGATAATATAAATAAGACCCACCATCACAATAAACTAAATCACCATTATAGAATCGTTTCAAAATGTGTATAACTATAGGTTGTGATAAGAACCGTTTCAGTTTCGACAATACGCTCAACTCGAGGGTATTCACATCCATCATGCCCATCGCTGCCATGTTATTGCTATTGTTATTGCTACTGTTGTTACTATTACCAGAGACCAATCCTAATGGTGGTTTAACAAATAGCATTTGTATTCTTTGCCATGATTTGTATTCTCGCAACATACGAATAGCCAATAATTCACAAACGTTGGCCTTTGTAACTAATAAATCAAAGCAAATCAAGTTGTTTTCCAGTTGGATCAAGTATTCATATCGAAGTAGAAGTAAAATGTAAATGGTAAATGTTGAAATTTTCAGCCTTGGCTTTATGTCAGTAGTGAACGCATGTGTCGATAGTAGTGTCGATGGTAGTGTAGCGTTGGCAGAATTCCGTTCAGTGATGGCCAAGATTTCAACAATAATTGGTTTGATCAAAGTAGAAAGAATTTCGGGGGATTTTAATTGTTCAAACTTCAAACTTAGAGATACATTGCAATTAATGAGATTTTGAATTTGGAAATAATACGATTTGAAATGGACAAGTTTGCGATGTTGACGTTGTTGCCTTTTTTCTTTTCCAATGATGATGGAATCACCTCTGCTGGTTGGAAGGGGTGTAAATGATGAAGATGAAGTTGGTAAAGGTACTTGATTGTAACTGAGTTCTCTATACTTCGACATTCCTTCTCATTATCTAGATATGAAAATGATGAAGGGGTGTGATGGAATAACAAAGTGTGATTTGAAAAGGTGACCTACTTCGTCTTCCGCTTGTATTTTAGGTGCCCTTTTAAATAAATATTTTATCTTTCGATATCAAGCAAATGTTCCATTAAAGGGTCATTCCCATTGTTGAAACATAGCATTTTTATGTGTGTGGGGTGTATAAATTTAGCGAAACTAAAGAGAAGAATGTTGCTTTATTGTTTTTTTCTAAATCTGGTGAAAATGTAAATAAATGTTGAGCTACCAAAAATGACTTTTTGCATCACAAATAGCATCACCCATTTGCCACAAAACTTTTGTCTCATTTGTCATTTATTGAAAGCAAAGCTTTCTATTGACAATTGTCTTTTTAAAAGAGAAATAATGCAGATAGGATATGTGTATGATGTGTAATTGACGAACACCGAGATATAGAGGTATTCGGAGATATTTTGCTGCGGTTTTTGTGCAAAAATATAATGACAAAATTTATCTCTAATTTATTCGACCTAAATTGAACCATTTTTTATATAGAAAACCTACTTGAACTCATGGACATAAATTTGGAAAGTATCACATGCTATGAAGTAATCTTTGATGTACAAAGTCTGTAGTCCGAAAAACTCTGAAGTTTGTTATACAACTTGACCAATTAAAAATGCTCTTTTCACTCATTTCGGCAAATTTTGATAAATGACTTTATAAAGATAGTGCTAACAACACTTCATGGAACTCAATTGATTATACTCTCTAGTTCAACAACATCAAATACCGAGCTGTAAAAGTCGTGAACGCGGCAAAAGTAGCCGGTCCAATTGAAAGTCAAGTGCAAGTAAATGGTAACTTGAACCATGACAGTATCAAGTACAAAAAGATACACTTCCCTTGACTGAACATGACCATTAGTACCTTCAATCATTTCAACACAACGGAAAACAGATCTCACCATTAGCAAAATACAACTTGAGCCTAACACCATTAATGCGTGTTTCCAGTTCCCCATTTTTGGAAACGACAGTTCCAATGTGCTTGCACGCTTAGTAGGATTTTTCCTGATCCTCATGGCAAACCTGAAAAACACGTAGCAAAAACCAGCAAAGAAAAGGAATTGCACAATAACTCCCGTGATAAGCGAGGCTCTACCTACTACTTGTAAAGTATCCGACTGGATGACTTGCAAACCACCACCACTTGCTTGCACAAAAAGTGATATTATGTCTCCAGTGACAAATATTTTAGCAAGATACGACAAAGGCACTATTGAGTAAAATTCAGCACTAAGACTTTTTGCCAATTCGCAAAAGATCATATAAGTGCTTGCTAAAATAAGTGTTGGACCAATCAAAATAAAGACAGACTGAATCGCATATGGCATAAGATTCTCTGGATCCTTACAAGAAGCAGAACGGGCAGCGTATCCTATAACCTCCAAAAGGATTCCCACAAGAAACGGAATCATCACATTGCAGTACCTTTTCAAGTTTTTGGACTTGATGCGACCTCTAAACTGTATGTATTTTGACACTATAAAGTATGCTTCCACGATTGCAAGGATAAGGAAAAGAACAACATAGTGGACTGCTACCCCAAAATTGGGGATGTATTGATAAAACTGATAATCGCTTGACTCTTCAGACATGAAAGTTATTTGTCTGATAATAAAAACTTACCACAACTATTAGGGAAAAGTTTGAGATATTTATATTTCTTCTTTTTTTTGTGTCGTTATTTCTATGCAGCATAGCCCTGTGGTACAATAAACTCAATTCTCGGGGAGTTGAAACTGTGTATTACGCGCATTATAATGAGAATACACGTTAAAACATAAGAATTAATGGTTTATTGACTGAAAGGGTTATCAGCATAGAACTTCTACTTAAAGAGTGATAACTAGAATGAAGGAGTCCTCACAGCATCATAAAGTTTAGAGAGATGTTCATTTTCTCATCAAAGATTTACAATTTACTGTAAAACTTATTGCTACGATATTTTGAAAGTTCTAATAAACTCATAAAATAAAAAAATAGGAGAATTGACCCATTATATTTGAGAACATTTCCGGACTTAGTGTAAGTTACGAATCAACTTAGGAGAAAGTAGTGTACAGCTCAAAACCAGTTTAGTGTCATTGTGCTACAAAGCCTCTGTTTTACCTGATGATTGTTTTTCACACCCAGGCCCACAACTTTCACTGTTATATCGCAACTACTTACATGCAATAGACTGTATGACGGACCTACACCCAAACCTAATATACTTTATGTGTATTAGGCATTTTGAATTTCACATTTCACATTTCACAAAATTATTACAATAAGACCTAAAATTAGGCTGTATTCTCTTATTCAATGAAGTGGGGAAAACGTAGAAATTTACTGTACTATATAGTACCTTCTTGTATGTCGTGGTATGTTATTCCGTTTGTGATGTCCCCCTAACGGCGACGGTCAATAATGCTTTTGAACATAGACACGAAGAGGTATTTGGCGAGAGGGAGAGATTTTGCGCGTGTGCGAGCGCAATTTCCACAAAAGGGGAAGAAAAAAAAGAATTAATGTTTCTATATTTAGCACACAACAATTGCCTTTTTTAAATTCTTTTTTTTACCGTACGTGCATTTCCCGGGATTGTCCTTTAAATGCAACAACAACAACAACAACAGCAACACAATACAATTTAGACATTTGATGCCGTACGTCCTTCTGATCAGTCTTTGCTACATCAAGCAAAGTTTGTTCAAATCCACATTAGCTATAGTAGTAGTATCATGGCTCGGCAATAGGAAAGAAACAAAAGTTTTTTTCCCTCCTTAGATGCCGAGAGGAGAAAATAAAGCCACGCAGTGACCAAAGTCATGCAAATAGGAGGATTCAGTTCAGTTCAGTCGGGCAGCTAGCTTCATGAAACAAGGCTTATATTGTTCCTCTTTCTTTAGAGTAGAGTTAATGAAATTTGGTTGGACAAAAGGGAAAAGAAAAATTATTTTTTCTTGGACAAAAAGGGCTTTTGGCATAATAAGCCTCGCTTATTTAGTTATTTGTTACATTTATTTATAGTGTACACACATATACTTCGGTAATTGAAACCGGCAAGCCATGGGAAATGAAATTTTTAGAACTAAAGACAGAAAGGGAAAGAGAGGAGAAATAAAAAAAAAATAAAATAAAATTTTTATTTAAATTCTTCCAAAATTCGCCGCGCACAGTTTATAAATTTCAATTTCTATTATTAATGTTGGTAGTACAAAACATCAACAGGAGAAGAACCAACATTTTTAACATTTCTTTCCAATTAAAACTTCCTTTTATCATTCAGTTGAAGCAGTTTTGAAAAATACCACCAGTATATACAGAGGTCACTTTTCCCTTCTCATTTTATTTAAAATTTATTGCCCCACTTTGTCCACCAACGCGCGCAATATCAAAAAACCCATTTGCTATTTTTTTCAGCAATATAATAAGGATCAATAGATGAGCAGTACTGTACCGACAGATGCAAACGGTCCTCCATCAGGACCAAGCCCTACACTAATGAACTCACATAATAACTCAAGATTAGCATCGGTTTCACCGTCAATCCCCGCATCAATACTGGCATCAGAAACAACCAACAACACTAATCTGCAGCGACCATCAAGAAGAGTTGCCAGACGTGCATGCTTGTCGTGTCGTGAAAAGAAGATCAAGTGTGATGGTGAACCTGTTTGTGCTATATCTTCAGCCGATGGAATCAACAAAGTCGTTCCAGAAAAGACCCGTATTTGTTCAAACTGTAAATTTTTAGGGATAGAATGTGTCTTTGTCCAAAGTAATCGTGGAGGAAGGAGGAAAAGGAGAGAAGCAAATGATCCAGCAAGTCAAACTGGTAGTACATTGTCCCTGGCTCAACTCAAAAAAATACGAACAGATAGCTCCAACACAGCTACTTTTACAAATCCAAACAGTACCCACCAGATCCAAAACACAGCCAACAGTGATAATCATGAGGATGAGAGCATTCAAAGCTCTACTGATCGGGTGAGCTCATTTATACTAGGTGGCAAGGACAAACCCAGAGGGACTCATCTTCCAGGGTCTATACAATCCCATATGCCTACTCCTTTGAATAAGATGCCACCACCACCGCCCATGTCTTCTATAAGTGAAAGTCAAAATATAAGAGGTGACCACGGTCGTGCTTTTAGTAAACCACCATACCCTGAGTTCGACGACATGGTTCGAAGTGATACCACAAGATCCAACTCCTACGATTTCCCCCGATTCCCATTTTCTTCGCGACCAGGAGGCGGTAGAAGGTACGAAGATATAGATCGTGCTGATGAAACAGAGACCGAGTCGTCGTTTAGATTGTCGAGTGTTGCTCCAAAGGGACCTCATCCACCTCGTGGCCCACCTTCTCCTAGAGGTTTTGGACGCGGATCTCATCGTCGAGGACCACCACCACCACATTCACCTCATTCACCTCATTCACCTCACTCACCTCATCATCATCATTACCATCGTCATGATATGGACGACTATTATTCACTCCCTCCACCCCCACCACCTCCTCCTCCATTTGGATTCCACCACGGGCCACCACCGCCATTCCCGCCTTCTTTTCCTCCACCTCCTCCGCCACCGCCGGGACATTTCCCTCATTTCCATCCTCACTTTCCACCACCACCTCCTCCCCCTCCACACTTTCATCATCACTACAGAATGCACAAGCACCACCCTCATTCTCGTCATCACCACCATCGTCGTCCCTTCTATGATCATCACTATGAGGACGAAGAGTCACCAGAGCCATATTCACCAAAACCACGTGATCGCCGCAAGAATGAAAAGGATGCCTACAGCGAAAGTTCACGTGCCAGATCATCCAAGAGACGTAGCAGTGTGTCAAGCTCGCGATCGACGCTGTCTTCGGAAAGCAATTTTCAAAGGCCAACTTCGTCATTGGCTTCTAGAACGGCACACGGGAATGGGAAACCCGATGAACTGGTTACTGAGGGGTACACACGTAAGGAACAAGTATTGCTGCTGAAAAGTGAATCCATTGGAACTGCTCCTCGCCAAACTGTTACTCAGACTTCAAGCCAAACTGCGATTGCTCAAATACCAACCCAATCATTTTCTGATGCCGATTTGGCCAAATACGATCTTCCAAACTGGGAGACTCTTGACAAAGTATTGACATTTTATTACATTTACAACCAACCCAATCATCAATTATTCCCAGGAAAGTCAATTTTGCTCAAAAATTTGTCATTGAATATAGACAGCTCGGTAATGCATGCAATCATTGCCACGATATGCATCACTGCCACAAGACAAGATCCAACTTTATCCATCAGCAATGATGAAAATTACTGGATCAATAAGGCTTATCAATATTGGGACAATTTGAATGGGCTTGGAATAATGCTTTGTTACAAATTGATCCCTAAATGCACCTCATTTCGATACGACATGAGCAAGATCAACCAAGTCAATGCCAAGGTTCTTGACACGATTCATGAAAACAACTATGTCGAGATATACAGTCAAAAGAGGTTTGAGTTTCAGCAAACCGAAATGAAGAAAAGTGGGTTACCACAACGAAACCCCATGTTTGGTACCCTGAGACAAATTTATGAACGAGAAATTATCCTTCGAATGATTTGGAGTTTTTACATTCATCACATCATCCTATTGAGGTTCAATCAAGGACGTCCGTATTATAAATTATCAACAATTGTCGATGATTTCAAATTTGATTATGAAAGAGATCACTATTCGAATAATATTTTGCTCCCGTTGAGTGATTTTGATTTTATGACGTTGAAATTGATCAATAATCGAACAAACTGGAAACAATTGTATGAAAAGAGTCATGTGCCCTCCGATATATCAAGCTTGATATTGGCCAGCAAAATTTTTGAAAGTTTCTTGACTAAATTGTCCAATGATGAATTAACATATGATAACTTGATTAGTGCCGATGATTTCAATGTTGACTTCACAAACAAGATCAGATCGCAACATATTTCAATAAAAGAGGACAAGAAGTTGATAGTGGTTAATGTAACTTATTGGTTTGCCAATACGATTCTTCGCGTTTCAGAAATTTTACAATACAATCACTTCATTGACGATGTTATGAAGTTTAAAGTGTACAAATACGAATTCAAACGCAATATTGAAGAACACGATCACAGTAAAAGTAACAGAAATAATCAGTCCTTTTTTACTCCGATTATATGTGATGAAATGTTTGAATGTGGGGATTTAACCAGCCAATTGCTTCAATTTACATCTAACCAATGGCAAAGCTTAATTGAGCTAGTGAAATCGATGAATGGGTTTATTTCATTGATTGAGTTTGCTCCGCTGGCTGAATATCAAGATTATGCATTAGTTCTCGGCCCATCGTTAATCTACAATGATGAACCAACTAGCAAAAGCAACAAAATTAGTAATGTCATCAACAAATCAACTGAATGGTACGATTCACCTGAGCTAAGGGCATCAGTGAAACAATCATGGAACAAGTTGCCACCGTATTCGTTATCATTCTCGGCTGCCGCCTTGTCTATTATTTGCAGTTTGGCGGTATTGACAAAATACATCAAATTGAAGAACCAACCCGATGGTAATTGTCTAGCTGTTGAATTTTTCGAGACTGGAGATGTCAAGGTTTTTGAAAATGTCAAGTTGGATAATAATAGTCCCACAGATGATGGATGTGGAAACGTGGTTGAGTTATTCACTACTTCAGTAGTTTTGAAACAAGTGTCTTCCTTGTGTGAGTTCATCAAGTTCAAATTGTCCTATAGTAACCCCGAAGTTATGCAGAGTACAATTCAAAGGATGAATAAAGTGACACAGCATTTGGAGAGTATCTTGAGTAATTAGAGAGAGAAGACTACTTGGAATCAAACTGGTTAGCTATTGGTTAATATGTGTATAGAATAAAAGACTATTTCCGAAGATCGTGATTACAAGTAAAAAAAGATCCTATAAGAGCCAAATTGTAAACTGTAACGACAAGTTACTTTTTAGACGAAAGTGAAGATAGCACTGAAATTGCTATACGGCATTTGTGGTTTTAGCCTACAGGCCCAACTTTTCTTCTCTCTGCCCCACGTTTTCGCCGAAAAAAAGACATCAAAAAGAAATTTCTTTTTAAACCCGAAATAACCCCTTTTTCCATAATATATAAATAATACATCAAATGCTTTTGATGTAAATAAAAGAAAACAACCCACACATCCATCACAAGTCAAACCAATCTAAACCAATGATCAACGTATACAAGCCTTCATTACACAGCAGAGACGTGTCCTACAACAACGACTCGTCGACTGAATCGATCTTGCAGTACAATGGCAATTCGTCGTCTACTCCCATTTTACCATTCAACTACACCATCGAAGGATTAACGAGAGATGTCTATCCTAAGCCATTGCATTCGCATAATGACTATTGGAGAAAACATCCTTTGTTTGACGCTTTGAGTGTTGGTGCTATTTCCATCGAGAGTGATATTTGGCATTTCCCACAGACTTATACATTACAACGCACAACGACTGAATCCACTGGTGTAACCACTACACCCAATGAGACTTTGTATTTCAATAGTGGTGAGGTTTACGTTGGCCACAATCAAGTGTTTTTACACCCGATAAACACATTGTTTAATTTGTACTTGAACCCCTTGTATCAGTTTTTCCAATATGCTAATCCTAGCTTTGAGTTTGTTGGCGATGGTGAAGGAAGTCCTTTTATTGGCGACCAATCAAAACATGGCATATTTTATAATGACCCCGAGCAGCAAGTTTACCTTTGGTTTGATTTCAAGACTGAGCCCAATGGAACGTATGACGCATTGAAACCATTATTGCAACCATTTATCGATGATGGCCTTTTGACCTACTACAATACCACCGATGACTCACTACATGAAGGGCCTTTGGTGTTGACAATAACAGGGAATTTGCCAATTGAAAAAGTGAAAGAGGAAACGGTGAGATACACCTTCTTGGATGGTCCATTGAGTCATTTCAACAGTTCAGCTAGTGTCGACGAGTTGCAGGAATGGTCAAAGTTCTCGCGAGTCGCAAGTGGATCCATTCAGGGTCTTGTTGGTGATAGTTACAACTCTACAATCAGGAACGAATTTACCGATGAACAAAAGGCGAATCTTAAGGGGTACTTTGATAAAGCTCACGAGTACAATTTGAAAACAAGAATCTGGGGTGATATCACATGGCCATGGAATTTAGTTGATCTGCACTTGCTAGACTTGTACCAAGCTGGAACCGACTTGTTGAATGTTGACGATTTGAAGAGAGCTAGCAATCTCTTCCCAATAACATAGAGAGACAATTTAGACGAAAAAAAAAAAAGTAATATCAATCAATCGAATCGGGATATCTATTAATGTACCGCTAGTATCTAATCTATAATAATGTATGTTTTAATGTTTTCTGTTTTTCAGCTTAGAAATTCCTTTTAAGTAGTTCGTATGTGTAAAAGATTAAAGCATTAGCCGGAATGCATCGAATCATGGTAATACCCAATCCATTATAAAGATTCATAACTCCCCCTGGCTTCAGACACAATTTCCTCATTTCTTTCCAAAAGTCAGTAGCCATATGATGGTGGTGCTTCCCACTGGTGCCTGATAGTATATCATGCGTTTGTATATTGGATTTAACAGTGTCAACTGGGAACATCGAAAAGTTAAATAGTACACCAGCCATTGCTCCACTGAACAACAACTGCAAATCCTTATTCTTGATGAATGGTTGTTTAGCTGTTTCAAAATAGTCGTTAATGTATTCATAGGAGCCAAACCAAATCAGCGTTCCTACAACTTCGCGAACCATGGTCGACCCCAATCCGTTCCACAAACCAAAAACACCTCGGCGTTTCAACGTATCTTCAATGACCGACGTATAAGTATGCGACGTCTTGGTGGCCATATTCGCCACTTGTAATTGGCACTTGACTAATTCAACTGGAGTCAAGATGAAGCTCGCCATAAGTCCAGCAAACCCCCCACTAGCACATTTAGACCACATCGATAAGCTCGGATCGTAATGTCGCAAGACATTAGTGGCAAAGTTGTAGCTACTAAACAACACGGCATTTTCCAAACAAGCACCAAACAAAGGTGCTTTCAACCCCTTGTAAAACCCCAACACTCCTTCATTATGAAACGTCCTCGATATCATTTTATATGTTGATGTGGAATGAGAATTGTTTGCTTGTAGCCGAACTTTGATGGTGTCAAACGGAAACTCCACAAGCTTCCCTACCATACCTGATATTGCTCCAATGGTTATTTCCTTAAACGGGTGAATTAGTGTATCTTCATGCTCACCATATCGTACTTCAGTCTGTTCCATTTAATGAGTCGCTTAAACACTTTGAATCCTTTTGAGTGAAAACAAAAAAATTTTCTTTTTGCGCTTCAATTTTTATTGCTTGCACACTTTGTGGCTGCTGCGCTTCAACTTTATAGCTCCAAAAAAACAAAAAAATAACACCAAGTTGTAGATTCTCTATAAACAAGTTGTACCAGTGGTATTTTAGTGCCATTGACAATTTTGCAGAAGGCTGAACCTTATGGGACTGACATGGATGAAAGGCAAAAAAGCAAAAAAAGAGCCCGACGCGGGACTCGAACCCGCAACCTTGAGATTAAAAGTCTCACGCTCTAGCCGATTGAGCTAGCCAGGCAATTTCTAGCAAATTAAAGGTCCAGGTTTTTCACCCACTGCTATAATTATATACTTAAGCACCCCTACCCCAATAATGCTAGCGATTACCTCGTTTTACTTTCCCCAGGATTAATATGGTAAGCTGTGGCTTTCTCATAGTACTCTCAAAGTCGTCTCCTCTCGCTTGAAGAGGTACATAAAAGAAAAATCCGAGTTGCAGACTTCTACATGGTCTTCATCACTGATAGATCAATCATTAAAGTATCTATTTCTACACATTTTATTGAACACTCAATCATCATCATCGTTAGGTTTGTCGTTCAAAACCCCACTTGCTTCGATCAAAGCGTCGATGTCTTTATCACTCCAGATTTTACGCAAGACCTTACCTTCCTTGCCCAAACTTAAAGTAGCAAATTCTAGCTTTTCACTATTGAGGTTCGAAGCATCCATTGTCTTTGACAACACTTTGATGGCCAACTCACATGCCTCCTTTAAAGTTAAATCATCTTTATAGTCCTTCTTTAATAAGGTTTGCGCAGCAGCGTTATTAGCTCCGATACTAGTGGCTTTCCAGCCACTAAAGTTTCCTGAAGGATTGGAGGTGTACAATTGGTATTGATATCTGTCATCCCAACCGGCGTATAGGAAACTGACACCGAAAGGTCTCAACCCACCATGCTGTGTGTAACCTTGCTTAATATTTGCCACCCTCTTGATTAAAATTTCACAAGGGATCTCTTCACTGTAAGTTTTCAAGTACTGCTGCGATTGGACTCTGGCATTGTTGACCAAAATCGAGGCATCAGAAGTCATACCAGCAACTGCACAAATCAATTGGTCGTTTATGATATACAACTTTTCTGCACTTCCATCGTCATCCAACAACTTCGACGTTACTTTCTTTTCGCATGCTAATACGACTCCTTCGCTGGATACTATTCCTAATGCAGTTCCTGCCATTGAGATGGCTTCTTGTGCATACTCAACTTGGTATAATCTTCCCTCAGGGGAGAATATAGTTGTTCTTGAATCGTATCTCCTCGACATTTCTTGCGTAGTCTGGTGGTAATCAAATAAATCAGTTACAGATGTGAATCAATTGATGTAGTAAGGTTGTCTCAAACGCAATGTGTGTGGTGGTATCAGGTTTCTGGTCTCTGGTCTCTCTACCTTTTAAACTGTTTTATGGGTGGCGACTGAGAAATCAATTTTTCCAACTCGTTTTTTCAAAAACAACAAAAAAAAAGAAAAGAAAAAAAGAATTAAAATAAAAACAGTCTGTGCATAGAAGAGTCTCAGAGCACCAGTTCACACAGCCTCTAGCTTTACCAAAACGAACAAACCCACATACAAATGGTTACATGTCGATATTCGTGAGCTCAAGAAACATACCTATTGGGTATAGCACCCCGCAGTTTCCATCCGTGTTTTGGCCATTGGGGTCCACCAGACCATCGTACTTGAACTCATTTCTATACTACTCGTGGGATATATGGAGGTTCACGGTTTTCTGGTCGTTGTTGCTTTCAGGTGTCCTTTACTTCTGCGTTGGTCTAATAGCATGCTTCAATAGCGTGCTCAATAGTTACAGACACAGCACCCTAAACAGTTTCAAGATTTTTTCCTGCATTTTTGTTTTGGTGTTTTACGTGTTTTCTGGGTTGTTGAAAGGGTTCATAGGAGGAGCCATTATTGGGGTCATTCTTGCTGCTATTTACCAAGCTGGTAATTTGACTATGAGTTGTTGGATTCCATTAACTTGGGCAATCGCGCAAATATTGTATGATATTGCCTCCTCGTATCTGATTAGCTCACTGATATTGTAGTAGTCTCTAGTGTAGCTCAATCACTCGTGTGTATTAGATTATATAAGGTGAATGTTAACGAATAAACAAAGCTACTATAATTTGTCTACAGCTTTCCTAGTACTCCTCTTCGTCTCATTGCACAAAATTGAAATCCATCCACATTTTAATCAAAAAATTGAAAGTCGGAGGAAAGTAACCACCAAACAGCTCTTTACTCCCATATTCGTACCAAATGTTTGATATTGATTATATAGGGATCAATCAACTTGCTTACACCTTCACTAAGCTTGTCAATTCAAATTCAGATGTTTTCACCGTCCAGTTGATTGAAATGGCGCAGGAGTGCCTAGAGCTCATGGATCGCTATCAAGCGTTGCATCCCTCATACGTTCAAATGCTATCGTTTCTTATGTCTCATAATATTGATACTTCAAAGTACAACGATGTGTGGGTCAACCGCTTGAGCTCTTGGTTAGGAAGCTACAAGTCTCAATTGGCAAAATACGAGAATCAAACAGGTTTGAGAGCCGAGAATGCGATTGAATATTTTGAGAGCATAAGAACTATCGTGATATCGTTGACAGTGGAGACTAAGTATCAAGAGGCGCTCAACTATTTGAACAGGTATGCGTCTGTAGTTGATTTTACAACACAGCCGAAAACAAAGGAACAGTTTCAAGCCAACAGATATGTCGAATACTTGTTTATGAAGTTCATCATTAACATTTTCAGCTCAATTTGGTTTCCCTTGGATGATAACGATTACACCGTTGCTGCTGGGATGTATGTAAAAGAAGGGGACAAACTTCTCTACTCCAGCTCCTCCTTTAAGCCTTTGACCAAGATATACAATATTGTGATTACGTACCATAAAAAGAACGATGCCTTGTTTGAAGAAAATGACGACGAGCTGAGGTATTACTGGTTAGTCAGGTTCCTACATCTCAGTTTATTATTCAAACAGTTTGAATTTGTCGAATTCCAAAAGGAGTTTTTTGACTTGTTTGTTTCGCAAAAAGAGCCCACACGGTACTTGTTTGCTGATACAATACTCATCAAGCGAAACCTTCTTGTCATGTACGCCATAGTGTTGATTTTCACCAAATCTTTCAACACACTTACGTCTATTAATATTGAGAATGAGCAATTGATTGATTCGTATTATAGAGATCCTGCCTCGATTGAGTACAAGTTTTTCAATCGAGTGTTGAAACCTTTAGGGAAACTCGACATGCCCAAGGTCAGAAATGCACTCACAAACAGCTCCTTTTTAGGTGAGCTTATTGCCACATTAGAGTACACGTTGCCCGTCTCCACCGCTAGATTTTCAAACAATTCAAATTTCTTCATTGAACATATGAAGACCATCATTGACTACAAAGTATTTCTAATTTTAATTTCAAACGCAAGGTCTATATCAAGACTTCAATTGTTGAAATTTATGGGCTATGACTTGAGTGCTGCCAGTGACCTGCATTTGAACGAAGTTTCCAATCAGCTAATAGCTGCATTATCAGGTTTAGGCTTGGGTAGGGTTGGAATTAATTACTTAGCTGACAAGCAAATATTTGTCAATAATGGGGGTCTAAGTAGTGCCGAAGAGGTGACCAGATTGCAAGAGGAGATTGATAATGTACAAAATGAATTAAAAGGCGAGTCTTTGACTGTATTGATTACTAACTTGGTTCTGTCTAGCCTTTACGATGAAGAATAATTTTGTGGCAAAAACAGTTTTTGTATGGTGGGTTTAAGAGTCCAAGAGGTATAATACTGAGTAGTTCCAATACATCTAGAGTAGTATGTAATGAAATCCGTGTATAGTTATCTAATATGATGTAAATAAACTGGTTCCAAATTCTTTTTAGCTGTTGTTTTATGTGTGTTGCAAAATCCAGCCCAGAGGTAAAGAAAAGAGAAGTCAAAAAAAATAAAAAATAAAAAATAAAAAATAAAAATAAAATTGAGAAAATTAAGAAATTTGAAATTACTGAAACATTTACCCCCAAGCAACTGTACTGCCTATCAACTACTCGGCAGTTTTCTCCGCAACATGCTGAAGGTAAAAGATCTTATACAATCACTAGGTCCGGATGACAAGTTCATCTCACTTGAGTTTTTCCCACCAAAGACTGACTCAGGTTTCAGGAATTTACTTTCAAGATTAAACCGTTTACTGGCATTTAATCCGCTATTCATCACTGTAACTTGGGGCGCCGGTGGATCAACGAGTGAAAAGTCATTGGACTTAGCAGCCACGTGTCAAAAGAAAATAGGAGCCACTACTGTTTTGCATTTAACATGCACAAATACCAATAGAGAGGTCATTGATGCTGCATTGAAGCGAGCAAAAGAAAACGGTATAAGAAACATATTGGCTCTAAGAGGAGATCCCCCAAGGACTGAGGAGTATTGGACGCCCAACTGTGAATTCAAAAATGCAGTAGATTTGGTAAGGTATATTCGTCAGGAATATGGTGATTATTTTTGCATTGGTGTCGCTGCGTATCCTGAAGGTCACGTTGACGGTGCTGATGCGTCCAACCAAAATCCACGTAAGGATATTCCTTACTTGGTCGAAAAGATTAAAGCCGGTGCGGATTTTATCATTACGCAATTGTTTTTCGACGTGAACAAGTTTATTGCCTTTGAAAAATTGATCAAGCAAACGCCTGAATTAAAGGACGTACCTTTGATCCCTGGTCTTATGCCCATTACCACCCATCGTGTTTTTACAAGAGCTACCAAACTTTCTCACGCCACTATACCGACGGATATTTATAAACAATTTGATGAGATCAAAAACAATGATGATGCTGTTAAGGCTGTCGGTGTTGATCTTTTGTGTGATATTATAAACAAAATAGACGAAAAAACCACTATAAAGGGATACCATTTCTACACTTTGAACTTGGAAAAGGCTGTTGCTTCTATTTTGAATAAATCGGCTGTGTTACGCCCCATTTTGGAAAAACCATCGCCAGTGTTTGGCAATGAAGATGCAATTGCCTCTGATTCTGAAGATGATGACATACCAGTGCAGCCACAACGAGCTAATCGTAGAAAATCGTCTGTTATCGAACCATTGACACAAAAAGCCGTTGTTGAAATGAGTAGGGGATTGGGGGTATTGGGTAAGGAAGCTATATGGGATGACTTTCCCAATGGTAGATTTGGTGATTCTAATTCCCCAGCATATGGTGAGATTGATGGGTACGGCCCAAATTTGAAAATTTATGACAAAAGTGAAGCCATTGCTAAATGGGGATCACCCGAACTGATAAGCGACTTGAGTGGTATTTTCACCTCGTATCTTTCGGGAAAAATCGACGTTATTCCCTGGGCCGATGTTACCCTATCTCCCGAAACTGCTCTAATTCAAGAAGAATTGTTTGAATTGAATGAAAAAGGGTGGTTTTCTGTGGCCTCACAACCGGCAGTAAATGGATGCAAATCAACTGATAACATTTTTGGATGGGGACCAGCTAACGGAATTGTGTACCAGAAATCTTTTGTTGAATTGTTCATGCCAGCTACAGACTGGGAAAAACTTAAGTCCAAACTCGATGATTCAACTACGTATTATGTTGGGACCAAGTCAGGGGAAGTTAAACTGAATTTGCCAATCGAACAGGGTTATGCAAAATCGAAAAGTGCTGTAACGTGGGGTGTTTTCCCACAAAAGGAAATCTTACAGCCTACAGTAATTGATTATGAGTCCTTCAAAGCGTGGAATGAGGAAGCATTTTTATTATGGCTTGAATGGGCTAGATGCTACAAGAAAAATCTGAAAAGTTTTGCATTATTGAATTCGATATATAATGACTATGTGTTGGTCAGTTTAGTCCATCACGACTATCTAAAAGAGCACGCAATGTGGCAGCAATTGTTGCAATAGCAATTAGCCAGATGGAAATTATAAATTAGGCCCCCTCTTTTGCACCCTGAAGTTGTGTGTCTTTTAAGAGCTGGATAAGATGTCAATTTCCCTAATTGATAATCCATCATTTAATAGAGTTACCAAAGGAGCATCTGATGAATGTATACCTTTATATTCACAGTTTTTGTGATTTAGTAGAAGTACTCCTCTCAGAATTGTAGTACCTGGTTTTATCAAAAGTCTTCCGCCCAATTTAATCGGCACCGGCGTATTGGTTTGCTCATCACGGAGAAATTTCAATGGTTCAAGTTCATACGCGTAAACAAAATGATTATCTTTATCTCGAAGTAGAAGCTTGTAAGTGGAGAGTCCCCTCGTCTTCGACACCGAAGATGCCTGCTCGTCTTCATCGTTAAAGTTGATTTCACGAACTAGTCTCGTTGATTTATTTAATCGATCAACAGAACGATTGTTAGGATCCAGAATTTCTTTCCATTCATCTATTTGGTTCAACTTTGATGTGCTTATATCTTCGACTCGAATGATATGGAGTAATACTGCGTGTCTGATTGTTGCCGATTCTTGGTTAACAAACTCTGAAGCTATTAGTGACATTTTAATGATGTGTGATGGTGGTGCTGCTGCTGTTCCTACAGAGCCAACCAAACGCGCATGGCGGTTCCTTCTTTTTTTTTCTTTGAATTCTATTTTGCGTTAGCTGATAAACCCCTTTGCTCTTGGCTCAGGGTATTTCAATGTCATCGCTATTTGTTCAAGATGAGGATGGTTTAGAAGAGCAGCAATCAGAGTTGCTTCAACAACAGAATGAAGAGATTTGGAGCCGATCACGGCCCATAGATTCGCAGTCTCAACATAATACAACACAGCAATCAGACCCATCCATCCCAATTGTGTTCCATGATGAATCCACTATACCGATATACCCCCATCGTGAAGTTAACTGCTCCCTACCGCTAAAATATCAGCAAGAAGTTCTCGAAGAAATGTTGGTCAAAGACGCGCTACTAGTCCTAGGTCGAGGATTAGGCTGGGAATCAATAACAGGCAATTTACTTTATTCTTTAAGTTCCCCATTCGTTCAACTAAGCAAGACCCAGAAGAAGAAGAGTTTGGTTTTCTTGTTAAATGCTAAAGATTCGGAGATAATACGGTTGAGTGAAGAGTTGGATGACTTGAGTTGGATCAATGATGATAATGGCAACAGATTTGTGACTGTTTCTGGTGAATCGCAATCATCAAAACGAAAATTGATATATTCAGAAGGTGGAATAATTTCAATAACACCTCGTGTGTTAGTGGTAGATATCTTGTCTGGTATATTGGACGTTAATGACATAACAGGCTTATTTGTCTTGCATGCTGAACGGATCAAGGAAACCTCAAATGATGCATTCATCATTAGCTTATTTCGCGATAAGAATGAGTGGGGGTTCATCAAAGCATTCTCCGATGAGCCTGAATCCTTTACCGGTTTTACACCACTAGCGACAAAGTTGAAAGTACTACGAGTTGCAAATGTGATTCTTTGGCCTCGTTTCCATGTTACTGTGACACAGTCATTCCAGTACCATAAAAAGAAAGACAGTAAACGATTTGTGACTGAAATCAATACCCAAATGTCGTATAAAATGAATAAAATACAGGCAGCACTTTTATCGTGTATACAAGCATGTCTTGGAGAATTGAAGCGACATAATCCTACATTGGCTACAGAGTACTGGGACATGGAAAATATACATGATCCACATTTTATCCGAGTGATTCGAATATCGCTAGATCCGCAATGGCACCGGTTAACTTACACAACTAAACAATTGATGAATGACCTTGCAATATTGCTTGAGTTGTTGGAAAACTTGGTGACGTTGGATTCTATGGCATTTTATCAAGTTGTGAAAAATATAGTGGATGTGAATTTAAAACAGACCGTGGTGGGAATGAATAGATCAATGAGTCCATGGTTGAACCTTGATGAGTCTCAAACAGTGATAGAGTACGCCAAGGAGAGAGCTTTGGGCAAATATAACGGAGAATACATTTTGGAGGAATTGCCTAAATGGAATCAATTGGGCATTTTAATTGATGATATATTGCATGAGAAATTGCTGAATAACACGGAGAACCATGGCAAGATTTTGATTATGTGTTCAAGTAGGAAAGTCGCTAATCAGTTGAACAAGATTTTGACAACGATGAAGGAAAGGAAGCAGGGGGTTAATAGGCATTTTTCATGTCGATCGTACATGGTGAGCAAGCTTCGCGACTACTTACAGTATAAAGAGATTAGCTCGTTGGTAAATAAGATTGCTAATGAATTAGACCATACCGAAGACGAAAATGGTGGAGCTTCCAAAGAGACAGAAATAACTGTGTCCAAGACATTTTCACGAAATGGGCAACCTGTGAGTAAAAGACGCCGAACTAGAGGTGCTAGTGTGGTTGCGCGCGTGCATAAATTACATACCGGTGGTAATGGGGGAGTTGATGACAATTCTGATGAGCTAGAAAATGAGAATATTATCGACTTGTTGGATGAAGATGTGAATGAGGTGGTAGAGGGCGGTTTATTGGATGATTTAGTCTCCCCTAACGAATTAAACTTTGACTGGATCAACAGTGACGATCAGATATTGGTGCAGGTTTACAATGACAAGCACGATGCTTCATTTTTGGAAGAGCTTTCGCCGTCGCACGTTATAATGTATGAGCCTGATTTATCATTCATTCGAAGAATTGAAATTTATCAAGCCATCAGTAGCAATAACCCAGCAAAAGTATACTTTATGTATTACGGAAATTCTGTCGAAGAACAGAAACACTTGTTACGTATTAAAAAGGAAAAAGACGCTTTTACTAGGTTAATTAGAGAAAAGGCAAATTTAAGTAAACATTTTGAGACTGCCGATGATAATGTCAAATTTCAAACTCACAAATCACAAGTTGTCAATACAAGAATTGCAGGTGGCGCCAGATTTCGTACTGAAGATGATGAAATGAGAGTAGTTGTCGATGTTAGAGAATTTGGGTCGTCATTGCCTAACTTGTTGTACAAGATTGGCATTCGTGTTGTACCATGTATGATTACCGTTGGAGACTATATCGTTTCCCCTCGAATTTGTATTGAAAGAAAATCAATCCCCGATTTGATTGGAAGTTTTAAAAGTGGTAGACTCTATAATCAATGTGAACAAATGTTTAAGCATTACGATTTGCCAGTTTTGTTGATTGAATTTGATGAAAATAAATCATTTTCTTTGGAAACGTTTAGTGAATCGAAATTCATCAAGACCAAAGCTAATTTGACTAAACCAAGCACTGCAATAGATACTAAGTTGCGGCAGAATTTACAATCACAAATATTTTCACTACTTTATTCATTTCCTAAATTGAAGATAATTTGGTCTTCATCACCGTATGAAACAGCGCAAATTTTTCTTGAGCTTAAAGCAAATCAAGAAGAGCCAGATGTGGGGATAGCATTAGACAAGGGTGTAAACAAAAACTTGATTACTCAAGGAGGAGGAAGTGGTGGAACTAACGATGGTGGCCCAGCAATTCTTAATGACGATCCCATTGACTTTATTCAAAATGTGCCAGGAATAAACAATCTGAATCTATATAAAGTTGTGCAAAGAGTGGAAAATATAGTTGAATTGGTTAAATTGTCTCAAGATGAATTTATTGATTTGTTGGGCGTTGAGAATGGGCGTAAAGCGTATACTTTTTTCAATAGAACTGTTTAGATTCTTTGATAAAACGAGTCTCACCAGATTTACTGAGGGCATTTTTAGATGACGCAACATCCTAAGGGAAGTGATTGAGACAACAAACAGACATGTTATGGATCGAGGAGGAATAACAACAGAGAGGTGTATGAGATTGAGCTATGGGTTCGGTAAAGCAACCGATCCTACGCATAGAAGAACACTTGTCAGATGTAAGTGCTCTTTCAAAATTGACTACCAAAAGTAGACCAGCTCCTCCGATGCCTTTGAGCGCTCGAGGGGTTTTCGCAAATGAGAGATCATCTTACAATGCAAGGATCAAAGAATCAAGCTCTTTTTGATTATTGAGAAGCCTTATTTAGTGAAGCGATACTTAATAAAGCCCAATTGCAAAATCTGTTAGCAAGCGAAGCGAGTTTTTATGTCTTTTTTTGTAATGTTTTTGTAACTTTTTTGTAATTTTTTTGTATCGTTTTTGATATCTTTATGTCTTTATATCTTTATATCTTTATGTCTTTATATCTTTATATCTTTATGTCTTTATGTCTTTATGTCATCATCTCCTTCTTGAATCAGCGTCAAAATCTGCACCCATCTTTTCAAGCTCTTGTTTTATGTCTTCCAATTCACTGATCATACACTTCTTCTCCTCATCTAAGACATGCTTGCTTTTGAAGTTCAATGGTGCATATAGTTGCTTTCTTCGTTTATTCAAGATAATCAATTGTTTGTAGGTTTCGTTTTCCACTTGACGGGCAGTAAGCCTCATTTGACAATCGGAAGCATCGCATTTAAGTCGGCTATGTATCATCTGCAGCCGCAGTTCCAAAAGGGTAAATTTCTGTTGCCATCCTCTTTTTGTGGCCGACAAGCATTGGAGCTTCTTTTCAATAGAAGCAGCGATCCCTCCGCCATCTTTTAGCTCTTCTCTTTCCTCTTGTCTCGGATAAACCTCCATAGTCATGATGAGGTCATTCAACGCACTTTCATGGAGCATTTCGCTGTTGTTTGTGCGAAATATTAGCATATCCCTAATACCTCTACTTGTTAATAATACTTCCAAGAGCACATCAACAATGTCTTTGTCCAAATCAAAATTCAATTTCGATCTATGGGGATGATATGCCACATATTTGTCGTACAAGTCAACATTCTCAGCTTCTAGTTTACTTTCTTCTTTTTTAAGCATCACCATCCATTCTCTCAATTGACTCACTTCAGCTTTGAACGCTGACAACTTGCGTCTATAGTTGGTTTTTAAAGCATTTATGGAGGCCGTGATGGTATGAATTTTGTCGCCTATTTCTGATGGATCAGTGACAGATTCTGGATTATGTTCATCGAGTGTGGTTGGATTATTATCAGCAAGTACCTTTGTTGCCGCAATGGTAGTCTTTATCGCAACTAAATTCTTTCTAACTTTGGCAATCATCTTCGGTCCTTTCCTGCTCGGCTCACTGTACCGATAATTAATATCAAAAATGTGGTTCCGAATGTCACATGCTTTAAAACCCTCACCAATAAATTTGTCCACTGCCATCTTAAATTCATTTCTAAGCAAGATGCATCCTAACTCAACAGAATACTCCTTATAGTAGGAGCTCTGCTTGCAGGAATTCGAAGTTCCCACAGTGGTTGAATTAGTCAACAGCAATGCTTTTCTTTCTTTAGTAGCTGGACTGGGGGTGGAAGCGGCAGTGGTGGTGGCAGTGGTGGTGATAGTAGCTGGAACAAGGGTAGTAGGGGTAGTAGTGGTACTTGCGGCCATTAATAATTTATTGGAATCGTAAGTGTGCATCTTGAATACATTTCGATGCCAGACAAAGCGTAACTCAACAGAATTCTCCTTGTTACAGGAGCTCTGCTTGCAGGAATCCAAAGTTCCCACAGTGGTTGAATTAGCCAATATCGGCAAAGCATGACTAGACGATTTAGCAGCACTTCTCAAACTCAGCTGCACCATACATTCCTCAGCTTCCAATGGTTGCATTGTTCCATTCAATTCTGGCAGATAAAAATTTCCAGTCGCATTCGCATTACAACTCTTCATAACATGCAAACGGAGGCTAGACCACATCAATTCAAAAGGCGTGATCGAGGTGACATTCAATGTCCCCAATCCTGGCAAAACTAAATCATCAGCAGGATAACGAGTCTTCATAAAATCACAACGGAGGTTGGACAACATCAATAGAACCGGCACATTCTCAATACTATCTGGTTTGCCCTCGTTTTCTTCTTCTTCTTCAGGGCAGTCATTGGGGGATAAGTTGGATTTGAGTTGGTGGGCCAACTTTGCTACTTGGCGCTTGAAATTTGCTGCCAAGTTAAAATCGCTTGTAAAGCTCATGTCTTCATGAGCGTAACGGGATCCAAAAGGAGTTCCGAAAGTAATAATATCAATCAATGTCATAATTTGTTTAAGTCGCTTCAAATTATAACGGGTAGATATCGGTATGTTTATTTAAAGAAGAAATGTACAATCAAGTTGGGGATTTTTCTTTCCTCTTGTTTGTGGTTTTATACTGTGCCATTTTTGCAGAATATCAAAAAAAAGTGCTGCCAAAATTGATTACTTGAAAATATGCCATCAGAATCAATCATTGAAGCTGGTATTAGCGATTGGCCTTTGATAAAACGGACCAATCCATCTCGGAATATGTAAATAGAATGCTCCCGTAGTCACGTCGACATTAAAATCTTGGTGTATTCAACCCCTCTCTTACTCCCTTGTAATTAGATCGCATTTTGGTTGTAAAAAATGGTAGTGCATCTTACCTAATCTTACAATAAACAAAAAAGGATCCAAGATCTCTCCAAAGTGATATCTCAATCGAATGGCCATCTTTTGGATAGTTGCAAGTTAAGGCTCAGGCAAACATCAAATGGGGTTTAATCGCAATTTCAAACATCACTCCACTCACAAAAACACCTTAACAAACAGTTTTGGTTCTAATATCATATTATCCATGTGCAGGCATTTCATCTCTGACCATGCCCCAAGACGGGTATCACATTATCTAATATAATAACACTTCCAAGGGCATTTTGATTTGAGGAAGCTCTTCTGTCCGTCTCTTATTGTATATACATACGCATTCTGTGGTAAAAAACATTGTATTCGATCCACCACTTTTCAACAAGACACAGCCTTCAGCAACTGGCGTTTTAATAGTAAAGCATTATTCAAGTTCAATGCCATGGCGGTAGTGGAGTGTTTAGATCAAGTGCATGGTGTAGTGGATGCATGGCTTGCTGTTCACTATGTCATTTGCATACTAACAAATCCTGTGATAGCCTCATAATTCACTCTTCAAATTCATACTTCACCATTTTTGAAAGTCCAAAAGATGTCTGAACCCAGTTCAAGCTCGTTAAAAGACTGGAGACTTTCAGCAAGTGGCCTTATCTGAACGACTCGCCTCTCATAGCGATGGCGAGCACTACGACTCAAAGCAAACATAGATTGTTCAAACCCAAGTGAAGCCCATGGTTGGGCTAAGCTGTTGTTATACATATACACTTCAATGTCTTATGACTAGTTTATGGTTCAGACTAACCAAAGTATAAGTACCCATCTTGGGTATTCTATTTTTGTCTCCGGGGATATGTTCTTTACACTTTGTCGCAAAACCACAAGTAAAGCCTGAAAGTGTGACAATGAAATGTTTCCCCAGTGAAGGTGTGCAGTTAAAAACACCCAATTGTATGAGGCTGATCTTTGAATATGTTATCGTATAAACAATACCGATTACATTCAGGGTCTTCGGGAAGTCATTGGCACGTCTGCCGCTTGAGTTGCAAAATGTTTCTCAACTATCTGATTTTTGCAACTCTTTTTTGAGCCTCTATCCAACAGTACACTTGTCTATTGTCAGAGATATCAAGTAGGTGGGCCATAACATTCAAATGTTGGGTCTTAACTATAGAGTGAGCATGAATAAATTAGATTCGGCTGTGGTTGACGACCGCATTTTAAGGGACTTTTCAATCCAGTCCATGAGACACAGCATCAATTGACATAATGGTTTTAGAGGCAGTTTTATTCTCTCCACTGACTATTCCCTAGTCTATTCAATCCCTACTTTTGTTTGGTTACGTGGTATAAGATTTACAGAAAGGTCCATTTTTGCGTGTCAAACGTTTTTCAATGTAAATGGAGAAGGAGGGGAACGGTTGTGGTGGTGTTTTAACCTTTTGCTTTGCTCTCCCGTATCTAGCCTCTGTTATTGTTTTGCTGTTCCTATTCCGTATATCTCCTAAGGAGAAAGGAAAAAAGCATCTGATTGCTTATATGACTCGGAGTCAGGTGGTTTTAAACTGTCATACCACTATGTGTGTTTACTGGTGTATGTCTTTTTGTACTGTATTTGCCATTCATACCATACAGGAGTGGTGTGAGGTCATGCATGCAAACCTTTATAAATCTCCCCACAAAAAAAACAAAAAACAGAACAAACTCACACGACCTCATATTCATTTTTTTCCTTAAGAAATCCTCTTTAACAACAGAAACAATAACTTTCTCCCTTTATTCGATTACTCCCCTCCCCCCTTAACCAACCAACCAACCAATTAACTAATTTAACTTTCCGTTCCCCTCCCAATTCTTTCTTCTCCCTTTTCTTTTTGTTTCTTTTTATTTTCATTTTCAACCAATCATATTCAAATAGACTAAAGGAAATACTTTACTCCTCTTTTATCAACAAAACAAAAATAGCAAACTAAATTACTATAAATACTGTAGCAAATTTCTTTCTTCTATTTCCACAATACCTACTACTAATACTTACTACTACCACTGCGAGTACTATTATTACCACTACTACTACTAATACTACTACTGCTGCTGCTGACACATTTTGTTTGTGCTGCTAAATTACACTTACACTAACTACTACACACACACACACAAAAGTCCGAGAAACGCAAATCAAATCAATTTTGCGCTTTTCCACACCATTGTTACCAAAAATAGTACGACCTTAACTTAGTTTTCCCAACTACAACAAAGAGCAATTTCAAAGACCATGGGGGCCAACAAGAAGAAGAACAAGTCTGATGCTGTCCCATTAGATTTGGAGAATATTAAACCATTGGATCACTTGCAGGCAGTTCCCAAAGCCAGATCATCGTCCATCACTTCAGTCGAATCAGTGGAAGAACCTGGGGTTATGAAGCAGGTTTTAGTACCACCCACCATTCGTGAATTTGACGAATTGGAACAATTTGAGGCCTTTGTCCGCGATGAGACATGGGACAACGAGTTTGACTATTTCCACGGTCGGTTGCATTACTACCCTCCTTTTGTTTTAAAGGAATGCCATGACAACCCAGAAAAAATCAAAGAAACTACAAATAAAAACTCGAAAAAGTTCAAGAGAAATTTGCAGCACCACATTCAGAAGCATTTGATTAAGGACTTGCAGAAATGTTGTGGCTATGAGTTGAATTTTGACAAGGGGGAGATGAAGGAGACATTTGATCGGTTGTCTTGGACTTTTAGAGATGAGACAGATCATGGCTTCAGCAAAGAAGAGGAGGATATGTATGATAGGCATTGGAAGTTGGAATTGGATGTCTCTTGTACCAATGATTCTGCTATGGTTGATGTCGATTTTAAGGCTATTCCAATCTTGCACTAATTTGGAGGAAGGATTCCTTTATTTACGAATGATGATGCAAATGAGTTACTGAGAAATGAAATTGATGCTGTTTTTTTTTATATATCCTTTGTTGTTTAACTCTCTTTTATAATTATAATGCTTTATGAATTGTATTGTAGTTACTAAAACTGTAAAACCAAACTGCTAACTTTTTATTCATCCTACATATCGTTTTTTTGCACAATTCACTATCTAACTATATATGACTGATATCCAGTGTATTTTGTTTCTTGCTTTCGCAATTGTCGATTCCAACTTGAGTAAAATTTTCTGTTGCAAAAAGATAGGAAAAAAGAGTGAAACTGGAAATCCAACTTTCTTTACCACCACCGCAATGCACCCGACAATGTTGTTGTTAAATTGGGAAAGGTGAAACTTGGTTTTATACTAAAGAGGAGTGGAGGAGGCAGAGCACCATTCTTGGTATATAAAACAAAGATGTTGCACATTAGGGATTCTTTTGAGTGAGGATAACGACAAAGTAAAGCCCCATTCTTCGCCATGAGGGGCAAAAAAGCATACAGTACTGAGGTCGATGTTCCAATTACTACAAAGGGAAACGTATTTATGTTTCTAAACTTTAAACGCGACTGGTTGCTACTCCTATTGGGAACAACTTTCATGGCAGCATCAGCTGCCAGCACGCCAATCGCAACCCTTGTTTACGGTAACATAATCGGGGCGTTGTCCAACTACTATCTTGGGACTTACTCATCATACGACGTGTTTATCCGTGACTGTCTAAAACTATGTGGCATTTTAATGGCAGTCGGTTTGGCGAAAATGGTGTCTGTTTGGCTTGGCATGTCGTTGTGGTTGAAATTTGGCGAAACACAACAGCTGTGTGCCAGGTCTGCCACATACAATAGCTTGCTCAAGAAGGATACAAAATGGTACGATAATAACCCAAACATCATGGGGGAGTTGACCCAAGTCAATAGATGCATTGAGGAGCTACGTTCAGGAAATGCCGAAATTATGGCTGAAACTGTGCAAACTGTTGCCTTGATTGTGGGGTTAATCATTATGTCATTCTATCAATCGTGGGCTATTACATTGATAATTACGGCATCGGCCCCCGTGATGGCTCTTTGCGCTTGGTATTTTGGAAGCGTTACTTATCGTGCGCAAGAGGTTGAAAACACTCACAGCTCAAATGCCAGTAAAGTTTTGGATTGGTGTCTCACATCACCATTAACCGTTCGAGTATTTAATGGGAAATATGTGGAGATGGTTAAATTCAAGCGATTCACCAATGCATCGGCAAAAGCATACTATAGAGCGGCAAACGCAATAGCAGCAAATTCGGGGATCTTGAAATTTCTCACCTTGATGATGTTTGTTCAGGGGTTTTGGTTTGGAAATTATTTGCTAATGAGGAATAGAATCACTGTTAATCAATTGTTTACATGTTTTAGTTCGTGTTTGATGTTGGGCCAGTCAATATCCAAAATAAGTCAGTTGATGGCAATAATCAACACTGCTCATGCAGCGGCTAGCAGGATAGCATCTCATTTGCAGACATTGAATGAAGATTGCGAATATAAAGTGAACACAAAAAAGTACCCATTATCGTGCTTCGGAGAAATTATGTTTAGTGATGTTTGCTTCAACTACCCAGCCAGAGACAAATTGATTTTGAGAGATGCTTCTTTTCTAGTTGAACCAGGAAAGATGAATTTCATTATTGGGAAATCTGGTGCTGGAAAGTCCACATTACCGCTTCTTTTGATGAAGTTGTATGGGAGGAATAGTGGGGCAATTACAATTGACGGAATTGGCATTGACCTGCTTGATTCGTGTTGGATATCTCAAAATCTAGTGTTGCTTCAGCAAACGCCCTTCATTTTTAATGGCACGGTCCGAGAAAATATAGCCCTTGCAGTGGTTGACGACTATGATTCTACTGAAAACGTACCTCTTGACTCGATCTATGAGGCAGCAGGTTTTGCTTTGCTCGATTTGGACTTGGAAACTAAAATTACCCCATTGTCCTTATCTGGAGGTCAGCAGCAACGGTTGGCGATTGCTAGAGCAAGGTTAAAAAACCCTCCAGTGTTGATTCTTGACGAGGCATTCAGTGCATTGGATTTCCAAACCAAGCAGGTTTTGTTTGCCAGAGTGAGAGTTTGGAGAAGAGGCAAAACTACAATATCAATCACTCATGACTATAGTCACATTGAACCGAATGATAACGTTATTATGATGGAACAAGGAGCGGTTGTCAAACAAGCACAATTCAAAGAGTTTGCTAATCTACAGGACGGTGATCTTACGACGAAGATAATGACTGAAAAACATGATTGCACAACCAACACTACCACCGCTATGAGAATATCTGCCGTAGACGACATTGAAAAACTGGACAAGAAAGAGACTTTTTTGGGAACCTTTGGAATTTTAAAGTATTGTAGCAACACAATTGATGCAAAGCTTGTTATAATCATGGGTATCTTGATTTCCATCTTGGAGGGTGGTGCTTCGCCAGTTTTCTCCTACTGCTTTGCAAAATTGTTAGCAACAACAGTTGAGGCGTCCATTGGTGGCGATGACACACAGCAAATTATTCAATGGTCGGGTATGTCGATTGGAATTGCCTCATTCATTGGACTTACCGCCTATGGTGCAAAATTCATCCTCTCGTATGCTAGTGAACGATGGATTGTGATGTTGCGAAAGCTTGCGTTTGAAAAGCTAAATGGACAAGACATGTCCTTTTTCAAAGAAATGAAAACAGCTGAAGTAACTACCTTGTTGATGAATGATACAAGGGACTTGAGAAATTTGGTGAGTGCTTTTTTGTCAATAATTGTCAATTTGGTGGCAATGGTGCTCGTTGGAATTATATGGTCAATAATTTCTGGATGGAAATTGGCCCTTGTTGGTTTTTCATTTGTTCCTTTGATATTGCTAATCACTGCCGCTTACAGCATAATTTTGCAATCGGCTGAAAACAGATACAAGTCAAGCGTCATAAAACTTGAAACTCATGTTCACCAAACCGTTAGTTCAATTAAGACTATTAAATTGTTTTCCATGAATCGATATTTTGCCGACAAATTTGATCAATACTTGAACAAGGTCAATAAAGACGGGGATTTCCGAGCAATTCAAACGGGGATTGGATATGCGTTAAATGATTTAATTTCAGCAGTTGCTATCGGGGTTATATTGTATTACGGTATGGAGTTAACGGGCAAGTTTGAATATACTCATGGACAGTTGCTACAAGTGGTGGCATTGCTAACATTCACATTGGCCAATGCAGCAAGCTTGATACATTCGTTGCCTGAGGTCACCAGAGGTCAACGAGCAGGCACGTATATTGTTAAATTACTTGAACTGACACCATTGGCAAAAATTGAAAACGATGGTTATGAAATACCTAAAGCCCATAGAAATGTGATTAGTTTTAACAATACTTGCTTCAAATACGATGACAAGTATATTTTACGCAATGTTTCATTTAAGATTCGGAAAAACCAGTTGGTTGGATTGGTGGGCCAGTCAGGGTCAGGAAAATCAACCATTGCATCACTTTTATTACGTCTTATTGGCTGCAATTCTAATTCAATATCGATTTATCAACATGACATATCAACGGTAAATATTGATTGGTTAAGAGAAACCATTAGTATTGTTCCTCAACTACCGAAATTTTTTGAAGGGTCAATCTTGGAAAATCTCACTTATGGAATTAGCCCCACCCAACAAATCAACTTTGAAGACTTGCAACACTGTCTTCGATTATGTGGAGTGTATGATTTTGTTATATCATTACCTGAGGGGCTACACACAAGAGTGGGTGAAGGTAACAATACGTTATTATCTGGAGGTCAATTGCAAAGATTATCCATAGTTCGTGCATTGATTAGACGACCAAAAATATTGATATTTGACGAATGCACATCAAATCTAGATCCTGTGAATGCTAAGCTCATCATGGAATTAATCATGAGTTTGAAAAATAAATATACGATCCTTTGTATTACTCACAATCAAGAAATGATGAATATGGCTGATAAAGTGTACATCTTGAAAAATGGAACAATTTGTATATAACTAAATACGATTTTATAAAGACGCCAAAAAACACGAAATTGAAATAATAGATCTATTTGTACTTGATACTGATTGGTGGAACGTCTACATCTTCACCTTCTTCATCTTCGCAGCAGGCTTGCAACACCAAATAATGGACGTGGGCTGGAATATCCTTTTTGGTGACTAATTTAACCACTTGGGAAATAGGCAAGCCCAATCTCTCTTGCTTCTTTTTTGGCGGGAAGAAAGAAGCATACAATACAACAACGTCGTATGATAAAATTGAAATCTCCAATTTATCTTCATTGGCAAACTTATCAATCAATTCTTGTAATGTTATGTCTTTGTCGATAATGATTTGATCCCATACTTGGTCGTATTCTTTAGCGCCATATTTAGCACGAGCTGACTTTATAGGCTCAGAAAATCCAATAAATGGCAATGCCAAATTAATGAACCCATTTTTGTATTGCTCAATATCATCCTTCTTATCAACAACCTTGTATAATTCAAGACACACTAACCCTGTAACCAATGCGGTTGTAGTAGCAATAGCTGGAATAATCTTACCGGCAATAAACTTTGTCTTGTGGGCATCTGCAGTTTCAATACCATAGTTTAATGCTCTACAGTTTGAAGCAGCAGTGATAAACTCTATATGGTGGTTGGTATCGTCGTCCTTTTCAAACTCAATTGGGCTCAATCTGTACCCAGCCAAAGTGCTTGGCTCGGGTAAAGATGCAGCAATTTTCCTAACTTGTTCATCGTCATCAGAAGATAAGTTATTAGCCTGTTCCTCAGCTTCGGCATCAGTAGCAGCAATCTTAACTCCAGACTTTGGTTGGAATTCAGGGACTTCAACTTTATCCAAAACCTTGGTGTCGATATTATTTTGCTCCTTCAACCCATAAATGAATGCCAACAAATTTGCCCCGCCAATAATGAAATCCAAATGGTCCTTGTTATTGACGTCAAACTTTAATGGGGTAGGAGCACGTTTGGGTCCTGACCAAAATGGTTCTCCAGTTGAGGTCTTAGCATCGTGGGGAAAATTGTACAACAATTGCTTAATCTCGTGATTGAATTTGGTTTCGAATTCCAATCGGGCCCACTTGATGCAATCTTCAAAACTGTACGGACGTTGATTCAAGTACTTGGAAATGTTTTCCAAAGTTCCTTTCTTATCTGGGTTTTGCTTCAACGACAGCTCAACATAGTTTGGTTGACTCAAATACAAATTCACACTTTCTGGTGAGTCAACGAAATACCCTTGGAATAATGATTTGGCCCATGCAATAGTGTGGTCAATTTTGCTGGGGAACGATCTCAAGGTACATAACGGAATTGACTTTTCTGGTGGGTCATGCGACGATGAGTATGACTCAGTCAAAAATGGAACAACAACTTGTGTGTTACCTTTTGTTCCCAATGTTCCAGACTCTAACAATGGTTTTTGGAAAAATACACACCGACTATCAACATAAGTTCTAGCTTCGATGTTGTCCAATGCATTGGTAACCAAATCCAAATTGTTCCAAAATGCATCGTCAAAAATATCTTGTGTCTCTGGTCCCACTTTGTCCAATCTTGATTCAATTTTGCCTTTCAACGCAGGATTCATAGCTTGGACCGCTTGCGCAGCAACATCTGACTTGTTTTTACCAACGTCTTTGGGTCTAAACAAAAACTGACGATTCAAGTTGGATTTCTCAATCGAGTCATTGTCAGTGATGAAAATCTTACCATCAGGGCCTGAACCTAATCCCATCATTGCCCAATTTTTCAACATTTCGCAACCAATGGCTCCGGCTCCGACAAGGAATACTTTTAAATTGGCAATTTTGTCTTGGAATTTCTTACCAAATACGGCAATTTGCCCATCATATCTTGAGCCAATGGGCTTATTATTTTCTTCACTGCGGGGGTATTCTTCTTTACCAGGTAACGACTCCAATGAATCAAAATATAACCATTGCTTGATTGGGGTAAACTTGGAGGAGCAACATTTCAAAACTTCTTGGGCAATTAACCCGCCGTAGAATGCCACCATTCCCGGGATGTCTCCCTGAGCTTGATAAAATAATTCCTTCAAATACGATTCATCAATATCCTCAACGTTGTTTTGTTTAGCCAATTGTTCAGCATAAGCAAAGGCTTCGTTGGCATCCTCCACATTATAAGGTTTTGGTAATCTTTGTCTTTTGGTCTTAAAGGCGTGCAAGGCTTGGAATCCTATGTGCAATTGTGCTGGTTTGTCAAATTTGGCAAAATCGGATATTAAAAACTCGGGGTTTTTCAACTGTTCAAGTAAAGGTTCAAATTTAACATCTTTTGGCACTTTTACTTGGGTGTAAAGACCTCCCTTTTTGTATTCACCTTCGATTCCATCCAACTTAATCTTGAATGCATAAGGTCCCAAAACTTCAACCTTGTGTATGCCTTCATTCAAGGCTGGCAATCCTTCGACTTCGGAAAATTTAACATAATTGCCATCTTCAAGCCCATGTCTATTTTCATCCAACATAGTTACGGTTCCATTTTTCTCAATATCAGACACAATCCCTGACAATGGTTCTTCGCCAGTTTGATCAACAATGGTAAACTTGTCACCAAAATCAACAAAAATTTGTCCAAATAAACCACGAACATCGGCATTTATATACCCAATGTCATTGGCATGGGTTATTTGATTGATTTGGACTTGTTGCTCCAAAGAGATATTGGTTGTAACAATACATTTAAATTTCAACAAAGTCTCTTCCTTGACATTGTCAACAACGCTAATAGGAACATATGCATTCAATTCGCGTAATTTAACAGCACTCACTTGATCCCTTGGCTGACCAATATCCGACTCAGAAAGGAAAAACTGTGTTGATAAATCTTGAATTTGAATTGGGTTTGGATCGTACAAACTTAATGATTTGACCCCAGCAAGGGCAATGTTTTTGGCAATCTCAACACCCAATCCATTTAAACCAATGATTAAGACGTTGGCATTCTGCATCTTGAGCATTGCTTCTTTACCCAACACATACAATTGACGTGAGTATAAACCCTCGTCGATTTCTTGCAATGGCGAGTCTATTTGCATATTATCGGACATTATTAGTAATACCTTCGTTTTTTTTCTTGTAGTTGTTGTGTGGTATCTCTACGTATTCTTCTTCTTTCTCTTTCAATGAGATTGCAGTGTGATCTGATTGATTTAATGTGTTTCTCTACCCAGCTGCTTTCTTTCAAAATGTGTTGTTGTTGTAGTTGTTGTAAAGCTTTCTGCAACCAACAGTTAGATTGTATGCTGCGTGTGTACCAAAAAAAAAAGAATATTCCAACGCAATTGACAGAGAGAGAGGCGACAATGGCAAAATAAAAAAACAAAAAAACAAAAAAGAAGAAGGTAGTGTACATTTGCTCAAACTGGTTCTACCAATTTTAAAACTCAGAGCAATTGCTCTCTGGAGATGATCTCTTTGTCTAATAATATGCATGCTCCAGATCGATAAATGTATATATTAATTGATATTGTATGTTGCAGTTCCATGCTCTCCAACCTTGTATTCCTTCATCAACTGTTTCAAATCAACAGATTTATCTTTTGGATCCATAGTTTTCACAACTCTAGCAGGAACGCCCACAACCAACGAATTGGCAGGCACGTCTCTAGTAACCACACTTCCAGCACCAATGACACAGCCTTCGCCAATAGTAACTCCTCCAATTATAGTACATCCGCCACATAGCCAACAATTGTCACCAATTGTTACTGGCAATGCATTTTCCAATACTTGCTCGCTGTCTTCCTCACCAATGACTCTCAAATTAGGATCAATTGGATGACCCGGTGTTAATATGGATACGTTTGTTCCGCACATGACGTTATCGCCAATCTTGACAACTGAGCAATCCAATATGGTCAAATTGAAATTGCTATAAAAATTCTTACCCAAATACGTATTGAATCCATAATCGAAAAACATGGGATATTCCATAAATGTACCTGGTCCAACATGGCCAATAAACTGAGCAAGATAGTCTCTTTTGGCATTGGCAAAGTCATCAGCAGTTTTATAATCTCTAAATCTAAAATTCCCATAATCTAACAAGTAATCCCTTGCCCTCATTCGAACGTTGGTCAACTCTTGTTCTGCTGGATCGTACAGCATACCTGATATCATGAGTTGATAATTTTCGTCATCGTGTGGAGCATAATTCAATGACTTTTTTGCAAATTCAATCAATTCTTGATTTTTCTCCGTTTTAACGTTCCAAGGGGTAATTGTCATGTTCCTGGGGGGTCAAGTTCAATATGGTGTAGAATGTAGGATAGAAGGTATTTATCCAATTCAAAGTTGATGACACATAAAATTAAAGATATGGATGCAATTGAGGTTTTGGTCAACGGGGACACATATTTCTTTTTTTCGCGCAATTAATCGCGAAAATTACATTTGGAAATCTGCCCGATCAATTCAACGAAAAGAGTTAGCGGGGACGGCAGTATAAAATCATGACCGTCACACTTCATTGTTTAGCAGACGTTTGTCTTATACCAGTACGTTATACAGTTATTCTTTTGTTATATGCAACCTTCCGTCAGCAATATCCTTTGCCTTTTTCCCCTTCCGGACGATGTTCGATTTTAACCCATGCCATTTACTAACACCACTTCCCCTCTTTTTCAACAGATTGGTACCGGTTCCGCATCAGTCTCTGACGAAGTAACAATAATCACCAAATTGGCTCAGGAATCCCAATTAGACACTACGTTACATTCAGCTGGAACAACAATTGCTGGTCCTTGGAATGAAGTTATGGATTTGATTGGAACCATGCATGAAGTGCTACACAAGAGAGGTGTCGCTCGTATTCAAAGTGATATTAGAGTAGGAACCAGAGTTGATAAGCATCAAACTCCTCAAGATAAAATTGATGCTGTTCACAGGAAATTGAAAGATACAACAACCTAGGGATTAGTGAATTTAGGCATCTTCCTTTTATGCTGACAGAATTGAAATAATATATAAATAATATTACATAGTGTATACAAACCATATAAAGTTCTTTAATGACTTTCTTTTGAGTATCATCGTAGGAATTTGGGGTTGAAAATCTTGCATTATCTCGGCTAAAGTTTCACCAACAACAACCACTCTCCTCCCCTTTCCTCCTCCCTCTCCCTGTTTTGTTTTTTTTTTTCCTTTTTAAAATGGTTTAGTGTAAAGATGCGGTTGATCTGCATGATAGTGGTTTCTTTGTTCACCACTAGGAGCAGCGGCACCAACACTTGCACCACCGCCACTACTACTTCCAATATTGTCACTGCTATCGACGCCAACGACATTACTCATCTTCTTTTTGCGTTGTTGTTCCCTTTGCTCAATGGTTTTGTCAGTTTGTTTCTTTTCCTTGAGCGCTTCTTTAATCAGCTCTTCACTAACACCAAAACTTGCTGGGTTCAGCCAAAATAGTACTCTAACCATTTCGCGTACTTCAAAATCATTGAAATTCTTGTTTGTTGACTTGTTCAATTCTGATGCAATATATCTCCACTTTTCAAATTCTGCAGGATCTAATAAATTACGCAAGAATATCTTATCGTTATTGTCCCAAGCACTGGAATTATTATTACCTTGTTGTCCAACAATAACCTGATATCTATTTCTGGCTGTCAAGTAAGATCCTACACCAGTTATTTCTGCAATCTCTACCCAGCTTTTCCCCTTGCGTTTCAAACTCACAATTAAGTCATCCTGCTCGGGTGTGAATTTGGATTTACGTTTAGCCCTTTTAGCTGTTGTTGAAACTGTAATATCAGGACGAACTGGTGCCTTGGATAATGGAGGATGGGGGAGAATCTTTTGCAACCGTTCAGGGAAGTTGGGAAATATAACTAATTCGTGAGTTTCGACTGGACTGGTAGCTGCTTTTACTTTTGACTCCTTTTGCGAGGAGGACTGTGGTGACGATACCGAAGGGTTTTTGGCGGGAGAGTAATACTGCTGGTGATGGAGTTGTTGTTGTTGGATGGGCAATTGTGGGCGTGGCTGATAACTTGAAGGTATAGTTTGGTACATGTAATTGTTGGTGTCATATAAGAGAGATTGGGGCTGCTGCATGTGCTGCGAAGGTTGTTGCTGCTGCTGCTGTTTAGGTTGTTGTTGTTGTTGTTGTTGTTGTTGTTGTTGTTGTTGTTGTTGTTGTTGTTGTTGTTGTTGCTGCTGCTGTTGAGGTGGTACTTGTCGTTGATTATTATGTGGTGACATTTGTTGCGAATACTGTAGTGGCTGGTAATACGATTGCACAGGATATGTTTGTGAATTAGGAGGTCGAAATGAGTAAGCCAACGGTTGTTGAGGAACAGTACTTGTTTTTTGCTGAAACAGAAATGGATTATGTAGCGACTGTTGTAACTGCTGTCGTTGCTGTTGTTGTTGTTGTTGTTGTTGTTGCTGCTGCTGTGGGATAATAAATTGTCCTGGGTGGTTGGTCAGAGTAAAGCTACTAGATAATGGCTGGTGTTGTACTGACTGTTGTGAATCTGCTTGCAGTTGTTGTGACTTTTCCTTAGACAGGCCCTTTTGTAGTGAATTCTCAAGTTGTTGTGAATATCGTTCAAACTGGTATGGTTGTTGTTCTGTCTGATGTCGTTGATGAGGCTGTAGTTGTTGTTGTTCTTGTTGTGATTCCGATGTTGATTGAGATTGTGGTAACATATTAAATGGACACAACAAAAACTCTCAATTTCTTGTCATAAATATAATTCTAGTCGTACGTGGTATTATATTAACTCTGGACTATCAACCCTTTGGGTAAATATAATAATCTAAATATTTTTTTCTTAAATCAAAGATTAGGTGGTTGTCATAATAATTTTTACCTTTTGTTGTGGGTAAAATATTATGATACTCTCTCTCTGTTTGATTATTTTATTATCCCAGTTGTCCAACCTTTTGAAAATCGTTTCAGTTTCGATTAAACTCTGGGTTTGTAAAACTGTGCAAATGCAAGAATGGTGATTCGTGTTCCTTGGTTTTGAATATACGTTTATGACAAAGCTTTTCCCGTGCTTTTTTGTTTTTTGTTTCGTTTTTAGAGTTTTAGCTTAGCCTCTGTATAAATTGAAAAACCTTGATATCGATATAAGGTTTGGTGGGCTTCTTTCAATTGGTGTTTGACAGATTATGCAGGTTGTGTGATGTGGTGCGATGAGATGTAGTGTGATGTGATGTAGTGTGATGCGATGTGGGAATAAGCTAGAAGAATAAAACTCAATGATTACTATTTTACCAGTTGTATACCAATCGATATAAGTAGATTTATGCAGTTGAGCGATTATTCTCTTGGTTTTACAATACTGCTACTACTACTTCTACTCCCCTGTGTCTTCCTCGTGGTATCAATCTAGTTTGTTCTATTTTATGTAAAAGAACTGCAACTATTCTAAAGACTCGAGAAATCAACTGGCACTTGGCAATACGGCTTTCTTTCCCTCTCTGTTTCCCTGTATTTGTATTTCTCTCTTTCTATCGCTTATATTTCTTTGTATAAGTAGTATATGAAAGTAGTAGATACTAATGTAGGGGGGATGGAGTGAAGTTGTTTGGTGTCATTTTACAGATAAAGAGACATGGAATAAAACAAAATGTACGTGACCATTGTCATTGAAACAATTTAAAAGAAGGAATTCCGACGGTTTTATGCAAATTTTGTTTAATAATACAAAACAGAGTGATATTATTACTACTAGGTGTTACTATTATATATATTGTCTCTATATATATAATATTTGAAAAATAGATTCAAAGACACAAAAGGGAAGAAAAAAATTAAATAAGATTTGAGACATTTTTTATTTTTTTTAATTTTTTTATTCTCACTCACTTTTGAGAATTATCTATATTAAACAATTTTTAAACAATATAGCCAACAAGCCAATAAATCACTAAAGAAAAACACCCCCACCCGCATAGAACTAAAACAAAAAACAAAAACAATACTAAGAAAATATACTACTTTTATAGCATACTATGCATCCAACCCCCTACACAGAGCACAATCACAAAAGATTTAAAACAAAAAAACAAAACACAAGTATACACCAGAACAAAGCTTGACTCTTTTAACAAGGGTTTTATGAATCTAAAACTAATGCAGTCCCCTTCTCTACTTGAAGCATTATTTGAGTTTTAGTTTGTAGAGGGGCAGTTGCTGCTTTTCGCTGTTCTTTTGTTTTGGCCAGCCATCTTTCCCCTATTTAATTCAGAGACACAAATTAACGCGCTAACATTGTATATTCTGGATTTATGTATATTAAAATATTATAGTTGTATGCATGTGGCTCTATTTTTGGAGCTGAGAAAATTTTACTGCCTGCTGTTGTTTGTTTGTTATTTACGCAAACTACTCCTCCATAACAAACATTTGATGACAATAACAATAAAAATAATAATATGTGCTGTATGAAACAGAATTATAATATTGCAAAGGTACACGAACAGCTACATGCAGAGTCCAAACCAAAAATAAAAAAAAGGAATAATAATAAAAAATAATATTAACAATAGGGGAGTGTTTTATAATGAAAAGATCAAAACTTGCGTTAAAATATATTGGAAATTTATAGTTAGTACCCATAAAGCAAAGTGATAATCTTGCTTTGGTACGTTAATCACATTCGCCACTTTCTTAAAAAATAAAACAAAACCAAAAGAAAAAGGAAAAAAAAAAAAAAAGACAAAACTATAAATCCTTTAATTGTGCTATAAAGAAACAACCCCCCTTCCCCTAGTTTGTTCTCTTATTTTTTCGCGAGTTGGGAACAAAGGAGCAACATCGGAAATGTGGCATTCTTCTCCTCTTTGAAGTATCATAACTACGTGTTGTTGTTAACTAAAACATAGCAAACCTTAATTCAATAAGAATAAAATATAAAAAATTAAAAAATAAAACCAACCTTCGAGTGGAGTTATCGTTTGTTCTATTATCCCGAGTCGCCGTGTCTTTACTTTTATGTCTTGTTTTTTGGGGGAATTACAAAAAGTGAAAAAATACAATAGACAGAAAAATAAAATAAGCAAAAAGGGATATTTTGAGACAGACAGACAAAAAAAAAAGCAACAATTTAATTGTTAGATGAAAGAAAACAATTTAATTCGTTTTGCAGCTAGAAAAGTAATACAAGTAAACCCCATATATGTCTATGTTAAATCCTTACTGTCCTTCTTTTCTTTACACACACACGCACATTTCATAGCACCAGTATTTGTACTACTACTACTACTACTACTATTGCTGCAGTCTCTCAAGATAGAGAAAAAAATCATCATAAACTTACAACCTCAATTGAGTAAAAGATGTGGCAAATATAATAGTTAAATTATAGTTAAATAGAATAATCTGAGACACTTTTTCCTTTTCTGTTCAGTTCATCGTGTCTCGATATCTAAATACTATCAAACTGTTTCAAATGCATTGGTTGCTCAATGTAAAACGAGGCCATGGACTGTATGAAGGGTAGCTATTGTGCCGGAAATATGTAACTGGTAACCCTCAATATTTGTTTGTAATTACACGACTATTTCTCCTCCCAATATAACATTTTGTGCATAATGCATTAATGATTTCTCCAACACAAAGCACCTAGACCAATGCAGACACTGAAATTGACACTGACACTGACACTGACACTGACACTCATAGCACATTTTATTCTCCAAAACTACAATTAGTGCATGTTATTTCGATTGAACAGAGTTGTTGACACTACTAATAACCTACTATAAACTATCACCTTCCTACCACTGTTTCTAAAATGCTTACATTTTCCCAAAAGAAGATTAAATAACGTGTTTGAAAATATTCTCACAAAATTTACTAAAGAGTAAAAAAGCACACCATGATCGAGCTAGTACATAAACAAAGACTAAGAATCAAAAGGCAATACAGATGCATGTACAACCCTTTTACTTAATATTCCATTTATGTCTCATGTATAGTGTTTATTTGAAGTTATGATCGTTGCCACTGTATTCCACAGCGTCACTGATAAATCTAACGTTTTTGTTCTTACTTTTTTATCCTATTTTTTTTTGCAACCAAATAAACGACACTGGAAGAACAAGTAACTTTCTGTAATAAATCAAACATGTTTTCAAGTGAGTTATTATCTCCCAATTCTACCGGATATCAACCCTAAATTGCATTATTTGGAGCTTTGAAATCTCAATATAGAAGAGGAAAAAGTTCAGAACAAATGTTGGACTAGCTAATTCTCAAATACAAAACAGAAAGTTTCTTCTTTTTTTTTTCGTTTCGTTTTTTGCAACAAAATATTAGTAAAAATGTGCGTACGATAAAATATATGTGTATTAGTGATTGATTTCTAAACTATCTAAACTATATATACTATATATTTTTATGCCCGAAATTATCATATTCATAATATTCCAGATTGGATATCTCATATCACGACGAGATGAGCTTGAAAATGCTTTAAAGGTGTATTTTCCATTCGGATATTTACTTCCGTGGTGAAACATGCACAAAGTATTCATGAACGCTATAAATGCCGTTCGGAAGTAATTATCCGAGGAAATAATTATAAAAGGAAAATAATTTTGTACAGCTTCAAGTTCTTTGATAGGAAATTCAAGCTCATATAAATAATGTAGAACATTGTAAATTGTCTTAATTGGATTCAAAAAAAATAAAAAAAATTAAATTTGAAATGCCGGTGCCAGGAATCGAACCTGGGTTTAGTCGGTATTGCTTTTTTAGCCACAACGACTTGTACTAACCTCTATACGACACCGGCCTGAGTCAAGATAACAACTAGGCTACTTGAGTAATATGTTTTCAAAAAAATGTCATCTGATGCCCAGTCCTCAGAAGTTTGAGCACGTTCATGTATGTTTTTTAAGGAGTAAAGTATTCTTATTCTAATTGGATGCAAATTAAAAACGAAGAAGTAACAATTGGGAAGGGGGAGAAAAGAGTGAACGAATAAGGGAGAAAGTTGGGAATATTTGCTATTCCAACTATGTAAACAGTAACTATGTGTTGTGACGTGGCAATACTGCAGCCTTGTTCATGAGCTATAGTGTTTTGATGTTATTCGTTGCTATATGGTTCAATGAGGCTGTAGGCAGAATTGAGCTGTATAATGGTATATTGGTTGATATAAGACAGTGTGACAACAGGCAACGAGGAATGAGTGAGTGATACCAATACCTGAATATTGGGCGACCAGGACCTAGTTCCAAATATATAGTGATTCCATAAACGAACATACAAAGTGAATTACAATAAGAATAATTATATTATTAATAACAGAGTTTGGGCCGTGTAAAAGCTTTAAAAAGCAACAAAAGAGCTCGCTAGGGAGTGCGCTTGAGAAAACATTCCCAACGGAAAGCCAGTTACATCAGATTGTCACTACTCAGGTGATGAAGCGGTCCACTAAGCGGTTAACAAAGGGAAATCTACGAAACCGACAAAGGAATTAAAAGTCAAGATTGACTTTTGGAGTTTTGTAATTGTTTTGTTAGAAAAGGTCAGATCCGCTACCTAATAAATGTAATGAAATAATGCCGACTATGAATACGGAGTTCAGTTCTTCGATGTATGCATATGCAATTAGAACATAAAGCACCTTTCTTTTTTTTTTTTTCTAAATCACATATAAATCACCCCTTCTAGTAAACAACACATCATTACCAATCAGTTGTTGTTGGACTTTTTCGTCACCACCAACTTTATCTCTCTTGGGGAACCCGTCAAATGTTTTAGCGTAGGTAGCCACTGAGTGAGCAATCAATTTAGTATTCAACCCCCATGCTTCATAACTTGGATTCGACAAATCATCACATAACTGATGGTAGCATGGATCAAATGCTTTGCCTAAATCGCCACCAAATTTATGTTTCGCCTCTTTATCCTTCAACTTTTCTGCTCCTGTGGCTATACCACCGGCCGGTATACCTTGTTCAATAAACCCGACGTAATCTGATCTACCATCAAATGGAACCAATGTATAATTCAAACCATGGGTTTTGTACCAATCGATATATAAATCGCGCAAATTTCCCGATCCATTAGGATGGTCTTTATTATTAGCGTCGTAAACTTCATATTCATAATTAGGAGAAGCCATCATATCGTAATCCATAAACAATCTCAATTTCTCATTATCTCCTTTAGATAAATGTTCAGCGTAGTAACTTGATCCTAATAATCCTTCTTCTTCAGCTGCCCACCATGCAAACCTAACGGCATTGTTAATCTTGTACTTGGTCAATTGCTGAGCAACTTCTAGCAATGATATAGTACCCGATCCATCATCATTAATGCCGGGTCCTGCTCCTACTGAGTCTGAATGGGCACCCAACGAAACTATATTATCATGATCACCAAATACAGTATCAGCAACAACATTTATAGTGGATATATTCTTAACATAAGCATCAACATACAACGTAGTTTCAAATTGATGATTAGGATTGGTCTTCAATTCCTTGATGTATTCATCAACGTCTTTTTCATCAACGGCAACAGTGGCAACTTCTTCACCATTGGGGGTTCCCAATGTTCCTGACACAGCACCTTGAGAATCATAGATTATTGCTCCTTTGGCTCCCAATTTACCAGCATTTCTCGACTTGTCACCAAATGAACATTCACCTCGTTTAATCAAAACAATGTTGCCTTTGGTCAAATGGGGATAATCATGCAATGAACATCCATTCAGCTCGACTAATACCAAGTTACCATGCACTGGACGTTTATCAGCTGTTGGTGGGGTTAAAGCCAATGATTTCAAACTTTTTGGTTGCACACCATCAATCAATAACGAAAATGACTCGACATGTCCGTCAATTGCTTTGAAACTTTGAGTTTTGATGGTGTAATACCCACCTAATTTCTTCAATTCCGATATGATATATCTGATGGTAGCCCAATGGCCTGGAGAACCAATTACTCTAGTTGGATGGCCATACTTTTTAGTCGAGTATTGGGCAATTTTAAATAACGATTCGGCACGTTTGCGCAAATTCAGTTCTTCGATAGTTGATTGTAAGGATTCAGAATCGATTTCTGGCAATTTCAAATAAGCAGATTCATCAATTATATCATCAATGGTGATTGATTCAGCGTCTTCATACTGGACCAGACCAGGTGTCTCCTCTTCTTGCTGTTGCTGCTGCTGTCCACGATTAATCAGTTGGATGTCGAATTGCGGCTCTGCTTCACTAACCTGTGGGTTGACAAGAACTGCCTGATTACCTTGATTGTGTGCAGTCTCACCCAAAGGCACAATGTCTTGCCAAAACTTTAAGGTTGGAAATGCATCAACCGTTGACAATGTAATAATTGATAATAGAGCAGAATACCTCATAAGTAAGTATGGTAAAATTTACTAGCGAAAGTCGTCAACCAATAAGGGAGGGGGGCTTGAAAAAAAATTGACAATTTTAAAAAGCAGTGGGATCAAAGTTCTATGAATGACTTGACAGCAAAGGTGTTCTTGTTTTGAAGAAGAAATGCTCTCTCAAATGTTGTCGATTTTTTAAAAGAATGGCGTCATTATTGTGTCTTTGTCTCTGTTTGTCTCTGTTTGCCTCTTCTTATCAATTTCCTCCCTCACATCCAAACATCAATAAGTAAAAACACTTTGTTGAAAGCCAGCATCACCTACGACACAAAGAAAAGGGAGACAAAAATTGTGGTTCACACCACTTATACAAAGCAGTAAAATTGATTAGCATATCAAAATAAACCCAACACCTCACAACTCACGAGTCCAGATGGCAAAGTGCAACGAATTCGTTTTTACAAAGTTGAAATACACATCTCACTACACACTCGACTAAATCCTAGTTTTTTTTTTTCTATAAAATCTATAACCCAGAATAACACACGTCCATACGCATACATCTCTAACTTTTCTTCTTGTTACTCTTTTTATTCTTCTTAATCTTGACCTTATGGTGAGTCCCAAAGGGGTTTCCTGCTCCTCCGCCACCACCATTGCCAAACCCACCAAAAAACTGTTGGAAAAAATCACCACCACCACCACCTCCATTTCCAAAATTGAATGAAAACTGTTGACCACCATTAGATCCTTTGTAGTACTGTGGTTGTCCATAACCTCCCCCACGAGCACCATTCAATGGATCGTTGGGATCGACTCCACGATCATAACGTTCGCGCAATTCGGGATCAGATAAAACTTCATATGCTTTATTGACATCTTGCATCTTGTGTTCAATTTGTTCTGGCGTCAAGTCAGTGCCTTTGTATTTATCAGGATGGTACTTTAAAGTCTGGGTTTTATATGCTTTTCGTATAGTTTTGTCATCGGCATCTCGTCCAATATCTAGTATTTTGTAATAGTCAGTTTTTGGTTTGCTTTGGGGTTGTCTAAACTGTTGATACTGTTGTCTTTGCTGCTGTTGTTTTCTCTGTTGTTGTTGTTGTTGTTGTTGTTGTTGCTGTTGCTGTTGCTGCCACTGTTGCTGTTGTTGCCTCTGTCTTTCTTGATTAATTTTTTCCAGATACTCCTCAACTGGTTTCAGTTTATCCTTGTATAACTTAGTGTTTCGAACATACCCATTGAATTTCAGCAACTTCTTTTCGGCCCCTTGATAATCCTTCCTTTTCAACAATTGGTCAATTTCAGGTACAGCAGGTGGAAAGAACGCTTCGTCCTTGACAAGTTTACATATGGGTTTACTATTCTTGTAATCCCCAAGTTGAATAAAAGACTCACAGGCTAATTTGGTCAAATCGGTATAGAGCATTAATCCACTATTGGATAATCCATTTGCAGATTCCTGAACTCGAGCAACCAAATAACCAAAATTGGTTTTCACTTTTAAAGATTTCTTCTTTTGTTCAGTCTTGGTTAGTTTCACATCATCATGGAATAAAAACGAATTAATCTGTTTAAAATCCAACTCAATCAATTCTTTATCAAAATTGCTTTGGTGAACAACTTCTAAATCGGGGTATATATGACCATTCATTATTGAATAGCTCTCTAAATCTTGGAGAAACTTGGAATATCTCGAATAAAATTTAGATAATTCACCACACGGCTTAAAATCATTATCTATTCTGAGACAATTCTTCACAATTTTGAACGCTTGATCAAATTGAACTTCCGTTATTAGATAAAATTCCGACAAGAGTGCATAATACTCGAGGTTCTTGACGGGGTTGAGTCTGATCAAGTTGGATAACACTGAGATTATGATCTTATTGATTTTTGTTGACGGGTCATCCATATACTTTATTTTTTGCTGAGGATCAATTTTAAACAACTCCAAGCTGGCTTGCAAGTACAATTCATAGACACCATAATTTGAGTTGCTAATTACCATAATTTCATCAAGTTCCTTCAAGCATTCGGCAAATTTTTTCTCATTGTATAGCTTTTCCGCCAACGCCCAATGAGTTTTAAATACTTTGATGGCATCCCACCCAGGCGAGTCACTGGCATCTTTTAAATACTTTTCCAAATTGGCAAAATCTCCCCTCGATACTAAGATCTCCACCAATTTATTCTCGGCTGGTTTCATCAAAGGATCCAACTTTAAAACGTCTTGTAAGTCAACTATGGCCAAAGCTTCCTTTTTGAGACTAATCTCGATCAAGGCACGTTTAAAAAGTAACTGTGTTAAAGACTTGTTCAATTCATTATGCTCCAAGTCCACAACTTGGCCCAGCAGGTACGAGCGTACATCTTTAATTATATGGTCAAACTGCTCAAGTACGACCAGTGTGGGCCCATCTTTGGAGAATAGCGCCTCGATATCCTTGATTTTACCTGTGACATCATTTGGGGATAATTTTGTGCCCACAACTAATGCCAGATAGTTGCAAAATACAAGGTATGTCAACAAATGTCGTATCAGTACTTTCATGAACGTGGTAAGCAATTTCAAAGGTGCAACGTCGTGAGGGGCGATGCCGATCTTGAATTAGACTGAGTGGTTGTTTAAAGTTAACAACTCATACAAACAATTGGACCTTTCTTTTTTTTTATTTTTTATCTTTTTAATTTCTAGAACTGCATAGAAACGTCGACCAACAGTTCTTTGCGGCATTTGCAACAAATCAATGTGCACCTTACTACAGAGAAACTCATTCTTCTATACACACAATATATGTTTTACCAATGCTGAAGTACACCTATACCAACAAACTGTCCTCCTCAAACGACACATCGCCAAATTCCCAACACCCCTTGTGACGGGACTTTGCTGATCTTTGCACTTCCAATAACTCTTCAACGTATTTTTTAACAGCAGGGTTAACAACCTTAGCGTCGACAATGGCCCAACCTTGACTCACCAATTGTTTATTGATTGTGTACGTAGCGTCTTTCAAGCTCTCTTCAGCATCGTACAAGATAGTTTCATAAGAGGTATCTTGTCCAGGTAAAACGCTGGCAACCAACTTCTTGTCCAAAGTCAAGTCCTCCAAATACTCAATTGCGGCGGTAAAATAATCAGTATTCTTGGGTGGCAATTTCAAATTTTGCAAAACCGAACTGAATGCAAACGCAGGAATTGATGCAAACTTCGTAGGTAATGCCCGTAATTCCCTCACACCAACGTAATCAACGTTTCCGTAATCAATAAACAACACCTCGACCTTACCCTTGACCAAGCCCAAGCTTTTGGCCCGGTAGTATTTACCATCAAATTTAGCAGACACCAACTCACCTCTTCTAGGAGCCTTTTCCAAACCAACCGGTAAGTCCTGTGACAGTTTAGCGGCACTTGCATTTTGCTCGTGGAAACGGTCAAACTGAGACTCAAATTCTTCCAATTTCTTCAGCGACTTTTGGAAATAAATCACGCCATCCTCATTTATATGTGTAACCACGACATCATAAAATTCCGGCTTGGCTGTGCTGATACTACTAGCTTGCAACTGAGAAGCCGTTTTTGCAACCTCTTTCTCAACAGTTTCATCATAGTCCTTCCAAATTCCTTTCTTCTGTTCTCTTGCTTTGTCTTCGGCATTTATTAAAGATGCAGCTTCTGAATTGGTGTTTACAAAGTCCAGGAGCTTAATCAAACCCTGAGCAACCAAATCCTTTTGGATCAACAACGATCCAGAGCTTACGTATAAATTCCCAATAAAAGATCCCACTTTGTCAATATCATAAACCTCAAACTCAACTGGTCTTTGGAAAAACTTTTTGTGAAGATGTTTTACCGCCTCCTTCGAATCGTCATTTGCTATACCTCCAAGGATAAAATTCAAAGTCAAGCTTTCTTTTGGACTAAAGAGTTTAACTTTGTTGGCTCTTGGAACATACAGAATATGGAAGCCAGAAACCTTTCCTTTAGATTTGAAACCATTCAAGAACGTCTTGGCTTTAGCATGGTTTTCTGATGCATCAACAACTCTTGTGCTAACAGTCAAAAACTTATCAATGTCTCCATGAATACCCTTTTTTTGCTTTTTGGAGATCTCCTCCAACTCCACAAGCTTATCCCAATTATAGGAGCGTTCATGTTCGGTGTTTTTGCCATGCTTTGTCACGGAGGCTACACCTTTTGCGACGATAGATTCAGACAACTCAGCAATTGTGATGAGTGGTCGTTCTTCGATACCCAAGTCCTTATTAGCTTCTCTATAACCATCAACATGAGCCAGAAATTGCTTGCCAATGAAGTTGGAGCGAACAAATTCACGAGCTGAAGCTACTATTGCCTGTTGCTTAGCTGAATCTGTCGTCAAGGTAACATCTTTTGGCTTTGGGGCCCTAATGGAGGCTAATTGTACCACAATCTCGTCATCTGAACCAGGCACTCTCACTGCTAAAGTATCTGCACTTACGACCCTGGCAACGGACACATTTACCGTACTCCCTGTCTTCAACTTTGATCCTTGACCTATAGAAACAGTAGAGCCAGTAGAGCCAGTAGGTCTAGAACTAGCAAATATACCCTTACCAAGAGCCTTTGCCGCTTGTTCAGCCTTTCTCAATCTAGACATCGCTGTTGAACCAATGAGAGTGGATTGCCAATCGACAATTTCGGCATACCCCAACTCCAAAAGCTTTTGGCTGACATCGTTTCCCAGCGGATGATTGATTAAAGCAACTGGAACGCCTGATTGGCTCTTACCAATGATAGCAGCCGTCAAATCAGCCTTGGTTGTTAACAATTTTTCTTCCACAAAGAGTTTAGCTTGTTGTACAACTTTAGTCAAGTGAGCCGGTTGATTCGGATCATCAGTTCTGGGAGTTTTGACACCGGCTAACAAAAATGGGCTCTCAGAAACTTGGTGATCGTTGACGTAAATGTACGCTACAACTCGATCTCCACTAATGACTTTTTGCACAACAAATTTCAACGGTTGTTTTTGGGAATGCAATACGATGCTTTCATCCAATGGAACAACATCAACGCTTTTGGATTTCCCATCCCAAAGCCCAACTTGTTTCTGTTTGGCCCTAGTTTCAATTTGCTCCAAATTATCGATAACTTCATCGGGCACATTGTCTCTCAACTTGACGTAACCATTTGTCAACAAGTATTCAATTAACGACTCAAATATTGGGGCCTTAATATCTCCAAACTCCCTATTTCCTGCCTTTCCCTCAACCTTGATCTTGACTTCCTTACCAATTAACAATTGACGAAGATATTCTTTCGACAATATTTCGTCAATTGGTTTCACATATTGCAAGGTAATAATTCTTTCTGGAGGAGGGATTTGCGCTGACTTTGAAGGGATCACCACAACGGTGTCTCCACTTAAAACGCTTTTGACTTTGGCAATGAAAACTGACATCAATGATAAAGGACGTTATTCTGAATATTGTTTTTAAAAAATGAATTTTTCAAATTTTGTCAAAAGTCGCGCGACGAAGCCACAGGAAAACCAAGTTTGACACGTAGAACCACTTGGTGCTATGGACGTAATAGGCATTCATAGCACAAGGGGTTGGAATCGGTTAGAAACTAGATGAGTTACGAGAGGCCAAGAAAAAAGAATCACTTCAGCTAGTGGCGTTCACTTTTTCATGGTTTCATTCACGTTGATCTTCGTATAAAGTAAACCCACAAACAATCTTTGGCGTAATAAACTATTCTACGACACACTGATTGGTAATTCAACTTTTTTGACACCACCGACAAGCATTCAATCCATTAGTCCACAGTAAAAGACATGCCGTTAAAACGATTACAAGTACACTCAGTCGTACATCAAAGACAACTCGACTGCGTTGAACACTTTATATCTAAACACAGACAGGCTAGTACAAGAGATTCAATTTAGCTTTAGATAGACAAAATCCAACTCAGAACATAATACCTTGTTTAACAATAAATACAACATGTCCATTTAAGTATATATAGATAGCTACTAGATGATATGTGTTAAGGACGTGTAGACTAAGATACTTCTATAAAGCCTGGTGTTAGTTTTTGCAACCGCAAATTACATTCGTTTAAAGGTGATTCATTTTTGAGTCAGCTATAGAGAAGAAACTATCCTAAGGTGATCACACCGTAGCTTTATTTTGATGAAGCTCTCTTTAAAAATGTAAACTGTCTTAAGTTGATAAATAGCAAACAATAACATTCTTTTAGTATATGTATTCACTGATTTGTATATAGAATCACTATTGAGTTGGGACAGAGTCATTCACATTCCCAAATCACCGAAATATAGCACTATTGGTTACTATGTATACGTTGTGTTTTTACTGTTGTTACTTTCTGGCAACGCAATATTCAGGTATTGATATCACTCAATACACTTCACCTCATAATGCATTGTGGCCCTATCTCATGCCACATATTATATACAAGATTTCTTTCCTTATTATAGCTTGATCCCCTCTTATAGCCTCATTGAACCATAATCAGCGCATACCTTAAACACCACACACCTATAGCTGTTGGAAAAAAGCGGCAACATTACTACATCACAACATCTATGATGTTAATCCGGCGTAAGCATTCTAGTGTAAACTATCTTGTCTTGAATCTCCTTGGGTCATATACACACCTCAACACTGCCAGTATATCGTAATGATTTAACCAATTGGGGGCACATATATCGCTAATAGGATCACTTCTTTGAATTTTACCATTATATTAACCGTGAGAGGTCGTAATATCATCAATCTGAATGTCACTTTCTTCTTCAACCGGGGCTTTTAACCGATACAATACAACAAATTTATCCATTACGTGACATATGTACTTTTCACTTGGTCCCGTATCGAAACTAACCAACTTCTTATCATTCGAACCTATTGCGTCGACAAGTTTGCGATATTCAGCTACTCCTGCTTCAGACAATTCTGGGAGTGTTTGTTGATCATCAAAGCCAAATGTTCCTACATACTGTAGTTCCTTTGTGAATACGACAATGTTATTTATTTCAATGGTATTGTAAAGATTGAGTGTTTGTTTTAGTAAGTCTATTGTTTCCAAGGGTAGACGCGTCATGTGATTGGCGATTGCGGTGTGTGTGGGGGTGGTAGAGTTACCTTGACCTTTTAATTTCTACTACTGTAATAAACTCCAGCTACCAAGTTACACCAATGAAACTTTGAGTTTTCATCCACGAAACACCAATAAATACAATAATTCAAAATGCATTTCAGATACATGGTCCCACCTACAGTATAAATTTCAATATCTTATGAATACATGTTTCATATATTATATCTATTTAGCTACAATTTATGATAATTCATGAGGGCTCTCTTGCCCATCTTCATTGGCCCCTTCGCTTCCCGCTTGACTTCCAGGGTCATCAGAAAGTGTATTGCTTCTTCCTGCACCCCTTGTATCGTCCTGGTTTTGTTGATGCACGGGCACGGAAGAAGTAGTTTGATTACAGGCGCTGCTACTTGATGAGCTGGGAATGCACCAATTTCGATGACAATGCCATGCTTTCATCTGGCAATCTCTGGAACAGTATTTTGTTCTTTTACACCTGCGGCATTTTGAAAATTCGCGTGGGTACTTTTCCCACTTGCCGCAATCCAAGTTTCCACATTGACGAACACCGCCTTTAAGATCATTTCTGCGACAGGAATTTCTCATGATTACCCCTGACCAATAATACATATCCGTGCCTGATAAAAATGTAAATTTTTCAACAATGGGGAACAAGTTGATCCTTTTGTATTCCCTTAACGAGTCATCCTTATCTTCATCGTATTCGTCAATATCAAAGTACTTATATTTTTCATAATCCCATTTACGCTCAAGAAACTCCCTTTTCTTCAATCTCTGTTTGATGATGGCACTTGACAATTTCTTGCTCTCTTCATCGACTAATCTACTCAACTTCTCGTTCAATTGGTATAGCTTGACCTTTCGTAAAAAGTCATTCTCCAATGACTCGCACTCAACTACTCTTTCGTACAAGCTTGCCATGAGATCATCCCTTTCGCTGGAATCCTTGAAAGTACATTCACTAGAGTCGGAAAAGATCTCTTCCAAATCCCCATCAGAGTTCTCTTTACCATTGTAAACGTCATCTTCATTCTCTTCTTCTTCGTCGTCTTCTACTTCCACTTCCTCCTCATCCTCAACCGCTTCGTCATCTGCTCTTGCGCTAATCTCAACATGACTAATTTCTTCAATTCCTGCGTATCCTGAGTCACATAATGCAAATTTATCGCCTTTGGGAATTAAACTGTCATCGTTCAACGATGTCAACATTTGAGGGGAGTTTGACGCACTCGGATTGAATTTTTTCAAATATGTGATCCTCGGTTTTCTGGATTTGGGTCTTATTGTGGGTCTTGATTTGATGCTGAGGGACTTTTTCACCTTCAATCGAATCTGATTTTCAAGGTACATCTTCAATTGTTTGTCACGTATGCTCATATCCAATACCAAATGGGTATTTTGAAGAACCTCCTTGAGATAGGGATACTTCGATATATATGCTAGTAGTTGCAAAGACCAAACAATATCGTCATCTTTGGGTATCACAACTCCAGTTTTTGTAAACGACCGCACGGCTGCTTTCGATCCGGTTTTACTGTTGATGCTCATATCGCGCATGTACAATTCCGATAAGAATTGGAGATTGCTATCCATGTCAAACTCACAGTCATTGACAAATCCTTCTTCGAAAACATCGGCTTCTTTTGTCTCTCGAAGCCTGCCTAAAATGTTTAAAACGACAATGTTTCGCTTCACTTCTGAATGAATGGACAGGCTGTGTGAATAGCTTTCCTTCTCGAAGTTGCCATCTCGCTGCTTCCCGTCATCAAATGACGACACTCGAAGAAGTTGGAACAAATGTTCGAGACTTGAGTTTTCAACATCTTCGTGTCTAATGTTGTCTAGTGTCATGCCAGCGGGAAGGATATTGTCAGTCGAAAAGGTTGCTGTTGCTGTGGATTCCAAAGCGGTCGCAGTGGTCAGGAATTGATCATAATATAGGCCATTGGTTACTGGAAAAAAAGTGGCGTTTGATAAATCTTCTTCGTTGGGACCATCACGTAAAGCAGAAGGATGTACCGTAAAGCTATCCGACTGTTCCTGATTGGAGAAGGATTGAAATAATTCTTGGACTTGGGTGTCAGATTGCTGGGTGGGGTCGGTAGATGTATTTCGTTGTTGTCCTGATTGTTGGTGCAGCAGCTGGGTAGTAGTAGAATGCAAAAACACTTGTTCGTGCAACGTCAAGTAGTTGTCTAGTACTGTTGCAATAATTGGCAAGATGCCCGCTCTTACCACTTTTTGTCTGATCTTTTCTGTGCCTCTAGTACCGACAAGTACTAAACACTGGAATGCTAATGTCCATTTCCAGGCAATCAATACCTGTTTGTCTCCATTGTCGTTGATATACCGGTCGCAGCTGTGGCATTCATGCAATATTTCGATTAATCTCTCAATTCCCCCATCGACGGAAAGCGTCTCGCGGACTTTTGCCGATGAGCTGACCAAATAAGTGAGATAATTAAGCGAATTGACTAGAGGCTTATCTGAAGTGACATCTAATGCTCGTCTATCATAAAGGCTGGTAGTTATGGTAACCGCTGCCTTATTGCTGGAGATGGCTCTGTAGTTGGAATCACGCATTTAAGGGGCCAGTGATTTGAATGCAGGGTACTTTACTCTATGCTCCACAGCTTATCAGTTTCTAAGTGAGTTGATTTTGCATGAACGTTGCACAACTTGGACGATTTTGCAACACTTTAAAACTCCAAATAGCTTTTGATGCGAGTGGCGTTAAATGAATGAGTACAATAAATAAAAAGCCGTATTTGAAAATAGAATTTGATAAAACAAACAAGCCCTTTATCTGCTGATTTAGAAAGGTAAGTGCTATACTATGATGTAGTAGTGGCTATATGTTTGTGTGTATGTGTATGTTCTGTGCGTATATGTAGTTGTAACTCTTAAATTCACTCTTTCCTTTTTGCTTATTATGCTTGGAAGAGGTTTTGATTTTCTCACACCCAAAATTTATTTTTTATTTTCTTTCTTATTTGTGGACCATTCCAAATCAATCATCAATCATTGTCAGTCAATATCAATAAGAATTGGAGAGAGAGAGAGGGGAGCCAGTGTTTAATAAAAAAGGGCCAAACTTGGTTTTCACAGTTCCGCCAATATTCCCGAGAGTAGCACCACTATTAAACATCTGCAAGTATCTTGAAAAATTTCTAACAAAAATCTATTATCTCTATAATCATTCTACTCTTACAAATATTAGCCTTCTCAGGCAGGAGCCAACCCAAGTCTATGTTCAATTTTAACCATTGCATTCATGCATTGCTCCATAAAAATCAACGTCAAGATACTATGAGGCCCAACTCTAAACAATTGAGCCCAAAAACCCTTGTACAAGGCCATTGGGCCTTCGATAGCAATAGTTTTCCGGAAACAATCCAAAGGTCCCTTGTATAAGTTTCCCTTTTGGTTGTACATTCTTGTCAACACAACGTCCCAGGGATTCATCACAATTGCTACGCCTAGACCAGCCATTGACGCACTTATGAAATGTAACAATAACGTATTGTCCTTGGCAATGTGGTGCTTCAAAACAAAGCCTTTTGTCAAGTTGTATACTGGCAATTGGGCCGCAGAACCAGCACCCGTCCTCAAAATGGCTGCATCCACGCCACGGTATAATCCTTTGAAACCTTCCGCTTTATAGATCAGCCGTAAACCATCAAATGCTCCACTATAATATGTCTGTTGACCAACCGCACCAGTTTTCGAATACGATTGCATCCTGGTTTTCACCAAAAAGAATGGAGACGCCAAAACTGCACCAGCCGATCCAGATACAAATCCGGCAACAACATTGATGAATAGGTTTTGTGGAACATGTCCATTTTCAATATTTGCTGGGGTAAGCAACCTGGTGATATAGTATCGACTCGGCTCGTAAAATCCAATCCTACAACCATTCAATCCAAGCTGGTAAAAGTAACCACAAATCAATCCTTGCTGTAAACCTCGTATTCCTTCGTGTGCATAGATAGTCTTGAAAGCTTGGAATGGGTTTTTATATAGCTTGGCCTGTCCTGACAGTTTCGATAGCTCGCCCTGAAGTTGCATCCTTGTTTTGATCAATTCTATTGGGTTGGTAAAGGTAACTGCCCCACATGCGGCTACACCACCAGCTATAAAGCCACCCAAAGTTGTGACTTTTTGTGCATTATTCTGGTGAGCATTGCTTGAAACGGGTCTTTTCACCTGTATCTCATGCGATATTTTTAGTCTAGACTCTGGTTGACTCATGAAAAGTGGAGACGATTGGGTCTGGGTGGTCTCAGCAAAGTGTTTCTACTCCAGAGAGTTGAAAAATTATGCAGAATGAAAAAAAAAAGTAGTAAAACCAATTGGGAAAAAAAAGAAATTTTTTAAAATAAAAACTTTCTGCCGGAATCGGAACACACAATATTTACTGATAGATCTATATCTACCACTGAATAGCGGAAACGAGGAAAATTCTGGATAGGTAAAGCTTGTATAATAAGATATGTTTCTAAATAGTCCAAAGAAGACAACCATCTCTTTTTCTCTAGAAATTCAAAGAAAGCATCAATTGAAGTGTCAGTCACGTGACTAAAGTCACATGCTCTACTTTAATGGCAAAATGGATGCGCAGACGGAAAGATTTTTGGTCTAGAAGAGAATACACCTTACTAAGGTCATCATCATAATCATCATAGTGCATCTTTATCAAAGCAATGCTAAGATACAACCTAAAGCGAAATTTGCAACAGGTTGCTGCACAGCGAACTGCGTCAAGTAGTACGACTGCGTTGCACAAATATCCTATTAGGTCCAAAAGTCATGGCTTTGAAATTATCAAGACAACCACGATACCTGAATTTTCATTAGTGGCAGTTTTATTGAAACATGAGGCAAGTGGAGCCCAACATTTGCACTTGGATTCGGCTAATGACAATAACAATGTATTTTCAATAGCATTTAAAACGAACCCACCCGATGCCACTGGGGTGCCACATATTCTAGAGCATACAACCTTGTGTGGGTCGAAAAAGTACCCAGTTCGGGACCCGTTTTTCAAAATGACCAATAGAAGTTTGAGTAACTTTATGAATGCAATGACAGGTCATGACTATACATTTTATCCATTTGCAACGACTAATCGCAAGGACTTTGAAAATTTAATGGACGTGTATCTCTCGTCGGTCCTTGAGCCGTTGTTGAATTACAATGATTTCATACAGGAGGGATGGAGATTGGAAAACTCAGCTCTAGAAGATATTAAGAGTAAGCTTGAATTCAAAGGTGTCGTTTATAATGAGATGAAAGGACAGTACTCCAATTCAATGTACTACTTCTACATTAAGTTTTTGGAGTCTGTTTATCCAGCCTTGAACAACTCGGGTGGAGATCCTACAAAAATGACCAATTTATCCTACAAAGAATTGGTTGACTTTCACAGTCGAAATTACCATCCGTCAAATGCAAAAACATTCACTTATGGTAATTTACCGTTAGAAAATCACTTACGCCGACTCAATGAGTACTTTAAAGGCTTTGACAAGAAATGTTTAAGCTCAGAGGTCAAGGAATCGATATTTGTGACCGATCCTAAAAAGGTTCACGAAGTCACAGTTCCTGGCCCTTTCGATTCAATGATCAACAAGGACATATCGGAACAGTATAACGCGTCAATAACGTGGTACTTGGGTAACCCTTTGGATATACTGATGTACTATAATTTGTTTAAGTGGAAGATTCTTGCTTCGCTACTTTTCGATGGTCATAGCTCGCCACTTTATCAAGACTTTATTGAGAGTGGGTATTCCGAAGATTTTTCTGCAAATTCCGGGTTAGACTCCACAACTTCCCTTTTCTCAATAACAGTTGGCTTCAACTACTTAACTAAGGAAAAAGTTGGAGGCTTGGAGTCAGCGATTATCAATAGTATCAGGGATAGTGTGATGCCGAGGTTGAGCGCCAATGATTCGGCATACAATAATAGAGTTGAAGCGTTGTTGCATCAAATTGAGTTGGGTTTTAAAAGACACAAGCCCGAATTTGGATTTAGTTTACTAAGTTCACTAGTTCCTTCTTGGGTCAACGGTGCAGACCCGTTGGAGGTCCTTACTGTGGAAGCAATTTTGTCAAAGTTCAAGAAAGAATACTCGGAAAGAGGATTGAAGATGTTTGAGGAATTATTGAATGATACATTGTTGAATAATGCAACTCAAAAATTTAAATTTACAATGGAACCAAGAGATAATTTTGCAAAACAATTGGGTCAAATAGAGACTGACAACTTACTGAGCAAAATTGAAGAGCTAACGGAGGATGATCGACAAAAAATCTACGACAGGAACATTGAATTGGCGGAGTCTCAAACTCAAGAGCAAGATGCAGACGTGTTACCTTCTTTAGCAGTTGAGGATATTTCCAAAAGGGGGTCATTTTATGATATTGCTGTAGTGCGTGTCAACAACAAGGATATAAATGAGAGAGTTGTCGATACTAATGGTCTTGTTTATGTAAATGCGTTGAAGGAAATTCCTTTCTTGTCAGCAAAATATTACAAATACCTTCCGCTATTCAACAGTTGTTTGACAAACCTTGCAGGTACGACAGAGACGCCCATTACCGAGCTTGAAACTAAAATACAGTTGGTTACTGGTGGGATCTCATTTAACCACAGGATAACACCTGACCCTTATAACATAAATCTGATGAAATTGCAGTATCTGTTGGCGGGAGCAGCTTTAAAAGAGAATGCAGCCAATATTTATGACTTATGGCGAGAAATTTTACAAGATACTCGGCTTAGTGATGATGAGGAAGTTTTGGATAAGCTCAGTACTTTAATCAAAAACATGGGACAGAACCAAATTAATGCAGTTGCAGAAAGCGGCCATTCTTATGCATGTGGAGTCAGTAACTCAAAGATTACCCCTGCCAAGTACATCAGAGAAGTCACTGGAGGATTAGAACAGGTTCAATTTGTGATGGAAATGAATAGGAATCTTGAAAACAAAGGCAAGGATTATTTGAAGAATGAAATTTTGCCAATTTTGAGGACTATGAAGGAGGCAGTTTTGCAAGGTGATTTCAAATATAGAGTAGTAGGAGACCTTGAAACAGTGAAAGAAAATGAGCTGTTGATTAGCAAGTTTGATGAGCAAATGGCATCTTCAGGACCTACGCCCGCCACGACTGATGGTCTTGACTCTTTACTTGAGTCATTCAAGTATAATCACACCTCGGAAAAGCAATTAATTAATCTCCCATTCCAAGTGGGTTATTCATGTTTGGCCAAGAAAGGTGCATCCTTCTCTTCTAAAGAAGGTGCTGCTTTACAGATACTATCGCAATTGTACACATTTAAAAATCTACACTCCAAGATTAGAGAGGCTAATGGTGCCTATGGAGGCGGTTTGACTTATGACGGGTTAGGGGGAACTTTAGACTTTTATTCTTATAGGGATCCCAATCCAGTCAAGTCCATCCAAACATTTGAAGAATCGTTTGCTTATGGCCTCAATGCTCAATGGAGCGAGAAGGATTTAACAGAGGCCAAATTGAGGGTCTTCCAAAGTATAGATGCCCCTATCAACGTTGCAAGCCAAGGCTCTACCCAATTTTTTGAAGGGATAAGCGACGATTTGAGGCAAGAAAGAAGAGAAAATTTCCTTAGCACAACTATTCAAGATTTGCAGCATGTTACCCAAAACTATCTTGTCAACAACCCTAACAATTTGGTTACTGTCATTGGCGATAACGAATTATTGAAAGTCGATAACAACTGGCAAATTAGAAATCTCAAGTTATAGATATAGAAGTTTACTTGTAAATAGATTAAAATAAACTACTGTTCATTCAAAGGTTCTAATTTATTGTGTAGTATGTACAAGTCGTGACTAATCGTAATGTTTTAATTTGAATTTTTTTTATCTTGGTGGGAGGAGGGGGGTTCACCTCCCTCTCACCACTAGCGATGTCTTCTAGCATAATCCTTGGGTGGTAACTCGGCGATTTTTCTCTTTCTGTCTTCTTTAAATAGACAATGTCTTTGAGCTCTTGGATCGTATAAAATCAAATTCAATTTTCTAGCACTTCTGGGTATCCTGAACCATTTTTCATATCCTGTTAATGCAGTTGACACCATTTTGATCATGGTGGTATTTGCTTTTGCTTTGGCCATGGTTGTGGATGACTTTAGGAGATCGTTTTCTAGTCTAACCAGTTGTACAATTTTTCACTTCTTGTCTTTTTCTCTCTTCTTTTTCTTTTTCTTATTTTTTTCTTCAACTTTTAGTAGACTTCCGGTTTAGGAAGTATAAAGAAAGACTCTGCTACAGGGGTGTACACGTCTTTAAAAAAAATAAAAAAATGTTGAAGTTGGGAGAGGAGAGACTTTTGACAGTAGGAAAAAAAAAAACGAAAAAAAAAAAATAAAAGAAAAAAAAACTGAACACGCAAACAGCAAAAGCGAAATCAAAATCAAACTCAATTGGAATTTTTCACATTTCTTGACGTTATAAGGGTTATCCGGACATCATCGTCACCACCACCACCACCACCACCATTATACCAATATAAATACTCCAATGCAGTACTTTTTCAATTTTGCATTGATCTTATCATTTATAGCATGCGCCATTCACGCATTGCATATTGAAGTTCCAGCAGTGCCACGTCCTGAACCTGTTTGTATTCGAGATTTCGTGCAGGAAAATCAGATGGTTGTAGTCAACATTAACACAGATGGGTATAAGGGAGACGGACAAAGATTGGATATAACCATTGTTGATTCGGTTGGTAACCAATATGCTACAAGGAAAGATATTGTGGGCAAGGTGAAAATTGCATTCACTTCTCATAATAATGCCGCCGTGGATATTTGCTTCTACAACCACCAGGAACAGCAATGGAAGAAACATGGCTCAAGAGAAAGTTCTATTAGATTGGTTGAGTTGGAAGTTGAAAGCGGTGCTGCTGCAAGAGATTGGAACGCGTTACAAGCAAGTGAAAAATTGAAACCAGTGGAGGTGGAGTTGAAAAAGATTGAGAGCTTAACAGCTGAAATTGTTCAGGAATTGCAATATTTGAAAAGAAGAGAGGAGAGAATGAGGGATACAAATGAATCCACCAACTCAAGAATCAAATGGTTCTCTATTATCATTATATTCTCCTTGGTGGGATTTGGGGGATGGCAAATCCAATATTTGAGGCATTATTTCAAAGTAAAGCATATTATTTAGGTTCCGAATAGTATAGTATAAAAATCAAATCAACCCCAATATGGGGACTCACCGGTCATACGTAGACTTATAAGTAGTTCGATAGTATCAATGTGAATGGTTCCCAAGTCATCATGTCCCTGTTGACCAGATCAACAAAACCTTGATCCAAATTAAAGTTGAGATTTGATTCATCAAGAGGCTTTGAACTGAAAACGAGAAACTCTTGAAAGGCTATTTCCCTCAAACGATCTGCAGCTTTTACTTTTTCATAAATTATGGAGTCTTTGTACATCATGTTCCCCGTGTGTTTCAAATCACACAATGTCAGCGACAAAGCCCATTCAAGAAGAAAATTCATCTTCATCCAAGATTGGTAAAAATTTTCAAACGCAGTCCACGACTCATCCTCTGTTAGTTGAGCGTATATTGATGGTTCAGTGATCCAGGACAAGATCATATCTAAGTTATGCACCTGATTGTTCCCCTCTCCAGCACGTAAAAAGTTGTCGAGCTCAAAACTGACACTCTCAGATGAACCGATCATATTTTTTAACAATCGAGTTGCCACATTCATCAAAAATAGCAGTTTATACTTGTTTGGAATCGCCGATTCCGACAATAGCGAATAGTAGAATTCGCTTAAGTACCGATAATCAATCTTGCTGAATTTGTCGCATATTAGCTTTACCAACTCTGAAGGCTCTAAATGTGTTGCTAAGTTACGACCAAATGACTTGCCAGAAAATACCCTCTTATCAAAGACTAAACTCCAGTAGTATACGATAGCACAAATTTTGAATCTCAATAGCATAGAATTCATATTATCGCTACCGAAATTGAACTCAGCGCTAGAAGATGTGTTTCTTTGCTTTCTATTGAACTCCTTTCGTACCAATATGCTTTCATGTTGATAGCAAGTTTTAGGAAAAGGGGGTAGCCTATCCAATCCATTAAATACAAATTCAACAACTCTATCGTACCATTGACTTTGTAAATAGCCCAACGACTTTAGTAGCCTCAGCAAAAGTATACTTGAATTATCCTCCACTTGTAGGCTAGCAAGCTTATTTTTATCCTTGGGGCCATTGAAAAGTGCTACATATGAATCTTGATCTTTAAATATTTCTTTCAACGCATCTACCAAGTTGTACTCGATTATATTGAAGATGAAGAGTAAGGTAGTAGCCTGTGCCTCGTAAATTGTGTGACTGTATGAGACAATTTGGGGATAGTAAGCTGTAGATAACCCTGCACAATAAAAACACCAATTTACCAAATCCCAAAGACCAAACTTGCCATCGCTTATGCGAAATTGGTCCTTTAGCAAAGGTTCATCAAAAACACGCAAGCCATCCCAAGTCTCGTATGATGTTCCATTGGTTAGACTCGATTCCTTGGACGCTTCATCACTTTCTTGTTTTCCAACTTGCGGTAGTGTAAATTCGGGATCGTTATAATCTTCCTCGGAATCACTAATCACAATCAAAGTATCATCACTGCCCTCTCTGTACTGTTTCTCTGTCTGTCGCCTCTTTCTGGAATTTCTCTCCTCTTTAAGTTCTGGTACTGGTGACTCTCCTGTTGGCTTCAACATTGAACTGATGCTCGATGCTCGTTTCCGGCTACTTTCTTTCGTCACCAACTGATTTATTGTCTGTTGTAATGCCCTATATACCCCTTGATTCCCATCGTAAACAAGGTTTTTGTATTTTTCCAATATGATGATACAACGATCAGTTAGGCTTGATTTATGCAACAACTGGTCGCTATGTTTTAGTGCTAATAGTTGTTCTTGTGTCTCCACTAAACCATACTTGGATTTCGACGGAGCCGAAGACCAGTTGCAGCTTGAGCTTCTTGAAGATACTGTCAACAATAAGTGGAAAATATCTTCTGATGGGATGAGTGGTGGATCCAGTGGTAACTCAAGAAAGGATAACAAGTCATCAATTACTTCATAATTAGCCAAATTGATTGAATCTTCTTTCAACTCGGGAATGACTCTGTCCAAAAACTTGGCTTGTATTTCTTGATGAAATTCCGGTAGGAATAGCGGCATCTAGCTGCTATAAGTCCTTGAAGTGAGTGAGAGGGGGGGGGGAAACAGGAAGGTAATTCAAACCCAAACTCTTTGTGTGTAAACATAACAATTTATGTGGTTAAAAAATAAAAATAAAAAAAAAAGGAACAAGTAGCCATTCAACAGAAGCAAGGTATTAATGATGTCCCTGAGTCGCAGCTACAATGAGAGTTTAGAAGATCTGTTATTACATTGGTACTCTACGCCCAGATTAGTGAATAAGTCATCCAGTCTCATTTTGTCAATTGGATTGGTACACCAATGGAGCAAGCATATCTAAATCGGAAACCGAAATACCTATCAAAGAGAACTCCGTTTCAATCCAAAACAAGCCAATACTCTTCCAATCCAATCGTCAGTTTTACGGAACTAAGATTTATTTACAAATCACTTAATAGCTTCTTCACAAGTAGCTCATCCAAGATAGAGCAATTCCTCATATACTCCTTACTAGTGAGCACCAACTCATAGTATATCAAGTACTTCGGCTTATGCATTTTAATTTTGAACAAGGTTGATGACGGATGGACAAAACAAGGAATGTTTTGTCTTGACTTTGAAATTGGTTGATAGCAATCCCCCATAGGTGATAACTTGACTACATTGTTGAAAAAGCCACTAATAAACAGCTTTTGGATAGACATGTAGAATTGCGACGGTGATTTTCCTTCATCTTGGCTTTGCTTGTCTTCAATGTTATATTTATCATCCCCAGTCAGCTCGGCGTTGACATTGACACCAATTTTTTTGCAAATTCGTATCACTTGTTGAAAGATATGGCGTGATCTTTGTAGAGTCTTGTATTGCAAGAAGTAATCTTCACACCAGTGTTTTGAGTATCCGGAAATTTGCCATTGATTGAAAATGTTCAACAATGTCAAATGATCTCCTTCAGGGGCGTCAAATTGGCCATGTCTCTTTTTAATTACCTCTTGGTCAATCTGCTTTGGGAAATACTTTAAGTTTGACGATTCTGTCAACATGGCAATGATTATGCAAACTTCTCTGGTGACTCCATATTTCTCACTACTTAAAATACATTTTGTCAATACTGGATCAAGTGGAAATTCGTTCATTTTAAACCCAATTTTGGATAGTTTACCACTCGATTTAATTGCTCCAAGTGAGTATAACAAATTTAATGATTTCATAATGCTCTCCTTTGGTGGTGGATCCAAAAATTGAAAGTTTAGTAAATCATTGACACCAAGTGATAACAACAACAATATGACTGAATTTAAATTGATGCGCTGAATTTCGGGTTTTTGGGAATCTTCCATTTCATTGTCAAATGAGTGTTTTGTAAACATTCGGAAACATTTTCCTGGTCCAACTCTTCCTGCACGTCCAGCTCTTTGGTCACAATTGGCTTTGGAGCAGGGAACAACTACTAGACTCTCCATTCCCGTTAAATGGTTAAATTCGTTTTGCTTGACATACCCAGGATCAATGACAAATGATACTCCTTCGATTGTGATTGATGTTTCAGCGATGTTTGTAGCCAATATAACTTTTCTCGTATTGATAGGTGCCGGCTCAAAAATCCTGCTCTGGTATTCACTCGGTAGATTGGCATAAACTGTACAGACCAATAACTTTCTTTCTTCCAATTGGTCACCAATTTTCATTATAGCTTCTTGTATTTGTGTTTCAAGTCTTTCAATTTCGTCTTGTCCTGTTAAAAACACTAGAATATCCCCTGGCAACGGTTGTGTTAAATGAATTTGGAAAATTGTGGTCATCACTGCTTGTAGGTAATTGGCTTCAGGTTGTTTTGTGTAGTGGATCTTTACTGGGAACCGTCTACCCGGTATGTTCAAAATAGGAGCCCCATTGAAATAGTTGGAAAACTTCGATGCTTTAATTGTAGCACTAGCAATCACAATCTTCAAGTCTTTTCTTTGCAACGCTAAATCTTTCAATAAACTCAATAAAATTTCCGTTGATAGTGTACGTTCATGTGCTTCATCAATCATTATTACTCCATAATTGGATAAGCTTGGGTCATTCAAAAACTCTCTTAATAACATACCATCAGTTGAGAATTTAATCACAGTTGATGGCGAACAATTATCATCAAATCGTATAGAGTACCCCACTTTCCCCTTTGAGCCTCCCAATGATGTCCCCATTTCATCAGCAACCCTTTGAGCTACTGAGACGGCAGCTATTCTTCTTGGTTGGGTACAGCCTATTATTTTTGTATCGTTTTGAGAGTAGCCGCCTTCGTATAGATACTGAGGCAATTGAGTCGTCTTACCTGATCCTGTTTCTCCAACTATTATAATCACCTGGTGATTCTGTAAAAGGTTCAAAAATTCATCCTTGTATTGGTAAACGGGAAGCGACTTTTGCAAAGACTCTAAATCTTTCGGTTTGTTTGAGAGTGCTTGAACCTGTTCTTCCTCTCCATTTATTATAGTCTCTTCATTTTCGTCAAAGTTGACATATTGTGATTCATCAAACACATACTCGTATTCGTCGTTATTAGCCAAATGGATTTTATCATCAGTTTGAAGATTCAATTGTTGTGCTTTGTTAAATTGCTCTGTTTCCCAATCATTTTTCCTTTTTAAGGTCCTGTCTGACTCCTGATAAGGACTTTTTCCGTTTAATAAGTCTTTTTTGCTGGGCATCGACTTATGCTCAACTGGTCGAAATCTGCGACCGTCAGTATTCTTGTTGTATTTGTGATTATTTGAGTTATTTCTTGTAGTCACTTCTCGAGGTTGTTCAGGGTGCAAGGAAGCATTGTCGTATAGTTCAATCTGACTTTTGCAAGACTCATCTGCAAGGGAGTGTTGTTGTGATGCTGGCATATGGTTTCGGTTGAGTTTATCACTATTGCTATTGGATTCAGAGGTCAGTTGCCCTAGATCCTTATTTGAGATGACTTCAACATCTCCTTTCTCATCATCATCATATTCGATATTAACTTGTCTTCTGCGGTAGCCTGTTCCACTCTGTTTTGGGGCATCCATATCTACCTGTAACTGCTTTGAATCGAGATCTCCTCTACAACCAGATTGTATCACCAGTAATTTCTCACTCAAGACTACCACAAAGATTTAAGTGATAACAGTGTAAACCTTTTTATAGCACAAGGGTTTGTGGGCCTATCCTATCATGGGGAAAAGAGTTCTTGTTTTTTCTTTCTTTACAACCATGTAAAAAAAAAAGAGACAAAGTGATGATGATGATCATCGTGGAATTATTGGGTACCTCGATTTTATCAGTGTGTCAGTTAAATTATCCGAAACATTCAAATATATCTCATGTCACTGGCTCCAAAGCAAAGAAGGTATTCTAGAATTGCACCAGCGCAGAATGAAACTTCCTCCTTTATCTCCCTTGCGGGAGAGACTCTCCGACCTGATGATGAAAACGAGAATTCGCTATACCAAGATGGAGAGACTTTATCTGTAAATTCGTCACAGTCATTTCGTGGATTGAAGGTGGATGAAAATAGTGATAGGGGTGTTGGTGAACCAATTGAGTATCCCAATCTGTCATCCATTACTAGCCCAATGTTGGGGGTTTCAAATGCATCTAAATTAGGACATTCATCGTTTGCCAGTCCTGCAGAATCAGCTGTTTCCCTTTCTTCTGCTTCTCCAGTAACAGAGTCTCGAGTCAACTCAACGTCGGAGATCTCGCAAGATGAACAACTTCATGACAAACTTGTTCATTCATCTTATATCCCCCCTTGGACTGCACCTTATATCATCGGAATAGCCGGTAATTCAGGAAGTGGCAAAACGTCAATTTCACAACAGATAATTCAAGGCATAAATCAACCCTGGACGGTGCTACTATCGTTTGATAACTTTTACAGGTCATTGACACCGGAGCAGAGTAAGCGAGCATTTGAGAATGAATATGATTTTGACACTCCGCTGCTGTTGGACTTGGATGCTCTTGTGGAAACTGTGCGTACGTTGAAAAAAGGAGGTAAATCCACGATTCCGGTTTACTCGTTTGCAAAACACGCCAGAACTGATAAGACAAATACCATATACGGGGCCAATGTTATTATAGTTGAAGGATTATACGCATTGTATGATCCTAGATTGTTAGCAATGATGGATTTGAAAATATACGTTGACACTGATTTAGACATTTGTTTATCAAGACGTTTGATAAGAGATATCCTTTACAGAGGGCGAGATTTAGATGGAGCCATTAAGCAGTGGACAAAATTTGTCAAACCCAATGCTGTCAAATATATAAACCCCACCAAAGACAACGCTGATTTAGTTATCCCTCGCGGGTTGGACAACACAATTGCGATTGATCTTATGATTAAACATATCAAAAACCAATTAGCTCTTAAATCAAAAAGACACTTGCAAAACTTGAAGAGCTTGGGCTACAACATTGAATTTAAGGTGGAAAATTATCCCAATTTGAAAATACTAAAGCCTACAAATCAACTAAAAGGAATCAATTCTACCTTGTTTAGCAAAACAACGTCAAGAGATGATTTTATATTTTATTTCAATCGAATAAGTGGACTTTTACTTGAATATGCACAAGTGAACTTTTTTGAATTTGTACCAAGACAAGTTATTTGTTTTGGAAAGCCACATAAATACCAGGGATTACAGGCTCAGCAGTTGCAAATGGTTGCTGTTAGCATCATTCGGAGTGGCGATTGTTTTATGACCTCATTGAAAAAGACATTTCCAGAACTAACTGTAGGTAAAATGTTGATACAAAGTGATTCATCAACGGGTGAACCCCAATTGCATTATGAAAGTTTGCCTCATAATATCAATAACATTGGTAGAATATTGTTGTTTGATTCACAGGTAATTAGTGGGGCCGGAGCAATCATGGCAATTCAGGTATTGGTTGACCATGGAGTTAAACAAGAAGATATTATATTTGTGAGCTTCCTATCAACTGAAATTGGAATCAGGAGAATCCTAAATGTGTTTCCCCGTGTTAAGTTGGTTATTGGTAAATTATCGTCGATGGATGTGACACAATTTGAACAACAGGGGGAAGGAGAAGAAGAAAGGAAAGGCAATACATTATGGTATAATGAAGAAAGATTTTTAGATAGCCATTGGCATTTTAGAAATAGGTTTATAGATAGTTTATACTTTGGTACAGATTGAATAATATACATTGGAGAACTAATATGATGTAGCTGGGACGGCATCTTTCAAATCATGATATAGAAACCACATCNCCTGATGGCTCTGAAGCACCTCCACTTGGGTTTCCGGTTGGGTTACCTGTTGGTTTTCCTGATGGCTCTGAAGCACCGCTAGTTGGGTTTCCGGTTGGGTTTCCAGTTGGCTCTGAAGCACCGCCAGTAGATCCAGAAGTATTTCCAGTAGACTCAGAAACAGCACCAGTTGGTTCAGATGTACTACCACTTGGGTTTCCAGTAGGTTCAGATGTGTTGTCACTTAGATTACCGGTTGGTTCCGATGTGTTGGCAGTTGGTTTCGATGTATCACCACTTGGGTTGCGAGTAGGTTCAGATGTATTACCACCTGATTCAGAAGCGCTAGTTGGTTCAGAAGTATTTCTTGTTGGCTCATATGCGCCTGAATCAGACGATGTTGGTGACTCAAATGTAATAATAGTACTTGAGGAACTGTCAGAATGGGAAACAACACCTGACTTGGTTTCAACACGTCCATCTGATTTTGTTACAGTCCAAGTAGCAGTAACTACCTTTGTTTTTGTTTCTGTGGTCGTGGTTGTATCTGTGGTTGTTGTGGTCGTTGGTTCAAAAGTAGTAATAGTACTTGAGGAACTGCNGATAATTTAAAAGAATTTTCTGCATTGAATATTAAAAAATATTGACTGGGTATACGTATATTTTTGAGACCTGCAATCTCCTACATCAACGACACCTTTAAATGGCTATAGTACCGGTGGTAGTATGTGTTGAGGTTACTATGACTGTGGCTGTGACTATATCTGTAACTGTAACAACGCCTGGTCTACCGGGTTTATCAGTAGAGGTTGTTTTGGTTGCATCTGGAACCTTCTCAGTAGTCTTGTCCGGAACCTTCTCAGTAGTCTTGTCTGGAGTCTTTTCAGTAGTCTTGTCTGGTTGAGTTGGGACATCAACTCCTGGGATGCCTGGAATAGACTTACATGGCTTACATTCTGGAGGCACGCCCTTATTTGGTGGAGGAGCGTTGTATTGAACAGCACCCAAGTGTATTCCTGGCAAACCTCTGCTTTTGTCACTAACGACTTGGAATTTAGTATAGTCGTACCCAGTTCCAATTTCAAACCTTTGTGAGCGCAACGAGTCATACAATGTCAAAATACCCTTCTCAGCGTCGTAGGTGAATGGGCTTCTTCCTGGCACCGGCGAAGATAACCTAGTTCTCAATCCAACTTTGTTTGCAAGACCATTGGTTGTTCCGAAACCTCTTACATGGAAGGTCTGAGGGTTCCTGATTGATCCCTNCTGATTTTGTTACAGTCCAAGTAGCAGTAACTACCTTTGTTTTTGTTTCTGTGGTCGTGGTTGTACCTGTGGTAGTCGTGGTAGATTTTTCTCGGGTTGATGCTGAGCTTGAAGTTAGGCTCAAAGTAGGACTCAGAGTGGGATTCATAGTGGGACTCAAAGTTGTACTTGAGGTTGGGATTGAACTTGTGCCTGTGGATGAGCTTGTAGATGTGTCAGAAAGTACTACTGGCATATCGACTGCCTCCTCTGGCCCCGTTCCAGGAATCTGAGGTATTGACTTGCATGGCTTACATTCTGGAGGCACGCCCTTATTTGGTGGTGGACCGTTGTATTGAACAGCACCCAAGTATATACCTGGCAAACCTCTGCTTTTGTCACTAACGACTTGGAATTTAGTATAGTCGTACCCAGTTCCAATTTCAAACCTTTGTGAATACAACCCGACATACAATGTCAAAATACCCTTCTCGGCGTCGTAGGTGAATGGGCCCCTTCCTGGCACCGGGGACGATAAAGTAGCTGTCAATCCAACTTTGTTTGCAAGACCATTGGTTGTTCCGAAACCTCTTACATGGAAAGTCTGAGGATTGTTGATTGATCCAACGGCCATGATAGATGTTTCACCGTTAGTCAAGTAAAATATCTGGCCTTCAGAAATTTGTAAATTGGTGTTCATAAAGTAAAACGAAGATTTACCTTGTGCAGTAACACAGCCAGTTCCCATCAAGCTTGCGAGTTGCTTATAGTTTTGATTGGTGAAACAAATTTGGCCATTATTGGTAGCTGTCATTGCATCCATGCCCAAGAATGTGTAACTGTCACTTTTCATCAGCTGGTACACATGGATCAACCCATTGTTATGCCAGTCGGTACTCTTTATAGCACTCTCCACAGATCCTTTACCTGAAGCTGAAAAGAACAAGTCACCATTGTTTTCAAACTTGTTACCCATAATTCTGAACACATATCCGGGAGCACCTTTGATTGCATTGAAGGAAACAACCCCATCGTTAATAAAACCATAGATCAGATCAAGCAAAGTAGCAGACAAGACAACACGAGGCGTAACACTGGAAACGTAAAGACCACTGTTTGCCTCAACCTTGATATTCCCATGAAAATTAGATGCGGCATTGTTGATGATAGANGTTACCCATAATTCTGAACACATATCCGGGAGCACCTTTGATTGCATTGAAGGAAACAACCCCATTGTTAATAAAACCATACATCAGATCGAACAAAGTAGCAGACAAGGCAACACGAGGCGTAACACTGGAAACATAAAGACCACTGTTTGCATCAACCTTGATATTCCCATGAAAATCAGATGCTGCGTTGTTGATGATAGACCAGATGGCACCAGAGTGAATGTGAACATCACCAAGGCCAACATTTTGCACACCCCAATCAACTGTTGTACCTCCATTAAAATCTTTAGCCCATGCTGTGACAATGAATAGCCACACCGCTAATTGAGTTCTTAAAAATCCTTGCATTAGTGAAATTATCGTTTGACTTTGTCTCTATTTATAAGCAAGCTAGATTGTATTTGTCTCTTTGTCTGGTGAAAACGTTTCAAAACAATTGGCATCTAGGGGATTTCCAAAGGGCTATTTATACACTTTTCCTGTGTATGATATGGCTATTCTTAAACAAGCACTTTGGATAGATTGTTGCGCCATTACTCGATCGTACGAACTTTTGAATCTGGTGAATTGGTTAATGGGGTCTAAATTTTAAATTTTGCATCCTACAAAAAGGTTTAAATTTTCGCTGTTAAGTATTGCTTCATCTTTAAGTAAACAAGAACAACCGATAATCAAATGTAAATAAACTGCTGTTCAATTCTAGTTTTGGAAAGCTAATATTTTTACACCTACGTTGTCGAAGGCATTGCTAGTGGGTACTAACAAAGCAGTTGAACAGACAACTCGTTTGGTCAAACAAGTAAAGGTTTAGTTAGGAGTAGCCGCCCAGTCTACTAAGACTTTGTGATCAGAGAAACTGTGCGGTACTCTATCGTTAAAGCGGGAGCTTGTTTATCGTTCATCTGCAAACTCGAGCCTTAAATTAACGCACTCCGTTACCACATTAACTCAACTTATATATCTTGGCAGTCAGTCTTGGCAGTCAGTCTTGGCAGTCAGTCTTGGCAGTCGCGTCAAAACTCGCTTCAACACAAGGGCTTTGAGTTTAACTAAAGATGAATTGGTAGTTATTCTTTGAACCCGAATTAGTCAAGAACTTTTAAGCAAACGGCATTGTGGATGGTACGTGGTGACATTTTGACATTGAATGTAAGTAATACTTAGGGCTTACCACGAAGAATTCAACAAGACGGTAACTCGATCTCCAAAGGAAAAAAAGTACAAGTTTTACCGGCCATTGTCACACTCATTCCACGAATCGAGGAAAGGAATTGATAGTAATTTATCAGCTCACTTGTTATGCCTGACTGGTACGTTAAAAGTTGCGCGTCTTCAAATGCCTCATTTCTCTATATTTCTTTTTGACGATGAAACTGTCTAAGGCAAATTTGGAAGTGCAATCCTTTATATTACGACTAGTCTTGGAAGTTTTCTTGTTTGTTTACAATTAATTGCCTTTTAGTTGTTACATGCATGTAGAAACAGACGGTGGTTGTTTAGACGAACTGGTTATATGCTTAATTCCAACAACCTATAGCACATTATTTTTGTTGTGATGTTTTTATGCTCTTCGTTGTAACTTTCTTTGGAGTAGATCTCAACTCAATGTCAACAATCATTCTCTGATCCTTGTAACATAACCCTTTACCAAATACAGAGGCATCCCGTAAAACTACCCCANCAAGTCACCATTGTTTTCAAACTTGTTACCCATAATTCTGAACACGTATCCGGGAGCACCTTTGACTGCATTGAAGGAAACAACCCCATTGTTAACAAAACCATAGATCAGATCGAACAAAGTAGCAGACAAGGCAACACGAGGCGTGACACTGGAAACATAAAGACCACTGTTTGCTTCAACATTAATATTCCCATGAAAATCAGATGCAGCATTGTTGATGATAGACCAAATGGCACCAGAGTGAATATGAACATCACCAAGTCCAACATTTTGCACACCCCAATCAACTGTTGTACCTCCATTAAAATCTTTAGCCCATACTGTGACAATGAATAGCCACAATGCTAATTGAGCTCTTAACAATAGTTGCATTTAGTAAAAATTCGATCGACTTTTCGACTTAAATTACCGAAGTACAAGAAACCAAGTTAAGTTTGATACTTTGTCGTGTGATTCAGAACCTTTCAGAACCGAAAGATGGATATTTTCAGGAATATCCAAGGACTATTTATATATCTCCCAAATGTATGCACTAGCATTTGCAAACGAACACTTTGGGGAAAGGAATTTAGTATAATACCTTGATTGTAAGAATTTCTAAGAGCCATGAGGTGGTTGAAAATGGTCCAAAATTTAGACTTTGCATCCATCAGGCAGTAGTTTGAATTTTAGCTGGAACCCTTGAAATCCAGGTAAATGAAGTTAAACAGTGATTTTGGGATACCATATCGGCACACGAACTTCTTTTAAGGTACCACTAGTAAGCCAGACAACTAAACGATTAATAAACCAGCAGCCTGTTCAAAAATATTCGAAATTTAGCAGTATCACCTTGTCATGTACAACCCACTGACGTGGCCAAGTTCTTGTAACTTCGTAGTTGAAACGCGGACTTCTTCGTTATTTGATTGCAAATATACGCCCTAAACGGATGCCTTCTGTTACCCGCCTCCCCCATCAACTAATACTCTCTGAGAGACGCGTCAAATTCCTCGTTTGCATAAAACATCGAGCTTAACTAAAATTTAGTTGCATGGTGCCTTCCTGTATATGAATTACTCCAAAAGCTAAAAGGTATCAGCACGGCCGCTAGTTTTTAATAATTCCTTTTAATTTCAAAGCAAAATGCGAACTTCACCCAACATCAACACTCTGATAGACTCCAATTATCTAGACCACTGATTGCCTGCCAATTTTTCAGCTCATTTGTATTCACAGAGGCAAAGATGAAGACGACGCGTTTTCAATATTCTGTAGTTTCCGGATTTTGACGATAAATTTGTGCTGAACATGCAATATGGGCGAATTTGGAACTGAAACGGTATCCAACCGACAAAAATAGATGGTAAGGGCGTTTCTGAGGCGTGTTACTAAAACTTATTTGTTTACATTTGATTACTTCTTGGTTTTATTCTGAAAATGCAGGATTTATCTAACAGATGGATGTTATATTGTAGTCAGGAAGAATTAATCAATTGTTGAGTCATATTATTCGTCTAATAGACACACTTTGTTCTTTGTTTTCAGTTGGGCGTACTATTCATGTTATGTGGCACCTTGTATAAACTGTAGTGTCAATTCATTAATCATCTGATTCAAAACAAAGGGAAAAACAAAAAAGAGGAAGAAGGAAGAGAATAATGTGAGGATTGCAAATCAATTTGACTTCTTTTGAAGATCTATTTTGGTAATTGATATTGTGTGGAGTGGCATAGCAACAATACTGACTTGGAAAGGTTGAAACTGGCCAAGGTGGAGTATGTGCCCCATGAAGCAAACAGCCTGTTGGCCCTATTTGCGAAATATATTCCTAGAACGTTCGAAGGTGATTGAGTTATTGAGGACTTTTGAAGAGTATACTCGTCAACACCCATGACCATCTGATTTAACCCAAAACGTATTATTTAACTTCTAATGTAAGAACTAAAAGGTGACACGGTCAATAAATTCTTATGAATCTTTGTAGGCGCAAATAGCTTCAATTTTGTGTACATAATTTGACTTTGTTTAGAAAGGGGATTCATGCGTTAATTTGCCTCAATTCGGGGTCTTTTATCCAAAAGCTTGAAGTTATAACAAAGTCTAGACTCGTTCAGTAATGAACATATCTGTTATTGCTCTGGATAATCTTGTTGTTTTTCTTAACCTTTGCACTTACAGCAACATTGGCAATTTATGAGAAAAACAGGGAAATAAATCTCCTCCATAGGTTTGGCTTTAGAACTAAAAAAGCTCCGAATTGAGCATAGGGGGTGGCGCTTTTAAAATAGTTTCTCATGCACCAGACCACCATTCAAAATGTTTCAAAATAAAATGTGTGGCAATATAGAACCCTTTATCTAAACTGTGCCAAACTGTCAGTCTCCTACCGCTGCTTTCGTGCGCGTACTAGCTCAAACAGGAAACAAACTTACTGTATCTGGTTAACTGATCGATAAGTAAATATCTGTAAATGTCCAGGAAAGATAACATGGGCTAGTTTGAAGTAGGCGTTGACGAAGCTTCAGAAAAGCTTCATATAGATCCATTCCTGGAGGCCAAAAAGAGATATGCTGAAATCTGAATGAGATACTAGTTTGTCGTTTCAATTTACTTTATAAGTAGGGACCAGAGGCATGACAAAAGAGGGGATATTTCAAAAAATGCCACTCATACTTCTTCTACTTCAAGCGTACACATATATACCATCCACTGCAAGCAAAATTAACCATTCACTTCCTTAGAAAATCTCAACGTTTAAACTTCCTAACCAACAAATAAACCGCCGCGGCAATCAATATCCAATTCCAAGCAAACCCTCCGCCATTGTTCAACTGTGGGCCCATGCTTGGATCACCTAGTCATTTAGCATCACCAAACTTTGGAGGATATCCATTCAATTCAACACCCGTAGCTGATTCACAGCTGCACCATTGGTCTTTAGGAACACTGTTCATGGCATTAGGCACATGCATGCCACATCCGGTCCATGTCTTTTTCACTGTGGTGGGAAGGCAGTTAGTGATTACTTCTTTTTAAAGTATATGCATATCATACGTACGGCAAACTTGACAATCAGCAGATCTACACATTTTACTATCTGTTGTAGTCTATTCAGATGGTCAAAACAGAGGTATCTAAAAATTGATGCGAAAATTTTATTGTGGCGTTCACATTTCGTTTTTAATTCGAGCCGCACATTATACCCGAAATCCAATCTAAATACCCGAAAATGTTATCTATATTCAAGCTATATATATCTCTCTCTATCTCTAATTACACCTTCTTTTCCTGGTCCTGCAACTCCTGCTCTTCTTTTCTCAACCGTTCCTCCTCCTCCAACCTCAATTGTTCTTCAACGTCTAAATTCTCCTGAATGTTCCACAATTGGGCATACAATGACTCAGGCTCACTCAAGAGTTGCATATGCGATCCTTGTTCCTGTACATGCCCCTTGTTCAACACGATAATCTTGTCGGCGTCAGCAATCGTTCTCAACCTATGAGCAATTGATACATTTGTTCTATTGTCGCGTTTAAAAATGGTTCTAATTGTCTTTAATAATGCTTGCTCGGTATGCGTATCCAAGGCCGATGTAGCTTCATCGAAAAATGTGATGGGGGCGTTCTTCAAAAGCAAACGAGCAATGGCCAATCTTTGCTTTTCACCACCTGATATCATCATGCCTCGTTCTCCAACAATGGTATTCTCTCCATCAGGTAAGTCCTTGATTAAGTTGTCTAGTTGTACAAGCGACACAACTTGGTGAATTTGGTCATCGGTCGATTGCAAATCACCATATCGTATATTTTCAATGATGGTGTCATTGAAAAGAGGGGTTTCCTGAGGCACAACACCAATCTTTTTCCGCAATGATTCAAGCGACACTTTTGTGATATCCTGTCCATCAATCAAGATCCGTCCCAGATCCACATCGTAGAATCTAAACACCAAACGTAAAATTGTTGATTTCCCACTTCCTGACGGACCAACAACTGCCACTTTCTGTCCCGCAGGGATCGTGAATGACACATTTTTCAAAATGGGTCTATCGGGATGATACCCAAATGTAACATTTTCAAACTTAATCTCACCTGGGCTAGTCTTGTCCAATTTCAACTGAGGAGCACCTTCAGCGTCAGTAACCTTGATGGGAACATTTTGCAACTGAAACAAGTTTTCCATATCGAGTAAACTCTGCTTCAATTCTCGATAAACACTACCCAAGAAATTAAGCGGGACACTCAATTGAAACACTAGTTGGTTGATCAAGACCAAGTCACCCACGGTCAATCCTCCCGAAACGACACCTTGACACCCCATATACATCATGGCTGTTAGTGCCAGGGTGAATATAAAATTCTGCCCCGCATTGAGATACGCCAAACTAGTGGCTACTTTAACCAGCGCATTTTGAAACTTGGTCAACGCATTATTGTACTTTTGCAGTTGGAAAGCTTCATTGTTGAAGATCTTGACACTCTCATAATTGATCAAGGAATCCAAAGCAACGCTGGCTGCTTGATTATCGGCATTGTTGGCTTGCCTTCTAAATTTAGTTCTCCATGCTGTTGTCTTTATGGTGAAGATGGAGTATGCTAACATTGTACAAAAAGTCATGGCGGCAAAGGGTAACCCATAGTTGTAACTCAAAATCCCACAAACAATGCTAATCTCAAACGTAATGGGTATAATGTGAAACACCATAGCCGTGAGCACATAACTAATACCTTTAGTTCCTCGATCAATTGCTCTCGTCAACCCACCGGTTTGTTGCGACAAATGAAATTGTAAATCCATATTCATCAAACGGTTAAATGTATTTGATGCCACCCTTTTAATAGCAGTTTGGGCCACACTGGCAAATATGGCATTTCTCAATTCACCAAACAACACGGCACCAAACCTGGCACCACCATATGCGAGTATCAATGAACCAATGACAGTGGATAGTATGCCTACTTCCTGGGTCCAATCAACATTCATTTGATCAATGATTTGCTTGAAAAGAAATGGCACCTCTACATTGAGCAATTTGGAGCCAATCAATAACGACACGGCAATAATGACTCTAATTTTGAACTTGGGGTTGTCCTTGGGCCAGATTGTTTTGAATAATGATCGCATCATGAATAATTCCGATGTAGATACTTTTCTTCCAAAGAGCGAGTATGGCGAGCTCGATTTATCTTCGGTATTTGGAGGCTTCGGTAAAGATGGCTTTGCTGCTTTTGGATCAGCATCGCTTGTAGGTCCATGTAGTAAACGAGTTGTTTTGGTGAATGTCCGTATCGGGAGCCGCTTATTAACAAGTCGAAGCGCATGGGGTTGGGTCATTATGTTGGATCGACATGGAAGCAGTGGCAGTTTGGTTAGCAATGGCCATGCTTGTTTCAATGGGCCCCCTAACCGAAACATGTCTGTTTAGAATATGTATATGTATATGAAGGAAGCCTGGTTTGGGTTTTAGTAGTGGTTATAAGAAAATATCGAGAGAAAGAAAAAAATCCGACTCCTTCTTATAGAAAGCTGTGGCGCGCATTTTGCTTTTTCGTGCAAAGGGATCGAAAAGATGGTCATGGTCTGGAAAGCAAAAATCCCTCAAGGACACAAATAGTCCCTTCGTGGAGGATAGCAGTCACACTGCCGGTGGATGAAGCTAAAACTTCGGTGATGAGCCAAATACAGAATACGCGATTTTAGGAAGTTTACTTGAATAAGGCAAAGTCCGATTTTTTTGCAACCCAGTCACAAAAGCACAGTTTTAGCAAAATTCCCTCATATTTTGACTAAATGCGATGGGTTCAGACTAGGAGGCATAATTGCTGAACACAAAAGAGCTCTGAAAGACAAGAACATCTAGGCTGCAACAAATGTCGTGCAAATTGATTTAACTGTGGATCCCACTAGGCATCTCCCCAGATCTGTATTTTTTGGGACTTTGCCCGATTCCAACTCAGGCTCACCTTAAGATCAGGTAGTGAAATCTACATCAATGGCTGTTTCTTGAGTCTTACTTAAATAGTCTATACCATACGACATATCAGAAGCCAATTTATTGCTTCAATTCCTTCAAACTTTCTTCCAAAGCCTTTTCAAAACTATCAATATGACCAGCATAAACGGAGTAACCCATGTGGCCAACACGGAAGTACTTACCGACTAACTTTTTGTGGATACCACCAGCAACTGTATAACCCTTTTCACCCAACTTCTTCAACAAATCAGGTCCATTGATACCTTCGGGGAAGTAAACGGCGGTTAATCCATGAGCAGCAACTTTGTCATTCTTGGGCAAGATTGTCAATCCCAATTCATTAACTTTAGCTTTAAATTCATCGGATTTTTTAGCTTGGACGGCTAATCTCTTGTCCAATCCTTCAGCAAAGATTTCCTCTAAGGATGTTTTCAAAGCGGTAATGGTTTGCACTGCAGGGGTGGCAAAGTAAGCACCTGAACCACTTTCATAAGCCTTCATTATTGGTGTCCATCTCTTCAAACTAGCAAAGAATGTAGTGTCCTTCTCCTTGTTTAAGGCTTTAGACAATGCTCTTTCACTGGTGTAAAAGATCGATAATCCAGCTGGAACACCAATGGCCTTTTGAGAAGCAGTTAAAACGAAATCCAATCCCCATTTGTCAAACTCAACATCTTCAACCCCAACTGAACAAACACCATCAACAATAATCAATGTTTCTGGTGATACTTCCTTGACAACTTTGCTGATAGCTTCAACATCACTAACAACTGACGTGGAGGTATCAACATGAGTTATGGTAATAGCAGAATATTTCTCCTTTTTCAATTGTTCTTTAATCTTGTCCAATGGAACAACATCGCCAATCTCAGCAGTGATAACGTCGACATTTGCACCATAGACTTTCAAACATTCAGCAAATGAGTCAGAAAAGAACCCAGTAGACAAAACAAGTACTTTTTCACCGGGTTCAATAATGTTTGTAGCAGCAACATCCCAACCCAAAGTACCTGATCCACTCAATACATAACCTTGACTGTTGGAATCGGTTGATTTAAACAACTTGCGCAAGTTTTGAAGCACGTATTGAAAAGTGTAGATGAAGTCAGGCGATGTATGAGCTTGAGAGGGGATAGCCATTGATGCAAGAACATCGTCACTAAACTCAATTGGACCTGGAATCAAGGTCAATCTGTGTTCTGGTTGTTTGTATTGGAAAGGAGCTGGCATTCTGGTAATAGCTGTGGTTGTTAAAGAGCGATATTTGAATAATTGAGTAAAAGATCTAGTGCTATTTATTGGTGATTTCAACCAATTTGTCAACATATATATCGTTATGAAAAAAAAAAAGAGTAGCAAAGACAGGAATAAAACACCGTTTATGACGAATTATTTGAAAATGGAGAGAGAGAAAAAAAATTGTGTGGTCGACTAAGTGAGTGGAGATTACCGCGGCAAATAGAAGTCGGAGTCAAAAAAAAAAAAAACAAAAGAAAAACTTGTTTTGGTGGAGACAATTGACTCATTTTCCATTGGGCCATAATGGAGATAACCGAATCTGATAATCAAAAGGAAACTATGACCCGTTTGGAATAAGAAGAAAAAAGAAAGGAAAAGGTGGAAGAACATAGATTGACTGATAACAACTCCAATTATATCCAAGGCTAATTGGTTACTATATACTGTCCAAACCAACACGGCTGATGTTTGATGGTATTAGAGCAGTAGTTAGTAAGTGTCTTTTTATTGAGAAAAGGTAGTGTCCATGTAGGCAAAACTGTACTATACTTGCTTTCTAGAAACTTGCGCTACCGTATTTTTGATTCTATTTTGACACAAAGAGTTACGATTGCAAAAAGGAAACTGGAGAAGAACAGGATTATACATCTATGTCTGACTTCACAGGAAAACAAAGGGGCACTGTTCATGATAGTATATCGTGTTACAGTAGCTCACCAGTATCAATATGTGAGTTTTCCAACAACTACTATGCTCTGTTTAAGTCGTTTGAGAGGTGAGATCAGGCGCTACAACCCTGAAACCCTGTCCAAAATACTTATACATTCAACATAACAAAAAAAGAATTAAAAAATAGAAAACCAATTTAAAACTAAAATGGCACATCCAGACACAAGGTTGGGCTTAGCTGATTTGAAATATTTATCCACCCTCGCTATTTGAAGACTGTGACCGTGAAATAGGAGTAGATACCCATTATTGTCTTAACTGCAGTTTCCCTAATTCTTCACCATTCTGGATCACCCTACCATCGTGTATTTTCCTAAATCTTAACACTCTTTATCCTTGTGTCAGATTTTCCTCTTGAATTTTTTTCACATCCAAAAGTATTGCAAAGTCATTGAGCCAAGCCAAGATTTGAAGCTATTAACTAATAGCAAATAAAGAACAACACCAACCCGAAATTGTATTTCCAAGTAAAATTCATATGATCCTTTTTGTTCTCTTTTTTTTGCTTTATTTTTTTTATCAAACAATGTGTATACAATAATTGAATCTTTCTAAGACTTGCAAATTTTTGTGAACCAACCAAATTTCCATCAAATTCCTTTTTTTTAGAACACCAACTTTACTTTTGAAAGATCGTCATCCCATAGAGTTACAACTACCTCAAACCAGAAGCTTCTTGTTCCTGGCTATCATTATCCATCCTCAATTGGCTTTTTTGAAAATAGCATTAAAGAAAAGAAGCAAGTAAATTAACAGTAAAATCCCCTGATGTCAGATGTAATTACAACAATAACAACTGATTCAACTATGGTTACTCCAAACTTGACCAACTCGAGGGATTCCACTACTTCAACCAACTCGACAAATTCAACCAACTCAACTGATTCAACACCAACAACTAATACACCAGCAACGTCGACTTCGACTAGTGATGATTCCGAAAGCGTAGATTCAGAAGTCAAGGAGTTGATAAAAGGTAGGGAGAGCTTGACGTTTGGTCCTGACTCATTAACCAATAATAATAGTAATAATAATAATATCGGTAAAGAGCGGCAGCCAGGCAAAGATTCTAGTATCGACTTAAATGTTTCCAATAGACTGTCAATGAGTCACGGGCATGGGTATGGGCATGTACATAGCCCGTATCACTATGGTAATAACTATATTCGACTAACTGATCAACAAGGAAACACATTCATCTTGTACCCCAACGGGTATGTGACTCCAGTCAGACAAATTACTGGACATATAGGTGGGACAGGATATACCAACATGTTGACGCAGCAGCTTTATGCGCAAAACTCAACCCAAAGCTTTGCTGTTTTACCACAGCCACTACCACCACCACCTCCTCCACAATTACCACCACAACAAGATGCAAATGGGGCAAATGTAAACACCAATGGTGGCTATATATCATCTTCGAGTGCAATGATGATGATGACATCCACAAACACAGCTGGATCGGTAGTAGGACCAACAATGGGTATTCCATCACCAGGGCACCACAGCTTGACTGCATCACCATCAACCTCCTCAGCTTCACCTTCACCATATCGAAAGAACTTTCGAAAATTTAGACATTTGGGTCGTAATAGCAGTAGACGTAATGGACGTCAATCAAATTTACACGAAGTGCAAAATTCCATTTTAACTTTGGCTCAATTTTGCGGCGACTTGGATTTGGGGACTACCAATAGATTTGGAAACTTAGATTCAACGTCAATCATTATCAATCTGAGCAGTGCCAACACTAGTTCCAGATCGAGTTATAGGAGTGTGTTGCATCTTAAAACTAATTAGGATGGGTAGATGCCACATACGGATGGAAAGAATCTGAGAATGTATTTCTATATACCCTCTATCCCATGGATAATCTTAGTGGAGATGTAAGAGCCCCTTATTTTTGGTTGAAATGAGCCGTTTTGAAAGTAGTTTAATTCATTTGTATACAGTTTTTTCTTTTTTGCATTACCTCACGAAGATTAATTGAAAGGTGTGATTGAGGTGGAGTTTAGTTGAGTTTGAGTAACATACATATATATAGATATATAAATATGTGTACATATATTTTGCAGGAGGTGTTTTTGGAAGTGTTTTTGGGGGATGTAGGGATATGATGACGAAATCTGCACTTATTTGTTTTTTCTGCCTTTTGTTCATCGCCAAATGTGAAGAAAGTAACAGTCTTGAAAACATTCGTACAAAAACACACACATGAATATGTCTACGCCTTCATTAGACGAGGAAGTAGCTAAATTTACATCAACCCTACTATCGGATATCCAATCCAAGTCCTCCATTGAGATAGATCATTTCAAAATCACCAAAAATGATGTAATAAAATCACGAATTGATAAAATTTTAACCCTATTCCAAGCTGATACACCGATCTTGCTTGAAGGTATGACTCGAGACGTACAGAAACTCATATCAATAATTGAAATAGCCAAGCAGAAGCATGGATCGAAGGTGCATCAGTATAATTGTTTATTACGCGTGCGAACGCGGATTAACCCTTATAAGAAGCAGGTGAACAAAGGGGTTGAAGTTGTTGATTTTAGCACGGCTTTAAAAATGACTGCTATTGCTGATGGTAAAAATGATAGCCATGTCAATGAAGGCAATGACGATGATGACGATGATGATGGTTTAGATTCTGAGGTTGTCGAACGAGAATTTCCAGGAGCAATTGCTCGTGGTGCAGGGAATAGAAGTAAGAAAAAGGAGCCAAATAATAAAGAGAAAGAGACTGAGAGCAAGACAGCTAGAACGCAAGAAGAGAAGGATGCTCAAAAGGAGATACAGGGTGATAAAGTTTATGATATACCTGTCATGTATATACTCCTTAGTGGAAAGGATCTTTCTCTGTATTTAGATAGCGATTGGACCATCCAAAGTTGATAAAAGGATAATCGGATTCAATACTGAAAATAAGATCAGTGTAGTACTAACGTAAGGAATATACATAGCTGCCATATTGATTTTTGCTGTGTCGTGTCGTCACTATATATTTTATGACATATAAGTTATCCAATGAAAGGACAAATACATCGACAGTGCTACCAATTACATTTGATGTCGTATGTTTTTTCTTTCACCAACCAATAATCACCAAACCAATTATTTACAAAGAGAAAAAAAAATTATTTCATCACCCAAAAGGAAACTTTTACAACATATATCTATATACAATACATTAACAAAAAGATGCCAATCGATCCAGCCACTTTCAAGTTCGAGACTCCACAATTTGACCCAAGATTCCCTACCCAAAACCAATCGAAACACTGTGCACAATCCTACATTGATTACCATAAATGTGTCAATGTCAAAGGTGAAGATTTTGAGCCATGCCAATTGTTTTTCAAGACTTTTACTAGTTTATGTCCTTTAGACTGGGTTGAGAAATGGGATGATCAAAGGGCTGCTGGTAAGTTTCCTGTTAATATGGATGTTTAAGCAGTGATGGAAAGACACAGAGAGAACAGTGGCTTGAGCATATGAGGAAAAGAGAGAGGAAGATAGTGAGAGGTAGAAAAATGGACTATAGTGAATTTGAAATGGGTAATGTGAGCTTCTTTTTTACTATAAAATGGAGGGTTAATTTCAGTTTTGAGTTGTTGAATATTTTATCCCACCCTCAATATCATGAAGAGAAGTGAGAGAGAGAGAGAGAGAGAGGACAACCTTTATGTCCATTTTTTTATGTTTATTTATCATTTTAAAAGAATATACGATTTAGTTTTTGAATTGACACCATTTTAGATTGTGTTTCGTGGTGGTGGATATATTGAATAGTATGTGTGAGCTATTCTATGCTGCGTTGAGATATATTACCTCTTCCGGGGATTAACGACGACATTGACACTCATCACTTGTAAGTTCTGACTTTGGTGACATTTGCAGTGTAATAGTCATACAATCTGTCTCTACAACTAAGAAGATCATAGCCCAAAACTCAATTTCCTGTTTCCTAAAATACCTAAATAACCCTAGTCTTTCCCTACATAACCATTTTCTCAATTTGCAGCCTCAACGTATCAGTTTCTTCCTTTTCAACGCCATCCTTGCCCAATGTAGCATACGCCTGTTTGAGTAGGTACTTTAACGCCTCATTCTCATTCATCAACAACGATTCTCTGCTATTACTACTACTACTACTATTACTGCCACTCAAATTGTCCCCTGTGTCATTGCGTTTGTGAATGTTGGGTCCAAAAGAGGGCAATTTCAAGTAATCGGTAAATGACTTGATGTCATTTCCACTTTGCTGACTACTGACTTCACTGACATCGGAATAGATAGAATCTAATTCCAGGTTCTTGTTTAGATTGGGGGCATGTGTAGATGTTGAAAATACTGACGTTGTCGATGTTATCATTGAGTTGTTGATTCCCGAGTTGTTTGAAGTAGTGGTACTTGACCGTTCACGAGATAAGCCAGTATAAGGCGACCTATGTGTACTGCTTGATGGCTTGACCGGTGACTTTTGTTTCAAATTCAACGAAAGTGACTTGAACGTATTTAGTAATGAGGATGAAGGTGTTGAAACACGGGGTTTTGTCGTGGAAGCAACGCTCAAGTCCACATTGTGCGCTGGTTGTGGTGGATTCATAAACAATTCATCACTCCAAGAAAACAACAAATCGCCAAAAAATAAATCCAAATCATTGGCAACATTGCCCCATTTTGATTCATTAAGCAAATGTTGATAAACAACTTCTTCATCGCTCAGTTCCAAAGTCATCAAAATGGGTTTATTAACAATCAATAACCCCAAACTAATCTTCATCATTCCTATTTTCCATCCTTGAAATTGACAAAGATCCATCACACGATTGATAATCGACAAGTCGGCAGTATGCGACGACATAAAAGATAACCACCATTGGAACAAGAATGTTTGCATATTGACTTGGCAAGTAGCCAAATGATTATACAATTGCAAATCAACCGTTTTGAGAATGTGGCTGAATTGATAAAACCACAAGTTTAACGTATTTGACATATGCTCTGCTGTGAATATATCATGTAGCTCCAATTCAGTTTCCATGATTGTTGTCAATGCATAAAATGTCAATTCGCACGATTGCAAGTGGTGATACAATACCCCAACGAGGAACAACAAACCCTGGCAATAGCCCAATTCTAAATCATAGTTGGCATAAACGTTGAGAATTGTTGACAAGTCATCAATCGTTGTTTGGTTTTGGAAAAACCCCACCGTGGGGAACGTTCTCGTCAAATCTTTTTCAATCTGTTGTGATACTTCCAAACTATACGAATGCTGGAAATTGACATACACCAACTTGATTGATTTAGGGATCGAGTCATAGTTGAGCAAGAATAATTTTTGCCATACATGTGACCGAATACAATTGGGTATACCTTGTTTCAAAACCAACTCGGTATAAAATGGTAATGTGTTGATTGTCCTAGTAGGATTATCAATGAAACTTGTCCAGTATAATGACTCCAAGTTGGATGCAATTGTCAGAGTACGGTCGATTGTTGATTGACAACACGATTTATGGTTAGTTGTAGTGACTGACAAGTTTGTGCCGCACTTGAAACAAGTGGCGAATTCATCTTGAGTAATGTCGTAGGATGCAATGATTTCTTCTAATGAGGAGCGCGTCGACAAGTTAGTGGATGAGGTTGTTGTGGAGCTGGTGGAGAAAAAGTCACTCTGATCTTCCTCTTCTTCTTTGAATGTTAGATGATCGATCTTGTTTTCTAAGTTATTCAAGATTGATGAATTATCAAGGCTAGTACTCTCTTGACTTAAACACTCTTCAAATTCGAGTAGTGATTCGAAATCAATCATGGTTGGACAAGTGTTGTTGTGGATGGTGCAATTGTGGATGATGTCGTTGTGGTATACGTAGTTAATTTATGCAAAGTGCAAGATATGTATGGTCTAATGAGTGAATGGTAGTTAAAATGCTCTGAAATTTCAAAAAAAAATGAATGAATGAATGAATGAGTGGGTGAGTGGGTGGATGAGTTTAATGAATAAATGAATGAATGAGTGAACGATAGTTGGTATCTGAATATCTGTTTTTGGATAAGAAAGAAAAGATGTCTATTTGAATCTGTCAAAATCTTTACTCTCCTATATATATCTACCTCCTTTTGTTAACTCAAAAGGGTAATTTTTCATCGTTGTTTATTTTATTGTTCCCACTTCTGGCGTCTAAATAAGTTTTTTTTTTTTCGCAACTTGTGTAACTCTATTCCATTACGTAATCCACACTCTTTAGTTTTGTTTTGTTTACGTGTACCTCGGCGAAAGGAGTGCTCCTAACAACCCTTGTGTTTCAACAGAGAATACTCTATTCTGCTACTACCTCCGTATATATTTTAGAAGAGATGCATATGGGTTGTACTACAAACAAGGCTTTCTTTTTTTTTCCTTTGATCTTCACGTGTAAAAATAACTGGAGTAAACTCAGTCGATTGAATCCTCCAAGACAATACACATCAAAATATTCACATGATAAAATTATCTATTATAAAAACTGGGAGTACTGGTTGCTTACGTTTACATGGTTCGTTTATTAGAAGTGGTTTCTTTTTGTTGCAGAACCAGATAATTTAACTCTTGTTTGGTCTCATGACGAAACCAAAAAAGGAAACTTTTGCCAGCAAAATACTACAAAAAAATAATGTTTACAACCTCTTGACAATGATACACTTCTTTTGACCTGTAGAGTCTCGGACACAACTATAATCGCTGTTTGTAACAAAGTGGATTCTTTCTATCCCAACTAAGAGCTTGAAACAAAAGAAGTAAATACAATCTTGTTGTGCTCTATATCTGGGCATTACTCGGTAGCGCAAAGCCGCATAAATTGAAGAGTTTTGTAAAACTTCTACAGATGAGAAATGAATGCTACACCAACAATGGTTTACTATTTCAAAGCACATACTAGCAACGATGATGATGATCTATTAGGTATGACCGTACCTGATGAAAACTCTGACCACACCATCTATATGGGTAAAGATAAGTTTGAAAACGACCCACTAATCAAGCATTCACACCCCAAAAACATTTGGTTTCATGTAGACAATCACTCGTCAGCTCATTTATATTTGCAGCTAACCAAATCGCAAATTTTGAATTGGAAATCATTTAATGACTTCACCATTGATGAAAATTTATTGGTTCAAATTTGTCAACTCACCAAAGCCAATTCAATAAAAGGAAATAAATTGAACAACATCACCATCATTTATACTCCAGTCGAAAATTTGCATACAGATGGATCCATGGATGTAGGTACAGTTACTTTCAAAAACTCCAAGTTAGTCAAGCGGTTGAAAATTGCCAAACGGGAGAATTCAATCATTAATAAATTAACAAAGACCAAAACTGAATCATCAACTGATGAATTTATAGAATCACAAGATGCATTGGTGAGGGAAATTGTCAAGGAGAGGAAAATGGCTGAAGCCAGGGATAAAGAATTGAGTTTACAGTATGCTAATCAGAAAAAGACCAATGCTGATCCATATGCTGATTTATTTAATACTGAGGAACTTGAAAATAGTAGTAATGACAGGCGACAAGAAAACTGGGATGAAGACGATTTTTGGTAACTCCTGGATATAGATATATATATATATATATCGTACCAAAGATAAAGCAATGTGTCTCTATATAAATATCCGGGTAACTATTCTTAGGGCGTGTACTTTTGGTCAAGAAAAAGAAAAAGTGGTGGAAGAGAAAGAGAAGGAGAAAAAAAAAAAATCGAAAAACTTTAAGAACACAACCAACGGCAACACCAAAGACACTAACAGTACAACACAACACAGAGCAACATCATCTGGATCTTTATCCCATCAATTAACAAACACAGCCAACCGTTGATAAAGTTCAATCTTTGTTACTTTCATCTAGTATTACAATTTTGAGAACTTTTTTAAAGCCAAGAAGTTTGTGTTTTTTTGCTATATTTTAAATATCGTGTCTTCATCATTATCTAGTGACAGCCCAAAGGGCACTGTGACCAAAACCAACCAAAAACAACAACAACAACCACCCAGACAGCAACCTCAAATTAATAGAGACGCAGAAGAAACAGACACTATTCAAGTCAAGGATCCTGAGTTGACAAAAGTTGTAATAAACCAGTTATCCATATTATTGACTACAGTTGATCCATCTTCAGTCAATTCACATTACAAGCAAATTCGATTCATATTACAGAAACAAGAGCGTAATCCAATTGTTTTAAACAACTACTTTGAAAAGTTATTTGGATTAATTAGATTTAGCGATTTCAACAACAGCCAGGAAGTATCACCAATTGAAACGGTTTTTTCAAAGGAGTTAGAATTTATTGCTACTGATTTAAAGTACTACGACCTATTCTGCATTCACTTGGATAGTATCGTAAAAGAGGAATTTAATATCATTAATTTTACTACCAAGCTCCATTGCGATCCTATTTTAACATTTATTTTAACCGTTAGGTACCACAACTCAGCAGATTCAGAGCAAGTTAAATCTTATTTCGATAAGTGTCCTCCTTCATTATTAAGCATCTTCAAGTCAAGAAAGTTTCCTGAAAATTACAACTGGACTTTGCTACTTGAGTACATCTTAAATAAACCATATTTCCCATTTTTAAGCAAGTTAATCACCCTTAGTTCTATCAAGGCATTTGATTCAGGACTTGAACCAATCACCACGTTCTACAAATACATATTGAAAATGTCGTTTAAAAATTTATTACAAGAAGTTGGGTTTGAAAATATAGTACCAGAAAAGTTGTTGCCTAGTCTTTTGCAAATCAAACCAAATGAGGTAGATCAAGGCATAGCTTTGGTATTGGCGGAGATTCTAATACCCGGGTCACAGGGACTTGGATATACTGCGACACCAGTAAGTTTGCCAGAATCCAATGCCAAAGGAGCACAGTTGCAAGCATGCTTCAGAGCAATTGAACAACTGGGTAATCTCAACATTAATTGGTACGAGGTTTTTAACTACTTGCAGCAGAATCTATTTGAATCGAGCCAAAGAAATGCACAACCTTCAATAGCAAGTGTATCGCAATTCTTGTCGTCGTTGGATTTCAAACAAGATCCAATTGATATTTTCCTCAATTATGAGTGGTGGTTTGACAAGACCCTTTTGTACATTTTACAAACATGCGATGCATCACAAGGTGGATACGATATTGCATTATCCAACAATTTACTGTTGTGTTTTGAAGAAGACCGGTCAACTCTTGGCCAACCACAACTTAGGAGAAATATATTGAAATTTATCAATGTCGGCAAGTTGGAGTTGCAAGTTATTACTAAAGTACAAGCACAGCAAGTGCAGCAAAGCTTGAATGAACAAGACCATAAACTAAATGCATTTTTAAACCAGGTGTTTGAGCGTGATTATAGAGTATTTCCCGAGTATGTGTTGGCGGCAGCATTGTCGGTGATTGAAAAGACCCCATTTATTAATGACTTGATCGATACGTTGTTCTACTTGTTAATGGATAATGACTCGCCTGCATTACCGAAGGTGGCTCGCACTTTACAAGAATTGGGTATCGTTGTCGGCAAGGTTATTGATTATTACAAGAGTAGAAACACATTTGCTGCTGCCGAAAAAACAACTGTTGTGAGTTCAAAGCTCAATATATTGGATCAAGTTTTGCAGCAATTGTGGAGCGTCGATGTCAAGTTGGCGGTGAAACTACTTGTTGAATCCTCTTTTTTGAATGACGATTACAAGAAAGAGTTGGAGGCAAAATTGAATGATCAACAGTTGAAGAGTTCGGTGTATCTGTCATTATCAGATATACTTACTGAGAGAGCTCAAAAGGATTACGAATCTGTCCAGCAACATCAACAACAGGAGCAGTTAACATTACAATCGCAACCTCAACATTTACCAATTTTGAAAATCAAAACTGCTTATTACCTTCTTGAAAAGTTGAAGAGCAGCAATGGGTTGGTAGATTTGGAGAAACTAAAGAATTTACAAATATTGCTTTTAACAACGTACCCCAGGTTGATCAATTTTAGCAATGGCCACGATGAAGCAATACTTGCAAATGAAGCCAAATCCAGTTTCTTTCCTGGTGACGTTGAGTTGGAGATGAAGGAATACTATTCCAAAATGTACAGCAAAACCATTGATATACCAGAGATTGTCAATGTTTTGATCAAGATGAAATCAAGTGATGATCCTCACCAACAGGATGTGTTTGCTTGTATGATACATTCATTATTGGATGAATATAAATTTTTTGGCGAATACCCATTAGCTGCATTAGCATCAACATCATTATTATTTGGTGCATTATTAGAAAACGATTTGATACACGGTACAACATTGACAGTTGCATTGAACTTTATCTGGGAATCTTGCAATCAGCTGCCAGATTCAAAATTGTTCAAGTTTGCCGTTCAATCATTGTACAATTTCAAGTCAAAACTACACGAGTATCCAATCTACTGCAAACATTTGTTGGAATGCCGTTCATTATCGACCCATGCTAAAATGTACCAGATTGTTAAAGATGCCGCTAATGGTATTCCTTGTGGTGGCACTAGCGCAAGCGGGTCCAAAACAGGAACAACCCCAACATCAACTCCCGATGTTGGACCTAAATACCAGTCCATCAACTATGTTGAGCAAACAATTGGATCAGCTCAACAAGAAGACCCGCCCGAGGAGATTAGAGATAAATTGCTTTTCTCGGTTAACAATATGACATCGGAGAATTTGCGAGTTGCTGAAATTCGCGAGGTGTTGAAGGAAGAATATTTCTCCTGGTTTGCTGACTATTTGGTTGCTGATAGAGCCAAAGCCGAACCAAATAACCATGGGTTGTATTCCGATTTGGTGAGGACATTAGACAATGCCGTTTTCAAAGAGTATGTGATGAATATCACCATGAAGGAGGTGTATCATTTGATCCGTAATTCGAAAGATTCACGAACCGATCGAAATAAACTCAAGAACCTTGGTGCTTGGTTGGGAAGGATCACTTTGGCTGAAGATAAGCCTTTGAGAAGAGACTTGATTGCCATCAAGTTTTTGCTTGTTGAGTCATATGATTTTGATTCATTGAGCTTGATACTTCCTTTTGTTTGCAAGATTTTGAGTCAAGTGCAAGACTCAAAAGTATTCAAACCACCCAATCCTTGGGTTTGGGGTATATTTCAAGTATTGGCTGAATTGTACGAATTTGCTGATTTGGTCTTGCAACTCAAGTTTGAGATTGAAGTGTTGATGAATTTGTTCAAGATGAAAATTGAAGAAGTTGAACCAAGTCGCTTGATTAGGAATCATGATAAGGACCCAAGTCGTTTAGCAGCCATGTTTGGTCTCTTGCCACAAGCAGGGGAAAATCTTGCTTCTGAGTTGGCTAGGATGAATTTGGATCAATCGCAAACATTATCCAACTTCAGCAATGTGTCACAAATTCCTCCTCAATCATTTGATAAACCATTCCAACAGGTGCAAGTTCCAGGGCAGCCAATGTTGCCACAACACCAACAGCCACAACCCCAACCCCAACCACAACCACAACCACAACTACAACAACTTGGTTCAGTACAAGCATCATACCAGCAACAGCATCAACAGCAGCAATCACAACAAGGACAAGTGGAGCCTGGGTTGGATACAAGTTTCAGCACTCTTGTTGGAAATACTATCTTCACTCAACATGCAAACTTGAGAAGGGCTTTCCAAGCGTCTTTATCCAGAGCTGTTCGTGAATGCGCAATACCTATTATGAATAGAGTTTCGGAGGCCGTTTTGGTAACCACCGAGTTTTTGATCAAGAAAGATTTTGCCACCGAAAAGGATATCGAAAAGATTAGACGATCTTACCATAGAATGGCACAACAATTATCACATAGCATGGTGTTGTGTTCAGGTAAGAAGATGCTTGCAGATACGATCGAGGCAACGATGATTCAACTTTTGGGTAACAACCCTAGTGAAATACCAATTATGGAATTAAACAACGCTATTCAATCAAACGTAGGACTTTGTGTTGAAATTATTGATAAAATTGCAGCAACAAATGTGACCGATTTGATTGACGAAAGAATGCAACCTTACCTTTTGAATCGTGAACGCCATGCCGGAGACGAGATTTTTGTTGATGAAGGTACTCCCGAATATTCATTGAGATTACCAGAACCATTGGGATTGAATCCAAAAGGATTGAGTGCGCAACAGTTGAACATTTATGAGCATTTTGGTGCATTAAGAACTGAACTGCTAGATGGTCTTCGTGCTGGTATGACCCCAACAGGAGTGCCATCGGTTCTTGCTCATCCTCAACCGCAGCAACTTGCTCATCAACAGCCACAAGCACAAGCACAAGCACAAGCACAAGCACAAGCACAAGCACAAGCACAACAGCAGCAAGTTGGCCAAGATTTCCCAGTGCAGCAGCAAACATCCATTGTTCAAGAAGACATCATACCTTTGGAGCAATTGTTTTCTGCAATCACTCAATATTGTGAAAAGGCGGTGCAATTAGTGTCTGAGGTTTCTGAAAACAAGTTATCCGACTTGCCTCCAAACCACCCTATAATGGCAACATTAACACAAGCATTGGCGATTGCCCAAAGCAATGCGTTGAAGTATCCCGATTTGTTATTAAGAGCAGCTCAATATGCGGTCAACTGTTTGTTCACACAGGTGCACAATAACCCCATGAGCAACGAAATTTATGTGGTTGTTCTTGACAAATTGTGTGAGTTTTCTCCTTCAACGGCCAAGGATGTTATATGGTGGTTGGTGAATTCGTCTGATCAGAGGAAATTCAACATGCCAGTGATTTTATCTTTATTGAAGGTGCAATTGATTCAACCAATTAAACTTGATGATTCGATTAGTAAACTTGTCAAGGAATCGCATAACCCAGCAATTGTCAAATTTGGCGCTAGTCTTTTGTTGAATGTCTTTACTGCCGAAGAAACAGCACGTCCAATTGCGTTGAGATCGGAATTTGCTAAAACTTTGGATGCATTATATGAATATCGGAAATTGGACTTGACTGGTGAAGACGATAAGCAAGCGAAAGCCGAAGTTGATAAATTGTTTGATGCATTGAACACTTCGAAGCCGGCCTCATCAGAATTGTATGTGCAATTGGGATACGTCTTTACTGAATGGGTGAGATTATTGACTCATGGTAATGAAGATACTAGGGATGCCCAGGACAAGTTTGTTGCTGGTTTAGCAGCGCTGGGAATACTAAACAATGCCGACTACTTCAAAACGTTTTGGAAAGCAGCTATTGATATATCGACCCTTGTATTTACCACTGAGCAAGAGCTTAGGGGTAGGACTCAACATGAGGCATACTTGTCAATCGATTGTTTGGCAATCTTGATTGTTAGAATTGTTTTGAGTATCGAAGATGAACAACAAGCCATTCATTATTTGAAAAAGATTATTGCTGTGATTGTATTGAATTTGGTTGCTGATCATGAGAATAAATCGGCTTGGAATGATCGTCCATATTTCAGATTTTTTTCATCTTTGTTATCGACTTGGAATGATGCATCAGTAATGGATCAGGATGCTACAAGCAATCTTGATGTTGATTTTTATTCATTTTTTGGTGATGTTTTCAACTCCCTTCAACCAATTGTGTTCCCAGGGTTTACATTTAGTTGGATTGCATTGATCAGTCATCGTATGTTTTTGCCGCAAACGCTTGAGTTGCCGGATAAGGTTGGATATGGTATTGTTGTCAAATTGTTGACTTCGTTATTGAAGTTTCAACAAACTTATCAAAACAAGGATAGTAATCACGATGTATTGAATGTTGTTTTCAAGGGAATCAATAGAATCTTTGTTGGATTGATCCATGATTATCCTGAGTTTTTAGTTGAGTGCCATTACCAATTGGTGACTGCAATTCCAAGAGGATATATTCAATTGAAGAATATTGTGTTATCGGCCACTCCAAAGAATATAACTGTGCCGGATCCATTTACTCAAGGTTTGAAAGTTGAACGATTACCGGAAATCAACGATGCTCCCAATGTGTACTACAAGCCCATCGAGGACTTGGCTAAAGTTGGATTAAAGAAGCCGGTGGAGAACTTTTTGCGTATTCCGGCTCCTGGATTGATGAGAACAATATACAATGGACTTAAATTGAACCAGCCTAAAGCCACCGATGAATTTGGATATGCAGAAACCATCACGTTTAATACCAAATTGATCAATGCTTTGGTCCTACACGTTGGAATGAATGCCGTTGCTGAACGAACACCAAACAATCGTGGCTTCAACACCAAAACTTCGCAAGTGGCTTTGCTTGTTGATTTGATGAATTATGGGTCCAACGAGTTCAAATATATTTTATTGAATAGTATTGCCAATCAATTGAGATACCCCAACAGCCACACCCATTGGTTCATTGGCATCATGTTGCATTTCTTTAGTTCAAATTCAATCTGGAATTCATCAACCAGTACTAAATTGGCGGTGCAAGAAATAATAACGAGGGTGTTATTGGAGAGAAGAATTGTCAACAAGCCACATCCATGGGGATTAACTATATTGTTTACCGAGTTGGTTAAGAATGAGAGTTATGGGTTATTTGAGTTGTCATTTGTTAAAAACTCGATTGAAGAGATTAAAACTATATTTGATACCTTGTCTACCAATGTCAAGGGATCAAGCTGAGAAGAAGAAAGTATATGACGTCGAACTAGATGTCCTTACTGTCTATTAGAAATTTGTATTATGTAAATACTTTGTACGAATGTAATGATTATTTTATTTAGAGTAGTTGTTGGGTAGTGGTTGTGGTAGTTGCGTTAGTGGTGGTAGTTGTGGCGGAAAATCAGCGGCAAAAAATGCGAGTGATGAAAATTTGAACGTTTGGAAGAATAACAACAAAATTTCCACACAGTTACTACGACCATAGCACTTTCGACTTTGGGGTCTAAAGCAACAACATTAAAATACAGCAGACATCAACTACAGAACTTTCAGTACAAGTAAAAAGATTTCCTAACAATGTCAAGAGTTAAGAGAATTGCAAAAGAATTGGAAGAGTGTCGTCAAGACAAGCAATCTGGTGTCACGCTTGAACTCAACAATGACGCCGATTTGACCCATTTGACAGGATACTTTGCTGGCCCACCAGGCACACCATACCAAGGTGGGTTGTTCCAAGTTGCAATAGATATCCCCAACGAATATCCATTCAAACCACCACAAATGAAATTCACCACCAAGGTGTACCACCCCAACATTTCGTCAGTCACGGGAGCTATATGTCTCAACATTTTAAAAGATAAATGGACACCCGTCTTGACTTTGAAATCGACGTTGATCTCATTGCAACTTTTGTTACAATCGCCTGAACCTAATGATCCACAAGATGCTGAAGTTGCCAAACATTACTTGAGTAATAAAGCTGGGTTTGAAGAAACTGCTGCGTACTGGACAAAATTGTATGCTAATGATGGGAAATCAGATGGAACAGGAGCAGGAGGAGCAGGAGGAGGAGCTGCTGCTGAGGCTAGAGATTCGGCGTTGTATGGTATTGATGATTCGATTGTGACTCAATTTGAAAATATGGGGTTCCCAAGAGATAAGACTATTGAGGTGTTGAGAAGAATGGGCGTAAAGAGTTTTAATGGTGTTGATAATAAGGGCGATTTGGAGAACAAGATCTTGGAAGCATTGTTGAGAGAGTGTCAATAGAAAAGGACGTGTCATAAAGAAACGTGGCAAGTGCAAAGAGAGAAGGAACGTGGTGTTTGTAGCGGTGGAAGTGGCGAAGGTGTTGCCTTATACATAGTTTGAATCACGACATTGCAGTTGCAGTTGCAGATGCAAACTCTAGTCTCTATAGAAACATATACTCTGTTAATAGGGTGAATTGAAACATCTGTGAATTGTAATGGACACCTGCATATAAACACCAATGGAATATATTGTTCATTTTCTTTTTTTTCTTTGGGGTGTGGTGTGTGAAAAATTTTGAAACCAGAAACGGGAAGGTATTCCTTTGATCTATACCACTACAAAAGAGACTCTACTCACAGGGTATAAACCATTTTTTGTACATTAGGCATTTGGTGAGGTTTTTACAACACAGATATACATACACCGACCACACTTTAGTTGAAACAAAACAATCCTTTTTTCTTTTTTAATTCCCTATTTATATAAACTGCATCATCTGTCGCTCCTTTTGATCTATTGAAAAGACTAAAATGACTACATCCCCAACTCCTATCCAAGAGGAACGTAAAGAAGCTCCAAATGCTCAACAAGATAAGGCTACCGCTGCTACTGCTACTACATTATCTAAAGCTGAACAAGCTTTAACTGAAGAGAGAGTTTCAAACATTGGTTGGTACTTTATCAAATCGTACTATGATTTCTACATCTCAAAATTGGATGTTATTTATAAAATTTACCAAGAAAATGCGTCAATCTTGCACGACGCTTTCCCGGTTGGTGACGATAATGATGAGGATGATGAGTTAACCACTAGTTATAAAGCTCGAGGAACTGACGCTATCAAAAAGTGCTTTGCTGAGCACTTATCGGGCGGAGGTAACGATACAAACAGAATTGTCATTACTAGTGCCTCTTTCCAGGTATCATTGGAGAAAAACATTATCATTGTCACTTTTGGAGAGTGGTCCAAAAATGATTCACCTTTTAAGCAATTCACGCAAACATTTGTCTTGACTCCAGGTAAGAGGGAGAGTACTTATGACGTTGCCAATGATATTTTGAAATTCATTGAGAGTAATGGATTCAAGGATAATAAATCAACAACCCAAGAGGATGTTAAAGAGGGTGGAAATGTCGATGTAGACGAAAAAACAGCTGCAAAGGTTGATGGCGGTGTTCCAGTTGTTGAGACACAAGAGCAGCCAGCATCGGAAGCCATAAACACCACCGAGAAAACAGCTGAGCGTGAGGTGAAGAAGGAGGAACAGGAAGTTGAAGCAATGAAGGAAGCCGAGCCGGGTGTTCAAGAAAACGTCGAAGAAAAGAGCGAGGATGCTCCAAAATCGGAATCATCAGAAAAGGAGCCACAACAACAACAACCAAAGGAGGAAAAGAAGGAAAAGAAGCCTGAAGAGCCAGCTAAACCAAAGAGTCCACCTCAACCATTGACATGGGCCGATTTGGCATACCAAGCCGTTCCTGCTTCCAAACCCACATCCAAACCAACCACATCAACCAGCACTACCGCATCTACACCCATCTCCACCAAAAAAAACCCAGCAGCTACCCCACAACAACAACAACAACAATCAACCGGTGCTGGTGGTAGTGGCAAATTCAAAAAAGACGAATGGTATCCAATCTACATTCGTGGCATTCGATCCATCGATGAGAAAGTCTTGAGAGATCACCTCACCAAGAAATTTGGTGAATTAAAGTTTTTCCGTACTAATCAAAACATTGCCTTGTGTGATTTCGTCTTGAAAGAAGCGCAGAGAAAGGCATTGGATGCCAAAGAGACGACATTGGATGGTGTCGTTATTAATTTAGAACCAAGAGAATCGAAAACGGGTAATAATTTCCACAATAGTAATAACGGGTACAATAAAAAGAAGTTTGGTGGTGATAAGGATGGTAAAGACAAGTTTGGTGATAAGAAGGGTATTAATGGAAATACCAATGGTAGTGGTGGTGGTAGTTCTGGTGGCGGTAAGTTTAGTGACGGAAAGAAAGTTGCCACTAATGCTAATGCTGGTGCCACTAAACAAAAATTAGGTAAGTTGAATGCTACAAAATAGATAGTAATTCACTACGTGAACATTATTGAATAAAGATTGTATAGAATTTTTTCTTTTTTTTTTTTTTTTATTTTTATTAATTTTTCATTATTTAATAGGAGAATGATTTTGGCGAGTGGATGAATGAATGAATGAATCACGTTGTAGGTGGTATCTATCTATACGCGTTAAATCTCCCATCACTTATCGATGGGATCTTAAGTGATGATGATTGTACTATTGTAGCAGTTTTGCGCTACCGAATATTCAGTAAAGAAAAACAAAAAAAATTTCAACCAATAATTTCATAAAGGAAAAAAATTACCAAACCAAACGACAAACCCAGACGACGACATTTGACCACTTGTCCCACCACCAAAGATGTCACAAATATTACCCTTCACAGAAGCAAACACCAAAAGAGTATCTTCATTATTCAGACAAGCATTACGTACCGCATTTGACCATTCATTGAAATTTGACTTGTATCGCGCTCAAACCATAAATATCCGCTCGCAGTTTGAAGCTAATAAACATATCAGCACACCGGAGGAGTTGGAGAAAGTTATTAAAGCCACTGAAGCGAAATTGAAGGAATGGAAACATCCTGATCCTTATATTCCTCCTTGTAGGCCTGGTGGAACCAAATATCAAAGAAATATCCCTGTTGCTAGAGAACCACTTGTGCCTGGCGATTGGTAAACTTGGAGTGAGAGTTGACAAAAGAGAGAAAAGGAGAGAGAGAGAGAGAGAGAGAGAGAGAGAGAGAGAAAGAAAGAAAGAAAGAGAATGTATGTGCGTGGTGGTAATGATGGACTATGTGTATATTTATAAACTAATAAACGAAACGTGTGACAATGGTGAGAGCTTGTAGATTTAAAACAAAAGAAAAGATTCATTTCACTATTCCATAAAGCGCTTAATATATGAGAGTATCACCAGCTTCAAATGACGATGTTCCCTTCCATTGTTTCTTCAACATCTTGACCGACACATTAGCAGTAGCAGCGCCAATCTGTCCCACCATGGCAAAATACTTTAACAAAAGCAACTGTTGTTCTTCACGTGTTGCATGCAACCCAGTCACAAGCAACGGCCATTGAATCATCAAAAGCAAAAAGGGAGATGCATGTTGTTGTACATCGGAGAAATTATGAAGGTAGTAAATGAAGGACACAATTTTGTCAACGATTTGCGCAACGTTGGGATTATTGGGCCCCATTTGGAAAAACCGCGTTAAGATCATGATTATTGATGAAAGGACAAATGATTGGTGTGATATGTCTTGCCAACTTAACCAAAATCTCTGTTCACCAATTCTTATTTCTTCAATGGGGAGACCGGGTGTGTACTTGTGCAATTCAGATTCAGGAATGACGCCCTTGGAATCAATGTAGATGATTGCCGCTTGTTGGTGAAAATCAGATAGAATCTTGATATTTTGCATGATATCGGCTATTGATGATGATGACGATCCATTTATTCGATACCGATTGAGCAATTTAAGTAAGTCGCGGAAACAGGATATACAAGTATTATGAAATCCCATAAGATTGTTGAACCCTTGATCGGTAATTATCCCCAATTCACAAAGAATGCCAATTTCGTGATCGGTGCCACACGACATTAAATGATCAATTTCATAGTCCGTTTGTAATGTACCACCAATGTTTGTACTCAACCCGGCCAATATTTCAATGGAAAGAAACCAGTATTTGCAAAACACAAACACTTTGGAAATGTTTGCCACATTGGTTGTAGATATTTTCAAAAGAAGATCCTTACACCCAGTCAAATGAGGACGCCATTGTTGAGTACTAGTGGCTGTTGCTGCCGTAAGTAAAAGCAATGTTAGCAACACCCCCTCGATGTTGGCATTAATGTTTGTGATTTCTTTAGCTGGTTCAAGCAATTTCAAACACTTGGTCAAGTATGCACCATAAGCCTTTTCATCTTCTGGTTGTTTGTACTTCATAAAACTTGTCTTTGCTCCTTCTGCAAGTACAGCTGCAAGTAAACATGGTTCAGAACTAGCCGTTTTTAAAATGACATCTCTTGCCGGATTTGAAGTGATTTTCGTTTGTGAATGGTAGGCACTAAAAGGTTCAATAATGTTGGCAAAGTTGTTGTAAAACTGTTCCAAGTATAAGATTTCGTGTTTCCGTTTGAGTTTTATATAATCAATGGGGACATTCACAATATATTCTTCGTGGTTATGCGATACTTCATTAAAGAAATCAAATTGGAAATCCTCTTGAAATGGGATATTTTGAAATTCCATAATTTCACTAACCAAGTTTGACAAGTCATTGGTCAACATGTTTAAATCAGTACCATTTAAGAAATCCAAGTGATCTTCATTGTGATTATTATGGATCAAGCTTTCGATATTCAAGAGTGATCTCTTTGCTTGTTCTTGGGTATGGGGGTGAAGAGGAGGGTTGGAGTGGGAGTGGGAGTGGGCATGGGAGTGAACAATCGCTGGTCCATTACTTAGTAGATGGTTCTGTTGATGCGGCTGTGGAGGAGCAAATGCATCACTGTTGCTAGTGGTGCTGATTGGTGGGGTTGGAGTTGGTGTAGTGAAATTTTCACTACCAGACAAACTGGTTGAAGGAGTTAACCCATCAGCAGTAGCACTTAAGCTACTGCCATTTTCTTGTTGTATAATCCGCTTTGGTACATCGTATTGTACTGGTAAGAAATGAGTTGACTTACCTAAATTTTCAACTTCTTCTCGAATCAATCTTCGTGATATTCGCATTACTTTTTCTCCAGCTAAGGGGTATGAGCATGATTTGCCTAGTCGTACGCATGTTGAACAAGCGGGTTTTTCTTCAGGACATTTGATTTTTCGTCGTTTGCATTCACGACAACCTTGACGCGAGTAGGGTCTTCTTGTAGCCATCATGTATATGTATATTTGTGTGTTTTGGGTAACTAGTGTAAATGAAGCAAGGGAGTAGGGTATAAATTTTATCGCATAAGTATATTAATGTGTAATGTGTATTGGTTAATGGTTTGGGTGTATATGTGTTTGGTGTGACAGTGTAGGGCTAAGGAGTTAAAATCAACAGAGGTGTGTGGAATTACAAACTTGCGCAACGGCTTTTTTATTTTGCTTCAATTTTCTAGTTTTTTTAAATTTCTTTTTAAATTTCTTTTTGTCTTTTTGTCGCTTTGTGTTTTGTCTCTTTGTCTTGTCGTGTCGTGTCGTGTCGTGTCGTGTCTTGTCTTGTCTTGTCTTGTCTTGACATTGTCTCCTTCTTTTGTTTTTAGTCGTTAGAAATTGCGACAATAAAACAATGAATAACTGCAAATGGGACAATGTCAGGAAAAGGGGTTTTGAGTCATTGGGGAGTGTTTTTGTTTTTTGTTTTTTTGCGACAATGATTTTTAGAGTAAGTTATGTGCGTATGTTAATTAGAAAGAAAAGCGCAAAAGATAAAAGATAAAGGAGGAATGTAATATGCAAGAGAAGGAAAAACAGAAAACAAAAACAAATTAAAGTTATATAAGGAGAAACAGATAAAGAATATGTACATAACAAATAACAACTGCAGGAGATTCCAATTACAAACAAACAAATAACTTACTCAGGAGAATCACAACAACCTTTCTACTACTTGGGAGTTATTATTACTCCTATCAACTGCTGTATCCTTCCCCACATTGCTACAACACAATAATGACTTCAGTTATTGCATATATCCATTCAAGTATTATCTTGTGCCTACAACAGTTGCAAAGATACATGCTCTACCCATACAATTTGAAGTTAATGCCACCATCTCAAAGAAGGATTGGGCATAATGGAGCTACATTAATGGTTGATTCCCCACCACTAGGAGTTGGTTTTATTGATCCATTTTTAAGTCACTACAATAATGTATCTGTTTCAAAGTTGTCTTTTACGGATCAACTACTAGGTCCACACAAAGACGATGGATTCGATTATATGTCTTATCTATTTGGATTGGCGTTGGCAACACTTTTAGGTTTGTTTGTATTAAAGTTGGTGATTTCAAAATGGAGTCAAAAAAGAGATTATATTGCAATAGACCTGGTGCCTATTGCTGAACAAATAGTGAATGAAGATGATGTTGAACTAGATAGAAGATTTGAACTGATGATACAGGCTTCTACATTTAGTGATATTGTTGAGCAAACAATTGGTGACACTATTAATCAGCTGCTTTCGCCTCAGCAGACGACAATATCAGGTACTGGAGAGTTTGAAAACTATAACGTCGATGGTGGAGAATTTGCTAGAGATATACTTGATATTAGCTCTTTTGGGGATTTGTTACTGCAACAAAAGGGTAGAGCGTATGCATCAAATGGAATTGACGCTGAAGATATACAAATTGGACAACCAACAAAAGTAGCCACAACAACCTCGGTTTCATCACTGGGTACAATGCCATCCAACTGTAATGAATCCAACCTTCCACAACAAGACGACCAAGAAGAGCCCATAACTCCCGAATTTGAATCGCATTTGGCACCAAACAACTTGAAGAATGCAGATGGTTATAATGGTGTTCATTTCACTTCTTTCAATCACAATTTTAATCACAATCTTGACCTTGATCTTGTGTTATACCCCCTGAATGAATCCTTCACTCTATTCCAACTGTGGAATCCACGACCATTATTGGTAAACTCGGCATCGCCGTCATTATCGTCCTCTTCTTCATTTATATCAAGACCAAATTCTGTTAGTAGATCTCCTTATTGTGGCAGTGCTACTGCAGGTGGTTTTGGTGGCCACGATTATAATCATGGAAAAGTCAAAAGTTTTAAGTTTGGTTATGATATTACCGGGTATACTCCCTCTGCGCGTTTGGCTAATTTACATCGACTGTTGTCACTGCTGCTGCCTTTGAATAGAAATGATCAAGAAGGACACAGGGATGAAGATGGAGATACAAAATGGGTTGATGTTGTTGATAGCATAATTGAGAAAGGAAAGGAGGAAGAGGCTGGAGGGAATAAGCACCAAACTGTTAAGACTGATCATTTGGGTGAGGAAAACTTAAGTTATGAGGCACTTGTCTTTGATGATGATGGCAATGTTGAACAAAGGAAACGTTTTCTACCTAAATTTAAACCACCTATTTATGCTGAGTATTGAATGGTTGTCATTGTACGTTAAAGGGGGGGGGGTAGTTATTTGATTTCCTTTTATATACATTTTGTAACGTGACAATGTTTGTTTTTTTACTGATGCTTCTAAGGGGAAGATATCAATGTAGAGGTTTTAATTGAAGCTAAAGGAAGTATACATATATTATAATAATCTTTCCTAAATGGGTAGTTGTGTGCGGCGTAGTGTCAAAAAAGGAAACATGAAAAGGAAATCTGAGACATGACACTAACGGTTGTGCGTGTGTCCGCGTCTCATTTGGGTCTTTTATGACACGCATGTGTTTAGAATGACATTCATTGAAACAGTTGGGATGCAAACACTCCAAAAAAAAAAAAAAAAAAGAGGGTAAAAAGGAGTTGAAAAATGTTCAATGGTGGATACATTATAATACTCATTAACTAGTAAATAGCATCATCTTTAGAATAATGATTAATAATGTTAAAAGAGGCGTACTTTATTACATTAAACAAAATGAAATTGATACACGCGTAAAGAAAGAAAGAAAGAAAGAAATAGAAAGAGTAAAAAACACTTTGATCTCTACCTTTGAAATATATATATAATTCAGCACATACTCCTTTTCAAACATTTCTACATTTCCAAGGTTTATTGCGCCATTGGTTTATCACCACTTTATAACATCGACATCAGCAACAGTAACAACAACTACAACTACAACATCATTATCTGCAATGCCATATTATGCAGTAGCCAAGGGGAGAAATACAGGTGTTTATACGAACTGGAATGATTGTAAGGATCAAGTCAATGGGTATAGTGGTGCTTCTTTTAAAAAGTTTAGTACTGCTTCTGAAGCTAGGTCGTTTGCTTCTAGGAGTGCGAGTACTTCTGGGTCATCTTCGTATGGTGGTGGCTCTTTCAGCTCAAGCTCGAAAGTATTAAAGCCATCTCACCCCCAATCCTCCTCATCATCATCATCTTCTTCTTCTTCTTCTTCATCTCATCACACCACTTCATCCTCACCCACTATAAGGACTTCAAGAATCTATGTTGATGGAGCATCAAGAGGCAACGGTCGGTCCAAGTCAGCTGCTTCTGGGTATGGTGTCTACTATGGTCCTAATGACTCGCGTAATGCAGCAGTTGGATTACACGAAGTCGACAATATCAACAAACACGCGCCCACCAACCAACGAGCAGAATTGCACGCCATGAAACACGCTTTAACTAACATCAAACGAGATTTGAAAACGGGCAAATCAGATTCAACCAAGTATGACATCTACAGTGATTCGAGATATGCCATTCAGTCCATCAATGAATGGTCATTCAATTGGCAAAAAAATGGATGGAAGACTGCCAATGGGAGTGCTGTTGCTAATGCCGAATTGATTAGAGATGCAGTTCAATTGAAGAATGATATTAATCAGTTGTATCAGGCTAAGAACTGGCAACCACTTGAGTTTCATCATGTCAAGGGTCATTCTGGTGATGTGGGGAATGAAGCTGCTGATCGGTTGGCTAATCAAGGTGCTGATAAAATGGAAAAGTAAAGTGAACGTTAATAGGGGTTGTGTTTTTCTTCTTTTTGATGATAATTTTCGTTATACTTCTAGATTTCTTGAAATCTGAACTCAGCATATGACTTACGACACACACACACACATATATATATATATACGACTAGATACGCAATCGAGGTTTATAGATTGAATTTCTTCTTCTTCTTGTTCTTCTTGTTTACTGTTCCCTCTTTGTAAATCTTCCCAATTTAGCCAATCGAGCAACGGTCCTCAATACCCTAACTTGCTTGAAATGCCATTGAACTCCAAATTCAACCAACCACAACGGCAAAAATCTGCTCACCCAATGCAAGAAATAACTTCTTGCTCCATGAAACAAGTTGAAACCGGGGTCTCTCCATCTGACTAAATCCTTAACCACTTGTTTAGCATACTTCTGAGGCGAAATATTCAAGTCACGACTCATCATGGCTGATGCATTTATCGAATCATATACTCCAGGCACGTCATAGTACGAGTCACCCAATGCACTACACACGTTGGCATCGCAAATTGCAGTATCAACGCCACCGGTAATGACGGAATGGACCCTGACGCCAAAGGGCGCCATTTCGCCATGCAACGTCAAGGCATAGGCGTCAATGGCGGCTTTGGTTGAGTTGTAAGCCGACACCCACGAAAGTGGCACTCTAGCAGCAACTGACGACGTAAACACAATAGTACCCCTCGTGTTTATAACCATGGGAGCAAACCATTTTGTCATGTTGATATGGCCAATGACATTGACTTGGAAAATCTTGTCCAATCTATCTTCGTCGATTTCAATAGCAGGACCAGCAATGGAAATTCCAGCATTATTGTAAAGAATCGATAATTGGTTGTTGGTCAATTGTTTAACTTTTTCATGCACGGATTTGATATTATTGATATCGGTTATATCCAAGGGAATAGAAATGACGCCATATTCTTGTTCCAAGGACTTTTGACCAAATATGACTTGTGGTGGTGAGCATCCGATTACTTGGTAGCCGCGTTTCAGTAATTCGATGGCTAAGTTGTATCCGATTCCTGATGAAGCGCCGGTGATTAATGCGTATTTTTTAGGCATGTTGGTGGGTTTGATGGTAATATCGAATGTAGTCAAGGTTATAAAGGGTAAGAGCCTACTTTTATGCGAATGATAAGAAAGTGGTATAAGTTATTGTTGTTAGGTTGATAATATTTATTTGTTTTTCCAAAAATGATGGAGAAATAGTTTTGATAATTTATATATTTATATCTATATTTATAATGTTTCTACTGGGGTTAAATCCTTGCCTTTTGTTTAATGTTTTGCGGGGAGGTTTTTGTATATAATTTTAAATATTGTATATGTTGGTTGGTTGGTTGATTTGTTTCACAAAATTTATTTTTTTAATTTTTTTTTTGTTGAGTAAAATCTTTCAAATTACAAAATTACACAAACTATAATAAATGATACAAGCGACAGCAGATATAGCTACTGATCTAGTAGAGAAACTGATAAACTAGCAATTTCCCAGTTTTATTCCCCATTTGTAAGTATAAGGATGTAGACATTAAGAAAGATGATCTATTTTTTTATTTTGTTTTTTGATTTAGACTTATTGCTAAATCCGCATCCACTACTTCAACTGCTTCAACTGATCAACAGTTACTCTAAACATCATGCAGTATTTACACCATTGTTTGAAACAATAAGGAGGATATAGTTACTACTTCTAGACATTTGAATTTTTAACGACCTAAAGTTTAAAGTTTTCTACGTGCGGATTTAAGTCCACTGTCGTCTGATTTATCCCGATTGCAAAAAAAACCCCAAAAAGAGACGGATGATTTTTCTCTTAAATATTGTACAGTCCACTCACTCACTTGTCTAATCCCCTTGTTTCTTTCTTTCTTTCTTTCTTTCCTTTGTGTGCTTGATCGTCTCTTGAATGAGTGCGTACTGAATTTTATGTTCTTTATCACATGTGATAAAAAAACAATTGAATAATTAAAGTAGGAGCAAAAAGAGAAAAAATGAGTTTCCTATTTTAGCATCAGAGGAAGAGTACGTCTGTATTAAAGTGAACTCTTTGACGGTATATAAGTGCAAACCATTTTTGTCTTTCCCTGACACTATAAACCGAGGTGTTTGTAGTTAAATTTTCATGTGCGGCATTGGGCTCTATGCTTTTCTTCCTTTTTTTTTTTGCAGCCAATTGGATTTGAACAGTTGCAACAATGTCCCAAATGTTTGATACATTCTCATTCAAGTGTGTGGTCACGTAGTTTTAGTCTTTTGTATAGACGAAAATCTTGAAACATAGGTTCAACTGGGAGACAGAGATGGCATGTGAGTGGTTGAATTTGACACTACAGTTGCCAGGAATATTGCATAATGAACTAGAAGTGTGATACAAAAAATGATGTTCCTTTCCATTTGCTATTGGGGAAGAGAATAAGGAGGTGGATGTAGACTTCAAAACTACCAAATCAAACGTAATAACTGTTTTTGGTGAAATTCCAGTAAATGAACAGTCTTAGAATAGACTTTCCTGCTTCTCTCTCTTAAAATGCAATGGTTTTTCATTAACTGAATTAAATGAGATCAAACAAGACATAAAGAGTGTCTTTTTAAGTATACTGGCTGACATATACCCTAATAATGACTACAAAATAGAGAGTCTGTAAGCACATGTCAACTCTGAGACATTAATGGTTGGTTCTTTCTTAATGGATTGGTTTTGTAGGTGGTTACGCCGCACATGTAGGCACGTGCATTCTACCCCTATTTCCCTGTATGTAATGGGTGTGTATGGATGCAAATGCTATTGTTATACCATGGTACACTACCTTTCTTATCCAATGGGAAACTTGGTTGGTTTGTGTAACTTATGGAGTAAAAAAAAAGAAACTAAATCCTTATTTTTCTTTCTATGCAGTACCTAACAGAACGTAAAAAGAAACTTTATAAAACTTTTGGCCAAAGGTGTACGCCAGACAAACAGACAGGCAGAACGAAGACGAAGAAGAACATCAGAGTTATACCAGACTTAGCTTTCCTTAGAACCAAGCACATTAGCTACTACAAAAGGCTAAAGAATAGGGTACTACTTCATTACATAAAGCTAAAGCAAAACCAAGACATTCCTTTTTTACTGCTACTACTACTACTTTCTTTACTATTGATTCAACCAAGAGCTATATATATTACCTACACCCCCCCCCCCCCCCTTCTCCATCCCCTTCATTTATTCATTGCAATTTATATAAACATACACATTAAATTTTATCCAGTTCTAACTATTAAACCACCGCCAAAAGATTTTCTTCTAACAAAATTACATTCCATAAACCATGTCCACATCTACTGCAACTGAGTTATTTAGTCAAGGAACTGACCCAACCAACAGATTCGCTAGGAATAGCAGTAGTTCCAACGAGAACATCAATAAGCATAACTCGTCAACAGTTGAAGAACTTCTTATTGAAAAATTAGATTATTTCGTATCGTCAATCGAAGCAAGATTGAATAATTTTGAAATCTTTTTTAAATGGAAAGAGGCCCATGCTAATGATGAAAGTGTGGTTGCTGAAAGAGCCAACGGCTATAGCAACAGCAGTAGCAACAACTTTTACAAGAGTGGAGGACTGCTCTCGCCTCGTGACAGGAGCGATTCGTCTTCAAGTTTGCAAAGTTTACAAAGCTTAAAAGAAGTGTCATTGAATAAATTGAACTTGGTTCGTGATCGACTTAGATTGATCAAAAAGAGTGTTTTGAGTAAAGGATTCACCAATGTTGAGTTTTTGTATAATTTATTGACTGATCAATATGATTATTTGTTTAATTCAGTGGTTGATCCAGATATGTTGGATGGTGAACAACAACACGGTCAAGAGGAGAAGTTAATAGATGAGGCTACAACAGAGACTACTGGAGCAGCTACTGCTGGTGTATCCCCACGTGAAGTTCTTTCCAATAAATTAATTGACATGATCTACTACTTTGATCAGAAACTAACCAATATAGACGATTATCTTCGAGAAAAGAATGCCATTGTTGATAGTGGATTCATTGACTTGCAAAACAATGAACAACAACAGCAACTGCCCCATTTTGTCAATTTGCGATATTTCAATTTCAATCGAGCTTTGAAAAATGCTGCTAAGAATAAATATGTCCATTATTATGAATTACCCTTGATGTGGCGAGAAAACAAGTATATTATCCAGGGGTATAGGTTTTCTTTGAAACATAGTGAAATGTGGAAACTGGTTTTCGCGTGGCATAATGAAACGATGAATATTTGGTCGCACTTGGTTGGTGTGGGGATTGTTTGTATTATTGGATTGGTGCAGTTTCCATCAAGTGATGTGTTCCCACTAATGAACAAATGGGATAAATTGGCCATGTATGGGTTCTTGCTATCAGCTTTAGGATGCTTGGTTTCTTCATCAACGTGGCATACTTATTCGTGTTTTGCACATTACCCTAGTCGTGCCAATTTCGCCTGTATTGATTATTCAGGAATCACATTGTTAATCACATGTTCGGTGACTGCTATTGAGTACTGTGCTTTGTACAATCATCCCACTTTGTCACTAGCGTTTATGATATTCACCATGATGTGTGGTATTGGTGGGTTTGCCTTCAATTGGAGTCCCTATTTCGATAAACCCGAATGTCGTCCTTTGCGCATTGGCTTTTTCATTGGATTGTCGTTTTCGGGATCGACGGCATTATTATGCCAATCATGGTATTACGGAGTCTGGCGTGCATTTTGGTTTACATTGCCACTTTTTTACAAGAGTTTTGTGTGGTACTTGTTGGGAGTCGTGTTTTATGGTGGATTGATTCCCGAGAGATGGAGATTCGATGTTATTATTGAAGAGAATAATGCTAATGCGTGTCACCATCATTATGATGCCATTGATGTTATTGAAGATAATGTGGGACATGCAGGCGAAGAGGAAATTGATCAGATTGAACAGGAATTGTTGGATTTGGAATTGCGTCGCAAACAGAGGGTCAATGATGCCTTGAATGGGGAGACAGAGAAAGATATAAAGAAGCATGCTGAAGATGAAGGTGCCGTGACTGAACATGATAGTGTAACTGATATGGATGAAGAAGAAGATGACGATGATGATTTTAAACGATTGGTGAAGAAACATTTCAAAAACGAACCAACCAAGACCCCCTATGCTGATAAATTTATGAGTTTATGGTGGGTTGATTACTTTTTGGCCAGTCATAACATTTGGCACATTTGTGTCTTGTTGGGTATTTTGGGACATTATTCTTGTTTGGTACACATGTTTAATGAAATTAAAGGTGTATCTTAATGGTCCCAAAGGCAAGAGGGATATGTATAATTTGTGTACTGTGTATTCAAATCGTTGGATTTTATTTCTATAAAAGTTTGTCTCCTTTACACGTTGGTTTCTTATTCATAAGTTTCCTTAGGGAATGGGAAAGTTGGTCCAACTTGTTGAATAGACAATTTAGCGGCCCATTGACCAACATCAACCGCCTTGGATAAAGGCTTACCCTCAACCAACGAGGCAATGAAACCAGCAGCAAAAGCATCACCAGCACCATTAGTATCGACAACATCTTCCTTCTTCAATTGTTGGACGGGATATTGATGGACTTCAACTTCGCCATTACCCAAATCAGTTACAGTTACTGTTGGTTCAGTACCTTGAGTGAAAATAACAGTACGGGGGATCTTGGTGTTTTGTTTAGGCAATTTAACAATCTCCTTAGCAATGGCAACTACATCCTTATGGTCAACCTTCAATTCATGTGATTGTGCATAAGCTTCAGCTTCTGATTCATTAGCAATGACGTAATCGACATAAGGCAATACTGAATCTAATTGATCTTTGAAGAATTGGGCAATAAAAGGAGCACTAAAGTTAAGCGCCAATGGTTTGTTGGCTTTGGTGGCTTCTTTACCCAATAACAAGATGGCTTCTGGTGACACTGTCAAGTGGAATCCACCAATGTAGTAATGAGTGGCATTTTCAACAATGGACCAGTTTTCGGGTTTTTGTAAATGTTCTGGTTTGAAATGGTTAGCGGCAGCCAAATCAGTCACCAATGAACGATGATGATCATAAATCAACGCAGCACATTTTCCAGTAGCAAATTCCAGTTGGACTTGGTACCTTGTAGTCAATCCATAAGCTTCATTAGCTTCATTAAGACGTTCAGCATAAACGTCATTACCAACCGATCCAAAGTAAACAACGGATTGAGGAGGCAAGATATATTGAGCTCCTCTAGCGGTGTTTTGCGCAGCTCCTCCAGCAACTAAAATCAAGTCGGGTTTTTGCAAGATTTCATCATAGATGGGCAAATGCTTGTCTTCGGCAAGAATGGCATCGTTGTCTTTTAAATCGTATTTGGACAAGTATGACTTATCAACATTGGTTTGGAGATCTAAAAGAGGGTTACCTAAGCAGACTAGTTTGAATTGATTTTGGTGGGATGATGACATTGTGAATGGTTTCGATTGAGTGATGAAATGGGGTGAATGTAGTTTTAGTAATGGTTGTTTAAGTTGTTTGAATATTGTTGAGATTTTCATTTTCGTAATTAATTTTTTTTTTTTTGCTTCTCCTTCTTTCTTTCTAGGGGTTTGTGTCTGATGAAATATGAAATATCTCTTGTGGAAAAAACAAAAAAAAAATGAAAATCCCTCGTGGGGAGAAAGTTGAGTGAGAGGGGGGTGGGGAGGGGGAATCGCACCCTTCAAAGGAAGACAAACAGAAAAGTATTGTCTCAGAAGTCGTCATATCTATATATTTGTCCTTTGTCTGAGAGGCATGGCTTAACAGCCCATTCCTCTTGTCTAGACAAAAACTGTATGCAGAGTAGTAGAGTATAATGTACTAAGTTTTATAGAGCTAAAGTTGGTGTTGTTTTCTATTGTCTTTGAGTTACGATGTAAGTGTCGTGTAGTGTCGTGTAGTGTCGTGTAGTGTCGTGTAGTGTCGTGTAGTGTCGTGTAGTGTCGTGTAGTGTCGTGTAGTGTCGTGTAGTGTCGTGTAGTGTCGTGTAGTGTCGTGTGTTGTGTCGTGTGTCGTGTGTTGTGTGTCGTGTGTTGTGTAGTGTAGTGTCGTGTGTAATGGTTTATAATATTTAGTCGTGTCATGTGAAAATCGTTTGTTTTGTTTATTGTGTAGAGAAGTATGTAGAGTAGTGTGTAGTGTCTCTATTGTGGTACTCTTTCGTCGTCTAAATTGTTTTTGTTGTTTTACTTTGTTTGCTAAAATGACGTAAAAAGAATGGGGTGTACGTGTCGTAACTTTGTATTTTATGAAACAGTAAACAAAAAGTTATGGTACTATTGTTTGTTTGTTGTTCTCTAAGAGAAAGAAAAGAAAAAAAAAAAAAAACTTTGACAACAAAAGACCTTCATTTGGGTTTTAACTTTTACTTCAGGCAACAAACTCACACCCAACTTAACCCAACTGATAATAACTGTCAAAAACACTTGCAGATACACACATTAATATAGTTATTATTATTATTATTATTATTATAACTACAACTACAACTACAACTACAACTACATGGGTATAGCCAAAAGTTTTTCTTAGACGAAAAAAAGAAAAAAAAAAACTCCATACAACTTTGTACATATATATATATACACCCACCAATATAACAAACTTAACAACAGTTTCACAGCGGCAACCAAAAGTTTATACAAAATACTCATACATACAACTACGCTTCAACCACACTGTTCATAAGTATTCGATACCCCCATTCCTTTTACCACACTAGTCTACTAGAACAAGAAAAAGAAAAAAAAAATGTCACTGTCATCGCCTCAGAAAAATGCTAATACGTTGTCATCGTCTTCACGTGTTATTGATTCATTACAATCTACAATTGACAAACTAACTGATGAAATAACAACGTTAAAACAGTCAAACCAAGAAACTACCAAAAAGAACCAAATTCTAAGTCAAAGAAACGAATCTTTTGTTGATCAAGTGGCGAATTTGAAACACGAAAATGAAATGTTGAATGCCATGTTGAAACGTAAAGATCGTCGAATCACTGATTTAGAAGATCAACATAACGAATTGTCGAGCTCAATTGAGTCCATCAATTTCCTGAATAAACAAATGAAGATGAGATGTGAAAATTTAACGACAAATAATGATAAAACTATGGCCGAATATGAAAGTTTGAAAATATCGTATGATGCTTTAGTTACCAGTTGTAATGAATACAAACAACATTATAAAAAGGAAATAGACACCATAAGTGCAAGTTTTGAACAATACAAGTCTACTAATTTGGCCAAATGGGAAGAATTGCAAAAACTGATTTCCAGTAATGATAAAGATATTGATACGTTATTGGATTCATTGGGCAATAAAAAGAAGTCAATGGATAATATTTATGTTCATAAAAATACCAAGATTTTACAAATCTTGAACACATTGGCTAATTTAATTAAAACTCATGGACAAGAAAGTAAACAAGTGCTTGGTGATTGTTCAGAAACAATTGATTATTTGTTAAACAAGTATCCTGATTTGAGTGAAAAGTTGATCAAACATGAACACGTTGAGATGATTGATATAAATTCTATTCTCAATGAATCTAGAGAAACTTTAAATAATACATCTTTTGATGATGAGGAAGTTACATTGATCCAATCACCTGATTTGGAGAATAATGGAAACGCCACCTCCGTCAATACCTTGACTAAATCAGCATCTGTAAGAAGGAAGAACAAGAGAGCTTCCTCAAACAACTCATCAGCTGCTTCATCACCAAACTTGCCTCAATCTGCCCAATACCATCACCATCATAATCCGCATCATCATCATAATCAGCACAATACCCCTTCTTCAAACCAACGAAATGATATCCATTCCCAACAACCCACCTCAGCACCACATCAACCATATCAACACCCACACTCGCATGCACGTTCGCAATCGCAGCTGGAACTGAGAAAACCAGCTGTCAATAATAATCTCATAAACATCAACAAACCGAGAAACAAAAATAATGGAGCCAAAAATGACAACTCTAACTCAAATGGTAATAATAACAATTCCAACAGCAATGACAAAAGTTCTAGGAGAAGGTCAGGGTATTATGGCAACATGAATAAAGTTAGTAATGGGAATAGTAACAAACACAAACGAAACTCGCAAATTATAGATCAAACGGTATAGAATTGGGAGAAGAGACGAGTTTTCGAAAAGTAAGAGGGTATATATATATATATATATATATAATTTTAGAAGATTTTCATTGTTTTGCTTGTCATTATCATCATTTGGATGTAAAAAATACGTCATATCTGCCACCTTTTTCTTTAAACTGTATGGTGAATTCTGGATTGTATATAAATGAAGCAAGGAAATTTTGCAAACAGGAATATATATATATATATATATATATCAGACACCAAGCTAAACTGCCACGGTGGACTTTGTAAAATGTCTTCGCTATCAAGCTTACCAGCTGAAACCTTGGGTATCTTGCTTCAGCAATTTAAATCAACGCATACAGGGCATTCCCACTCCATGGACTCTGGTGTTGGCCCGCCTAGCTGAATGTGTATCCCACAATTGTTCCATCTTCATAACCCACCAACAACAAGTCTCCATACTTCTTTTGCTTTATTAGTTTAGAGTACCTCTCGACAGCAGCCTTTGACTCGGATTTGGACAACATGCACATACATGTTAACTTTACCGTAGTTTTCATATCTTCTGCGTCAATATGAGGTAAGCTGCGTTGTATAGTCTGTATAGATCGAGTCGGCAGTTCAATTACGCCATTCCAGAACCCAACAATGAGATTGTCATCGTATGGAACTATAGCTTGAATTCCCGATTCATTCAATTTGCAAATTTTGACTGGGTCGGTGTGAATTATCACCTTTTTGCCTGTTGATCCAGACACTAGAGTATTGTCCAAGGCGGCTAGTGAGATGATTGGGTTAGGCGCATGCGATGAATTGTGATATTGGAGACAAAGCTTCACGTCTTTATTGATAATCAGTGTTGTTGTTGAGCTTTGCGTGATGGACGGTTGAGGTAAAGTTATTGTGAGTCCTATGATGTCCCCTGATTCGTAACCAATGTATAGCACTTGTCCAATTATAAGCATCTTCATGACGATACCAAAATCGTTTCTCCCTTGTATATCATCCAATTTCAACTTGTGCACTAAATTATAACTCGAAAAGTTGGCAACTTCACGCGTGATACTTATAGGTTCATCATTGAGTCGGTAAATGTCAATATTGTTTGAGTCAGTTGTGGCTGGTGTGACCAAATAACGATCTTGGAAAAGAACCAAGTTGGAGAAATTCAATGCATTGACAGGGAACTCATACTGTAGCTTATCTTCAAGCCAAATCTTAATAGTCGAGTCTCGTGAATGGGTGATTATATATCGATGCCATTTCAATAGAGTCAAAATCGAATCAGTATGAGCAGTCCACGTGAGCACCGGTCGTTTGATTGGCAAACTCCACTTTATAACCACACCCGATTGGTCAGATGTAAGCACATAGTCATCTGATAGTGGTACTATACATGTAATTGGTGATTTATGCGAACGTAGGGCAAGCACTCTCATTTAAAATTGACTGAGAAACGGCTTCTTCTTTTATTGTTGAATTTTTGTGCGGCTTGGGTTAAATCTCGATGGGCATTTTAAAATTATCAACAAAACTCGAGCTTTTTCTTTTATAGAAAAGTACAGCATCCCCCTCCCCAATCATACTATGGTGAAGCGGGACCATTTTTCCAAGTTGGCTTCTGAAAATGCCAAAGACAGAGTTCAGGCAGCAAATGCCTTGATGCAAGAGTTGATCAAGGAAGACTCACCCGAGGAATGGGACTACACTTACAATCGTTTAATCAAAGGTTTGACTTCAACAAGACAAACTGCCAAATTGGGGTTTGGAATGCTCTTAACCGAAGTTGTATCCGAGTTAAAAGGACGAGGCGAGATGACCGTGAACAAGTACCTTGACAAATTGAATGAAGTGACTGCTGTTAAAAGCGGGATGAAGGGAAAAGAAGAACGAGCTCTTTTATTTGGCCGCTTGTTTGGACTAAATGTCGTGATTAAAGTTGGATGGCTTGAGAAAGCTAGCGAAGCTGAATGGGTGCCGTTTATTGATGCTTTGATTGACTTAATGGCGACAAAGCCGTGGATACGTGAAGCAGCCGCTGCTAGTTTGGTTGGTGTTATCAAGACGGCAAATTCAAATTCGAAAATTGCCAATACGGTCTACTTGAAGGTTTTGCAAAAGTTGAATGATCTTGGGTTGAACCTTTCCACTGAAGGGTTGGCTGTATACTTGGCTATAGATAGGGACGTTAGATCAACACTTGCCCAAAAGATTGTCAATCCTAAATCGAATTGGAAAAATGGCGATCCCCTTCACAAGGGTAACCTACCAATACTAGCCAAAGTTTTGAAAGATGTTGAGGTTATTGATGAAGATTCTGAGGATAGGAAACAAAAGAGCAACTGGAACCCGCAATTGCCATTTGTATGGGATATTCTTATTGATGACTTTGTTAGCGGTAGTAACAAGGTAAAGGAACCGGCAAAGAAGAAGCATAAAACAAAGAACAGTAGTTCCAAAGATAGAAATGAGGACGTAATTGGGTTGAAGGAATTTTACAAAGTCGTAGTTGATGAATCCTTGTTTTCGGAAAAATCATCACATGAGAGAAAGTACTGGGGGTTTGAAATTTTTATTAAATTCTTAGGTAAACTTGATCACGACTTAGATTTCTTATTTACTCCCAACTTTATGAGATGCTTGATCAATCAATCTTCCCACAAGTCGCGCACGCTACATGATATTGCCGTTAAAGTTTTGTTGGCGATAACTGAAAAAGGATCATATTCAGAAAAAGTAGCGCCTACATTGCTCAAGTGTTTGTTGAATGAGTCGAATGGTGGGTGTTGGAACTTTGATTTAGTTACAAAATCACGCACTGTGGATGGGATTTTGTCCACGTCCAATAGTGAAAATATAGTCGTGGTTATATCCAAGTTTACCGATATGTTACAAGACCAAAACGTCACCGATGGGTTCAAATACTCCAATGATAATGTTCTCAAGTGGTGTCTTGATAAATTGGTGCATTTGGTCAAATTTAACAGGGAGGACGATACTGTGGTGCAACGAATTATTGAATTATTGATAAGATATGCCTTTTTTGAACTGGATGTGTCTCCTAATATCAGGAAATTGGCTCAAGAAAAGTTGAATTCGATTCTTTCTGAAGTTTTATCTCGCGACAGCGGTAGTACTGCATCATGGCCTAGATATTGTGTTGATCAAATCATGCTGTTGCAAAAGACTAATAAATGCTTGGTGGAGTTTGATGAGGAATTGGCGGCAGTGCGTGATGCCACTAGTGATATTTTACAATCAAGTGGTGACTCAAGTGGTAGTTCAAGTGGCAATGACTTTCATGATGTTTTTGAGTTACTATTCTCAATGTGTTTTATTCAATTGTATATGGGCGATGAAGAAATTGTTCAAATAACTCACGAATTGATCTCACTTTATGAGAACCAGGTGGACAAATCACAAAAGGATGATGATAACGATAATGTAGATACTGCATTGGTGATGACTGAAATCCTTCTAAGTTTTATTACTCGAAAGAGCACCTTGTTGAAAAGATTGTCGATGATTGTGTGGGATCATTTCCTTTGTGGGACTGATGATAAGGGGCAGTTGAGAATTAATGATGAGTGTTTTGGGTTGTTGTTTGATGTGTTGAAGACAAAGGAGAATAAAGAGGGACAGAAGCAGTTGTTTGAGAATGATGATGAGATGGTTGTGGATGGCGAAGATGAGGAGGAAGAAGACGATAAAGAAGAGGAGAGGGAAGACAATAACGAAGAGGATGAGGAAGATGACGACGACGACGACGATAACGATGAGGACGATGACGATGATGATGATGGTGACGAGACTGCCAACAACACCATGACGGACGTCGACAAGGAAACCAATCTCAAGCTTGCAAAAGCCTTAGGTATACCCACAGCTGAGTCTGGAGAAGTCAAATTTGATGAGCTTTCGGATCTCGATTCATCCAACGACGAATATGAAAGTGACTCAATGGACGATGAACAAATGATGGCTATGGATGACCAATTGTCCAAGATTTTCAAAGAAAGACAAGATATATTGAGCAGTGTTAGTTCAGGAAACAAAAGAAAGACTGAAGTTCATGAAGCACGTGTAAATATGATTTTTTTCAAAAATAGAGTTTTAGATTTATTGGAGAGTTTTACAAGACACCATCCAAACTCCATCTACAACTTGAAGTTTATTGATCCTGTTGTCAATTTGATCAATTTGACCTTGGACAAGAATTTGGGGGTGAAAGCACACAAGTTTTTAAAGACACGGATCAGCAAGACCAAAGTATATACTGTTGATGGACCTACTAGTATCAAGAATGTCCCTGATTTTACTCAATGGGCAAAAGAGATGGTTAAAAATTTGCAACACCAAGCCGCCACTACCAAATCATCAAACCAAGCGGTTATTTCTAGCTATAACCAGAGCTGTATTGTCCTAGCCAAGAACTTGATAGGAGTTGATCATTCTCAGTTGGAACTGGTTATCGATATATACACCGATTCATTAAAACAGTGGGCTTCAAACAAAAACAACAAAATCCAGTCGTCATTATTCTTTGACTTTATCAACTGGCTAAACGATAAGAGACAAAATCTAACTGAGTAAAAGTATATATGTACTGCAAATAGGCTGCAAAAAGAGAAATTAGAATGGTCGTGTAATGTGTCCAATTTTTGTAAACCAATAGAAAATCTTTTGCCAAACCGTTTACCGAGAAACAGAAAAGAAAAGGAAAAGAAAAAATTATTCACCAAATCTCAATCTCAACGCAATAATTTTACTCCACCACCACCACAACCTATTCATTACAATGTCAGCATACAAACAAGCAGGTATCTCATTAAACAAGGCTTTTGCCATTGCTGCACAAGCTTTAAGAAACTCGTTGAAGCCTGAATTCAAAGCCGCTGTTGAAAGAAGAGGTGTTGTTGAAGCTAAAGTTTCCGTCTTCGAAAATGGTAACGCTGGTGAACCAAGAGAATTGAAACCAATTGACAAATAAAGAGTGGAATAAAGGAGTTGTTTATAACTAGATAAAAAAGGAGAGAACGAAGAGGGAAAATACACGTTAATTTTTTTTTATTTTTTGCGGACTTGCATGGACCATTTCTACTTACACACACCTCATTTATCGTTTCAAATCTTCATTCGATGTTGCCGTATCCAAGTTTTGAATCTTTTTCTTTGCATCAAGGGTGATTTCTTCAATCAACTGATCCTTGAGCTCCTCGGGCAAGGAATCAATCATGGTTCGTAAATGTTCCAACTTGCCAAAGTCCCGTTGATCTTGTTCAATCTTTTCTGCCTCGTAATTTGCATGCTCTATTTCATCAGCTTCTTCTTCGTCAATCTTATCTTCGTCTTTCTTGTTGGCTGATTCATCGAGTAATTTGGACAATTCGCTATTTGGATTACTAAAGAGCTCAACAAACCTACCTTGTTCAACAACGTTGCCATTCTTACCGAGGACAACAACAAACTCTGATTTAGAAATGGTTGATAAGCGATGGGCTATGGAAATGATTGTTATTCTTCCTTGAGAAGTCAAATTCTTTAGTGTTTCATTAATCAACGACTCGGATTTGGAATCTAAAGCTGAAGTAGCTTCATCGAGGATCAAGATGTTGGGACGCTTAATCAATGCACGAGCTATGGCAATACGTTGCTTTTGACCGCCTGATAATGACGCTCCCCGACTGCCAATTATTGTATCGTATTGCTCGGGGAAGCTTTCTATAAAATCATGACAATTGGCCTGTTTGCACACCTCAATTATATCATTCATTGAAAGACTGCGAACTTGTTTCGGCGTGAGACCATACACAATGTTCTCCAAAATCGATCCGCTTAAAAGCACTGGCTCTTGCTGCACGATACCAATAATGTGTCTTCTTAAATCGCGGACTTGAATGTCCTTTATGTTTTCCCCGCCAATTAAAATTTCTCCACCTTGGATATTGTAGGATCGCAAGAGTAGTGCAGCAACTGTAGACTTTCCTGCACCCGATGGAGCAACAATACAAGTACTTGTCGAACTGGCTATTGTGAAGCTACAATGGTCAAACACTTTGTCGTTGGGTCTCGTTGGGTAACTAAAAGTGACATCTCTAAACTCAACCTCATTCTGCAAGTTTCTCGCCTTCTCTCCATTGATGGGGTCAATATCGCTTTTGTAATCTATCAAGTTGAAGAGTTTGACTCCAGCACCGGCACCTTTCATCAATTCAAGGTATGTCGTGGTCAAACTGTACAATGCCAGGTTGAAAAACTCCAGGTACATTGTGAATGCCACCACATCACCGGCGCTCATTTGTCCCTTTTGCAAAAGCCATATGCCAAAGGCAACACATGATAAGTAACCCGCATGATAAAGAGTATAAATACTGACTGAGTAATTTGATTGTGCCAATGCCTCTTGTTTGGCAACCTTAACCACATTTCTTACTCTCGCACTATACTTGTTTAGCTCTTTTTGCTCCCCTGTGAACGCTTTAACCATCTTTACAGCATTTAGCGTCTCTTCGCTTACTTTGGTTAGCCCAGCACTAGCATTTTGTAGCTTGGTTGACAATTTTCTAATCTTTTCTCCGTACCACACTGATCCAATGGTTATTGGTGGTGAGATCAACAACATGACTCCAAATAGCATGGGGTTGATTGAGTACATCAAGTAGGAGCTAATAATTCCAAACAACAAATTTTTTAATCCGTCAGGAAGATTCCCCGTTATTGACTTGCTGACCACATATGCATCACTCGATAATCGAGATATCAAATCACCCACTTTGTTTTTATCATTGTCGTAAAACTTGGCATCGTGGCGCAACAAGCTCTTCATCACTTTAGCCCGTAATCTGGCAACAAGACGTTCGCCCAATAATTTCAACACCCATATCCGGGCCCAGAAACAAACAGCACTAATGCACATAAAGGGAACCATAAACTCAAATACGGTTCTGGCTGTATATCCCCATACCATCAACTCTCCATCAGCATTTATGTTTTTGGCATTGTACGAGTCTAGTAGGGCACCAACTAACTTGACTGCGGTTGTTGGGTATAGTACGGCGCATAATATGAATGTAATTGCAAGCAAGAATAATTTCCAATCAGATTTACCCAATTTCAATATACGGCCAATGGTCTTTATATTTTCTCTAAATGTCTTTTTATCCAATTTGGCAAATTGTTTATTTTCCTCTTGTTTGATCTCCTTCTTTTTCAATTTGGCTAGATCTAGGTGAGATTTGACTGATGAATCTTTGATGAGTTTAGTCTGCTGCGGTTGTTGCTCCTCATTGGGCAACGGCGACGTTGAATAGTATCGTATATAGTTTAGAATGCTCTTGGAGTGAGGCGATATGACGGTATTTGTCCTCGGTATGAGTTTTTGAGGCTTTAGTATGTGATAGGTTCTAAAACACAGTCGGGTTGTCAATCGACTTAGTAGGACTGACGTGGGTTTTAGCATGAGCATAGCTGAAGTATGCAATGAGAGGTGTATGTGTTTATGTATATGTATGCGCTTCAGTTCTGCTGTTGTAGCAGATTCTGGGGTGTTGTGCTGGTTGGTATTTGAAAAGTTTTGGATTCGATATTGGTTGTCAAATCTTTGAGCTAATTCTTATTTTTTTTTCTTCGTTTTTTTTTGTTTTTTTTTTTTCACCGATCCGATCGCCAGCTGAGTCATCTATAGTTGAACTTGGGGGTGGTTGGTGATTGCATTCGGAGACGAGGGAGGCGTGATTACAGTACAGAGCTGGGAAGCATGTTTTTCTGTAGGAACAGATTAACTAAATGGGGTCGCCAATTCCATATAGTTGAGCTTCGGCTCCGTATATCGCTCACCAAGAACTTGAGATGTTCCCATTTCAAAAATATCATTTACATTTTTCTGATCTAGACTAAACTTTTCTATCGTAATAACTTTCAATCATACCGACTTCACTTTCCTCATACTCAATCAAACTAACCGAGCCATCATCCTTTAATACAGTATTTGCTTGAATCAAAATCTTTCTTGGTTTCTTTTCCTTAATGACAACATCTCTAAACTTGGCATACTCATCCTCGACATTACTCTTTTCAAGATAATATCTCAACCCATCATCCTTGTTAGCAGTGGACTTGTAAACATGCAAACTTCCCAAAAATTCACCAAGGGCGTCAACAGCAGTGCCATCGTGGAGTTTGGGTTTATCGATAACAATTTTCAAGTCAGTAAAATCAGGACTCGAATGCTTGAATTCAAAAACGCCGGCTCTATGCAACTGTTTCATAATGGCGAATCTTCCTTGCATATGTGGTTGGCCCCATTTTTTTGCTTCTGGGTCCCAAAACTCTAACCCTAATAAACCAGCACGAATCATCAACAAACTAGCAATGTACATTACATCGTCTTGATCCTGTTGCGAATCAATACCGAAAATGGGCAATACTTGGGTTGGATCCTTGAGAATCAAATATAGAGCCACCAATTCAGCACGACATTCTTCATAAGACCCACTATTGGCGCCAAACACCCCAGCCCAAGTCTCATTAGGTTTATACCACGTTGCAACATTAGTTTTCAGGCGATCAAAGTTGAATTTTCCTGGTTCTGTTTCTTGCAACAACTTCCCACTTCCGTGTCCCAACAACTCATGCAACCCCACTTGAACTTCGAATGCGTCGTCTCTCCATTTCTTGAACAAGTCCTGGTCGTCAATAAATGTAATGACTTCTTCCTTTTTGGGATTCTTGGGGTTTGCAGAAAGCACATTTCCCAAGGACACATTTTTGAATCCATAATTTAATCTAACGTCATCATAGTTGGGGATGTTTATACCGGCGGGCACACCTGATCCTGCGAAAGTTAAAACCTCCAACGAGGTAAAATCAGGTGGAGTAAATGTATCCTTTTCGTAAAATTTATCCCATGGCAACTGAGCAATAAACTTGCCGGCATTTTCCACCAATTGCGAGAATTTCGCAGTACGTTCATGATTCACCATGGCGACTAAACCCTCCCACTCTCCACGTACACCAGCGGGGTCTCTATAAGTTTCAATGAATCCAATATTTGATTCAACTTCGGGCTTTAAGTCTTTGACCCACTCAATTTGCGATTTCTTATGGGCTGCCATTGAACCAGTCCTGAATGATTCGATGTAAAAGGTAATAAGTTTTTGTTGAGTTTCGTTGGCAACGTAAGGCAATGCATTCTCCAATTCTTGTACGATTTTGCTAAAGTCCTTTGCATGATCGCCAAATTGGAAACTGATTTTGACCCCGTCATCAGTTTGCAAGTTCAATTTCGAGTAAAGGTCGACCAGATCAGCTGAGGCTACGAGTACTTTGTACTGGTTGTCACCTTTTTCAACACGAGTATTCTCGGGCATGATTCCTGCAGAAGACAACGCCTGGTTCACGGCATCAATTTCAGCTTTTGTGATGGTGGCACTGTGGGGGTAGTAATTGGATAAAAGACCGTGGTCGGGGTACCCCAACAATCCACGCTCAGTATCGTAAATTTGATTCTCCACTTTGGCGTACAACTCAGATACATCCGCATCGTTGATTTTGCCAATCAATTGACGCAACTTGTCCTGACCAATACGAGGAATGAATTTCCTATCACCAAAAGATTTGTAATTGCCCAAATTGTCCAAGAATTGAGCAGCATATTCCAAGTAATACGTCACATCTTGCGGGTCAATCCCAGACAAGTTCTCAATATACTCTTGATTTGAGTGCGGTTGATTCAATTTCTCATGAATGAGTAAGATCAAGTCGTAGATATAAGGGCTTTCAGGCGATACTGAATCCAAAACTGCTCGTGAACCATGAAATGAAGCCCGTGATAAATGATGAGCGTACTTTTGCAAGTCGGGTGAGGACAATTGGTCAAAGTGTTTTTTGGCTGATAAGGAGACAATTGGGGCTTCTGAGTCGGCGTAGAATAATCCTTGAGACATCTTTTTTTTTGGAAGGGTGGGAAGGTGTGTTTCCTGTTGTATGTGAGAAGAAATGTGAATTTGTGGAAATTTAGTATGGTTTTATATTTCGTGGCAAAATATATGTGGGATATTTTTCTTTTTCTTAATTACGTCGTATGACAAAGAAAAATATTTGTGGGGCCGCGTGATCGCCGACCAAGGGTGGCGTCTGCAGCTTTACCTCATGTTCGACATTTTGAAGCACATTTGGGGTTGCATAATAATAATTATGGACAAACACTTTAAGGTCTTTGATGATGCATTGTTATATGTCTGTGTTAGATTCAAACTGTACTGTTTGAGTTAATCCTGGATCTGATCACGTGCTAGTGTGAAAGAACACGAAGTAAATTTTTCGGGGTTAAACCACCGCACAACAAACTCATCTTCAGAAACAGTCTTGGTGCATCATTCAAATAGACACCAATTTAGGAATTTTTAGCAATACCTGGCAATGAGTCATAACCCGTCGAGTACAGCTACCACTCCAGCTAGTGAAGGGAGCACCACACCATCAGCAGATCAAGATGCCAGGCTGGATAAAAGAGTGACCTTGAATAATAAGATTGAAAATGATAAAGATGAAGGTGAAGATGAAGACGAAGACGAAGATGAAGAAGATGATGAAGACTACGATCCCACAAAGAAGGAGGAGGAGGGTGCTGAACCCAGTGGTTCAGATGGTGATGATGACGATGCGAATCTAGGTGATGAAAACGACGGCAAAGTGCCCGATTTCTCTAAAATAGAATCAAGTGTTTCCCAAGTTAAAACGCGATCGCAGAGACTACACGACAAACAACAGAAACAGGCGAAGTTTATTGGTAATTTTGCAACTGATTCCCGTGGGTTAGTTAAAGAAACATGTTCACTTGATATTGACCTGATTTTCAATGATTTAAAACAAAATAAAGGGGATATTCTTAGAGAAGAGGAATCAGCGCCATCGAAACAGAATCAACAAAAGGCTGGGCTGCAGACGAGCCCAGAATCAGCAGAATCAGCCGCGACTATAGCAACGGCAACCGAGGATCCCCCTGAAGGACAGCAAATCCGCATTCAAATCAATTATACATTTGCTGGTAAACTCATTACTGAATCCAAATTAGTTGATGCTAATTCAGAAGAAGCCAAGGCTTACCTCAACTCCACCAGTTCCATCACATCAGCATCTTCTGACGATATACCCAACAAGCGTACGCAAGTTAAAATTGTACGAACAAACCCCATAACCAAAGAACCAACAGAACTACGCATCAAACTAAAACGACCTTCTTTAATTGATAAATTTATTGCCTTAAATGGCAATAATAAAAAGATGAAGTTATCGACGTTGGAGAAGTCGCGATTAGATTGGGCTAGTTTTATTGATAAGAGAAAGATTGGTGATGATTTGAAGAGACATAATCGTGGTGGGTATTTGGACAAACAAGAGTTCCTTGGTCGGGTTGATTTGAAAAAGGATGAAATATATCGAAAAGCGAAAGATGAAGATAGGAAAAGACAGTTTCAACTTCAAGGGAAATGATTGTGGAAAAAGGGGAGAGGGGGGGAGGGGGAGTGGTGGTGCATGTTATATGAAGAAATATCTCAAAAAGGATACATTGCTACTTTATTGGATTGGTTCGATTAATAGTGTCATTTAAATGAGACTACTTTGTACAACTAAGCTAAACTGGATAGCAGTGTGGACCGCAATAGGAGTATCTTTGCTGAAGGAATGCAAGTAGGCAAGGCTTTGTCTAGCATAGTGTGTATGTCTCCAGCTCAATAGGATCGTCAAGTAGTGATTTTCAATGACTAGGAATGGTGGATAATGTGCGTTTGTGCTTTTAACTATGTAAGATGTGTATTATTATTATTATTTACTATTGGTAATGCAGTTGTGAAAGTCGGAGTATTTAGTACATAATACACAATAATGTAATTACGACACACTGGAAGAGATCTTACTTTCTATCCTCCTTCTTTAGTATTAAAGCTACCCCCACTCCACCCCTCTCTCCCCCACAACAACCCGCCTTTTGTTTTTGATTTTGTTATCAAACGTTTATCTTCCTTTTTGTTAACGTATTCGCTGTAACTATCCATTTGCAGAAGTTCAATAAAGCAAGAACCTAAACTAGCAGTAGTAAAGTCTACATCATAGAGAGATAGAGAGAGAGAGAGAGAAAGAAAGAGAGGTATATGTATATGTATGTTGGTTGTATGATTCTCAATAGAATTTAGATCTTTCTATACCCAAAACCCCCAATTAAAAGAAAAAGTGTTGCAAAAACCCCTTCCCCATTCACTTTAAGGTTTTGTGCATTAGTACATTACCTGATGCGTCTGTAGCACATCTTAAATATATATATAACACCAGGGTTTGTAAAGTTTCACTTAAGTTCCATGTACACTTGTACTTATATTGGAATGTACCTGATGGTTTAAAAGAGTCTATTAAATTCACTAAGTAAAGTGGATATATGTTAGTAGTGTGTCTGTGCTCAAAAATAAAAATAAAAATAAAAACAAAAACAAGACGCGTCGTCATTAATTTTCTTTTCTCTCTGTCTGTCTGTTTCTGTTTTGAGTTAAAACCTTTTTTTTTTTTGTTGAATGACTAGAGAAGAAGAAATTAGAAATGACGTAAATGTCGCGTTTGTTTATCTTTAGACATTTGAAGTTCACCACCCAAAGTGGTAGTATTAGTTAATATGTTAATATTGGAGTAAAAATCTGTTTGTAAGGAAATCTTATTGATAAAGATATCTTGTTGGGGGCAAGAGAGTGTGTGTAGAAGGTGTCTGCAATATTGGCTTCTCCTGACAAAACGTCTTCAGTGCTATTTGTTCATAAGTTCTGTTTTCATTCTGCTCTGTTCTGTTCTGCTCTGTTCTGTCCTGTCCTGTTCTGTTCTTATCAAAAGGTTATTACTTGGTATACTATTTTTACCTTTGCTTTGTTATCTCTGTCTATTTGACTGGCTATCTGTTTGTCTGTCTGTCTGTCTCTTCTGTTAATTTTACGAAATTCACCAGAGACAAAGACACAAGAAGAAATTTTTACTTTTTGAAATTCATTCCCATCAAACAGAAAATTTCATTTCAATTTTTCTTTTAAAAGAAAGGAGGTTAAACGAGGTACACATTCCCTAACAAACAAGCAATAAATAGTTTCAACCTTCTTGCTCTTCTTTAGTACTTTGTGACAGGGAGGGGGCAAAGCTATCACCATACAAAAAAGATCGAAAAGAAAGTAAACTTAACACACTCATTAATTCACTCATTCACTCACACAAGGTTTTTTCCTATTGTTTTAAATTTTTAATTTTTTTAATTTTTAATTTTTTTTCTTTCCCTTCGTATCCTAATCATCCGACACTCGTTTAACAACTACAGTTACAGCTACAACTACACCAGCTACAACAGCAAACAGCACTAGAGCATAGGCATGACTATGTCTTCTAACCATCTAAGTATACCCCAAAGTCCCACAACTGCATCTACACCTGCATCTACTGCTGCATCTACACCTTTCAATCCAAGAACCCATAGACACAAACGATCGCAAGCAATACTGGGCGACTTTGATGGGCTAGGACTATTTAATATACCACCCCCTCCTCCAGTGTCATCACCTGGTGGTCCATCTGCAGTAGCATCAGGAACAACAGCACAGTCAATACCTACACATTCATCGTACTATAGTCATCGGTCAGCCTTGTCCAATAGCAATGTCTTTGGCAGTCCTGCAATTAACAATAATACCAACAACAGCAATAGTAACAGCAGAACCATCTCAGCATCAGCACCAAAGGAAAGAGTCGTGGGATTCGCCGATACACCTCGAACTAAAACAGATGAAGAATACGAATTAGATCGGTATTTCCATTTTAATAATAAAGACGATTTTGCCAACCCAATCGATGGTGAGTTTGCATTTCCTAAAAGTGAATCTGACCATAGCAACGAGGATACATTGCTCAACTATAGTACATCACCTACATCTCATGGAGTAACTTATACTACGAACTTCAGAAAAAGCTTAAGCTCGCCAATACAATTATCTAATAAATTATCTCATTCGTCATTACGACAACAAGGTACTCCACATTTACTGCAATCGCCAAAGCATCTTACGTATCAACTGCTGCAACAACAACAACAACAACAACAACAACAACAACTGGATGTACCCGATGCCATGATTGATTTGGATTACATCCTAACCGCAAACTTACATATTGGACTGCATGTGCATGACGACACCATATTCAGTACTGATGAATTCTTGGGTTCACCAGCAATTGCTGAAGAAGAGGATACAACAGTAGCAGAAGATAGAACCATATTACCGTCACCAGCTTTGAAGAATCATGACGACATTGAAGAACAAGATTTGCAAGAACTACAATTGGATGAAGAAGCAGATGCTGAACCTTTAGCACAACCTTCTAATAATTTCTATTCCCTGACTAATTCGTCTTCATCCAGTTTTAATTCGGTTCCACCAACGCAACCACAGCCATCGTCAGCTTCTTCTTCAGTACCGGCACAACCGCCAACACCTTCGTTTTCAACGCCGACACGACAAAGATCAGGAGCTAAAGCCCATCGATATCAAATATTCTATGATCAATCAAACCGTATCTCAAATGCCATGAGAGGATCGGCTGAAAGTATCGATCGAACAAATACAAATACCCCGCCGTTATCGGCATGGTCGGGTCTAGCTCCACAATCTCCAGCAGCTACTGCAACAACTAGTGGTATTGCGTCTCAATCAGTACAAGCAACAACGATAACAACGCCCATCCAATTGCAACAACAGCCCGCACTGTGCAAAACAAGATATCTTAATCATTATTCATCTTTACCTACTCTAAAGAGCAAACGATCTTTTTCTTCAATAAGATATAATGAATTGAAGAAAGTTTCGTCGCCCACTAGAGAATATTACCGATTGCAGGCATCATTATCGCCTTCAAAATATAATGCCAATGCACCTAATACCACGTTACATTTGGGAAATAGCATTAACAATAGCAATAATAACAGCAATAGTAGTAATAGCATCAACAACAGCAATAGTAATAATAGCATCAACAACAGCAATAGTAATAATAGCATCAACAACAACAATACTAGTGCCCCCCTCGACTTAGCATCCACATTGCATCCACCTGTACCACAATGCTCAACTCCATCTACATTAGCGACCCAGTCAACTGCAGAATCCGTGTCAACTGCAATAAGCAACAAACGAGGAGACCCTTCAACCAGTCCCATTAGCGTCAATTCGGAAATATCGTCAATGGCCATCAATGAAGGCAAACCAATAACATCTCAGAATGCCGAAGTGGTGGAACCCGACGTTAAGCCGGCAATTGTCATAACCACAAAGGATTTGGAACCGTCACTGTCTATGCCAGATTCGGCATCAACAATCTCACCCCATTTGTTTCCCATTCCTCAACTGGGGCATAGTAATGATAATCTGATTCTGCTTCAGAGTGAATCTACAATACTGAACAAACTGTCACCACGTATCGCCACCGCAACTGCAACTGCATCCGCCGCAGATTTAGATACGACCTCGTTGGGGCAAGTAGAAGAGACAGCTTCGAATAAGCAGTTGAACAAAAATCATCCTCATATTGTTTTAGCTCCACCACCACCATCCGATGTACCCACTGTTCAATCGCTGCCCATATCATCATCATCGTCTCCGACATCGCTGACATTCAAACAGTCGGGCTCATCATCACCAGCAAGAAAACTGGATCAATCAGGTAAATTCAGTACCACCGCTAACAAGACTTATACTCGTCGACCTTTTTCGCTAGCAGAATCAAATTCCATTAAACAAACCCAAATTCCTAAACCGAAAACTAACTTGGATGCACCAATGAGCAAATACGACTATCACATGTACCCGCACTGCAAAGGCGAGTTGAACAAGCCGGTGAAACATGGTGATGGTAGTGATCGTGTATCAGATTTATCCAATGCATCGTCGTCGTTTTCATCTACTGGAGAAGGAGGCGCGGGAGTTGCATTGTCGATAAGTTTAACAAATGAGACGAAATTAAAAAGAGGACACGGTTCAGCTACTGCTGGCGGCACCACGGCTGCCACTAGAAGAAGAGGTCATATCAGATCAAAGAGTAATGTTGAAGATTCATTGTCGCTGGCCGGGATGAAACGCAGCTCAAGGTTTTTTGACTGGTTAAGAAAAAAATAAGATAAAAGAGAGTTCTTTTTATTCATTTTTGGACTTTTAAAGGGATCGTGTCTTAGTCTATTCTCCGTGTAGTTTCTAAATTGTGGTGACTATAATATATGTAAACGCGTTACCAAAGGTAGCTTCAGTAGTAGTCGTAGCATCGTTGTAAGGGGCAACATGCAAGAGGATTTTGTGGTTGGAGATGCTTTTGCAGATGAGTTGGTTGAATTGAGTGGGGTATAGAAAGTCAGACTAAGAAAGAAGAGGCTGTTTATGGTGGATGCAAAAAGGGGGGAGAAGTAATAGTGGTGGTCTTTGGTGGGGAAAATGATATCCTAGGATATTTGGTTTTTGTGTAAACTTCTCGAATATCGCATTTATTTTCCCGCTCTTTGGTTCCCCACGACAAATTTCATATTTTGCATAACCAAGCATATTTATGTTTGAGGGGCTAATACAGAGTTCATCATATATATATATATGTAAACCTCATCTGACGAAGATGGAAAGGGCCTTTTAAGTTTTATTTTTTTTCTTTCATATGAGTGAAAAATAATGGTACTGTTTCGACTTGATGGACAAGTGGCTATAGTCACTGGCGCCACACTGGGTATAGGACTTGCTTATGCTGAAGGACTAGCATCAGCTGGAATCAGACAATTGATCTTAACATATCGGGCCCAAGCGACACTTGAAGCTGCAGTAGAGAAGATAAAACAATTCAATCCCGATGTCGTTATTAGCTCAATCTACGTTGACTTTCTCAAGATGCCAGAAGACGAAATTACTGACTTGGTCTACAATGAATCATACCGCTTATCTACCACGGGCGCAATTGATATTTTGATCAACAATGCCGGGATTAACGAACGACACGCCGTAGAGCATTTCCCTCAGGACAAATTCGACAATGTAATCAAAGTCGACCTCAACATCCCCATGAAACTAACGCGTCGTATCGGTACGAGGATGCTTGAGTTGGGCACGCGTGGCAAGATTATAAACACATCATCAGTGCTAAGTTTCCAAAGTGGCGTTTATACTGCCGCGTACACAGTGGCTAAAGGCGGACTCAAGAATTTCACACAAGCGGTGGCTAATGAATGGAGTGCTCGTGGTGTGCGTGTCAATTGCTTGGCTCCGGGCTACGTGGCTACTAATTTGACTGATTCGATGTCTAAGGAGAATCGCGAGTTGGTTAGTCTGAGGATTCCTATGGGGCGGTGGGGCAATTGTGAAGAGTTTAGAGGGCCCATTGTGTTTTTGTGCAGTGAGGCGTCGAGCTATATGACGGGACTGACTATGGTTGTTGATGGTGGGTGGTTGGGACGGTGAGAATGAGAAGAAGTAGAAAAGATAGAGGTGGATGGGGGTTTGAAGCAACTTGTGTGGAGTAGTTTCCATCGGCTGTATAAGTGTAATAACAATTTCAAGTCTTTGATTGGAATGTAGCTATGTATTGTTAAACCAATAAACTTTGTGTTGTCAAATCTGATACCAACTCAACCGAATAGTCGATCCGAGATATGAATGTAATGGAATGTCTTGTTGTGTGATTGTCGTCGCTTTTGTTGACGCTTTAGTACTTCCCCTCCCCCACATAGGTAGACAGAAAAGTGGGGGATCCTTTTGATGTTCACTTCGATGCAAATCTGTATGCTTTGCAGACCATAGATTGGTTGCGGTTGGAGTGTTGTACTCACAGTCTTCTTCAATACACCTCGTCCATGAAGCGAAGTGGTCAAAGGGGTGCACGAAGGAAAGTGGTCCTTTTAGAATCAAAGAAAGCCTGGGTTCTGCAAAAGAAATTACGATAACTTTCTCTTACACAAAAGCGTGGGTGTTAAAAGGTCTGTGGTTTAAATACCACCCACATTCCCCCCAACAGTGCTTCGACCTCAAATTTGATATACTTTCTATCACAATTAAACAACTCCCAAAAGACATGTCTTTATTCTCATTAGAAGGTCAAGTTGCCGTAATTACAGGTGCGACTCTGGGTATTGGATTAGGTTATGCTGAAGGTCTTGCTTCCGCTGGGATCAAACAATTGATTTTAACATACAGGTCACAATCGACACTTGATGCTGCAATTGAAGAGATTAAAAAATTCAACTCAGAGGTAATCATAGATTCTATTCAAGTTGACTTTATCGAGGAAGAAGAAAAATCTATTGTGGATAAAATTTTCACTCAAGCGTATAAACTATCAACCACTGGCTCAGTTGATATATTAATCAATAATGCTGGTATTACTGAAAGAAACCCCTTTGAGTCCTTCCCACAACACAAATTTGATGCTGTAGTCAAGGTGGATCTCAACATTCCTATTAAATTGACCCAACGTTTTGGTGTCAAGATGCTTGAGTTGCAAACCAAGGGTAAGATTGTAGCTACGGCTTCTTTGCTCTCGTTTCAAGGAGGGTTTGCGTCGACGCCATATGCGGTTGCCAAGGGTGGCATCAAACAATTTACCCAAGCGGTTGCTAATGAGTGGAGCTCACGTGGGATTCGCGTCAACTGTATTGCTCCCGGTTACGTCAAGACAAAGTTGACCGATAGCATGGCTAAAGAGAGCAAGGAGTTGGTAGACAAGAGAATCCCCATGGGTAGATGGGCAGAGAGACTGGATTTCAGAGGACCAATTGTGTACTTGTGTAGTGACGCCTCGAGCTATGTTACTGGTCTGACATTAATTGTCGATGGTGGTTGGTTAGGCCGTTAAATCGATACAAAATCCTCCTTATCTATATACCGCCAGCTTCTCTATACCATCTAATACCTCTATCAAAACTGACAACGCAAATTCCTTCGTTGCTATCACCACCAGCGCCTCCTCTAACACCTTTGCTGATAAATTTGACACCACTGGCAACACTTTCATCCTGCTGATCATCGTTACTAGCGCCATCCAAGTCGGTAATGGAGATGTTTATCGTAGCTTCACGTTCACTAGTTTCCAAATTCCACACTCGTACACATTTATCAAACCCACAAGAAACCAAGTTTTTCCCTTCCTCGTCAAAATCAATACCCAAGATCCATCCTTGGTGGGCAAACCCACCAACCACGCTTTTAGCTGAATGTGATGGTGTTGCCAATGTGCCGACGTTTTCACCATATTGAACATCGTAGAGTGTGATTGACCCTGCTGCTTGGTTATCTCTTGCTACTGCTAGTAGTGTGCCGCCCGGTGAAAATGCAATAGCACGAGGTATCGAAGATGACGAGTTAAGTTTAGGGTTTCTGCTGACTACCAAGTCAGTAGACCGGAACGTGTAAACCACCTTCAAGTTTTGAAAATCGTACAACAAGACGTCTCCATTTATATACCCCACGGCGCATTTCTTATTGTCAGTTTGGTTGACAGCAAGTGAAATGGCAAAAGGTGACGACGATGTGGACGATGTGGACGAGTTCGAAGATGTTCCGTTTCGTAAATCGCCATACTTGGTAAATGCAGAGCTAACTTTATCTGCGTTTGCAGTAATCGACACTGTGTACACTTCGGTAACTCCATTCATCTTGTTTACTATAAAGTAATCCTGTTTTGATTCCGGGTCAACGTAGAACCCCGGTACCCAGCTCTTGCTCAATTTGAATACGCAATCTTCCAACGTGGTTAAATCGTCATTGATGAATTGCTTGAACTTGACCTGTCCATTGAAACATGCAAATGATAAAACCGTTACCTTGATCGTTGAACTCGGTATTTTATTCTCATACACTGCTAAATGATGGATCCCACTCTTGTCAATGAATACTGATTGTACAAACTCTTTTGGGTCATGCACTTCATCCTTTTTGTTGTCCCAAAATCTGGCGTACCCGTCACTGGATACTGAAATTGTGTACCTCGGCGTGATTTCCACCCCTAGGATATCTGAATTATGTGCCTGTGATGCACTGACAGTTGATATGTACTGTTTACCCATGGTTGGTGGTTTTCTCTCTTTGTAGTAGTTAGTAGTGTTAACAAATGTGTGTGTTATTTTTTTATTGTTTTTTTTTTCGCTCTTTAGCATTGAAGGGGAAGACAAAAATAAAAAAAAGAAAAAGGAGTGTTACCGTTCCACTACAGTCTACCATTGACTTAGCTTAGACATATACTTCACCAGACACCATGACCGACAAATTGATATCGCTGATTACAAAGCAGTTGATTTTTCAGCATAATTTCCCAATTGATTTCAATTTTACTAATGCACCAAAAACAAAGATAGACACTATATTACCACCAAGCATACCACATAACAAATTGATTTGCAGAAACAACTCCGAATTGTTCTTTGCCCTGGGAAACCTTGTTAGATGTTGTTCGATAAACCCAGTAACATCAAACTACAAGTTATTGAAAACACCCCATGCCGACTTTGAAGTTGTCTCGTTGGAAATAAATGAATCAGGCACGTTTTTGGCAATTGTTGGGGATCTGGTAGTTGATATTGTTTCGTTACCTCCAGTGTTGAACACCAAACAAAAGGCGGTCTATATTGAAGAGGCAAGCTACAGAATTAGCGATGTTGGCAAAGTCAGGAAAGTGCTTTGGCAATCGATTGTTGCAAACGATTCTATGGTGGTGATTTTAAATGAAAATTCAGAGGTTTTCGGTTTTGAATTGAAGAAGTCGGTGAAAATCCCAGCAATAAAGATTTCTTTTGATGAAAAGATCAACTCAGTCAGTTTTGGATCACGAAGCAAAATTAACGATGGGTTGAAGTTGTACGCGTCAACGGATGATAAAGTCGTTAGTGTCGATTTTTACAACGGTTCAACAAGAATTGCCGTGTCGGAATATGCTATCGATGTTGCGATTAGTGATTCGCAGAATACTATTGAAATAATCAAGGACAAGTTTCCCGGGCAGTCAAATCTACTCTCCCTGGCAGAGGCTCAATTGAAAGTGTATGAGTCCTTACGTGGCCAACTCCTGAATAACTTGCGAGAGGTTAGAGCTTTGTACACTGAAAATCCATATGAGTTGTTTACTGTTGAACTAAAGCTATCGACTCCTGACTATAAACCGCAAACAGTGGCACAAATAGGGGCAGATGACTTGGTGGCTTTTGGCGATAATGAACAGATTGCCTTGTTAGCAACAATCAAGAACGATACCATTTCATATTTTTCGAATATTATTGGATCTGGGCTAGTAAAGTATGCGGAGCCGGAACAACTAACCTATTCAAAGCCGAAAAGGGGGTTTGGGTTTGTCGACCCATTCGATGAGATTAATACTGAAAAGTTGTTTTGGCAACAAGACTTGAACTCGTTGGAGTTTTTACAATCGGAGAAACTACCCTTCAATGGTAAGGCATACTTGAGGAATTTAACCGGTTGTGATAGTAAATTTGTTGCAGTCGTTGACGGAAGCTTGGTTGTTGTTAATTGTGAATGGGTAAGTGAACTATTATCTGATTTGGACAATGACAGTGTTGACAGTGTAGAAAAGATTAACCCGACGTATAACCTCCTTTCGGCTGGAAAGGACCTTCAAGGGTTTGCAGTCATAACAAAGTTCGATCTGGAAGTGGGAGTCATTGTGCGCGACAATTTGGAAATTGTGACAACTAATGCCGACGACGTCGCCCCGAAAAAGGACGAAGAGAAAGAGCCATTGAAGATTGATGACAAGCCATTTGTGCCATCGCTTGCTATCTCGGCAGAACCATTTACTGAAATTGAGTCCAATCTCAAGACATTGGAAAAATCAGTTTCTTTGAAAAATGAGCCCAGTATGAAACTCGAACCAACGGTTGAAGTGCTTGAGAAGCTAAACAAAGATTCACTAGAAATTAACCAGGCCGTGTTTGGCTATTCTGTCTACGCCATTAAGTTGCAGTCGAGGACCCTTGCCCAATTGAAATCACTAAAACTACAAGTGGAAACTATAAAGAACCTAACCGATGATACACCATACAACAATGAAATAGACGACAGAATTAGCAAGATATTTCAAAAACAAGAAGATCTTGACTCAAGGATGAAGCACGTGCAATCAAAGATTAACGAACAAATGTATAAAATCCAAAATGTGCCTCTCTCAAAAGAAGAAAAAGAGTACTTTGAAGAGATTAATGCATGGAACCAAACCACAGTGGACTTGATTGATCAATTAAAGGTCTTTAGCGACGAAGTTGAAGAATTCAAGAATACTCAACCAGCAGAGGAGGATCAAGATGAGAAGGTTGTATTGGAAAATTTACAACTTCAAAACAGAGTCAAAAAGTTGCTTACGTGGTTGAAATTCCAGGGATCTGAGATACACGATTTGATGGAAAGGGTTAGCATTAAAACATAATGCTGGAGGTGGGGGGGAGGGGGGGAGGGGATAACGATAATGGACTAATGTATATCTGAAGTAAAACTTTGTAAATCTCGCACTTTTGTAGAAGAAACCCCTCCGACGAAAAAAGGGAAGCAAAGAAAAAAAGGAACATTTGTCCAACACAAATCGCCGAGATTAACCAACGCAAAGAGAGTCGCCCACCATTGAAGATGACGGACGTTGCACCTCCTTCAACCACGACTCCTAATGACTATATACTTAGTTTATCAAACGAACAGATAGATCACGATCAGAAAATCGGTATCAAAGCCATCCGATTGTTTTTACAAAGCAAAACATCATATGATGTATTGCCGGTGAGTTACAGGCTTATCGTATTAGATACGTCCTTGTTGGTTAAAAAGTCTTTGAATATCTTGCTACAGAACAACATTGTCTCAGCACCGTTGTGGAATAACAAAACGTCCCGATTTGCCGGTTTGTTAACTTCAAGTGACTTTATCAATGTCATTCAATATTATTTCCAGTACCCAGAGAAGTTTGAACTAGTCGATCAGTTGACATTGGATGGATTGAGAGATGTGGAAAAGGCTATTGGGGTTGATCAAATAGAAACTGCCTCGATACACCCTTTCAAGTCGTTGTATGAGGCGTGTGTAAAGATGTTGGAGTCGAAAGCAAGAAGAATTCCATTGTTGGACACAAATGAAAATGAAGCAAGGGACATAGTGGTGAGTGTGTTGACGCAGTATCGTATTTTGAAATTCGTTGCTTTGAATTGTAAAGAGACCAAGATGTTGTTAAAACAAATTCAACATACAGAGCTAAATAAGCCGAAGAAATTGAGTACTTGTACAATGGATACACCGGTCATTGAGGTGATTCATTTATTAACATCGCACTCAATATCCTCCATTCCAATAGTCAATGAGGAAGGAAAATTGATTAACGTGTACGAAACAGTTGACGTATTGGCCTTGGTCAAAGGTGGTATGTACACTGATCTCGATTTGTCGGTGGGTGAGGCGTTGTTGCGGAGATCAGAGGACTTTGAAGGTGTTCATACGTGTACTATCACTGATAGGTTGAGCACTATTATGGATACAATTCGGAAGTCGAGGTTGCATAGGTTGTTTGTTGTTGATGATGCAGGAAGGTTGGTTAACGTGATTACATTGAGCGATATCTTGAACTATATATTGTTTGGAGAAGATTAAATAAATGGGAAGGTAGGAGTAACTCTGTGGTTTTTGTGTCGTAGATTTCGAAAGGTGAAAGGAGTTGACCTGTAGTGGCAGCTTCATCCATCTAAGTGCTATTGATCACTACATACCTCATGTCTGTCCTGCTTATCGTTATATATCAGAGTGTTGACCTTTTTTTCTGTGGTAGTATACATTATCGCTGCAATCCTCTCCCAACACGGCCAATTGTTTCCTTAATTTTGGCGCAAATTGTGGCAAAAGTTTTAGCACTCAAAACTAATAAAATTGCTTCAGTCAAGAAAATGGAGTCATTTAAGAACTAACCATACCATCAATCCTACCTTTAGAGTGTTGTTTTCTAAAAAAATTTGTGTATGGAATTAGGCTTCATACCAATTTGGTTCTCTGTGAGTGTCGTAATTGAAATACGAGACGTCAATTAGTGCCACAAACGCCACCCAGCAGTTTTGTGAACATAATTTTAGACAAGCTAGCAAAGCTGGTGTTGCTTCTTGGTAGATCGGAGAAAGACCATCTTGCTATACTTGTTGCTAATGAAGCTAACAATTTCAGAGAGGCTGCTTCCTAGTAGTAAAGTCGACATAAATAGATTAACTACAATTATTCTAACGTAACACTGCCTTTACAACATTCATTACTACAGCCTATACTACCTTAAAGTGTGTCTACGCTTCTACTATGACTCCTTACTTTAAAATAAGTCTTTTCAGAATTAATGTCTACCCTTCTAACGATTTCTAGACCGCGTAAAAGTAACCATCAGCTTGTGATGTGGCT